TAAAGATGTAATATTAGTCTTGATGCATGAGGCATACCTACTAGTACTGCACGTCATGTCACACAAGTATTATTTTATAAATTTATATTGGTGAAACATATAAATACCTACATAGGTTTCTTATAGATATATGTTTATGACCTTTCAGAAGTAAACGTATGAAGGATAGAGTAAACAATAAAATATGTTTAATAACCATGTCAAGTACACAATAGGGATACCTGATACAGTTATTCTGGTCTAGTTCCAAGGAGACTATGCGGTGTGATACGCCCGTTCATTATTAGTTCAAATGGATGTTTATGCGTTTAATTTTTACAAGGTACAACCTTTAGTTTAAATAATAACAATCGAATACCCCCAGGTTAAAATTATTATAATATGTATATAAATGCAACTAACAAAGATTTGGTTTTACTCAAAGTGTATCAACTAATTTTTATATACGAGTAAGTACATGCATATAGGTACAAGGTACCTATTTAAAATGCTAAACCATTAACTAAAAATTCTACACGAATTTGAATCATAATAAAAAATACAATTTTGAAGGTAACTTTAGAGTTAATATAAGTAGATATATAAAATTTGATTTATGCTAATTTCTTTAAAAACATATTATTACTCGTATATACCTATACAAATAAAAAAAATTGTGTAACTAAGGTTTAAATTTAAAACAAAATTAAATAGCGCTTAGATACAGTGTTTTACCACCCAAATACATATTATCAAATTTCCAATAAAACGCACGCACATAGATATTAGATACAATAATAATAGGTAAATATCATATATTATAAAATATTCCTAGACATTTAAGTATATATTATAGACCTGCAAGAGCCATCAAGTTTTGGCCCGGTTCGGTTTAACAATTTTATTTTTAAGCCCGGTCTGTTCCGGTCCAAAAAAAAAGCCTAAACCTGACCCGAATAATGCTAATCTTTTTTAAAAACCGGTCCGGTCCTATGACATTTTTTTAGCCATCCGATCCAAAATATTTTGTTAAATATAGTCTAGATCTTGTTCAATGGTAATTCTAATCTCTTAAAAAATGTTCATTTAGTACATGATTTTTTTTTTTCATTGCTTTATTATTAAATATAATACTTATTACGTAATTACATTACATATTATTACTACTTATTACATATATCCCTGAATTAGATACTACATAGTCAATAGTATATTACAAAATTCATATTATCATTTTTATTTTAAATAATTATAATTATTTTAATACATTTTGAAATACCAAACCAAAAAAAAAAAATAATCCAGATCTGGCTCTTCATAAAATTCCATGACTCTAAAGATGATGACTTTTTTGTAAGCCCGGTCCGGTCCTATCCAGTCCAAAAATGTCTGTATAAAAAAAAACCCAGGCCCAATCCTCCTAGTTTCGTCACTGGTGAGCAGAATTTTTTAATAATAGGTAGATAACTATTAAATATATATTAAATGCAGACAACTAAAATACCTACCTAAAATAATTCTTATTTCATATGCGATATGAAGCTTAAATATTATTACGTATATATATAAAAAAAAAACATGTAATTATTCTGTATTTATTTATTTTATTCTTATGAAGTAAATTCCATTAAATTTACAAAACTGAAATTTAAAATATTAGCTATTGAACAATAACATGTTGAAAAAATGTACCCACTATTAATAATTGATTAAGCTAAATATTAATTTTCCTATTTGTACCTATGTGCCTATAATTTTTTTTAACGGATTTATTTAATTTTACTTCTTTAAGTACTCATGAATTTTATGAAAATGTTTCCTATTCATAAATCATTTACCATTTAATTTTCAGATGGAAATTAATAGATAGATAGATAACATATAGGAATAGGTAGTTACTTACCTATAATTACATAATCTATCACACAGGTTGACTTTAACTTTTTTTAAATACCTATTCATCCTTCACTAACTACGGTTGGTTTATTATCAACGATATGAGAAAATATCTAATATAGGTACACACTATTTATACACATACACATTAAAATAAATATTTTGTAACGACTGGTTTTTCGATTGCAATCATCTTCCTTCGAACAATTGTGTAATATTACAGACGCAGATTTCACTGAACTATAATTAAGTAGATAATAATTGTATATTGACCAAGTATATTATAATTTATAATATATATTGTAATGGAATATTATTAATAGTCTGAATCTTAATACAATAAAAATTTTACTTATTATTATTGTTTTATAAGTATAATAATTATGCCAATGACCGAAGACTCAAATTATCAAAATATGTGTACATTAATAAAACATAAATCCATATTTAATACACACATATTCTTAATTTGTGTTTATAAAAATTATTTTATTTGTAATTAGTTAATGTAAATGTATTCATATTATGCCACATGTCATTAACAGTCGTAGTTTACCACCATATTCAAAGTAAAACTACATTTTAGAAATTATGTTGTCTGTTAAGCTTAAATTGTAAAACCATTTGATATTTAAACTCAAACATTAAAATGAAATTGTATACCTACAATAATTTCCGCACATTTTACATCCATTTCATTTCACCTAGGTACCTACTTGATTTAATAATTTGTTTAACTACTACACAAACATCTTTACAGTCGTTTCAGTCATTATAGATTTAAACCAGACAAGTGTTTAATTTTATAGCTAGGTAAGATTCCTATGCGTTTAAGAAGTTGATAGGAATGCATTCATTAAATTAAATTTATTTTAAAATAAAAGCATCCATGAATATATTTTATTTTTATTTTTGAAGAATGCTGAATCTGAATTCATTAATTTTATGTCGAAATGTGAAAGCATAAGATAGAATCCCAAAAAATCATAATAGTGACATTTATTTTACAATTTAGAAAATATAACTATATAATCCAGTTTTTTTTTTTTTTTATATTCTTACAAACAATTATTTTTTGGAAAACACTTAGAATAAGTTCTAAATTTTGATGAATGTGAGTGTGGAACGCATTCATTATGAACAGAAGTAATTAGGAATGAGAATTTGTTACTTTTTTAAGTCCAGGAATGTGAACGGGAATTCATTCCTATATTTAAAAGGCATTAAATAACATATTTAATATTTATATATTTAACTATACCAACGTTAGAATATGTGCGTATATAACTGTTTATTTCTTTAAGATATTCACAAATCACCACTATATTATTAAATGCATAAATATTGGTGGATACCTACGTATATTTTTTGTTTTAATTATATAAAACGTTTTATATTACACTATAAACTGGTTTTTGTATTATTTATCCATATTGTTTAGCAATAATGTTTTAAAACTCACTGCAGGCTATTGATTATTTATCATTTTAATTTATATAATTTCATAATTAAAATTCGTTGACTTAACTGATTTAAGTGTACCAACCTCTTCTAGGAGTTGTAATTCTAAATGATATGTAGCTTAGTATTTTGCTAAATACATTAAATTATCTTGGTATAAAGGAAATAAAACAGTTGTATATAGGTTCCTGTACTGATACTGTAAATAATATAAATGGTATTTTAATAATTATTTTTTTATAATACTTAACATATTTTTCTCCAATTATATAAGATATATGGTACCGATTTATTTTAAATAAATGATTGAATGAATTCTTTTAGATATAGTAGGTAACTTATGAGTCATAACCGGTTTAAAATAAACTGTAATAAAAATGATTTTGTTGAACATAAAAACATTCGTAGGTATTTATAAAGGTAGGTAATGTAATATTTGCATAACACGATATTATCTCATATATTCAATGAGAAATGTATTATGGAATATGTGAATTTGGAGTGACTTATTAGGACGTGGAGATACTTATTTATTATTTATTTGTAGAATTTAAAACCTAACGTACGAGTTTATACTCTTATTTTAATATCATGAATACAATCACGACTGCGTGCAATGAATTCATATATTATACGTATACTACCCATTACCATATAACCGAAACTTTTTAAACTATTCGTCTTACAATCCATCGGTAAGTAATATTGAAAAACAGGTTAGAAAATGTAACAGTATTACTACCTGTAGTAGTATATAATATTATAATATAATAGTTTTATATTGAATCCGATATTTGTATTCAACTTAAATAAGTATATACATTAGACTAATCAAATTTAAAGTATAGAATCAAAAATAAAAATATTCAATAAGGTCCATCATCAAGTTGTGCACTCGCATAGAAAGCACCGCATTTGAAGGGCCTAGCGTCACGTCGCAACCATAATTCATAATTTCACATAAGTATTTAGGAAGATTAATTGATAGCAATGGATAGAGAACATTTTTAAAGATCTACCTACACTTGGTATTAGAAGCCATAAATGGACCCGCAAAATCAACTATTCAAGGCCACTTAATAGGTATATTTTGTTTACTAAAATAGACTTCAATGCTTTATATTAGTACACAAATAACCAATCATTGTATCATATTGCGATGAAAATATTAAATTTATAACATACAACTTGAAAATATTAGGTATATATTCATTGAGTATCAATGATTTAAAAATTTAAAGACGATTATTATAATCAATTACCTATTTATTTTAATTTCCAATTTTCAATTAGGTAGTTATTTTTTTTTTTTAGATCCAACTTAATTGACTGTAATATTAATCCATACAACTTTTCCGGAATAAACACTTTATGTGAGTATAACGTGTATTAAAATATTATATAATATATAATTTAAAAAGGTATCTGTATACGTATAAAGGTACATAGAAAGTACTTGAAGCGAAATTAAACATTATACAATAATACTTTATAACAGTATTTTTTTTTATTGGAAAATTCCATTGAACTCGATTGTATATAATATGTCGTTTTCCTTGGCTGTGTTATTATGCAATTGTATTGTTTGTATTGAGTACAGTTCGACGTATCTTGCAGTATGTGTGCTTATCGTATGGACATCGTTTGTGCGATACTAATAAGTGATGAACGTGTTGGCGATCATTTTTATAGCGACTGCAGTGATCACCGTTTTTGGTCAATTAAATTTCCAATCGAAGCTATGGGTCACGAAAATCTTGTCTAATACATTAGACGAATATACACCTGACGGAGGAATAATATGCAGGCGCCATGGACTAGAATACCGAGATGGATTGAAAAATCTTAAATTGTGGGCGACTCAAAGTAAGCGCAAAGTAACCTAAAAATTCATTAAAAAAAAAAAAAAAAAAAAAAAATGGTAAATATATATTGTATGTAATGGTATGTATGTAAACATTTGTTAGAGATTGTTAGTTTTTTTCCCCAATATGACTTACAAGTTACAACTTTATATTATGTACTTAAAAATACTTCAAATCATGAAGTGTTATACGCCATTTTAAATGATAATGGCCATTAAAATCATTTTAATTTTCTATTGAATTTAAAAATATATTCAATTTCCGTTGTTCTATTCCAACCCCAACCCCTATAGGCTATAACACACATCAAAATGAAAAATTAAAAATATTTTTCATATATACAAATATAGTTAAATATTACCGAATTGAAATTGACTAAGAATAAACTAATATGTATTAAAACTGATTTGTCTTTTATTTTCAGTGTATGATTCATCATCTAAATTTCCTACGGGAATCTTAGTGGGAAGATCTTTTGATTTTGGAAATTTCGATGAATGTTTAAAAACTACGACAATTGGCTTGGAATTCAAACCTCAATATTGTATTATAAACGTTCGGTTTTCTCCTACTACAAAATTATATCCAAATTATTACAATATTACTCCTTCTAATCTAAATCCAACTGACTCTGTGTGGGAGGCTACAAAAGTAATAATTTACCTATATATGTAAACATATATATATAATTATTGTTTCAACATTTATATTCAATCTCAATAACTGTAAAATTCCAAGAAAATATGTGGATGCATTTATTAAGCTCAGCTTGAAAAAAAAAATCCTCGATAAAAAATATAGCCATACAATAATTATTAATTATAATACACGTAATAACATAACATAACGAATAACATAACATTTTACCAAGAAATTGAACATTCATACATTTGGCTTTGAGTAGGAGTTACCCGTTTCCACCAAAAATGTACCAATCTTTTTTTCAGCAAATTCTTTTTTTCGACAAATCATAAAAGTAGTCGATTCCTTGTTCCGCCAAAACCATGCCTTTCTCTTTTCAGCAAAATAAAAAAAATGTAGTCTTATATTTGAATATTAATGGAAGATTGTATCATAAATAATTATTATTGTATTATAAAACAAAATAATAATAATAATAACAATAAATAATTCAAATAAGTTTCAACTTATACAATAATAAAAAGTGATTATATTTTTAATATTTCTTGTGTGAAAAATTGTGCTAAGATAATCGTTATAAATATTAACAACTATTTTTATCATACATAAATAGAAAAAACTTTATGATTTTTAATTTATTTTTTTAACTTATTCATAATTTTAATGTACACAATTGTCCATTTAAATTCAAATATTAAACTAATTTTTTTAATTTAGTTGAAAGAAACGATTTCAGTGGAAAGGTAATTGACCAATTTTATGATTTGGCGGAAACGGGAATCGGCGGAAAAGAAAAAAGTACATTTTTAGCGGAAACCAGCCATACCTCTTCAAGTATCTATATAATATAATGTTACAGGTAAAGTAGGAAAACGGGTATTGTTGTACGATACCTAAACATTGCGAATAAAAACCAATTTTCGAAATAAAAGGGAAGTTTACATTGCCCAGATGTTGTGTACAGTGTCCAAATCCAATTGGGCTAAGGCGATAAAATGTTTAAAATTTAAATTTGTATTGATAATTAATTTGTTTGTATTTATATGTCTATATATGTAAACCATTCAGCAATGTTTAATCAGTAACCTGATGATAACGTGTAGCCAAAACTTAATAGATACAAAATATTTTTTTTATACTTCTAAATCATAATTTAAATTTTTAAACGATTTATTTTTCTTATAAATTGAATGACACAACGATCCTCCTATTTTATTAAACATAAAACTAAGTATTCCTTCATCATGTAGCTGTAAGTTTATTTTTACAAATTATAAGTACATAATATCAGACAATAATATCTAGTGAAAAGATTCAAAATTAACGCATATGTTTATTTATTACTACATTTTTAAATAGTATTATCATGAATAATCAAATATATACCTAAAAATGGTAAATTAAAAAATATAACATGTTCTTGAAACTACAAAATCACTTAATAGGTTTTGCAAAAAGATGCAATCAAAACTTTGATACGTTTTTCGTTCCTTCGGTTTCTAACTTACTTAGCAATAAATCGCCTATAAAAAACATGAAATGTTCTGAACCCTACTAATGACTTTTTTTTTTTGATCATCGGTCTTTTCTCATCTAATCTAAGTATTTAAGTTCTAGTTACGCCACTGCACATATTCACTAACAAATTTACGACTCCAAACAAATTCTTAAATCTCTATGAGACTTTTTTCTGAGTTAAATATAATAGGTATATACATATGTTTACAAGAGTATCTAACAGGTACAAAGTACATACATCACTGATTTATGTTTTTATTATTTAAACTATACACCTAAAATCTAATAATAATAATTATTACTAAAAAAAAAATGTTTAACGGCCTAAATTCAATATAGTTTAAATGATTTCTGTTTGCACCCATATTTAGTACGATTCGAGTCCAATGAAAATACAACACAACGAAATCAATACAGCACTATGTGTACCTTCTTCGTGTACCCATTCAGATCTACAGACTACATTATCACCGAAAATTACATCAATGTTTCATAATTATCAACTTAATGCTACCGTTACAGTTAATGCAGCTTATTGCACTATGCAACAGGAACTGAAACCAACAAAATTAATGGGATATCAAATATTTTGGTAAAAATAAATTATAAATAATAAAATAATAAAGTAAAAACAAGATTATATTTTGTTTTTATTTTCAATATGTACCCTATTATTAGATTAAAAGTACCTACTTAAATTTTAGTAATAATAATCAAGGTACATACATTTTTTATCTATATACATTTTATAGGACTAATAGAAAATGTTTTAAAACTACTATTACTCGCTCGGACGATTTAAATCGAAAAATATTCTTCGATTTGTTGTGCAAACTTTTCAACCAGAAATCTTGCTTTCGTGTATCAAGTGTAACTTATTTTCTGAAAGGAAATTTTATCTCCATGGTTAAGGGAAGTCATGTTTGTGATTTTTCAATCGGTTTTTATAATAACTGGGAAAAACCGGGATGAAATATTGGAAAAACAGAAAATGTACGAAACATAGGTATTAGTAAAAAATTATTACGGCCTCTTTTTTCTGTGTACAACTTTTCTACCAGCAAGTTTGCTCCGATTTACAATGATAGCACTTTTCTGAAAGTAAATCTGACTGGGAAGGTACTTTAGAGAGGTCATTTTTCGATTTTGTCAAGAGTTTTCTTAGCAAATTTGATAATCCGGGAAAAAACATGGGAAAACCAGGAAAAACGGGAAAATCGATACAATATTAAAGAAATATTATTAAAGAAAATATATAATGCCTATTTAATTATTTTACCGTAATATGAAATATATATATATGTATTGTTGAAAAAACATCATTATCAACTGAAATAATCTCAGAATCGCTTTTTCGTTAACAATGGTTTATCGTTGCTTGCAGATATACATTAAATTACCTATAACAGTGGCTGCACCCGTTTCCATTATCCTAGAACATCTTTGTTTGAAAATTTAACAGGAAGTTCTATATAAGTCATACTTTGTGGTAAAAAAAAATTGAATGTTATGTAGAATTTTTTGTAATATCAAATTTTAATAAAAATCGTAAATAGTACGGCCTTTTAAAACATGTGTATAACCGAAGTCCATTCAGAATTGTTTATCGTTACCAAAGATTAATCATCGTGTTCACTGTACAGATATACACAATATTCCCTTGTATATCCTATACCTTCCCAATTTCTCACATACAACATTGACCCACCTATTTTGCGAATTATGTCCATATTTTTTTTATTTTTCATTGACTATTAAATAAAGTAATTTTGAATGCACAAGAATATTATGATTTGTTTTTGTCTGTATATGTATTAAAAAATCAATAATCATATATATATTTTTAATAGGGGTGTTTTGTTACTTATTATGTCAATAACTTTAATTGGATCATTGTATGACATATATACTAAAGAAGAAAATCGATCTGGCCATAGTGAGTTGAAAGTTTTAAACACAAAATTCAATAACATTAAATAATATGTAATTTGTATTTCTAATGCACCTAACATACAAAATTAACTAATCTATTCAATATAACCTACCTATTCTATTTAGAATCGTTTTTCATAACATTTTCATTTCCGGCAAATGTTAAACGGTTATTTGTGTCCAGTAACAAAACTGAAAACCTTTCTTGCATTGACATTTTAAAGACTCATGCGTGCGTCCTCGTCATAGTCGGTCAAAGAATGATGTATACTGCCGGCCAACCGTTAAAAAATTCTAAAAAAGTCGAAGAGGTGATCAAATCAATATACTGTATAATTTATAATTGTTAATAGATAATTGATAATATTCGTGTCTTTTTAGGTAGCTTTACATTTATTATACGCGATGATTCGTAATGGATCATTAGTTGTTGATTTTTTCTTTGTTATCAGCGGTTTCTTGACTTTTCATTTTCTTTATGATGAACTAGTCAACACTAAAAGAATAAATGTCCCGTTACTTTTGTTATGGAGATGGTTAAGGTAAAACCACGACAAATAGATCATAATAAATACTTACTACCTATATACCTAGTCTAAGTGTATATAACATAACTACATTCATAATTATACTGTATATAGTTATTTTAATTGATATTTTATTAATGTTGTATCTAATATATAATACCTTGTCAAATGAATTATCGCAGTCATTTGTATAGGCAAAAATTATTATTGATTTTTAGATTAATGCCCGTGTATGGTTTGATGATAGCATTCCACGCATTCGTGTTATTACACCTGGCAGATGGTCCATTATGGAAAAGCATAGCTTTCCAAGAATCGTACAATTGTCGACAATATTGGTGGAGTAACTTACTATTCATAAACAACTACGTCAACGCCAACCGACCAGTATGTGAAATCATCGAATGTCCTAATTAAAAAAATATAAACCCGTATAGGTATATATTTTGTATTTTAAATAATATTTCAGTGTATTATTCAATCGTGGTATTTGGCGTGTGACATGCAATTTTTCGTTGCGGGTATTATACTTGTTTTTTTCGTGTGGAAATACCAAAAATACGGAGTGTACCTAATGTGGATTACGATATTTGTATCCGGTTTAATTCCGGCCCTCATCGTATACGCTCATCAGTTTTATCCAACATTTATGGATTCTATTTCGTAAGTATAACCGTACGATTTCGACATTTTTCTAAAATTGATTTACTTATGAAAAGTCGATTTAAGAAATTGAGTTCCTGTGATAAACAGGAATATTATATGTGATAAACTTGTACCGGTAAATAATTAAAAATAAACCAATAAACTAATATAGAATTACTGTTGAATTTTTTCTTGTAAACTAAACATTTTACAATTCATTATTTTATGACGTGTTTATAGTCTTATAAAGCAGTAAATAATATTAGTATATTATATTATATATAGTATATGTAAATGTTGTAGGAAAGTTCACACATCACTTTCATATATACTTAGCTGGTATCTATCCCGGACCGTAGCTAGACTGCTGGACGTAGCAGACTCGGGAGAGGTTTTAAATTAAATCAACCATTGTTTTTGTTTTAAACATAATTAACATTTATATTTAAAATAATAAACATTACCTTAGAAAAAATTAAGATGAAATTTCACCCCTTGTGCCCAACTACTATTATTTACCAGCTACCTATATATTTGAAAACAGTTAAATTATAATTAATACAGATGGAATTTATTCAAGGAATACCCTTTTTAAAATTAAAAATATTTTATGCTTATTATAGACATAGATATCGAAAAAAAAAATATATAATTTACTATTTAATTCGTACGTTATTACAGGATGTTAAATTATCTACCCGATCACCAAAGTTACACCGTATTATACGTGCCTAGCCATACAAGGTCAACGCCATACTTTGTGGGTATATTTGCAGCGTACGTTTACCGATATTTGAAGCTGGATATGCCAAAGTTTCGATTTCCATATTCGAAGACTTTACTAACGATACTTATCACAGTATATCCATTAGTACTGATGACTATCTATGTGTTTTATATTCGAGAATACGATTTATGGTTAAGCGTTATTTATACGTTCATGTTCCGTACTGTATTTTCGACCATTGTCTCTATGTTCATAATTATATGCGCTATAAATGGATTTTTCAAAGGTAAAATTCAATTTAGTTCAAAAGTTTAAGTATTATAATGGGTACCTGTCTAGTAAATTTCTTAAAATGTATGGAATAATATCATCAATGCCGTAGCCAGGAGGGAGTAATAAATAGGGCACGTGCCCCTGGCCCGGAGTAATGTGGGCTATAGGTAGGCATGGCCCCACGGGACCCACGAGAAATAGGGGCCCATAAAGAATATATTATGCTAGATTATTGCTTTTTTTAACTCATATTATGAGTTGAATTAAATAGTTGAGAACCTTTTTTTTTTTTTTATTAGTTATATTCAAACATACAATACCTTGTTTCAAGATTACGATAAATTAAGTGATGATCTTTTTTATTAGTTATTTAGATTACTTTGATGCATTTAATTATTAATGATAACAACATCTAACATATGGCAATAATAACGTATTAAGTAATAAAACATAAGTAATAATAACAAATTGTTGTGCCCCTCTTCTCGAAATTTGATTCTGACTACGGTAATAGATAATATGGATTTTCCGTAGTTTAAAAAAAAAGAAATATTACTGAAATTACGGAAATATTATGACAGCATTAATGAACTTATCATTGCTATCTTACTTAATAAATCATAAAGTAATAATTATTTTCCCCATAAACTATTCCCGCTGTACGTGTTTGCCCATCTGTCTGTCACTCAGTCTACCTGATGCTAAAATACATTTTTAATTGATATAAATATTTTTTGAAAATAAATAATAATTATAAAATTTTGTTTTATTTTTAACTATAGGTTTATGGTTACGCGTGTTCATACCATTAAGTAAATTAACGTACGGAGCATATTTAGGTGGACTGTCAATGCAATTATTGCAAGTAGCATCAATGCGAGCACCAACATATTTTAATGACAGTCTTTTAGTAAGTACCTATTGAAGATAGAAGTTTTTATTGACAATTCGTTACAAAATGAATATAAATATAAATTAATACCGTATATTATAATTTTTAATAATTAGTTTAAATAATGAATAAATTAGTCATTATATGTGAGTACTTTTATTTTTGTAGCTCTGGTTGGCAATTGGAGATACCGTGTTTGGATTCATATTTGCATTTTTGTTGTATACTTTAATTGAATCACCGTTTGACACGTTATTAAAACAATTGGTCATCATTATAAGTCCAAGTAAAATATACCTATATTAACATTGTTATATACCATGTATATGACCATGATATACTTTTATGAAAAATTGAATTATATATAATTTTCATAATTTTATATAAATAACAGAGGCTGGTAAATATATCTACAGTTCTTGTATTTCTACATTGCATCTAAACAGTTAGAATTATTTAATGGGTTTACACTATTCACAGATGGTATAAAAAATATAATATTTTTGATAAGTACCTATAATTTCCTATACAAAATATATAAATTTATACTAAAATTTAAATGCTGCACATTCTCAACTTAATAAACCTACCTAATATACATATTAAGAAAAAAAAACAATTAAAATTTCAATTCTATTCGTAAAAATAATTATTTATGTATCTATTATTTAGTTATTTGTTATGACTTTTTTACGAGAATACATTGTGATATGAAGGTATACTAAGTATAAATTTATACCTATTATTTTATAATTTTACAGAACTAAATTGCAGCAATAAAAAAACAACAGATCATGCAATTCCTGGAAAAATAACTCTTAGAACACTCCGTTCTAACAGATAAAATGTGAATGTCCTTATAAATAAGAGTATGCATTAATTAGATCCATCATATTATTATTTATTGTAATTTGTAGTTGTATCATGTGTAATCAGCGGTTGTCAAACGAGGGAGACGATGAGGTTGATATATTCTCACATATTGCTTTGTTTCAAAATATATTAAATTACTTATATGGTTTATAAATAAATAATAATATAATTGCTAAACAATTCTAAAAAAAAGCCTCATCCTCCCAACATTCTAAAATCATTTGACCACCACTGTACGTAATAATTAATAAGTGTACCTACTAAATTTAAATTAATTATAATTGTTAAGTAATAATATTTCAAGTTCCAATAAAAATGTTTTCTATGTACCTGTTATTATTTTTTGTTTTTAATGATTTCAACTTTAACAAAAAATATTAATAAAAATAAGAATTTGAGGTTATTAAAATCATAAGCTAATTATTATTTTTAAATTTTGAAATAGCAAATAATTTTTTTTAAATATATATTATGTACATTTATTATGTAAAATTAATTCATAGTTTTAGTAATACACATATTATGATTGGTTTTTTAAATTTTCATTTTATTAGTTAAATTTTATCAAAAATAACATTTGAAATCAAAATCACACATTAAAAAATATTACAAGTAAGTATTAAATTATATTATAAATTCTGTGCATAAGATATCTTAAGTTTTTATGGCTAATATTTAACAATAGTTTTGAATAAAATTAAAAATTTAATTTTGGTTTGCGAGAACTCAAAAAATTTTAAGGGTACATATTCCAGTAGTAATTTTGTGTTTACAAACAACTTTTCTTAGTTATCAAAAAACTTAGGAAAACTAAAAAAATCAAAAAAAAACCAATAAGACAAAATTTTCTTTCAAAAAAGATGTTACTCCTGAAAATCGGAGCAAGATTTCGGGTAGAAAGTTGTTTACAGACAGAAAAACAATTTGTAGACAAGAAATAAGAAACACAAAGTTTTTTAATTTATATTTGTACGAAATGATAAACCATTGATAACGAAAAACGATTCTGAATGAAATCCGGTTATAAGTACATTTTTCGTAGTTTATAGGATTTCTATCAAAATGTAAAAGAGTTAAGAAAGACAAGTAACATATTATGGCGTTCAACATATAACGAGAGACAGTTGAAGAGAATGTAGGATAAATTGCAAATACGTGATTCTGTATGAAGCATACAAAACATTAAAGGAATCATTAAGATTAAGTTTATAAGCATGAACGGGTAGAAGATGACCTATCATACGTAAGCGGTTAAAATTTAAGATGGAGAATTTAGACATAGAACAAGATTATTAAACCAAACAAAGTTCAAGATTGTTTGATCTGTATGAAACGATGAATTTCTAGAAGAAAAATTAGCAGATTAATTATTTCTATAGGCAAATTAAGGATAAGACACGTGGAAATGAATTCGTTATTTTCGTAAAATTTCCTATTGTTAAGTTTTTTTCTGGTTTTCCCAGTTGTCAGGGAAACTGCAAGGAAAATCAAGAAATCCTCTCTTATACACTAGTTAGACAAAATTTGCTTCTAGATCCAAAATCTAAGTAGTGCTCACAATTATAATGAATAAACCTTTAAATTAAAAATTACGTTACAAAACTCTAAAACTTAAAATGTCTATAAAAAGCTCAAAAATGGCTTAAATTTTTTTTCCGCGTCTATAAAAGACAAATATAAGTCCTAATTTCAAGTCTCTACGAATATTTTTAATTGAATTACAACAATTAATAAATTTGAAAAAAATAATAAAATTATTTTCGTAAATCAGAATCAAAAAACATAATTGAAAATAATGCAATCATTATTTTCATAAACTTCTCCGGTTTTGTTCAATTATTAAATAAACTACAGTAAAAAAACGACTTTTTTATTCACTAACTTGTTCCAAAATCCAACAAAAAAGATCTTTTATCATTTTTTTTTTTGAGCAAGATTTGCGGTAAAAAAAGCTGCTCACAGGCATAAAAAAGAACACATCATAGTAAAACCAATATATCCCTCCGCAAATCCGAATTCAAAAAAAATTGTAACGGTGACAAGTCGGCTGAAGGAAAATTCGATTCTATAGTGACTGAACTCTTCTGTTCTGTTTTTTTTTTATTATTATTTTAACATAAACCAACATAATGTTAGAAAAACCTTTTTTTTTAAATTAATGTTATTATAAAAGATATAAAACCGAACAATATATTAAAACACATGCATTGTCTATCGAATACATTATTTGAACTACTTTCGCATCACCTAAAGATAAAAAGTAATTTATCTACATAGATAAAGATTACATATATTATATATTCAAATAAAATAAATATTAGTTAGCAACCTAATAGTAACTATAATTTATGCGTGGCTACCTACTAGAAATAACACTAATAATTTATAATTCATAATTTCAATATATAATTTTTAATTGAACAAGAACACAGGAACACTGTACACAAATTTTAAACTAAATTAAATTTTATTCTAGATCACACGAAACACCTATACCTATATAAATGACAAATATAATGGATTATAAGGTTTGAAACATTATATGTTTAAAACATAAACGATAACCATTTACTTAACTCATTATTACATAATATCTATACATACGGCAGTTAGAAGATCATATGCAATTAGCTAGACATGATCTCAAGAAAAAACAAACTGAAAACTGGGTAAACGTCACAAATCAATCAAAACAGTCGTCTCAGTCTGAACTTTATGAAGCAGAAAAATATCAAATATTTACGTATATCAATAATTTCATTACTAAACTTTCGATTGAAAAAGAACGTTTGAACAATTCTAGTAATTTTATTTTTTATTTTATTTAAAAAAATTACGCCCTTAAGCACTTTCATAAAGATTGCATTAGAAAAATTAAACAGAAATACTGCATGGTGAAAGTAATATAAAAGGGATAAAAGGGAATGTTTATTAAGAGGGGAAGGCATGCAATGGAGAGGTAGTTATAACTATAGGAAGTAGAGTGAGTTGGAGGAAGGAACTCTGAATGTAATTATCTCAAGCAAGTCAAGTTACGCAAGTCAAGTGCGTGACCCATTAATGACTGCAGAAATAAAATTTTAATCCGCTTTAAGGTGACTGGAGCGATGTGTAAGTTAGTTTAAAACATGTATGAGAAGTAAAATCATAGTGCGTGTAAGGAATCTTGAGCCATAGGCGGCATGTGCTAAATTTTTTTTGTATGCGTTCAAGCCTGAGTTGGTCCTTAGCGAGGAATGGATGTTAGACAAATACGTCATATACGAGCAAAGAACGGACCGAAGGAGTGTAAAGACCGAAGACAGCTGGGAGAAGATAAAATGATCCTGTGCTTAATAAATTAAGATGCAATTTCAAAATAAATATCCATTACCTAATGCAAATGCCTATTGAGCCCCTTACCACGAAAAACACATAATATTATTATGTTAAAGGGGTAATTATAGGCAACTGATAGTGAAAATTAGCACAAAATAGATAACAATATTCCTGACAAATACAAAGAGTTTCCCGTTAACTATAGATTTTGCCTTTACAATTATAATACCGACCTAGTACCTATCTAAATATTATTATCGTTAATTAATAATACCTGTTTTTTTAAACTATTTTTCAGAATTATTGGAATCCACTTTAGAAGAAAATAAAAACAAACTTAGAAATAATATGAAAATGGCCAAAAGCATTATTAATCAATTAATAAATTTAATAAACATAGACAAATCTTATTTGTTATCAACAAGTGATATAATCAAAAATCAAAACAGTAAATTGTCTTAATTATTCAATTATTAACATAAATAATAAAGTATAAGATCACTTATAGTCACTATAAGGTATAGTCAGTATAATAATTCACCACACAAGTACTTAATTAAAATTGTGTGTTTTTAGTGTAATTCGGTTTAAGTAATCATAGGTCCGTGAAATTTTCATAGAACACTTAAATTAAAATTATTTTATAAAATTGTTTAGTCGAACAGAAATTCTAGAAAATTTAACTCGAGGTTCATTATATGTTGTACTTTGTAATCAAAAAAATTTACGTAACGTAGAAGTTCTTTCGGTTTTAGTTTAAATTTTTAAATTTTGATAAAAATCGTGCAAATTACAGCATTTCATAATATGTTTAACTGAACTTTGCTCTGTAGTCAGAATCGTATTTTATCAGCAATGATAATATACACATTTATTGTTATAAAGTCATATAAATTAAATAATTGCACATACCTATTTTACCTTCCTAACTTCTCATCCATAAATCTATAACTGTTGCACACCCATTAGTAGTGTCACCCTCTTCTTATGCCTTCGAATATTTCCGATAGATTGAAAATTGTATTAATATTTTTGAATTATTATCATGAGAAGTCACTAATTAAAATTAACTTAACAGAATTATCAAATGATCAAATAAAATCTAAAGTAATTTGGATGGAAAAATCAATAGAATCTGCTATTACAAGATATAATGAAATTGGACGATTTTTAAAACTCCCAATAGAAGATCTATATCCAGAAATCAAAACAAAAAAAGAACCATTGCAACTAAATTATATTTCTAAACAAAGAAGACAAACAATTGTAAGTTCAATTCCAAATGTTATTGAATACGTACGAGTGTAATATGATTTTAAACTATTTTTGGATGTTTAAGGAATGGGATCAAAAGTTTAAAGAATCACAACTTATCATAACCGACTTAAGATCACCTATGGAGATACTTATAAATAGAATTGTCGATCACGGTATCACTCCCACCTACCGGTTCTTGACGAAAATTAGTATACCTGAACAACAATTTATTTACAACTATTCGTGTTCATTGTTTGGAATGTATGGTTAGTAAAAACAAACTATCTTTAGGTAACTATGGTTTTAATAATTGTGTACGTACATTTTAAAGTTGAGGGAAGTAGTACAAGCAAGTCTAAAGCCAAAGAAAACACAGCTATTGAAATGTTAAATGCAATTCTTAAAAAACAGAAAACTCGATCCCTATCAACTCATATTCGACCTTTTAACGAAAAAGAGTAAATAATTTATAAACATTACGTACTTACACTAATAAGTAAATAAGACATTAATTCGGACCTCTGAATATAGACAGAAATTCATCGGCCAATTAATCAAGTCCAAAGCAAACTATGTAAATGTACTGGAAAGTTTATGTATCAAAAACATGTATCCACCACCAGTATACACACTTCTATCTGGGAAATACAATGATCTTAAATTAGAAAATCATTATTCAATTCAATGTGATGCAATGGATTGTGTAGCCATAGGTAATTATTATTTATACCTAAATATTAATTTAAATTAAATAATAATTTTTCTACAGGACACAGTAATAGAAAATCAACCGCCAAACAAATATCAGCACAAAACATAATAAACCTATGGGAAAAAAATATGTATTCCAACAATAAATCATCCAACCAAAGTGAACTACTAAAAAAATAAAAAAAATTGTGAAAACAAGAATAATAAAATATTGTTTACTAACTGACCCAGCAATGCTTTGCTAATGCTAGATAATAGTATAATGTATAATTATTAAGAATACTAATAACTGGGATGCAGATTTAAATGCTCTACAAAAACAAGAAAAATGCCTTCAAAAAATACAATTTAATGCACTTATTGAAAAAAGTTTAAAAAGTATCTTAAAAATTTGCGGTTCGGATTAAATGAATTAGGTATGTTTTGGCATAATATTCAATAATGTCTAAGCCACTTCGATTTTTTTTTTTTTTTAATTTCTATGCACGTAAATGTTTTTCTTTACTCACATGTTGTGTCACAGTAAACTTTTTTTCGGTTACCATTTTTATCTCAGGAATTTTATATTTTAGTATTTGATAATCGGATTAAGCTTTCTAATAGAAAAAGAGTTCATATAAAAATAAAATAAACATCATTGTAAATTCAATAGATTCCTCATTCAGAATCTACGTAGTACGTAGTAGTGTGATTTTCATAACAATTTGAAACATAATATTGTAACATCCTGTATGAGTAAGTGATAACAATTATTATTATAAACATAATTCTGTACACATAGGAGTCTAAAAACGTTTTTAATAAATACTACAGGACAGCAGAAACTTAATGGAATGACCACTTTAAACCTACATACAGACATTAAGTTAAACCAGATTCAGCGCTTAATGTTGAGGCACTCTACTCAAAGAATTAATATTAGAATGTAAATTATTATTATTATTATTTTACAGGGTGGGTCATTTACACCTTAGGGATGTTTTTTGGTAACAATTTTATGAAAAAACACAAATTATCAATTTTGAATAATTTTTCGTTTATTTTGGAAATTTGTTATAATTATTTTTTAAAAATAATTTCGCTAAATAGTCGCCTTCAGAGCAAATGGCGTAATGAACTCGTTTTTCGGCATTTCCTAGCACTTTTCGAAGTGTTTAAGGTTGAATGGGGCCATAAATAAATACAATTGTTAGTTCTACGCCCATGAAAACAATCAATTAATCCATGAACCTCTTAACAATCAACGTGTGAGTTTTTACAAAAACAATCATTATACCCTTCTTTTTCGAAGAAGATGCTGGAGCATCCATCAATGGAGACCATTATCGGGCTATGATAACGGATAATTGGAATTCCATTTCTGACTGATAACGGCATGAACGTTATCATTGGGGGTAACCCATCACCCCCTTCCCCCATCACGTAAATTTAATTCAACATTATTGCCTATAACTAATAGGTATCACAAGTACATGTTTAAGGTGGCTAAAAAATATTCTATACATGACATAAATATTACAAAATTATAGAAATAATAAATATTTATTATAATATGTTACAACTTTAAATAAGCTACAATATTATTATATTTAAAGAACAACTACATAACATTTCAACATTTAACAAAGATAATAAAATAATGGAATGGTCAAATTAAAAAAAATAATAATAATTAGATTGAATTTGTATATTAAATTGTAAAAATTATTGGAATATGGTATAATTTAAACAGAAAATTGAATAGTTTTTCTTGGTATTTATAACATATGTGAAAGAACTATAATATCTATGACAATTCTATAACAATAAACAATAATAATGTAAGATTAAATGTAAAATAAAAAAATATAATTATAAATTAAAAAACACGTAAATAATAAAGCAACTAAAATCACTAGAGTCGAATTTTCCCCTACCTAACTTGTTGACAATATTTCATTTTTTTTTCTTTCTATATTGCGGCAAGGATATTCAATAAAAGTTTTATAAAAATAGATAAAGTTCTTCTCAAATTCTCAAGGACATATAGGACATATTTGCTAAAGACACATTCTTGACAAAAATTCTATTTGTGTATACACATTTTATCAGTTTCTTACTTTCATGAGTCTAAAGGGTATACAAAATCTGGAATTTCCTGTTTAAACATGAAATATAAACATAAAAATGGTTGAAAGAAATTAAAAGTTAAAATGACCAAAAACACAACCTTGATGTTTACACTATGTACATACATTTTTCCTTTGGTTTTGTTTGGAAGGTCTATAGTGTAGGGGTATACAAATTTAAAAAAAACACTTCAATAACATAGTGAAGTCCACACACTGAAATTCAACCAAAATTTGATTACTTCAATTTGCCTATAAACAACTTTCATTTCCATGTTTGAGCTCTTTTGGTCCAGAAGGAGCTGCTGAAATTGTTCTAATATTTCAAGAAAAAGATACATATATGTATAAATATATTTATATAACAGACAGTGCAATAATCTTTAATTTTGGGGAGAATTCGACAAAAGTAAACAACTTTAAACACCCAAGGCATTAGCTTTCATGATTGCATATTCAGCTGTAATTTTATAGCTATAATTTAGTAGTAATTTTTAAAATTATATAAACTATATTATTTAAAAATTTAAAATAATAAACTGTTACTAATTTTATTTAATTAATTAATATCACATTATATTTCAATCAATACAGTACATGTTTTAACAATAAGAAATTCTAACATAACATTTATTTCACCTATTAATAAAATAAATTAACGCATTTAAATATTATTTAAATATTGTAGAGGTAGACTGGAGGAATTTATACTACATTATTATTACAACAATAACATAAACAAAAAAAAATCACATAAAAACAATGTAAATGTTATACAATAAAACAATAATTATTTTGACTAGTGTTGTCTAAATATTATTATCAAAAAGTAATTCATTACCATTTCATACAGGCTTTTTGTAAAATAATAAATAACACAAGTAATTGGTAATCATGTAATTTGAAAATTTGAATGTACGCAAATAAATATAAAGTTCTTCAAATATAAAATTTTTTTAATAGTGAACATTGTAAAATACTGTCAGATACTAGAACACACTTAGATTAAAAGAAGATTGGTTCAAGACAACACGAAATTGTCATTAGTAAAAGCTCTACTCAAGAATCAATTGCAAATGAATCATGTTTTAAGAAAAATAAATAAAGCTTTAAAATACATTTTAATTTTAATTTTTAATTCAAATAGCAGCAGTTAAAATTTTTGCATTATTCACTGTGCAATGTACACATGGTATATAACATATAAAGTAAATGTGTGCTCAGCATATTATGAAAAGTTTTAAATAAAAGTGCAGTATTGGTAAAATATAAATTGCATAAATAAATAACATAGAGATCAAGAAATATTTGACATTAGACTTTAGATCATGTACTACGGATAGATTACTATGTCTAAAAAAACCTTCCACTTACAGTCATAATTTTGGGTGACACTCACTGGCGATGTATTTTGCAGCCTGGTGCGTGAGTGTGATCCAAAATCATGAAAATAAGATGGGATTATATTGAACACCAAGGAGTTTATAGAATATAACACATATAGCTCTAACCATAGTATATAATTTAAGCATTAGACAAAACCTGAATAACAATTCTGGTATATATTAATTATAATGGTTATCAAAGTAACATTTGTAGTCAACAGTACTATACTCCGCGCCACAAGAGAAGTAACCCATTTTGCGCATGCAGACTGATAGTAGGGAGTGTTACTAGGCTCAGTTTTCCCGACTTTGTTCCCTACAATTCGCGATATAGCGTGCATACAGCGTAAAATAAGTGATATACAGAGTGATTATATTATAATTTTATTTATAATATCAATTATCACGTGCAGAACAAATCATTAAACAGTCAACGGAGTGAAAGTAATCGTGTGGTTCATAGAAGTAGTGGCACAGACGCATTTTCACACTGTATCAAGTGCACGTAATGATTAATGATACATACTATACATCGTTCTGACCGTTAACGATTGTGATCATGCAACAATGGTATGTCAGTGGGGGATGAGTGAATTTGAACGCAATTTGATCAGGATATGGATTACTTCTCTCGTGGCACAGAGTTTAGTAGCCATCAATTAGAGTTTAAAATGCACAATATAGGGACAATATTTTAGTACATATTATAATTAATTTTATAATATATGGATAAGCCAAACTATAGGACAATTTGAAAACAATTATCAATTGGGAATGGTGGTGTACCTCTCATAGAGTAGTATCCACATCTTGTCCACCTACACCATTATGAAATACCCCACCATCACCAGCAGAAAACCAGTTTCTAACTAATTCCACGTGTCTGTATATTCTATAAATGCTATTACTCAGTAACATAACATACAGATTAGAGTTTGTTAAAAAAATCTAAGGTAACCCAAAAGAATTAAAGATTTTGATATACAACTCTTTATTTAATTTTATTAGATATAAAACTTATATCTATAGAACTACCAATCACAGAACACTTTTAAATGTTTAAATATGTAAAATTTAATCGATGATTGTATGAACCAATACAATAATCAATATTTGGCAACAATAATTTAAAGAACTAATAACAAAAACACCCAATAATGAGCATTAACTATCATTCGTATTTTTATCAGCTAAAGATAAAATTTTATTCTTTTCATATTTTCTATAAGCTAAAAATGTAGTCCATACCAGTCCAGCAAAACTGACAAATATCAAACGATTATTTGCAGGAATAACACAGTAATTTATTGTTTGTAAAACTGGCCAGACCATCATTGCTATCTAAAACACAAACAAAAATTACGTTTCAATTATAATCTAAATAGATTATTAGATTAAAATTTTATTTTTACTATGTGTATAGTGAAAATTATTCTATATATTATGAAATAATTAAGCAAAGTATATATATTTATTATAATCTCATGAATTTAGATTAACATTTTTGTTATATTCACATTTCATATCATATAAACTGGATAAAAAGTGAAATTATAATTATTGATTATACATATATATTGCGGCATTTTAGTACAAACAAATTGATAAACTAGTTTCCTGAATCAAATATAATTAATTAAAATGTTTGTGTTAGAGTCTTTGAAGTACAAATAAATCTAATGCATGTAGAAAACTGAAATATTGAACATTAATGAACAAAATGGTCAACCTTAAAGGTAACACATAAATTTAGGTCTTTTGAGTATAAAAATTGATTTTTATACATCATATTCCTTTACATGTATTCTCTAATATTTTATTTATTTTGTCTGGTTTTTATCATGTTACACTTTTACATAACTTTTTTTTTTAACATTTATTTTAGAAAATATACAATCTGTAAGTGTAATTTTACAATAAGCATATGTGCAATATATATATGTTTTTTTTTTTTTATAACTTGAACTACATGATTTAAGAAACTACCCAACAATAATACTTATGACGTGATTTACATAACTATGTAAATTATTATTCTATTTTATTCTTAAGCGGAATTTAAAAGTTTTCCCTTCTATTGTTTTTAACACTAAAAAGAAATGTTTATTTCAAAGTAATTTTTTTCAAAAAAATTTGTATGTGTTTAAAAATTAAATGCTTTGTGTAAATTATTTGTCAGTATTAGAAAAATGTATTTAATGGGGTGAGAACAGTCAGAGTAGGGACTTTAAAAGTTGTCTACCACTTTAACTTATTTAAATATTTTTTAGTGTCTTTTTACGGATTTTAAGTGAATATAAATGCGTGCCCTAGTTATGATGTATATCAAATATTAAACATACTTCAGTCTTATAATAGAAGAAGTTTTTATTTTATATTTTATAATAAAAAAAAACATTCTTTGTATAACTCAGAAACTTAACTTCCAGAGAACAAGATAATATAAATATTAAACGGAACCATCTTTATGTATGAAAAAATTTCTAAACAAAGACAAAGTATGTACCTTCCACGTGGAAATAAACTTTTCTTGAACTTCTAATTTTGCATCATCTAGAGTACCTCCTTCAAGAAGTGTCATGAAATAGAAAAAACTAGCAGTTGCAAAAGGACCATAAGTAAACTGTTCAACTACTGCCTGTAAAATTAAAAATAATTATTATTTTAATACAATTAAAACCCATTAAAAATTTAAAAATGAATTATAAAATTCATAATTTATTAATGTATTTAAAAAAGCAATACAACAATGCACTTCACTCCTGTTCCTCCTACATAGTTACTGTAAATTATAGAAATGTAACCAAATATTTGAATACGTTTTGATACAAACTACAAACATATCAAAACAAAAAAATTCAAAAATATACTTAATACAATCAAGTCGCGATAACTCAAAGTTGAAGGGGGATAAAAATTCACTTCAAGACACTTAACTCAAATTTATCAAAATTAAATCAAAACTTTGAGTTATATAATGAAATACAATTTTAAAATTTTACGTTAAAAAATGTTATGATAAATATATGCACATAATAAATGTTATGCAAAAACTAAAATAGATACAATGGTGTTACAAGTATGTACATATGTATTATTTATTAGATACAGTAGAAAATTTGGTCTAGGGAGGTCATTATTCGATTTTCTCAAGTTTCTTATCAAATACAAAAAACCGAGGAACAAAAATGTAACAAAAATGGAAAACAGGAAAATGTACAAAATAGGTAATATACTTCGACTTAGCTATTTATCACGATTTTATATTCGAGTAAAAAGTTCTTATAATACATTGAATGTTATAAGAATTTCTAGGGAATAAAATTAAAAAATTGAGTAGCCAAGTTTTTCAAGTTATCATAACTCGACTCTATTATTTTAATGAACATGAATTAATTTTTGATAAGTACCAATATTACACTTATAGATCAATATAAAAAAAGTAATCCTATACTAATATAATGCAAGCAGAACTCAATTTAAGGCTTCTTTTAAATATTAAAAAAAAATACCGTATTAATTACCATATGGTTATATCATATGATGATGTAAGTAATTAATAAGTTATTATTAGAAGGCAATAAAATGAAATGTGCAAAGTGCATGCAAGTCCATAAGATTTATAACACTATTCAAATAATTGACATTTAACTTAGATACTTGAGGAATATTAAAATCTTAACACAAATAAAATAAATTCTATCTATTTGAGATGATATTAGAAGAAAAAAATAAAACAGAGTAAGGTGCAAAGATAGAGCAAATTTCTAATAATTATAACACGAACAATTTTTAAAAATTATGAACAGATCAAAAATGATTTCAGTTGTCAGATCTTTGTGTTACAGCCTGTCTACAAGCATGTAATATCAAGATTATTATAATTAATTTTCGAAATTTCTAAACACATATAACTGAACTTTGCTCCTCAAAATCATATTTCGTTATAGATTTCTAATCTTTACAGATTATGGTGCACTGAATTCAAATCTAAAATCCATTAACCTCTAACACATAATTTAAGCCAAACGTTTTTAAGTTATTCTACTTTAAATACTAAAGATATTAACTCAGATTAAATCAGATTCTCAATGTTTTTTTTTTTTATTTCTTACACATTGTGCACGTTATATCAATATGATTATAAAAGTATTTAATGTAAATCAATTACATGCAATAGTTCATTTCGTATTGACTTAATATGTGTAAAATATGTGCAAAATAAAATCTAATATTATTATACAATAAATACCTGTGCGTATTTATTTTTTATTATTATATACATATATATGTTTACATACCCAGGTTCTATAAAATTAAATATGATAAAGATAAATTTCAGGCTTAAAATCAGCATGTTAAAATCTATAAAGATCAGGTATTATAATACAAACAAAAAATAAATATATTTCGTAAGACTTTACTAATTATTATATACATCTACAAAATAATGTTTTAATAATCAACATAACATGTTTTGAAATTTTAACTAATGAAGTTATAGGTCAAATTATAAGAATTTATTTATGTGTCATTAGTTTTAAATAAAACAATACAAACTATATATTAATAAAACACTGGCAATGTAGTACTTAATATATTTGTAAGTAAAAAAGAGTATATTATTATTTAAATAATATACTAGGTAGTACCTAGATACCTATAACTAATTCTTTAATTACCTAAACTCATTATCTACCTATTATAATTATAATATTGTAGTACCTAATACACTCTTACCTTTGTAATGTGACTAGTAATTGTCATTGAAGGCCAAATGTAACCAGCAAATCGCATCCATGCATATAAAGTAGGAGCTACATACAGCCCACCATACATGCTGAATTTTGCTGCTCGTTTTAAATCAATATCTTTGTTGCCAGTCGGTGCCAATGACTGTTGTATTATGCTACTCACTGGCCATGTCACTGAATATATGGCTACTCCACGTACTAATCCATGATTGCTCACTTTAAATATTTTCGACCACATAGTTTTGAAGTAAAATAGTATTCAAAATACTGAAAACAGATAATTGATTTTTATTACCAACACATAGGTAGGTAAGTATTATCAAATGATAATTTATTACTTTCAGTAGGTTTAAAGATGAAGTAAAAGTTATTATATTATAGGAAAACGTTGACATAAGTCTACTTGCAAACATCAATAATAAAACTAGGTAGGCAGTATTGATAGTGTTGAAAAATACAAACCATTAGGTATTTCAAACGGTTGTCTAATTTTATGATGTTTGAACAAACATAACCTATTGTACAATAGGTAACAAACGACAAACTATTGTATTCATTTAATTTGAATAGCCTTCAAAATTAATGCAAGGGAAACCATTAATGATATGGTTATAAGCGTGTACACAGGGGAAGCAGGAGAGGCAGCTGTCTTCCTTGGGAGATTTTCTGCCAAAGTAAACTTCAAAAAAACATGTTATATATATATATGAATTTATTTTAAATATCAAACACTAACGTTCCTATGATTTTGTGCATAGTAGAAATTTTTTTGGAAGATATTTACCCTTCATAAAAACTCAGCCAGGCTCCTACCATCCCCCTAAAAAATCGTCAACAAGTTATTTATATTAAGTATAAATAATCAATATGAGAGCTTAAGCCCCCTCTAAAAATATTTTTACTCATGATTTTTGAGCAAGGTTTGATTTCGAAAAACGTCACCTCACCTGCGCACGCTTATGGGAATGATACTAAAATTGATTCGCGAAACGTACAATGACGAGTGGTTTGAATAAGAGCAAATAGAGCATTTTGTAAGAGCGCACATATCAATATTCTATAAAATAACTTATTATAAAAAGTAGTACTTACTAACTTCTTGATTATCACGAAAACGATAAAAATGTTGGCCGCTCACGTCATCGGCCCTTCACGCGTCACTAGTGATTGGACCAAACCAAACGGAACAAAATATTAATATCAACTCACTGCTTGGGCTCGACTGCTGGGACACCAGATACGAACAGCCCAAAACGTAACTAAACTGGCTACAGAAGTACAACTGACCCTGACCATGATTGCTGTTTTGTCATGCTATTGAACTTGTGTTTACAATAGATTAGTGTAGTGAAGTTAAATGAAAATAAAAGTAGTGAACTATTATAATATAGAATAAATTAGCACTCTAACTAGGAAGTCGGTCGTTATCGTTATTCATTATCAGTATTATTTGTAGAAACTAACTCGTGATTTTGCTTAACAAAATTAATTGCGATTTTCTGAATTTACGATAAAAAAACATAGTCTGTAATGTTCGATAAATTACTGATCATTGAGCAAGGTCGTGATCATAAACAAGTATACTATACTATGCAATCTATACTAATCGTCTCAAATTCTCAGGCCAATTCACACGTCCTCGAGTCATGTTAACGTCGTTGACGACAGTTTTGTTTGATAATATAAATGCGGCGATATCCAGTATTTTAAAAATGTATGTACCGCTGGCAATATTTGATAAGAAAATCCAGTGGTCCTCAAACTGCGTAAACATTCCTGTATAGATGTTATACAGGCAATAAAAAGATACAAATGTACGAAGTGAAGTCAACTATAAGGTGCTAAAAAGAAAATAGTAGATAATAACGACCGGTGGTCATCATCATTTGCGCATCAACGGCAGTGTATCATTTGGGCACCATCCGTTTATAATAGGTAGATAAAAAAAATAAATTATACAAACATATTAAAAAGTAAAAATTTGCATACTATAACAATTTTTCTTTGGACACTTAATATAATTTCTTTATTTGCTAACGTTTTTCTTTTCATACATATATAATTTTTAAGAACGATAGCAGCTTTCCCACGGTTTGAATTTACAAATTTTAATATTTTTTACATTTAACACAAACCTCACCATTTTAAAGTTTAACACCGACTGCTAATAGTCATATCACCTGGATATATCTAGGGTATATTATTTTTAAAACAGAAATATATTAAACCTTTTATACGTCTTATAAAACCTATATTTGAAAATAAATTCCAGTATTAAATACATTTAAATATTATTAATACTGAATATTAAGCTGAAAGTTAGGAAACTGTTTGTGGTTTTAGATAATCCTAATCACTTTCAGCCCTCTATTGTTAAACATTTTTGATGCGCAAATGATGTATGATCCAACCAATTAACGGTACGAAAAAGGTCGAAAAGAACAGTAGGAATTATGATGAAAATGATTTACGCTCGTAACGACATGCGCTACAATAAACCACCTGGGACTTTGACGGCCAATGACAAATAAAAGGAAACCCCGTTGACAAAATTGTATGCTTTATAAAATGAAGTATTGGTAGACCCAATTCATTATTAATAAACAATAAATAACTAAAAGTAAGAAACGTGAGCTACTACCAGCAATATTGTTTTAGATTCTGAGTGGAGCAAAGAAGCTTATTGTTTTACAAAGATGTTTATTTTTTTTTCTCTATGGAACTTTTCTACTAGAAATCTTGCTCCAATTGTTAACTGTAGCACCTTTTCTAAAAGGAAATCGGACTGGAGAAATACTTTAAAGTGATCATTTTTCGAGTTTTTTCAACAAATTTGCATAACTAGCTAAAAACGGGAAAATAGGTAAAATATTAAACAAATATCATTAAAGAAAATATATTATAATGCCTATGTAATTATTTTACCATAATATGGCATATATATTGTTGACAAAGCAACACTATCAACTGAACCCCGCTCAGAACCATTTTTTCGCTTAGAGATATACATTCAATTTCCCCTCTACTATAATATCTATGTATAATTTATCTGTATAATATCTATAACTATTATGTTAATTTTAAATTACTAAAATTAAAATGAAAGTAATCTTACCATGAACCACAATATTATACTCTAGCACAGAGGTTCCCTAACTTTTTATAGTACGACTCATTTTGGAAATAATTTAAATTTTGGCAACCCAACAATAATATCAATGACCCTTTCTTTTGTTTATTTTTCATTTCTGGATGATTCATAAAGTTTGTTCAGTGACATACTCTCATATGCAAGTATAAATCTAATTAGCTGGTAGAAAAATTGTTCACAGAAAAAAAAATGGTTGTAATATGTTTTATCTAATACCTACATTTCGTAAATTTTCCCTTTTTCCCGATTTATTGGAACTCAGGAAAATCAAAAAATGACCCAATTACACCCGTCAGATTTCCTTTCAGAAAAAGTAGTATCATTGTAAATTGTAACATAATAGCTGGTAGAAAAGTTGTTCACAGGTAAAAGAATATCGTGGTATTTTTTTTTTACTAATGCAGTAATACCTACATTTTGTATATTTTCCCGTTTTTCGTCATTTGTTTCCTGTTTTTACTATATATTAAGAATTCTCTTGGGAAAATCAATAAAAGACCTTTCTAAAGTACCTCTTCAGTCCGATTTCCTTTCAAAAAAAGTACTTGTAAACGGGAGAAAGATTTCTGGTAAAAAAGTTGTTCACGAATAGAAAAAAAAATAAAGATCATAGTAAAACCAATATATTCCTCACTCCACTTAGAATCTAAAAAATGTATTATTTAAAAATATAACGCAACTCACCAAAAGTATAATTGCGATCCATACTTTGGGAACTAAAGTCTAGCATGTATGTAAAATAGCCAACTGTTATAAGTTATAATAGTATAATTAGAATAATAATATAATGTAATTCATAACTAGTTGAACTGATGTAAGAGAAAAGTTCAACAGATTCATTAAGTTAATAAAATGACAATAATACGTTTGATTTTGGTAAACCTGATTTCAATTTAATTATTTTCTTCTTATCAGTTGTCGGACAACACAACCTCACCGGCTCACTCCCATAGAATATAGATGATTGAAATTTTTCTTATTTTATTATAACTCCATTTATTAATTATATCCCCTTAAAGTAATATTATGCCACTAATGCCATAATGCCTATTAAAAACATATTGGTTTATGTTAAATATATTATCTTTTACAATTCAATTGTTGGCAAAGTTTGCATAAGTTTTTGATAATATTTGTAAGTATTAAATTATTATATTTTCTTTATAATTTTAATTAAGTAGTTCTAATTTAATGATATGCAAAATTTTATTAATACTTATTATTTATTCATACTCATAACTCATAAAACTATTACAGTAAAATTTTAGATAAATTAGTAATTTCACCTATTTCATGATTATAGAAACTTAATGTATCTTAAATTCTTGTTAAAAACACGCATATCATCAGCTATCCAGCAAAATATTGTTATTCAACATTTTGACCTTTTTATTTCCTTAAATTTTTAAAATGTGTTAACTGTTCAAACATTTTTGAATTCATTACCTTAAAATATTAAAAAAAAATAAAATGTTCCAATGTTATAACAGTAACTTATAATTATATTATATTATACCGACATGATTTAAACAATTTCTAAAAGCTGAAATTTTAGTTACTTACCTATTTAAAATTATTTTATTTTATTTTCACAGAAAATTTTATAATATAATCAACCAGTTGCAGTTATGGATATAAGTCAAGAATTTCTTGGTGGTTTCATTTCTAAACCAATAAATATTAGACGTTTTAAAACTGAAAATTCTTATACTATTGAATCAGTTAAATTGTCTAAAGTCAATGAACGTACTATAATGGCCAAGCTGAATTCAATTAATCCAAATATTGATTTATCAAATCTTCAAAATGAATTAAAACATTGTGATGTAAAATTACAGAAATTTAATTTTCAAGCTTGTTTTGATTCATGCGATACTTTAACTGCTCGTTGTCTTCTTCCTATCTATGGTAGAGTTACTAGTGATATTCGAACACCAAAAGGATCAAAATGTGATTGTTACCAAACTAAAAGATTTAGGTTGTATTCTAAACAACCTCCATTCACTCCAAGAGGCAATATTATACCTGGCCAAACTATATTAATTACGGTTTCGTTATATCATCCATTTCATTGGGCTAAGAATCAAATTCCAGATGAAACAATAACTCCTCATTTTAATGAAAGCATTCAACTGTATGACACTCAAACTCTTAAAGATTTAAAACAGGCATTCAAGTGTGATAATGTTGATTCTGAAATTAGTGGTGATATGAGTGTAAACCCTAATAAACCATTAGGTAATTTAGAACTTGTTTAAATGTTACTTATTTATTTTATTTTTTTAATTATATATTATTGCTAATAGAAAATGACAACCTGTATTCTACAGTTTATACTCTATACAGAAAAATAGTACAATATTTAAATTTTATTAAAAACTGAATAATGTTTATAATACAGAATATTTTTTCATTTTAACCATTAACTTAATTATTGGTAAAATTTAGTGATCAAGTAAAAAGACCGGACCGAAAATATTGTTTGTTTGAATGTTACCGATTTCTCTCAGAAAAAAGAAACAAAATATATTACTGGTTCTAATTTATTATTTATTCAATATTTGAACATTTATTTTATGTGACAACATCTTTAACTTATAGTCAAATTATGCAAACTTACATTTTATTCAACTATTTTAACATACGATCCATTTAGCATGTCAGGATTTTCCTACGCATTATATATAAATGTAACAAAATTTATTTAATCAAACTACTTTATATTGAGTATTTGTGTGCATAATTAGTATGGAGACTACAGATAGTTCTTCAAGTTTCATTCATTAGTTAATGTAAAAGAAAAATCATATAGGTAGTTGTTTGCATGCCTTTAAACATACTATTTTTTAATAATTTTTGTAAACTTTGTTAGAGAAAAAATGATTATTTTGTGGAAAATGCTATTTAAAAATGAGCAACTGATATATTACTATATATTTGGTGACTTTAAAAATCTATATTCTATTCATAATAAGAATACACCAGTTGGTTGACGAAAACACGTCTTGTATTGCATACAGTTGTTGATTATCGGTTCGGTGATGAGGGTTCCACCAGTCTAATAATGCAAGCAAACTGGAGAAAGAACTGGTGTACTATTATTCTAAATAGAATATACATCTGTTTCATTAATTTAATTATATGTTTTTTTTTTTTTTTTGCTTTAGAATTTTTAGCAAACTCTGATATGAAACAAGGTTTATTCTATATAAACAAAAACATTTATGTAGACAGTTTAAATGATGGATCAATGTCATTAAGTTATGCAGAAACAATGAAAAAATGGGCTCAATCTCATGGGCGTTCTATTGACAACATATTATCATTGGATACACAACTTTTGGACTTAGAGGTGTGCATTGGTGAACCTTACATATTTCTACATTTGGGACGCTGTGAACATTTATTTATATTCAATGAAATCAATATCGCTCAATCTAGTGATTGTTTAGGCAAGACAAATTATCCAAGAATAATCAGTACTGCAAAAGGAAAGTTAAAGTTTTGTATATTTTGTAATAAGTATATAGCTAGTATTGTCATGTTGAACAATGATGATAGGACATGTGTGACAGTAAATCATATGTGTGAAACATGTTTTTCATCATATAATTATGATATTCTGGGTGATAAAGTGGCAGACTTTAAAGCTTTTAGAGCACTTAAATGGAAAAGGTAATTTTCTACTAGTATATTTCTGTATAATACTATAAATAGTAAGACTTTTATTTTGTACTATGCCATTTTAATTTTAGTTGTAAATAAATAAGTCCCTAATATACCGCTATTAAAAATATTGGTTTAAATTTGTTAACCTACATTATTTACTTATCGTATATGATTATTATTAGAACCCAGATTTTTATTAGACAAATAGACATAGCTAAATAAGCCACAAGTTTAAATTATAGTTAATAGAACTGAAATAAAAAATTTTATTTTGCATATTTTTACATATTTAACTATTTTTTGACATATACTGAATACTTCTGTATTATATGATTTTTCATTGCATATACATGTTTTTTTAAATGCATTATATGTAACATTTTGGTTATATTTTTATTAGTTTAAAAATAACAATGAATAGTAAAAATAAAATACATTTTTTGTTTTTGTTGTATCCATATTTTTTATTTAAAAAGAATAAAATATATTCTATGTATTGCTTTTTAGATTGAAAAATGTCAAAAATATAACAAATTAATTATTTGTACCTCCTTTAAAAATAGAGTTAGGAATAATGAAAATTAAAAAAACAATTATAATTTTGAAAATCGATTTTTTCGTGCATATGTTTTATTTTTAAGGATATATTTCTATAAAATAAGAGCATAAATGCATAATTTATAGTACATATTTCTAAGGTTTTTAGAACACATACATCCGGATTTATATGCCCAGGCTCTAATAATTATAAATCATAACCAAACCACAATAGTACGTACCTTTCATTTACATAAAGATATATATGTAGTTTAATAAATAAATATTTTATGTAATTAATAGATCAACTACTACTACTACTTCAACAAATGTTTTTTTCAGTATTTAAACAAGTAATAATTTTAACTGTGCCACCTTTTACAATTTTCACTTGTGGAAAGTTTCTTTAAATTATTTTATTTTTGCCATCATAAAAAATGTAAATCAGCTAAATACTAAATGGTGTAACTATAAATGATAAAATATGTGTATGAAATTAATTAATATATCTATGGCGATAATAGGTGAACTGTATATCTATAGTTTGAAAATTATAAGGATAAAAAAATAATTGTCTGAAATTGTTATATCTATATTTAATTTGTCAAGTGTTTTGTCTGAGACTGATGAGAATGGAAGAAATTAATTGAAAATAAACACCATTTGTCATACAAACCACCAATCAAGTAAGATTTTATTTTTATGAGGTACTCATAAAAATCTGGAATTTATAAATCTTGAAAAATAACAAGATCAGTTGCACCAACTTAAATTATTATTTAGTGATTTAAAGTTTAAAATAATAAACTTATGTACTTCCTACAATTTTGTTGAATTCTGGATTTTGGATATTAGAAAAAACTATATATTTTGAGTTGTGGCAATCTTGTTTTAGAGGTACAATTACACCTAATACTGTGGGTCAACACTTTTCAACTGTTGCTTAATGATTTAGAAGAATCAGGTTCATTGCAATGATTTGTTAAAACATTTTCATTTCTTAATAACTCTGGTGCATTCGTGTAGGTATAACGAATATGTATTTATGGTATACAGGTGTTCAATGATAGAGGTAACATTAAATGTCTCAGCTCGATGACCTTGAATTTAAATTCAACTCTTGGAGTATCATGCGCAATAAAAATTACTTTTTTTCAATTCGGAATACTTATTTTAGCACCATATTCGAATAGTGTTTAGTATTTATTTATTTCAACATTGACTAATAGGGAACTTTTTTTTCTATCTCAATAATTGCCTGATACAGTCGTATAAAATTTAACATTTCATTTAATGATGTAACAATTTAATTATTAACAAATATGATATTAATAGCAAATAATTTTTACTCTATATTTACTCTTTTCGACTATTATTGAACTGAAATGAAAAACAAGTTAACTAGATGTCCCAAGTAACGGACATCTATGTTATTTAAATTTTTAATCAAGCACCTTTTCTGAAAGCTCAAGTAGTCTAGATTATTCTTTAAACAGGTCTTTTTTGATTTTCGACGGCATTTTTTAAATAAAATCACTTAAGTGGAAAAACATAAAACTTCACGATTTCATTATTTAATAAAAACACTAACTAAAAAAAGAAAAATAACTAGGCACTAGTTACTTGTTCCCAAGTTCTATTGTTTAAATTCATTTAAAATACGGTTTGACGTAAATACTTTTCGACAGTTTTATTTTTCTGATTTAATATCATTCTAACAGAATATTTTCGTGCTTCATACGCGTCTCCAATACTATCATATCCGTCCGTGATTCATGGCTATTATGAATATTATGATAACGATTTAAAAAAAAAACAAATTGATAACAAAACCGTGATGATAACTTTTATAATTCCTCTAATTTATGTTTCACTAATAACAAATAAATTAATACATTTAATTATTTCCAGTTTGAATGGGTTATTTAAAAGGATGGAAGTATGTTGCTTTCATATCAGCTTTCGTTGGCAGCATAGGACTAGCAACTTACCCAATTATTATTCATCCAATGATACATGTTGAAGATTATAGTAAGTTTGTTTTTGCCAAATGTTATATTTCTATAAATCATATTATTTTCACTGGAAAACACACAAGGGTATGGGGGTTTTAACATTTAATGAAATATAAATTACCCTTTACTTAATGTTTAAATTTTTAATAATAAATTGATTTGAAACAAAGATGAATCTGATAAATATTTTTTTGAGAAACCCCTCTAAAAATTGTACCTCCTTTTGCTTTGGATTATATATATTATTAATTATACTTAAATACTCAACAATAACAAAATAAATAATTTAATTTGCATACTGTACCTACGTACTATTGTGATAGCACTTAACGATTTTCATTTTTTTACAATTATAATAAAGTTTATAATTTACCTTAAAAAATATTTCTATTGTACAGTCTTTATAGTACACAAGCTATAGTTACAGATGCTGCATGAAATCAACCATCCCATTTTTGAATTTTTTTTATATCTGAACCTGCTCCTTAACTTCATGTATACTTAATTTCCATCACTACTACATTTCCAAACTCACAATCAAAACTAATTTTTGTTTACCTATAATTTTGTAATACATCATTTTTTTTAAATATTAATGAAGGTAATAAAATGATACTAGACAATATTATAATCATGGCTAAATATATAGGTATGATCAGAACTGTATTCCATAGCTTTTCAAGGAGAGAAAACTGAGCTGGCAGTTATATTTATTACTAGTTAGATTAAAATAAGATGAGAATCACTGCCAGTGGCAGCCATTGCACCTGCGTATCATAAAGTTGTGATTGTACTTATATATTTAGCCATGATTATAATATTAGTGTTTTTTTAATAACTAAACAACATTAAATTACTTTTTATTATAATACCACTTACCTAGTTTTTGACAAGACTAGTTATTTTTTGATCAAAAAATGCAAATAATAATATAAATAATTCTATATTGAAGTCATATGGCTTATGGTAGCTCATAATTTACTAAATAATTAAATTTAGTAACTACTGCCTAAAAAAGATTCAGTATCATGTGCTATAACTATATTATACATTGCCCTTTTTACGCGGAGATCACAAAATCAACATACTAGACCAATATGTATAATATACATTGTATACCTTCAAATTAGTAAACTCGCGTCAAACAGTCCCTATAAACCTTATAGACTAGCCATTTTTGGAGCGAATGAATATGCTAATGAGACAGAGCGTGTACAAGATTTGCGGCCTTTCCATAGATATGCCACTTCTCATGTTCCATACCAGTTAAAAATATCAAGGAATAGGTATGTTTACAACAATATGGGAAGCACCCATCTATCACATCACCATTTGCAAAAGATTATCGTTAGTTTGCGTGACTTACTTCCACACCATTCACAACGTAAAGACAGGAAACCCTCCTCAATGGTGTAGTCAATCAGAATGTAAGGACAATCAGAATAGAGTTCAGGCTAATTGAGTTTAAAAAATGGACCAAATTTAGACAACAATGAATTGTAACCAAATGGTATAAATTAAATCATTAATGGGACCACCACTCAGAATAGTAAGGTGGATATTATTGCCTTAGATTGTAGAAAGAGCCACAATCTTATTTTGGATTTCACTATTCGATAGGAAACTAATGATAATACATAAGATATAACAGTCAACAAAAGGAAAAAAGCAATCTACATTCCGTGTATACCATACCTAATATAATACTATGGCATAACCCAGTGAAAAGTTACGAATTTGTAATTCTGTTCTTTCTATATGCTGGTAAATTTTAATATCTGATCAGGGATGTTTACAGAATGTAATTTTGAGGAGTAGGATTCATAAGTAAAATAATAAAATATTTTAAATAAAAAACTAATATAATATTATGTAGTTGAAGTAACTTTTATCAAATCTGATGTACAATTTGTACATTTACGCACTATTTTAATATTTTAGAAAAGTCACAACAAATGAACCGCTCACAATTAGATCCATCTAAAATAAATCCAAATGCTGCCGGAAGTAAGTAACTTTTATAGAATAATATTTGTTAATTAATATTAAATAAGTTTTTTTAAAAGTATAAGTTTATAAGTTTATAAGTCTTTTTAAATAAGTTTCAAATATTTTGTTATAGACATGAATACGTGGACTGATCCATTTGTTAGAACAAAAGAAGAATAATATTATGGTTTATTCTAATTTGAATAGAATATTTTTTAAACTAACATTAATATATTTTTATATTGTTATATTAATTTATAGTGTCTTAAATATTAACTAAAATGTAATAAAGTAATATGCATAATTTAAACATTATTTGCTCTATTACTTAATCAATTAATCATTGTAATTTTTTGTAGAATACTGTATTTAATGTAAATTAATCTTGTTGTATTATTAGTATTCAGTATTTTAGTTTTATAGTTGAGAGGTAACTAATACATTTGTATGCAAATAATTAAAATTAATCGATTTCTTTTTCTATAAACAAAAAAACATACATGTAGACGCTTAGGAATTTAGAAAGGAACTTGGATCAAAAACTTTTAAAATTAAATTAAATATTTTAAGATTATGTAGTATTTAAAGTCTTACTTTTTTTTTCTACGCCAATATATAAATGTCATTCTGTCATACAAAAAGACATCAGTTGATTAAAAAATGTATTTATTTTTTAAATTTAAATTCAATTTTTATTTTAATAATAGTTTTTAAACTATTTATAATATTACCCGACATTTTTTCGTACATATATTATATAGGATATAGAAATAAAATAAGACATTTAAACATGTTTAAAGTCAATTAACCGTGGCTTTCATTTATCTGTGTGACCCATCCTTACCATTACCCCGGATAATCAAGGTTCCTCTGTATTAAAGTCAGATGTTTACTCTTCCTCTACTCATCTGACTTTTTCCCTTCTACTTTATACCTTATTGAAAAAATCTTTTAATCAGTCTATGCTTAAGTATTTTAACAGTTTTCATGCTTCGACTGATGTACTATCTGAACTTATTACTTTCTTAGTTTTCATTACTCTCGCAGCTTACCACACTTTCTACTTTCTAATTAAGTATACCAGAACTACAAAATACTCTCTAATATCACTCCTAGATACTGAACATTCAGTAATTTTTCAAAATACTTGTTTCATCTCCCTTTTATATCCTTAGCATTTATTAATGCTAGTACTATTTTATATTCACTTTCTATACACTATACTTTATGGAAATTCATGGATAGTTTTTTTCTAACTGACCAATTGAAAAACTTCTTTTTTTTCTTCTTTTTCTTTCTACAACTTCACTTTGCTTACCATCATTTTAGCTTCCTTGCATAGTCTTTTGCACTCTGTCCAATAATTTCTATTCCTGGATTACTTCCAATCCTTAATTGTTTTTTTTTACTAGCTATAACTATGAATTTCCTTGTTTTCTTAATACTTTTTTTTTTGCATTGTTGATGTAACTCACCGATTTTTTACATATAAAATATCTGTAGTGTAACTACATTTTTAATTCAATTTTTTTCGTTAACATTGGTATAACTAAAATATCTTAAATCGTGCTAAAAAGCGAACTCATTAGATTATAAGAAATACATTGCAGCTGTTGTACCATAGATATATTTTGTTTATTAATATAAAAAAATAAATTCATCATTAAAATAGATATTTTATATCGATTAAAAAGTTTATTGAATATTCACTGTACAAATTTATAAAAATAAAATTATTTTTCAGTTATCACTCTAGATGGGTTGATATCACTAATCAGTAATGAGCACCATATCACAGATTACATTTGGTTAATTTAATTTATTCTGTGACCATATATTATACCATGTTACAACCAGATTGTGACCCAATAACAGTAATGCCAACGTTATTGGTTACTTTGTAATTATTTCTAGATTCACCTAATTTAACAAATTAATACTAAAATTAAAAAATATTTTTTCTTACAAAATTAATTATTTTAGTTCTACTATAACTGAACTAGAGGGTAAGTAAAAATTCTTACTTTTGGATTTTTTTTTTCAGGGGAGGAAAAACTGGGAAAATGTATAACTAGAGTTTAGAGATTTTTCAACAAATTGAGTTATGAGGTCAGAACGGTTGAACTCTGGACTCGCCTTTAAATCGTGGTGCAGACCGGTATAGCTACGATTATTATCATTTTCTGAAAACTGTAAACTACCCACAGATATATGTTTATGTATATATGTGCATATGTATTATATATCTGTGATACTACCCTAATATTATAAACTGTGGACTACACGATCAACACACTGTCGTATGAAATTTGAGTTATTTACTGCAGCACTGGTGATAGTAGGCAAAATATGTAATGTGTATCATGGTGTCATTACTGTTTGTAATGTACTAACGTTAAACATAGTTAGGTTTGGTTACTTTATGCGTTACACCCAAATATTACCATTTTTTCGTGCAATATAATTTTGTGAATTTGAATCTTTATTTTTTAAATAAACGTTACTATAATAGTTTTTATTTATTGATTTTGAATAACTTTAAAATTGTATTTTACTAGAATTTTTATATTTTAATTAGTTTTTGTTTAAACTTATCGATTTCAAGCATAATGAAAATAAGTGTATTCACTTTAAATATATGGTACATACCTACTTACTTAAATTTATTTATTAATTTAAAATTAATATTTATTATTGTGAATATTTTTATTTTAGGGGTTTGAAATTTTTTGGTACAAATCGTACTGAACGAGTAAAAGCATTGGCCAAATGTTTGATAAACAATGGATACGATATTGTTTGCTTGCAAGAATTATGGTGTCAAGAAGATTTTAATTATCTGAGGCAGTCTTGTGAACAAATATTTAAATATATACATTATTTCTATAGGTAGGTAGCTATTTTAATGTTTCCACACAAAAGTTATTTTAATAATGTACCTATTGTATTGGCAATGCAAATCACATTATCTACACTACATCTATAAGTAATACAATTTACTAAATATTTTATTAACATAATATATTATTTATAAATAGTATTGTAGCAAAACCAATTGTTATAAATATTAAAAGAAAAAAATGTATATACTTAATATAATCAGATGTGTAAAAAAAAATGTTAAAATAATAATTATAGTTAGTTACATACTAACTATAATTATAATTTCTCGGCCGGTTTCAAAACTATTTTTATATTATGATTGTGATATACCTGTAATTCGTATAATACACTTATCATAATACTCCAGGCAACACATTAATTATTTATTTCTATATATATATTTTTTATTTATATAAATTTACGAGTATTACCCCCAATTGAATAATTTTGTTTTTGATTTATTATTTATAATTTCTTCTTAAATAAATAATTAAAAATAATATGAACTTAATAATGTAAATAAAGTGATGTGTTATATTATGTGTTGTCTGACAATAGTGTAGGTATTAAAATAAAACCATTGATTATAAATATTATAGCTAGCCTAAAACTATAATGTAGTTTTAAACAAAGTTAATTTTACTAAATACCATAAATACTGATAATACCTAATTAAAGCAATAGTGGATCTAATATAAGCATACGTTCAGAAGGGGGGGTTGTACTAATCCATCATTTTAAATTGAAATATTTATATTTTGGCTGTAATTTAATAGAATGTTTTAAAAAAAATATTTATTGTTTACAAAATTAATAAACTCTTTAAATTTAATTTAAATTGGTAAATATTATCTATGTATAACAATATTGTATTAAAATATATTGCATGTATAACTTATTCATAACTAACACTAATTAATTTTATTATATTTTAAGTGGCATGTTGGGTTCAGGAATGTGCATTATGTCTCGTTATCCAATAATTGATATCCATTATCACCCATTTCGTTTAAATGGTTATTTACATATGCTATATCACGGAGACTGGTTTGGTGGGAAAGGCATTGGTCTGTGTCGTATCAATGTAGATGGTTTCATTGTTGATGTATACACAACACATGTAATTTTTTTTATTTATGGATCTGTTAATCTTCAGTAAGCCGTACAGGTAGAAAATTACCCATAATTGATATTATATCAGTTATTTGTAAATTATTAAATGTAATTAATGGTTACTAAATACAAACAAACAAAATACATAGGTAATAGTTAGTAAAAACTATAATATTAAAACATTTCAAAAAAATTGGTGTGATTTTTTTTTTTTTGTACGGACTACTAAGGGTTATATAAAATTATATCCATTAATGTTTATGATTATTAAATATACCATTAAATTATAACTATGGAACCTAATGTTCAACAATTTGTTCACTTCAATAGTCATATTAAGTAGGGTCTATTTAAATGTGTATTTGATTTTTAATATGTATGCAATTTTCAGTTACACGCTTGTTATGATACTTCGGAAGATAAATATGTAAAGCATCGAATTGTTCAAGCTTTTGAATCAGCAAATTTCATACGTATTACATCAACTGGTTCTGATTTAGCTGTCCTAGCTGGTGATTTTAATTCTGAACCTGATGATATTTGTTACAAATTAATATCTCTGGGTGCAAACATGAAGGATTGTTACTCATCTGTAATATTGCTTATAATAACATTATATTTTATTTGGCAAGATTTTTGTTCTCTATTTTTATATTTTTAATTTGTATGTTTTCAGTGTTTAACAAATGACATAGAATACACTTATAATCATCCAAATAATTCTTACAGAAATCTAAAGGAAAATAAAACTCGTTTGGATTACATAATGTACAAGTTTAATAAAAATAATTTAGTAAGTCAAATTATAAATATAATGTTTGTTATTAGTTATAAGTACTTATAGCCTATTTATAAATAATGTCTATACTACATAAAATACAGTTTGCCATACAAAATATCTTGATGAAGTCTGATATACCAAATTTATCATTATATGTAATTTTTTTTTCGTGAAAATGTATTTATACAATTTGAGTACATAAGCATTAATTATTAACATGTTAAATATTTAGGTAATTGTAAAAGAACATAAACATTCATTACCATTCCTTGTTCCTGGAGAAACATATAGTTATTCAGATCATGAACCAATTGAAGCAGTTTTTGAGATATCAGCCGATAAATTTTATTCTGACAGAAAAATTGATGCAAATAATGGTAATAATTTATTACATGTTTTAAATATGTATATACATAATTAATGTATAATTATTATACATATTATTAATGTTTAATTTTTTTCAGATTCACAGTATAAGACTGATCTACAAACTATTTTAAATGTTTCTCTTGACATATGCAATAAAAAGAGAGAAAATTTAATTCCATTACGACTTGTATTTTTATTTTTTTTAATGATAATTATCTGTTATCAAATATCTATGTATTTAGGTATTAATGAGTATTATATGTGTGCGATTGTTTTGATAATTTTTATAATAATAATAGTTTATAATTCAATTACTATATCCACAGAAGAAAATTGTGTTCGTGGCTTTTATCATGAAATAGAAACATTATTTTTTGATGATAAAAGTATTCTTATTTCTCCATAATAATTGTGTATTACTATTTTCGTTAATATTGTGCCATTATTGTTATTCTATAAAAATATTTTAGTATTATCTAGTGTTAATATTATGTATAAGACTTAAAGTATTAATATCAGAAAAATACTTTTTTAAACAATGATTAAACTTAGCACTTAGGTGAAGAGGTTACTATGAAGAATTGAAGTTATTATGGACAGAGAGGAGTAGAGGAACATTTCATAAATGAACCAACCTATGGATTGAAAAAAAAAAAATTATGTATTAAATACTAAATAGTATTAAATCACTTATTTGTCAAAATATTTTATTCGCATTATTATTTTAGTTTTTCATTAATAAATAAAATTTTATTTGTTCTTAAATTATAGTCATTATTCAAAAAGTGTTTATTTTAAAATTATTTGTCAATATATAATAGTGTGTATTTAGTTTTTCGTTTGTTTTAAGTATGTTTGTAAGTAGGTATATAAATGTTTATAGAAACAGCTGATAAATAAAGCTCAAAGTTAAACTTTTAACTTAACTATTATTTATTCTTAGATTTAAATGGTTTCTACTTCATTCCATTGTTAATTTAATAAACTATTTTACAAAAGTAGATATATTTTTATATACTTAAAATATATTTTTTTTTATTAATTTATATAATTTTTAGTATTATGATAGATTTAATTGGTCTTTTAAATGTATAGTAAATACTAATTTTATGAAGGGGTTGGGTTCCTGAAAAACAATGTTAACCAGAAGTTAATTACTCTCCTACTCAAACTTACAAGTAGAATATCTCGTCTATGGATCGACAGAAATCAAAAATTTCAACACTAAAATTTATTTTAAATAATACTACAATAACAAATATACTCTATTTATGGAATTTTTAATATAGGTTGTCATTTGAGATTTAAAATTAGGTAGTTGTTTCAAAAAAGTAAATACTATCGGAGATATTGAGTGTACCTACTTAAATGAATCACTCTGTACAATTCGACAGTGACCGTGATGGATAACAGAGAGTAACAGTTAAATAATTTTTCGTTTATTTTGGAAATTTTGTTCTGCTTACTTTTTAAAAATAATATCGCTTAATTGGTTGCATTCTGAGAGAATGGCATAATGTACTCATTTGTTGGCATTTCCCATCATTGCGAAGTGTTTAAGATTGAAGGGAGCCGTAAATAAACAAAATTGTTGGTTTTACGCCCATAAAAACTCTCAATTAATCCACGAACAACTTAAAAACTAACGCTCAACAATCAATGACTTTAGGGCTAGAATTTTTGCGAAAACAATCATTGGACCGTTCTTTTTCAAAGGAGACGCTGGAGTAGCCGTATCCATCAATGAACAACATTATCGGGCCATGATAATGGATATTTTGATTCCATTTTCGACTGGTAACAGCATGAACGGCTATTGATTTCAACAAGACGGCTTCACAACTTATACAGCTCGAGCCATGATCGCTTTATTAAATCCTTTGTTCCTCGAACGCTTAATTTCAAAAATATGGTGATTTCAACTGGTCTCTGCGATTGCCCGACTTTTTGCCTCCAGACTTTTTCCTGTGGGGTTATTTGAAGTTTAGATTTTACTCAACCTGAACCTAACCATGGACCTTAGAAGCGTTAAAAGATAATATATTACAGGAAATGGCCGCTATTCACCCGGAAATACTTCGAAAAGTGATGGGAAATGTCAAAAACTAGCACATTACACCATTCACTCTGAAGACGACCATTTACGCGATATTATTTTTAAAAAGTAATCAGAACAAATTGCCATGTCTAAAATAAACGAAAAATGATTAAAAATTAATTATTTGTCTGGTTTTTTTTTAAAATTATTACCAAAAAACATCCCGAAGGTTTAAATGGTTGAAAGATTTAAACCCACCATGTACTTATGAATAAAGTATTTATTTTAAATACATAATTAATATGAATCTTAATTGTTTTCTAATATACGTTGTCTATAAATGAAAGTTAAACAATTTAAAGATTTTACTTATAAACCTAATTAAATTATTTGCTATTATGCTATTGATAGCATAGGTGGATCTAGGGGGGGCTGACTAATCCTTCCAAGTTTTCTATAAGTCCCCCCAAATGTATACTAGTAAAAGTCTAAAAGCCATCAAGACGTTTAGGTAAAAATCCGAGTTAAAAGAATGATTATTCAACGAGATAATGAGAGTTGATAAATAGCCGTGTAACGTCATAGAGCTGACGAGTGAACAGCCGCCTGTTTTACGTGTAAAAGTAGCTTGATTATAAATTTTAATTGACACAATTATATACATACGAAACGATAGTATTTCAGAATAGTTAATGTTTTTGCCTGCACGTAGCTATTAATTAAGGAGTAACATTTAGGCAATTTCTATTCACGTCGACGGTGGCCGGGATCTTTGTTTTATTCGCGAACGATTATTAGTGTGAGTAAGCTTCTATGCGTGTACCGCCACGGCGACTCCACCACCTTCCCCGACGAAGTAAAACAGGTTTACTGTTTATTTTTGCACATAATCGATTAAATTCACTGCCACCTTTCCCACCGTAAATCTATCGCCGCGTGCCTCATCGTTATTGCAAATTGATTTATAGCAAGATTATTAATATAAAATTATAGTTGTCCATCCGTTCGTCCCTCGAACGAGATGACGACTTTTGGATGGCTAAAATGGAAAATCAGTTCAGACATTTTTACAAAAATTATTTACAAACCGAAATAGTGCAATCCGGAATAATAACATAAAATGTATCAATTAATTTGTATGTAAATTATTTATACGTAACAGTATACATAAATTATTTATAACGTAAAAAGGAATCTATTGGTTTTACTATGTGAGCATATATATTTTTTTTTATTTTTGATGTCTGTGGAAAACTTTTTTACCAAAAAAATTGCTCTTGAGCATAAACTAAAGCACCTTTTTTCAAAGTTAATTATCTTTCATTGATGCGTTGTGGAGGTCGTTTTTTGATTTTCCAAAGTTTTTCGAAATAATTAGGAAAAACCCGAAGGCCAAATGAAAACTTCGTAAAACGGGAAATATTTACGACGCGCCGCGGCGTTACCGTTCGTTGTTTTTATTATGTTAACACGATGTTTTCTACCAGAAAAATAGCTCTATTCCAAAAATAACAAGAGATCTTTCTTTTCATTATTCCCTAAAAAGTAAGTCAACTTTTTATATCTCGTGTATTTTTTATAATAATTGGGAAAAACCAAAAAAGGCGAAATATACGATTTTTTTTCAAATTACGGCACATTCGTACCTGGGGATCAAAAAAAAAAATTAGTTTAATGTACTATTTTGTACTTATAATGTTTTATAATGATGTTTTTTTTTTTTTTTTTTAACGTGAACATTTTTTCTACTAGAAAGTATACTCCGATTATCAAGAATAGCACTTTTTTTGAAATAAAATTTTCTCTGGGTGGTACTTTAAAGTGGTAATTTTTTTAAATTCTCATTAATATTTGAGATAATGAGGAAAACTTTGGTCTTTAGATTAAAAAAGATCGACAGATTAAAAATAAGGTTGTCATTGGTAACTGTTTTTATTTATTTTTTGTTGTTATTAAGTTTTTATTATTTTAATCTTTTTTAAACAATCATTTTTGTCATGGAAACCACATTGTTTTAATCATTTTACCATAATATGACATAATACCATATATTGTATTGTTGACAAAGCCACATTATCAACTGAACTCGGCTCAGAATCGTTTTTCGTTAGCAATGATTAATCGTTGCTTACAGATACATTATAAATTCTCCTCTATATTTTACTTTTCCAACCTCTGACATACAATAGTGACCCACCTATCTTACGAAGTATGTCTGTTTGTTTATACATTTGAAATTCTTATGATTTAATACAAATTTGTATCAAATCCAATTTCTTATATCTAGTTTCCGAACAAATATGCAAATTCATACAATTTTGAGCTCTGCTTATAAGTAATTTTGCTATGTTGACCGTTAATTGGACTGAGACTGTAAATACGGATATCACGTTTTCCTAATTTAATTAATTTGCATAGGGGTGAATTTCATCAATCACCACGCAACACCTAACCTGACTCCAGACGACAGAACTACCTTCGATCTTCCCGCTTAATGTCTGTCTATCTACTAATGAATATTTATTATTTTAATTTATATTCTAAACATAACTTTTTAATGTATTTACTTATAATATGAGAATATTATTACGGGTGTATACAAATATTATTTTGTAAAACGTACAGAATTTACCTACCTGTACCTATACAGTTATAGTAGGTACCTACCTAGACATATTTGGAAATGATTGTATGATTATACAATGTATACAAAACAAAATAAATTGCATAGTTAATTAAAACGTATTATATACCTAGGTTTATTTCTAACAAATTATAGTTATTGTATATGAAAACAATTATTTACATACCTACGGGTTTAAACTAAGGTTATGAGAATTTTTACTCTAAAACTATAGTTATATCATGACCTCATGACGTACATAGATATAAACTTATTTTAAACAACAAACCAGTGCATGACTATATACATAGAATTGCGTCTATAGCACTGTCATAGACGTATTTATGGGGATTTGGAAAATTTGGCCATGGCCAGACTGACGAAATATTGTATTTAATTTTTTAAAACTTACAAATACATTTTTAATTTTGAGGTAATTTTTACATAATACAAATGAGTATTTTAATGTTAGTAAAAAAATTAAAAATAAAAAAAAAAGTAACACCAAAGTTATTAAAATAGTTAATACTCGTAAATAAATATGTCAATAACAAATGTATATATGACAATAAAATAAATGAATGAATGTGTCGCCTGTAGTATTATGACAAGTGTGTTATACGATCGGTTTCGAATTAAAAATTCATCATCAGGTATATCACAGTCAAAATGTAAAACGTAACTCATTTATTTATTTTATTTTTCTGTATACATTTTTATTTATTTATTTACTGTATTTAAATAAAAATAAAATAAAATATTCATGACATCCTCCCAAAAGTTGGCAACTGTAATTTCCAGTTGGTAAATTATAACTATTCACAAGACCTATAATACCTAAAATTTTAATATTTTAGATTCTGAGTGGAGTGAAGAAACTTTAAATTTTACAAAGATGTTTATTTATTTTTAGTTTTTTTTTTTGGACAACTTTTCTATCAGAAAATTTGCCCTAATTTTTACGTATTTAAGTATTTTCTCTTTTCCTCCGTAAAAATTATTTTTTTGTGTTAAACTAATGATTTATATTATTAACTTTCAATAATTTTCTTACTTCTTGATATCCATCTCAAGCCATTTCTCTCTTGCATTATTTGTTTTTCTATTTATTTTGATTTTTAAGTACTCTATATCTTATTCCTCGGTTGTCTTTGAAGTTTTATACTTTCTCCCTTCTTAAATATCCTATGTAGTATTATTACTGATCCAACGATTTTTTGAGATTCGGCGTATTTATTTTTAGAGACTTATTAGCTTATTACTTGTGCGTTGAAAGTGAATATAACGTTTAAAATTGAATAACATTTAAACTAGATGAAAACTACTTTTATCTCTACATGACTATACACATAGTCTATACATATACTATACATATAATATGTCTGTATTTTTCTTTAGCGTATAAGTATCTAGGCGATAGAAATTCGCTTGATAAATACACGAATTGTTCTCAGCATTTCACGCAAACACTTGGGTTCTTTTATAATATAATATTGACAGGTATTTGATGATCGCCAGTATCACGAGTAAAACACAAAAAAAAGGTATTCAGATAGTTAAGAATGTAGGGATCTACGTACAAAGGAGCTTATCAGAGTGAAGAATACATTAAGTTTTTGTTTTTTTTATAATAGCCGACAAAAAGGGCCGAGTTCAGAAAAAAAAAAAAAACGTTATAGAAACAAAAAAACAATTCAAAAACGGGACCGGCGACTGACATGACGACGACGGTGTCGTCGCACCCCCGCCGTTCCGTGTCCCGGTCACGGTGGTATAACAATCCACACCTGCCGAACGACGGCGGCGGCCCATTGGTTCCCAAGATGTGGGCCTCAAGGTCCCCGGATGGCGGGTCGCGGGGAGGGGGGGAGAACCGTTGTCGACGACGGAGCATCGCCGCCGTACACGCTTTAACAACGTAACTGACTTTACACCACAATCGGCGCGAGAAAGCGTCAACGATTGGGCGAGTCGGGACGCGACTGCCGAGGAGCGGAAACCGAATGAAACAAAGTCGGCGGAGAACCGCCGGTCCGGCCCGGACGCGTATAATAATACACGTTACTATTTCAGACCGCGTGCGTGCGCCGCCGCGTTTTATAGTAATATTATAATAACAGCGGCGTGCCTCCTCGCTGCCGACAACCAGTTTTTGGGTTCAACAAGTTTGTCGGAGTAGGTACGCGCACGGAACACGGCCGCGCGCCGCTTACTAGTATCCCGGCCGTCGAGCAGCGTACTACGGGCCACGGTTACGCCGCCGCTGTCGCGTACCTCGCTCCCACCACCGGCCGCACCGTCGCCACTTGCCGCCGCCACCACCGCTGACTGGGCACTGCAGTAGCGTGTGTACGACGACGACGACGCGTACTTTTTTTTTTTTTACTCGTTTCCCTCTTCCTTTTACCCCAATCCAATCCTACTCGGCCGTTCGAAATTCCTTCATGTGTACGAACCGTGCGTTTGTGTGTGCGCGCGCGCCGCGTATATATTATTATTATTATTATTATTATAATATCGTATAAATCAAATTTTTCAACGAAATATTTATGTAATATCGAAATTATTCGTACAGTCTCGATTTTTGTCGTCCGTTATACCGATTCGAGTGCGGATTGTGTACGCGCGCGCGTCTTTGATGTGCACGTCCTGTAGATATACTATATAACCGTTAACGCAGTGCCCGAACCCCGGATTTGACGCCTTGGTTATATATACATATACAGTTGGATTATTTTATTGTTGTTATTATTGTTTAATGTTAATAACGGCGATCGTTTGGAACGGTAAGTCTCTCCGCATTTTATTAAAAATGTAATGTATTTGTATACATTCGCGATCGTGTTTTATTGCTAAGGACTAGGCGTTATTATTATTGTTGTTTTAAATCGCTGTACAAAAAAAAAAAAAAAAAAAACAAAAAAACTATCTATTATTATATACTGTTGCATTCGATAATATTGATTATCATACCATCGAAAACATTCGTTTCGTTGAGAAAGTTCAATACGATTTTGGGTTTTTTTTTTTATTTTGAAAAACTTACGCGACCAAACGTGCGTGTGTGTGCGTGTGCGCGTGCGTTGGAATGCGAACGGTTCGCGGCTGGCCAGGAATCATAGCCGTCCACCTCGACGGTCCACCAACCGGCTGCCCAGAATTCTCTCGTGAATTCCAAACGCTAGTAATTGCATTCCCTGTGACAAGGTTGATGACTCTGGCCCGCTCGCGATCGTGTAGCATGTGCCCGAACATATCCGGCAAGACTTTAATGCCCTGAAAGTTAATTCTACCGGAAAGTATATGGCAACGTTGGGCACATTAATATTCTGTTGGCGATTGGCCGCTTGTATTTTTGGACTCCGGGACTGACGGAATTATTATTGACGCGCAGATAACGATAAGTTTCATTTTGGCAGCTCAATAAGCAAAATAAAACTTCGTCGACCACTCCTAATATCGGTAACGGAATATTGACTAAATTGTGAAAAATAAAATAATATGCACAATACCCCAAGTACCTAATCACACAAATCCGTGTGCCAATGCATCATATTAAGTAGGCACCTCTACATACATTTAATTGTTGAAATTACCGTTCATATCATAATTTAAAATAACCCAAACGTAGATGTTACAACAGATTTAAAATCCTAATCAAAATGTTTTTTGTAAATTGTAGCACAAAAGTATAATTATTGTATTCGGAAGACATTTCTCAATTAATTAATCGGTATATTAGATTTTAAATATTTAAAATCGTTATGATATCGTATCATTTCTTCATAATATTTTTCGTAATTTTTGAAGTGGATAACGTGAATTGATATAATTTCTAAAATAGCATTTTTCTTTTAATGTTATTTGTGTACCGAATTAATACCTAATTATTACCTATTTCTACCCACATATAATGATTCAGATATCATTACTGTCCTGCAAAAGACCTTAAATAATTGACAAAAACAACATATATCTTAATATCTACTTGAGTATTTATTTTAAATTGTGTATAGGTAGGTACGCGGTATAATTTTTTGAAAATGGTTACTTTTTTTTTTTTCATACCGTTAGTTTTGAATGATTTTCACATTGTTAATAGGCACTTTGAGTATTACCGAGTAAACTTATAAAATATAATATGTCATTTGTTTTTTTTCTATACGTACGCATTAGTTTTCAAATAAATTTATTTTTAAATTTTACCAAGAAATGACTAATGGATAATGAAAATAAAAATAGTAAACAATTTATGTATTTCTCTGGTTAAAATCAAATTATTCGTAGCATTTAAGATAATAATAGTATGCTAGTTTACTGATTGAATAAGTATTTTTATATAATAATACATCATCATTTTATTATGTTATTATGTTATTATTTTGTTATGTTATTATTATTTAATAAATTTAGAAATCCATGTTTAGGTTCATTATCACTGTATATAATGTACTATCAAGAAAGTGTGTTTTATTTAAGAATTTAGATAGTTGGGTACTTCAAGTTGGGTACTTGGAAATATCCTTCAAGATATAATTACTGCAATAACAGATAAAAGTTTACACCCAAATCATTAGTAATTTATGATTACTACTCATCTATAATTGACTATTATTAATCTGATTATTTTTGTTGTGTGCTAATAATACAATTAAACGGTAATTAACTCGAAAATATTAATCGTTTACAAAAATAGTTATTCTTTTACTCTCTGAGTAACTGATTAATTATAATTGAAAAATATAGTTGTTATAGGTATACCTAACCAATCGAGAAACTGAAAGGACTTTAAATCCTTTTTTTTAGACAGTACATTCACAATAGACAACTATGTGTTATTATGATTACAAATACCCATATTAATTTAAAGTAAATGTGTCGAACAAATCATGAAAAATGGAAACGATTAGATTCTGAGTAGAGCGAAACGCTTATAGTTTTACAAAGATTTTTATTTTTTTATCTGTGCGCAACATTTCTACTTTAAGACTTTCTTCGATTTTTACGTGTAGCAACTTTTCTGAAAGTAAATCGGTGTGGGGAAGTACCTTAAAGAGGTTATTTTTCGATATTCTCAAGGGTTTTCTCACCAAATGCGAAAACCCGAAAAAAAAAAACTGGAAAATACAAGACATGTAGGTATTAGTTAAAATATATTACGGCCTTCTTTTTTTCTGTGCACAATTTTTCAATCAGCAATTTTGCCCCAAATTTTAATACTGAAATGAAAATGTGAAAAACCAGGATAAAACATGGGGAAACCTGGGAAAATTGGTACAACATTAAACAAATTTTATTAAAGAAAATACATAAAGCCTTTTTAATTAATTTACTACAAAATGATATATATTATTGACAAAGCATCACTATCAATTGAACTTCGCTCCGAATCGTTTTTTCGTAAGCAATGGATTATTTTTGCTTACACATATACATTAAATTCCCGTCTATATCCTACCTTCTCAACTTCCCACCTACATCAGTGGATACACCTGTCTCCATTATCTTAACTTTTTTAAGTTTTGAATACTTTTTGAGAGCTAGTTTTATGAAGGATGATATAGGTATTATATATTATTATCTAATCTATATTATGATAAGTCATACAAAATATCAATCGACTATGATCAAGGGTTTTTTCCTATAAAAAGTTTTAATTTTTTTTTTGTACCTATTTTGATATATTCAAACCAAAACATTCAAAAATATATTCATTGAAGTGTGCGGGCTATTTTTATTATTATTTATGATTGGGCAAGCATTCCGAATTAGAATGATATAATTCATTTAATTTGACATTTTGGAAATTTTTTTAAGGTTTAAAAAAAAAGACTCGCACAACAAAACCTATCTAGTGTAATTATTTGGCAATTGTCCAAAACTATTCTCATGACATGAATAATTTTATACCTATTCGTATAATTCTATTATCCACGTATACATTTTAAAAGCCTATTTTATTGTACCCATTAAATTATTGAATTTTAATACGAATACAGTTTAACTGTATTTTAATTTTATAACATGTATATTTTATTTACGTGTTAACTTGTCGAGTTGTTTAAACAAAATCGATTTTTCGTTAGTTAAATAGGTAGGTACAATTTGATTTTAGTTTACCAACCTATACAGGGCGTCTCACGTAAATATACCCATTGCAATATTTCCTATGGTCATAAAGATAATTTATTTGATTTTTTTATTTTATTTCTTGCAGGGATAAGGGCCACAAATATTTATATTTTAATTAATTTTTTATATTTCGGAAAAAAAAATTAATGTTTTCAAGAAATTTGAAGATAGCCATATATATATATATATATACAAAAAATTATAAAATCTTTAAATTTTTCGAAAATAATTAAATAAACAATTATTTTTTTATTAGTCTTTTTACTAAAACATAAAAATTTAATTAAAATATAAATATTTGTAGTCTTTGTCCTTGCGGGTAATATGAAACAAAAAAAACTAAATTTGATTATCTTTATTATCTCGGGAGATAATGCAATTGGTCTATTTTCATGAGGCACTCTGTATACTGAACATTAATTATGTTACTAATTAATATTATATACAAAACGTGAAATCGAGTGGTTGGACGTAATATTATATTGCACATATTTTTGTATGGCCAATGACCATGTACTCTATGTTTTACAAACACAATTAAAAATATAAATAAATAATAAAAAACATTTTTAGGCGAGTTTTCAGGATTGTAAATTTTTATATTTATTTGGAAAGAAATGAGTGGACATTGTTGAATAACACGGATGTATTATTCAAATATATTATGTTCGGTATTCATTTCAAATGACAAAATATTATTCAAATACGCACGTTCTAAGTGAGATAAGAATTATTCTTGTAATATTATGTTGTTTATGTTAGTATAATAGGTATCTAATTATAGTTTGCTGGGAATTTTAATTTTAAATAATTAAATATCTATGTTTAATTTGAAAGTTAAAATTAGACTTATTTAAAAAAAATATATATTTATCCGTAATATTTAATAATACATATTTGCAGTTAAGTGATAAAATGAAAAAAAAATTGCATAATATGATAATTATCTGATAGGTACCTGACAAACTATGATAATATGTGCATACAAACGGCAAACTAAAATAAAAAGAAAGTGTAATATTAATTATTAACAATCCGTTTTTCCAAAAATTAAAAGAATGAGGTACAATTTATTAAATTTGTGATTGACCTAAATATCGGAAGTGGAAATTAAAAACTATTTCATACAAGAAATCGTTTGACAATATTTATTTTTATCAATGTTAAATAATAATATTTTAATATTTTAAATACGTTGAATTCAAAATAATACGAAATAAACGAATAAAATGTTGTGGACTTAAATCTGATTTTGAATGATCAATCCATGAATGCTTTTTTATCACGTTTCATTTTTATCTTAGATTCTGAGAAAAGCAAGGAATGTATTGGTTTTACAACCATTTTTATTTTATTTATCTGTAAATAACTTGCCTACCAAAGATTTTGCTCCGGTTTTCAAATGTAGCTCCTTTCTGAAATAAAAATGAATATGTTATATGGGTGGTACTTTAAGGTGGTTATTTTCTAATTTTATAAGCGGTTTTCATAAATATTGGGAAAAATGTGTTAACTCGGGAAATTTACGAAATGTATTATTTTAAATTTTGTTTTTTGTTGCGATTCAGTTGAAAATATTTGTAGAGATTTTAAATTTGGCTGAAAGAATTTATATTTGTCTTTTCTAGACTTAGTAGAATTTTCAAATTATTTTATCCAATATTTAGCTACATATTTATAGACTTTTTAATTTTGTGAATTTCTTACGTAATTTTTATTAAGTGAGTACCTACTCTGTGAATAAAATTGTTAGACCAAACAGAAATTCTTGAAAATTTAACGGGTTATAGGTCGTTCTTTGTGGTAAAACAAAGTTGAGTGTAATGTCGAATTTGTTTTTATAAGAGTTTAAATATCAAATTTTTACTAAAATTGTAAATTTTACGGCTTTTCAAAACTTGTAGAACTGAACTCCGCTCAGAATAATTGTCCGTTATCAATGATTAATCGTTGCATTTAGATATACATTAAATTCCCCTCTGTATCCTACCTTTTCAACTTCTCACGTTTAACAGTGGACCACCCATCGTGCGAAGTATGTCTTTCTTTTTATATTATTTCTATTTATCCGCAGTCGGGTTTTTTTGATATTTTTTTTTCAAATTAATTTTTAACCCGCCTTTTTAGTGTATTTTCATATTTGAAACTCTTATACATATACATAACACATTATGTAACCTAAAATTTACCCTCTTTGAGGGCAAGTGGTGGAAAAGTTATTATTTATTTTTAAAATAATTCGCATGTTATTGGTTATTTGCTACATATTATAATGTTTTTTTTTTTTTATGCCAACAGTATTACAATCTATACAATAATTGTATATGTATACTACACATATACATCGTAATGAATTCTATTCAGTTGTCTGGCTTTCGTTCGACAGAAACTACAATAGGATTTTACCCATAAAAATATGTAAACTGTTAAGACAGGACAACACGAAAATATTACATTGATTAATATTAATTATTAAATAACTGCTTAATTTAATTTGTTTGTCTTTGTGGTATACAATAAGATTATTGGTAATATTTTAAATCAAAATAAATAGGTATACCATTATACCTATATCTGTATTTATCAGAGCATTTATACATGTTTATGATATCGTTTAGTACCTATAAATTTTTAAAATCTATTTTATTTAGTTTGATATTATCGCATTAAATATAGGGTGTTTCTTTTTTCGTGATCCAGCAATTTTCTCGGAGGATTTGATTTTTATTTTTTTGCAACCATTATGGAATTGTTTAGGGTTTATTTTAATAATGTCAAATGCAAATTATTTCAAATTTTTACTCCCTACTCCGTATACATTAAACGAGTAATTTAATATATGTTGGATTTTCAAATAAAAATCTCCCCTTATTAGTTTTATTAGTTATTTAGTAATATGGATTCGAATAGATAATATTTTTCACAACAGTATTTTTTACATTAGTTTATTTAAACATTAGACCGGAAGAGTAGGGAAGTCTCCGAAAAGATTATATTAAAAATAGATTTGATGTTTATTACTCTTCCCTACTCATTCGGTCTAATTTTTAAACTAATAGAACTCATAAATATTAGCTATATTCGATATTAATGTTTTAGTATAGCAACAATTTTTGAAAAATAGTCAACTATAGAATCTGTGTTTTAAAGTGATGGTTAGGGTAAACAATTTAAACGATTCCATAATTATTAGAAAAAAATTAGAAATTAAGTTCACCTAAAATCCTCAGAGAAATGTATTGGATCATGATAAAATAAATAATAATCACCTAGTATTAATGTTAGACCTGTGTTAAATAGTATGTATAAGTTTGTTTAGTTATGAGTACGGAATTATTAGACTGTGAATATTACATATACTACTTATTGATAACTTGTGGTGTGGCATCTATTTACCTGATTAATGAAATAAAAATAAAATATCGCTTACAGAAATCGATTCCAAACCGAGAAGTTCCTTTACATTTCTGGTAGAAAGTTGTTTTAAAGAAAACATAAAGCAAAAACAATTAGTAAAACCAAAAGTAAAAAGTTAGAACACTCATTCAATTATATTCCAAACAATTGTGTCAAGGAAACATTTTTCCCCCTTGCAATTATTACGTATCCATGATAACGTGAATATTTAAAAAAATAAAATAAAATCGAAACTCGCATATCTATATCAAATACCTATATACCCGTATGAAATAAATGTATAATACCTATTTAGTACCTACACTAATGTAATCCAGTAATCCCTATTTGATCAATATCCGAAAAATGTAACAATTACACAGATGGTTAGTGTGTAGAATGACAACAATGCAGTATAGACGGATTCTGTTTACAACTTTTTTTTTTCATTTCGCTTGTTTATCCTTTCTTTTTTTTTTTTTTTTTTAATTTATCCAAGTTTCTCTTTACCTATCGAACAGTTTCGCGCATTAGGTACCTGTATCGTAGTCAACATCGTATCGTATCTCCTTATTGTAAACCGCCTAAACAAGACGAATGCGTGTATGTACTCAGAGAAACCTCACCATATCTATGTTTGTCAGTGGTTATGGACTCGCGACGACGACGAGACAAAACACAACAAGTGTATCTAGGCCACGGCATTTGGACGCATGTGCGGACCTCTCTACCCGCACTCGGTACCTCGTCGTTTTATTTTTCACGTGCGCGCGCGCACGCCGACCCTTTTTCCGCCGTCCGACGGCACACGGAAAATCTCACACAGCCGATCGGCGCATTTTCCAATGTGCCGCACAACGGATAATCTAGTGACTCGCTCGTTAAAACGTTTCGCGCAAACGTCTAGGGACTGATGGGGTTTTTTTTTTTTTCTAAATTTATTTCATCGGTTTTTTCCGCGTGCGAGTGTGACTTGTGAAATCGCCGTTTTTCCATAAATCCAAGTGTCGTCGATCGTTCGTAATACTTTTTACGGAACAAAAGTGCAATTGACCGACAGTGATTTGTTATTCTCGGAGATGTTGTATTTCTGTGTGTAGGCCGCTTATCACATGACCCATATCGTCGTTCGGTTGATAATCATTTAGCTGCCGGGTGGTTTCTACGGCCTTACCAATCCAAAGATGATGGTGTCATACGATCAACACGGGTGTAACGACCCAATTGTCGTTCGGTGTAACATTATTGTGATCGTTGTGGCCCGGCGAAAAAAATACGCACCGGAGTGATTTTACAACATTCCGCCGAAAATAATAATAGTAATATTTTACAACGTATATTATTATATACAGTCCGTGCATAGTGTCCGCGCACAATGTTTCCCTGTTTTTGGAATTTCTGGTCATGGTGAGTGTTTAAAATAATATCGTAATAATAATAATACCTATACATGTATATATTGTGTGTATGGAATGTATGTAGTCGTGCACACTCTTGAACGCACCATCACACGGCGAATCGATTGTGACTTGTACATTACTGTTATTATTATTATTATTATCATCATATTTTTTTTAAAAATATGTACGAAAATAAATAATAACACACCACACTAGTTGTGGAAAACAGGCGTACCGTTGTTTTATGTGTGCGTATAATAATGTGTCAAACACGCATGAATGGGCGCCGTGGTGTCGTAAAATACTTGAAATGCAAATGCGACGAACCTACGCTATGCGTTCTAAATGCCTACATAATCGATATCGTACTTATTTGGCCGACAACTGGTTGATGACAATTAACAATGTGCGTTTTATAGGCAAATGATTCACGATTATGCAATAGTTTTTTTTTTTTTTTTTGCACGATTTCGACTAATATCATTTTCACCCGTCCCGATCAATTGACGATTTACTTATTATTTTTGGTAACCTGTCCTATTCAAAATTTCTGGCACGCCAATAAGTTTTTAACGGTTCTAATTAATATTGTAAGATGAGACATAAAAATAAGAACAAATTTAGTTTAATCTGCAGACGTTATTATAATATTATTTTAACACTTGTATTTTTTTTTTTTTTTTGTAATATTAATCACAGGAATAAATACTAAAGATATTTATATGCCACTCATGTTTTTAGGTTTCAGTAAAAAAATAACTTTATTTTATTATTTTTGAAAAATTTGAAAATGCTTTTTTATAGAGTTAATTATTATTTTGAAAATTTTGAGGTATCAATTTTTTGTTTTCATTAAATTCATGATTTTTAGTAGTTTTTTTGGAAGTTCCAAGAAGAAATTATACTGATAATTATGCAGCAGGCTGTAATCCCATTCATTAATTGATTATTATTATTATGGCTAATAGACTACATTTTTTTCTCTGAATTTTAAAAATTTATTATAAATCGGAATCAAATGAAAATAAAAAGTTGAACCGTCAACATTTTCAGAATAATAAACTCTATAAATTGGCTATTGTTAATGATTTCGAAAATAATAACATAAATACTATTTTTTTTTAGTTTTTTTCGAAAACATAATTTAATTCAAATATAAATATTTGTAGTCTTTATTCTGTGAGTATGTATATATACAAAAAAAAAAAAAAAAACCAGAATTTAATTGCCTTTATTGTCTCAGGAGATATTGTAATGGGTAATCTTCATGGGACACCCTGTGTTCTATTGAAAATTATACTAAAATAATTATTTATTAACTAAGATTTGTTTACATAGTTACCTACAACTTTGTCTATCGATAAACGCAAGATTAGTAAAAAATTCAATTTCAAAACTCTTTTCTCAATAAAGTTAATTTTTATAATAATTTATGTGTTGGAAGGAGTAATATATAACGTTTAGAAATAAAATGCCTGTAAAACTAACGCCTATATTATTGATTATTTTCAAAAATAATTTAACTTTAAATATGTAGGTTATTAATGTCAAAAATATACGTACCTAAATATACATTTTTTTTTAAAGGTATTTTACTTTAAATGCGTGCAAGTATACAAGTAACAGTACATGTGTAAAATTATAGTCGAGCTGGGATAAAACCGCCCCTAGTCTTTGACTAGAGGGTTGTTATGAAGGGGGCTTAGTATACACCCTTGTTTGTAATCAACGAAGCCTAATATTTTTATAGCCAACTTACACTACTGTAATATCGCATGCAAGACAATCTAGCGAAACTACTGTTAATATTGTTATGCGGTTATATTAATATATTACGATTGGTAACCCCTGCTGGTTTTGTCTTCTAATTATTGTGGTTAAATGATTTCATCGAGGATTTTGTGTATTTCAGACATATAAAAAATTAATGAAACAAATTATTATAGTTATACTTTTCCAAAATTAATAGTTTTGTAACTATTTTTACATTACCTAGTTTCAAATATTTAAGTTATTGTTTTATAAATATATACCCAGAAATGTATAAGTAAATCGTTGTTTAGTTTTATGTTAAAAACAATATAAATTTTATTTGTGTGATGCAATTATTATAGACATCATTTATTTAAAAGTAAAAAATATACAAATTTTCAAAATTTTAAGTACAAATATTATTATATACCTAGGTATACGGATTGTATGTATCTATAATCTATCTAGTATATAGTATATACTACCTAATTTGCCGTCTATTTCGAATTTAAAAGGAGCGCTCCTCCTTTAAAAGGAGGAGTGATTTATCAAAAATATTACGAATGTTCGCATTATATATATTTATTATTGATTATTCCTTGAAAATGTAGTGTTTTACATAGGTATAGTAACATATGTATGTCTGCATTTTTTAGGGAGATGAGAGGAGGTTTTAAAGCTACTTTTTTATGTACATTAAATATTTTAAATCTCAACAAACTCCTAATATCTTTGAAGGTGCCTCTACACCAACATTTGTTTTCTCTGTGTATCTATCATCGACTTAGAATCAGAGGAATGTATCAACCAAATGCAACTTTTTTAGGAGCGGTAAAAGACAATTTTTTAAAAACTTTAGTAAAATGGTTATTTAAAAACAAATGGACGTATTCGTATGATGGGAGGGCCACTGTTGTAGGTGAGAAATTGGCAGAGGGGAAATTTAATGTATATCTGTATGCGGCGGTTAACCTTAACTAACGAAAAACGATTGTGGATGTATAAGTGGATCACTTATACATATTTTGAAAGCCCGTAATATTTACGATTTGAAAATAATACATTTTGTAAATTGTCCAGTTTTTCTTATGTTTTTTCTCCGGTTTTACCCATTTATTATGAAAACCCTCAAGGAAGTCCAAAAATAACCTTACTAAAGTACCACGCAGATAATATTTCCTCCAGAAAAAGTACTACACTACAAAAAATTGTTTACAGATAAAAAAAAAAACGTCATTGTAAAACTAATATATTCGTCGCTCCGCTAAGGATCTGAAGAGTAACACAAAATTGCATAAAATTGGTGAATATTGAAGAATAAAAATCTGGTTGATCTTGATACGTTCTTATGGTTCTATGCCTACTATATTATAACAAGGGTATTCCACACTTCCACAATTTCAAATCTTTAATTGGGTTTATGGAAAGAGGACCTTTATATATTTTTTAAACAATAGTATTTACTGTTTCTTGACTTAATGATTTTTAAAATTTGTTTTATTTTTTACCAAGTCGTTGGTGTTTTAATTTATCTTAATATTTCTTAATTTTAATGATTTATTAAACTTATTAAGAAATAAAAATATTAAAAGAACATCATTCGGTTAAAATACCCTAATAATCTAACTTAATATTATAAATATAAAAAAGTTTAGATGAATGGATGGATGTTTATTACATCTTTATGCTACAGCTATTCTAAAGGGGAGCCGACACAGGGTTGTTGATATTTTTAGTACAAAAATTAAATTTTTTTTTTTGATTTATGGATTACCGTAGTGAAATAATAAATGTTTAAACAAACCAAAAGAACATAAATTGTCTTTTTTGCTATGTTACGCGCGATACAGACTGAGAAAACAAATATTGGTGTAGCTATAGAGGCCACTTAACGGGAGTAACACTATAACTAGGGCTTGGAAGTTATAGAAGTTGCATATTTTTCTGGATACACTGAATTTATAGCAGACCAAGCTAGATATACTTTCTTTACGATGAAGAGTTTAAAATTTGAGCATTTAAATTGCATATTTTGCATATTTCGTTAATTTTAGAGAAAAGTCCATATTTCGTCGATTTTCATTGATTTTCGGATATTTTTATGCATATTTAATTTTTTTTAAATAATATTAAATTTAAAACTCAATATTATTTAACGTAGTTATTTATTGTTATTTCTTACTGTCTCAGTCTATTATGATTATTAATTTAACAACAATGGCGTGATTCGTATTTAATATTTATCTTTTTTGTGCATATTAATAAATATAATAATATAATAATGACATGATATGGTTTCGAATAATAATTGAATATTTCTTGCATATTTATTAAATTTTAACATTTTTTCATGCATATTTTAGAATTTTTTCGTGCATATTTGCATACATATTTTGCCTTTTTTGTCTTTTAACTTCCGAGCCCTAATTATAAAAATATGTACTAAATTATAAATTAAATTAAATGTTTAATAATACGATTTGTGAAAATTAAATGAAACTGAATAATATAATTGGATATTATATAAGTATTATTTTATCACCTATATAGTTTATGTAAACCTTATATATTAGGTATTGTATAATGTCTAATAAAATAAGTTAATATCTTTTATTTTGTAATGCGAATTAATAATAGGTAAGATATTATAATATATATATATATGTATATACAGTAGAAGTCGTTTATTAGAAACACGGATAATTGATATAATCGCGTTATTAAAACAAAATGTATAGTAACAAAATAGTCGTATATTAAAACCAATCGGTTAATTGACATGTTTCACCTCGGAACCGAAGTATTCTTAATAAGCGGCTTTTACTTTATATATTTATATATATTATAAATATCGATAAATATAATAAAAACATACTTACGTAGACTACACCGAATTCGCTTAGTTTTGGTTTTAGAATAAAAGTACCTTTTATGCAATTAATAGATAACAATATGTCAGAGGGCAAGACGTTAAATTTTTTTGAAAACAATTTTTTTCAAAAGTTTTAGTAAATTAAAAAATGTTGAAAAAGTTGTTATTTGTAAATGGTGAATTGAATGTTAATATTCGTTGGAAATAGAAAAAACCCAACGTCTTATCCTCCGGAATATTATTCTCTTTTAAAATCTATAATATGTGTTTTATTCTAAAACCAAAATTAAGAAAGTTCTGTTTAGTCTGCGTAAGCGTGTTTTAATTATATTGTGCGTTTGTAAAACGGAAACAATAAATGCATGTGAACCTGTGTAGCGTCCTTTTCATTTAATTTATCTTACTATCATTGTCGAGGTCAACCCTTGGGGTACTTCCCAGTTGGTATATTAATCGGGGCATTTCGGAGTATATTTCCTTCAACTCGCCAAGCATAACCCTCCCACTCTAGGCGCTTGGCTTTCAGGAAATATTAATATATTTAGACTTATTAAATATAGCTTCCAAGTCCAATACCTCAATTAGTAGTATTTATTTAATTCATTTTTCATCAATTCAAAAGCCGGTATTTTCAGCACCTTGCTTTTATTAAAGGAAAATAATATTATATAGGGTTGAAACCTAAAAATGTTAACAAATAATTTTATTGAAAAATATTTACCTAAATATACATAATCCTACATATTTTATTTATAAGGGTTTTTTTTATTGTCTTTTAATATCTTACATGAGTGGTCTAGTTCTTTTTTGTATAATTTATTTATTGTTTTAGGTACTATAGTAAATGAAATATTTAATTAAACTAAACTTGTGATCATTAAATTTTAGGGTAGAACCAGCATCAACATCGGCAAGTTCCACTGTTGTAACAATGGCCACCTTAAAAAAGGTAAAGTAATTGTAATTAAAAATATTATGTTAATGAATTAATTTCTGATGGATAAAATTCCATAATAATTATTAATTATTAAAAACTCTAGTGGATAGTGAAAACTCTTTATAATGAATCTTAAGGGACTAAGAGATTTCTTTCTTTATAAAGAATTTTCGCAATAGAGAAGGTTAAAGAACTAATGCATGGGTAATAAAGCAAACCAAGTAACTTTTACATTACATAGAGTTTTTTGTTAAAACAAGTTTTTACTGTACTTTTATAAATAGTTATAGGAAGGCCGATTTATGTGTCAAATATTTATTTAAATATATAATCTTCTATACTTTACAACAGAAAGTTTTAATCTAAATATTTAGTATAAATAAAATAACTAAACAAAATAATGTTAGTATCTGAATGGAATAAGTGATAGTAATGCATGTTCATAAATAATGTAAAGGAAAAGATGACCTTGTACCTTCAGAAAACGTGACCACCTGTTATGATGGTTATTAAAAAAACATCATGACTTGTACACTCTTTTTTCTTGTTTAAAAAAATCTTAAGATATTGTAACGATTCATTGAACCGTAATTTTTATGTAGGTACTATAAGGTTTGGTCCATTGAATTACACGGACAACATAATATTATAGTTAAATATATTTTTTATGGTCTTTTTTCAAATGTTTTTAATATTTTTATGTTTAACTATCCATTTTGATTTATTTATGTGAACATTAAAATAAAATTGCCTAGCTGTACCAGTGGCACAACCAAGGTGGGGTTCCTAAGGGCTGACCTCTCCCTGCTATATATATATTTATACAGAGTGTGTTACATTGTAATCATGATGCTAATAATTCTGTAAATATTCTTATCTGATCAATAGTTTCTAGTAGTAGCAGTTTTAATTTCTAGAAAATCGGGGTGAAAACAATTAACTTGCCAAAACTCTCAGTAATGGCAAAATAGTAATTGTTTAGAAAACGACCTTAAAGTTTTTAAAAATTTGATTTTTGGTCTCAACCCTACAAAATCAAAATGATTATTTTGAAAATTTTTAAATGATAAAAATAAAGTTTTAAGATTTGTTTTCAATAATTTAGGGATGAAAATACTAATTTCATTTTTCTTTACTTATGTGTCCTTGCTTTTAACCAGATTAAAAAAAAAAAATGAATATTGACAGAATTATTAGTTTATAGTATAAACTAATAATTCTGTCAATTAGTATAAACTTTATACTAATAATAACACTGTAGGACACATCATATTACGACTTTTAGATTGACAAACCTAGTAGTGACTCACCTCATTTGAGTAAGACCAAAGTATTCATAAATTTCTATTTTTCACAGTAAATAGATCCCAAACTTATTTATTTTATTGTTATTTAAATGTAATATTAAAAAAAAAAAACCTATGGTACCTACTTACTCTGAAAATTAGAAATGTGTGGAAGTTACAGTTTTGCCCAAATGAGATTGGATTTTTAGTATAATCGACAGTAGTGGAAGAACCATGTTCCTAAGGAACTACTTCATGGGTGCCATTGTTTAATGTTCGTAATAGTGCTGTGTACAATAGTAACAACAATGCATTCTTTTCTTGAAGGGAGGTGTGAGCTAGTATTATGAAAATAAATAATTAATTTAAATTGAATGTGTTAAAATTTAATTAGTTTTATGCTAATAACTATGCAATTTTTATAAAAATTTAAGTTCTTTGAAATATTTGTGATATCATTTCGGATTTAAGATAATATTAAAAGTTTTTATATTTAAATTTTGTTTTAAACAAATTTAACAAACCTTTAATTTTTGTAACCAATTAACGCAAATTAATTGTTAAAATTGTAATATTTTAGAATTCTGTTGTTGTCACTCAACCTATGAGAAAAGCTATGATTGGATCTAGTCCCCTAAAATCACCTTTTATCAAAAGGCCACCATTTGCTTCTGTTACCTTACAAGGTTGGCTTTACAAACAAGGAAGCGAAGGATTGATGTTATGGAAAAAACGGTGGTTTGTTTTATCTGAATACTGCCTTTTTTATTATAAGAGTAAGTGTTGTAAAAATATTGCTTTTACAAAGATGTTTATGCAAATTATTATTGGTTTTATCCATCTAGATGATGAAGAGGAAAAGCTTCTAGGTTCTATATTATTACCATCTTATAAAGTAGCACCGTGTTGTCCTTCAGAAGATAAAGTTTATAGAAAATTTAGTTTTAAAGCTGAACATGACAACATGAGAACATATTATTTTGCAGCAGATAACAGAGAACTTATGGTTCAATGGATGAATGCTTTGAGTTTAGCATCTATTCTTCAACAAAATAATGGGTAATATTTGTAATTATAATAAAAAATGTATGTGTTTTGATTTAAAAATAACATATTTTTTTAACAGGTATAATGAACGGAATAATATAAAACGTTCACAGTATATTAATCAGTTAGATGATATGGATTCTGGTTTTCTAAGTTCATCTTTCTATTCAACACCTAGGTCATATTACAATAATGATATAACTTACAAAGCTCAAAACAATCAAATTGCTCAACCTCTTTATGCTAACGCACCTCCAAAGCCTAGACGTGTCACTGAACCCCATGAAGATCATCCTCAAATTGCTCAACCCCAATATAAGCCATTAGCACTAGTCCAAAATTTAAACAGGTCTCAATTAAATAATTCTGAACGTCGAACACCTGATACATATGGACGCCATGATGTTAAGTATTCTAATCACAGTGAGTATGAAGAAGTTATTGATGAATATGTACCAACCCCAGTGAAATATAGAGAGAAGACATATTCTTACAGACCTCTTAGCGCTGACTTTTTAGAGTATGATGTTAGACGTGTTTATCAGACACCAACCCCAAGCACTAATTCTTCTTATAAATCTCCCGAATATTACAATACAGTAAAACATAGCAAAAGACCAAAATCTAGTTTAGATTTTGTTGATAATTCAGATAGTTACTGGTCAGAAAATGCCTATGCTGAAAAAATGAGAAAAGCATCTCAAAGTTTAAGTAAAGAAACAAATTTAAATCGCACAACTGCTTTATCATTGAGACAACTTGGAATTTATTTAAATGATATTAAAGCTGAACCAGTAGATGGATCTTCCACACAAATGAAAAGTCATCGTAACTATATTAAAGATCAAGAAAAAAGATGGAGCGACTATGTTAATTCTTTTAATAGATCAGCCAGTGCTAGAGTTACTAGAAATACAGAAAAACGTAATTACGAACAGAATGAACATAAAAGAAGTACCAGTTTACAAAGAAGAAATAGCATTGACTCTAGAGATAAAGAAAGAAAATCACAACAAGTGAGTAGAAGTTTTAATATTTTTTTGTTTAGTTAATGTATCTTTTCTTTATAGAGAGAAGAGTCCATGAAACGACTTTTAGATTGGAAACAACGTATGCTTCAATCAACTCTAACTCGTAAGTCTTCAGGGTCTTCCAACCGTGGTTCGGCACAAAATGAACTATCCAAATATTACAAAAAAATAACTGATAACCGACTGTCTATTCAAAATGAAGAAAGAAATATTGTAAATTGTACTAATAATTTCTACAACAGCAAGTATAATAATGACAGTTTTAGTTATTCTAAAAATGACTTGACAATTGAAAATGATTTCAACTATTCAGATGATGAAGGTAAGAATAATATTTATGTATTATTTGAATTTTGCTTATTTTTAATATAAAATAAGTTAAGTAACTAAATTTTAGAGTAACTTTTTTCATGGTTATATTCTTCTTATTCTGTCAACTAACTTTAAAGTAGTAATATTTTAACACAATATTTACAAATGGATGATCTCCTTTAAGGATTTATCCGAAGCGCTAACTGCATGTGCAAGAATATTTTACAATGGATTATTTAAAAATGTTGGACAATTCTTTATCCTAGAAGTAAAAGACAGAGAAAGTCAAGTAGACATTCCAGTATCAGCATCCAAAAATTTCAATGAAATCACTCCAGATTCAAAATATACCAACACAATAAATTTTTATACAAAACCAGCTGTCAAACAACATCTTTCTGATGAGACTGCTAGTTCAACAAATTCATATTTTAAAGATGATATACTATTAGTAGATAGTAGACATTCAGATAGCGGATATGATACTTTACAAATGGGTAGTGTTCTATCTAAAGATCCTGACATAGATCGCTTATTGAAATTTGATTTTAGTAAGAAATCCAAGGGTGCTAAAAGCATACAAAATCTTATTAAAACATTTGAGTTAAAAGATATGAAAGATCCTCTTCAACTATCTTCATATAGGTCTAATGAAGCACAAATTTCATCATTAAAAAAAGAAGACATAAGGTATTCAACTGCTCAAAATCCTCAATCTATAAGAGATTTATTAGCAAATTTTGAAACAAAAACTGAGCGTTGTGTTTTTAGTGATACAGAAACTCTTTTGTATGAAACATCAAGTGATACAGAACCTATTATACCAAGTACAAATACCAAGTGCACTGAAGTAATTTCCACAGATGAAGACGATCCAGAAGTTGTAGATGTGTTAGGACAGAAGACGGATCCAAATGATGAACAGTATTATTTGCCTATGACACCATCTAAAAAGTCTGCATTGGAAGAAGATATTTCAAAATCTAAGTTAGTGATTGTAGATACTGAGGATCAAGAAAATTATGTTGAAATGACACAAAATTCTAAACCTTTACTCGCACCATCCCCAAAAATTGATAAAAAATCACATTATGAATATATAGCGTATAAAACAAATTCCAATTATGAACCTGTTTATACTGAGGTAAAAACTAAAACTCTACCCGATATCCTTAAATCATCAACTAATGTAAATAATAGTTCAATAAAATCTGATAGTTCAGATGCTGATGATGAAGCTTCAAAGGATTTAGATTCACTTGATACACCTTGTCATCCTAGATTTAGTTTATCTGACACTTTCAGACCAGCGTCTTATTATTTAGGGGCTGCAACCAACGAAGATACACATGATTCTTCAGATAGTGATCTAGTTTCTCCACCTCCTATGAATTTTGATAAAGATAACCAACTTAAATCAATAAGGAAGAAAATGGAATCTCTAATACAGTCTGCTTCTGAATCGGATTCAGATTCTGTTAAAAAAGAAAAACAAACCGTCTTTAATGGAGATTTAGATTCAATTGGCAGTAGAAATGGCATGTATGAATTAGATATAAATTTAGATGAATATCTAAATCAACAAACTATAGACGAATGTGATAGGTTCTATGAAAATTATTGTAAAAGTTTAGAGAGCAGACGTTTAGAAAATTCTGAACCTGCACCTGGGGCTCCATATTATTATTCAGATATTTCAAGTGGAAATTTGAAGTCATTAACTCCAGAACCACAGGGTGCAGAAGGATTTACATTGCGTCACCGAAGTCGTTCTTTTGAAGGGGTGCTTGATGATAGTGTTTATTGTAATTTAGAACCTAGAAAATGCACTTCTCCCAAAGAAGCAATATCTCGATTATTACGTACTGCAGAAATGAAGTCACCAAGAGCAACTGAATTGGCAATTGTCAATTTACCATTGAGGTCAAGGTCTTTAGATAATTTAGATGCTGAACCAGAAAAAAAAAACGGTCGTCAAAGTGCAGATATTTTGAACAGCAAAAGAAATGAAGCAATGTATGTTAATGAGGCAGTATTTGACCGCCATAAAGAATATAAAGATGATTATCGTTCAGTAAAGAAAGGCAGATGTAAGAGTGGATCTCAGTCTTTTTTAGAGGAAGGCCTATACCCGATGACCCGGCCACCATCAATGGAACAACTGGACAGGGAGAAGCTAAGGCAGTGGGACCTCATGTCCACTGTCCCTGCCGTGATGTTGGGTGCAACGCGCGCGTTCAGTCGTACTTCAGAGAAACAAGTGACATTGATGCCTGCCGAATCAAACACAAGGCCGCCATCGCTAAGTCGCCGTTCGGACGAAACACCAGCAAGCTCGCCAGGTTATTACAAAATAAAAAAAATTATTTTACTTCTTATATAAAATTTGTTTTTAAATGAATAGTTAAGAAAATATAGGTAAATACAATAATTATTATAAATAATAAAGTTATACTATTATTTAGACTGTAAATGTGTAAATTTTAGTAATAATAATTATTTATATACAACATAAGTGTTTCAAAAATTAAAAAAATAAATAATACTTATTTATAATTGTAACATAATATGTGAAATTAAATAATAACAGTATCATACGTGTTTTATAGTGTCCGGTTGCGGATCAGCGATTGGACAAGGTCCAATTCATCGAGAATATCAAGAAATCAATAAAATGATTAATGAAACAATGGGCAGTAAAAATATTTATTCAAGCAATAGAAATATTAGGGTAAGATAAAGATATTTTAATAATTGATAATTAATTATTGTTAGTTGCATGATATTATTTTAGTTTCACAATTTGTATTTATTTGTATTTTATTTTGTTACATTATACACGTGTATTTAAATCATTAGAATAGCCAATGGAACTTGACAGTTTCTGCCGGTGAGCTACTAGGCCAAACGCATGAAGAATTAGTTTTGCTATTGATTCAATTAAGAAGACAAAGAGTTTCTATTTGTAAAGCCATGGAAATGTGTCATAACGATATTGAGACCCAGGTTGGTTTTGGTTATTTTGATATGTATTAATCTGTCTTATAACTTATAATTGATTAATTAAGAATTGTATATGTACATATAAGCATTTTACATTTATTATATACTTTATATAATAGAATAAATCTTTTTAGTCATGAGGGAGATTCTCAACCATAAAATTTGCAATAATCACTTAATAATCTTAATCTATGTTTTAATTATCAATTATGACTATTATCGAACATTTTGATATTTTATTAATGGACAACAAATCTAATTATAAGTAAATAATTTATAACTTTATTTCATAATAATTTGGAATTTAAGTTTTTATTTTTGTTTACATAATAATTATAGTATTCATTTTTTTTATTATATAGTTTGTTAACTTTAATACCTAGTAATTACTGCCGAGATTCACAAATGATTTCCCATCAATTATCCTATTCTGATTTTATGTAAGAGATTTCAAGTGGTATATTACCAGAATAATAAATAGTTAAATAATCATTTATTATAGTTATTTTGAAATATAGGCTTTTTACATTTTAAAAATGTAGTTAATGATGTTGACAAAAATAATATCATTTGGTGTATATATTTTAATGTTCAGTACTCTTCTTATTTTATTTATCACTGATAAATTATACATTTTTTCCTTATAAATAGAGCCTGGAATTAAATGTTAAAAAACAAATAAAATGAATGAAAAATGCTCAAAAATTTAAAGTACTTTAAAAATGAAAATTTTAATTTGTTACATGAATCAAATTAATTAATGGTCAGTGTTTTAGATTGCCATTCAAAATGAACTTTGTAATGAATTTTTGGTTTTATTTATAAATATTAAAATTTAACCATTAATTATAATCTATATGATTAAACTGTTTTATTGTTTGTAGATTTGAATAACCTAATCAAAATTAATTCATTTTAGACAGGTATCTCATAACATAGCTATATATATATATATATATATATATATATATACATACAAGTATATATTAGGGTTATTTAGGAAATAATCAGTGTTACAATAATCATTGCATAGTATTTTTCATAAAATAAAAATTGAAACAAGTATACGAAAAAAATTTTTTTCATGAACCTTTAAGCTTATGTCACCACGTGTAACTATGTTCTTTCTAGGTAAAACTTTATACAAACACTATTTTATAGATTTATTGGAACAAATTTCTACCCTACATTCCTCGAAAATAAAACTTCAAAAATAAGTGGCATTATATTGTAAATTACTTAAATATAAGCTGCTATTTGAAAATCAAAAGTAGGTAGTTGTTTCACCTATAAAAATAAGAGGGAGGGGAATGATAATGTAGATTTTTTGAACTATTTGTTTCGTAAGTTTCACCAAAAAAAATTCTGAAAAAAGTAAGTACTTTCAGAAATATTGCATTGTGTTTGTCTTCATGGAACACGCTGTGTATATACTCGTATGAATAAATCTTTTATCTTTCATTTGCTCACAATAATCTATTTATAAATAGAAACTACAGGTTTTGAAACAATCTTTGAAAATTCAATTACGAATTTAATTAAAAATAATAAAAAAAGAAGCGAAATGATTTCATAATCGTCTAGCATTACATATTAACAATCTAATAATAAATTTAGTCTCTATTTCAATACCTGATAATCCTCTAAGATGTATAAAGTGTAAGTGGTGTCAAAATTTGTTACAAAAGTAATAAAAAAAGTCTTCAATTTTTCATTTAATTTAGTCATTTTCTTTTGTACTTTGAACCTATATATTTATTGTGCTATTTATTTACTATAGATTGTATATTTCTTATACAAATATAATAAATAATAAATAGATTATGATATAAATTGATTTATTAGATTTCCAACTTTATTATAAATATTGTTATTGTTATTGCTTGGACATTTTTTTTACAAATTATATGCCGCTTTGTTGCTACACTTTAAACATTTATTTTAAGTGAATTAGTAAATAATTATGTTACCTATAAATTTGCATGAAAATTGTATGCTTGATTTATAAATTAAATATTTTGCTTTTTCTTTTCCCTGGACTTCATACTAATTATTTGGAGTCAGCCATTATTGTGCTAAACTTCCAGGTAACCAGATTTTTCACCTTTCATACACCAGTTATCCCCATATCATTCAAATCCTATCTAATAACCACCATTTTTCTGTCTTCTTCGGTTTTTATTTATTTAATTTTTAACTTGTTAATTACAAAATACAGTAGAACATTCATTATACAAACCCTCTATTATCCCAATGTTATTAATATGTTAAGGTATACTGATTTTATCATTTTTGTCACACATTTGTATTATTACATTACCTGCTGTTATGCATATAATGCTGCGTGTTTATTTAAACAACATATCTATGTGCAGGTAGCATATCAATACATACTGTATTATTTTTGTACAGAATATCAAAGTCCATTATTTTACATTTTATCTAATTTTTGAAGCGTTTTGCTGCGAGTTTTAAAATTTTTAAAAAATTTGCAGTATCCAAATAAGATATGGTCCCAATTAGTTCGGATAATCGATGTTCTACTGTTCAGGATAGTAAAATTTTGTAAAATCTGTATACAGGAAGTCCCACAAAGATATACATATTGTAATATTTCTGGAGGTAATAAAGTAATCAAATTCTATTTTTTCTTTATTTTTTAAATTATTCACAAGGACAAGAACTACAAATATTTATATTTCAATTAATTTTTATGTTTTGTAAAAAAAACTTCATTTTTGAAAAATTTGAAAATAGGTATTTTATAGAGTTAATTAATTCTTCTGAAAATGTTGACTTATCAAACTTTTTATTTTCATTAAATTTATGATTTTTAATAATTTTATAAAGTTCAGAGAAAAGTACCTGCAATTATGCAGAAGGCTATAATAGCATTCGCTAATTGATTATTATTATGGTTATTAATTGGCTGTACCTACACTTTTTTTCTCTGAATTTTATAAAATTATTAAAAATCACAAATTATAAATAAAATAAAATGTTAATACGTTAACATTTTTAAACAAGTTTTTACCAAAATGAAAAATTAATTGAAATATAAATATTTAGTCTTTAATCCCTGTGAGTAGTATATGAAAAAAAAAAAAATGAATTTAAAACCTAACCTAATCTATCTTTATTATCCCCGGAGATATTACAGTGGGTATGTCTTCATGGGACACTGTGTATATATATATATTTAAACATAATATGACATAAATTAAACACTAAATAATACAATTTTGTGTATTTATTTATTATTTAAAACTGATTTGTCATCCCTGTTTCAAAAAAAAAAAAAATTACTCGACACATAAATAGTTTTTTATTTTAGTAAAATAAAATGATCAGTTAATGTTTATGTTTTTGTATTTAGCTTTAATAGAGACTAATTTTTTATAATTTATAAAATAATTTTAGACAAGATTGACTGAACTAGATAACCCAACAAAAGTAGAACACTTACAAAGATTGGATGAATTAAAAAAACATTTATTGGAACTTGAAAAACAAGTAATATAAATAAACCTTGCTGTACTAAAAAATAAATAATAACCAAATTGTATATATTTTATTAGTATGAAAAAGGAAAACCTTTAGTTAACCTTGTTGATAATATGGTGAAATTGGGTTCATTGTATCAAGCTGGTTCTGCACTTGAAAATCCAGATGGTCTTTCAACACCAACCATATTAAAAGAGCGTCTTGAATTTAATGATAAAGTGCAAGAAAAACGCCTTCTTGCAGAAGAAAATAAAGAATGGCAACGCATTAAACCAAATGTTAATGATCTACAAGAAAAAGTCGATAGATTGTATGATTTAGATCAATTGATGCAAGAAGAATCTGGGAATTTATTGCACTTAAGAAAAGATAAAGAATTATTAGAAAAAGCATTAGGTGGCCTTAGGCATAAAATGCAAGGGATACATAGTCCAGCTGAAGAAGAACGTTATAGGAGACAACAACATGTGCTAGAGCGTGAATTGAGTACAGTTAGATCAGTTTTAGCTAACAACTCTAAGGTAATTTTATAATAATTAACTAAATTAAATCATTTTTGTCATAAATAATATACAAATTATTTACAGAAATTGGAAGAAACAGTAGCTGCAAATGCAAGATTAGAAACAGAACTGGTAGTTTTACGTCAAAAATTACAATCATCTAGGCGTGTACCAGATACAGGTTCAGGAGGTCCTACTGTAGCTGCATTAGAAGCTGAACTTAGAAGAGTGCAACTGCTAGTTGGCGATTTACAAAGGCAACGTGAAGATTTAAGTGTACAGGTTCGACAGCTTACAGAAAAATCGAATACACTCTCTATGCAAATGAATAGTGATGAAAACGAATTAAGGGGTAAAAAAAGATCAGCTCAGGATTCATGGGTAGAAACTGATTTAGATGATTCAATCCAAGAAGATAAAAAATGTAAATTTCAATTATTTACTGTTAATTGAATAGATGTAAATATTTTATTTTTTATTTTAGTTTCCACTCCAAGAGAAAAACCACAAGAGATAAAGACAGTAAGAATTGTCAAACGGGAATCAGAGAGACGACAGAGAGATAGAGATAAATGTGGTGGTAATATTGGTCTCCCGTTAACAAATGTTAGTGTTAAATGTGTACCTGTTATTGAAGAAAACGATTATAAAGTAAGAAAAAATGTCAGTCATATACATCGATTTAACTGGCTCCACTTGATATTTTAATAAGTAGACTTTTTTCTAAAAAAAAATGTTTAACAATTTAAGAAAAAAGTTGCTTTAGAATGTTTAAATTAATATTATTTTTGGGGGTGAAATAGCTACCTAATTTAAATTTTTAAATGGCAACTTATATTAAAAAATTCCATAAGCAATTATTGTAGTATTAGTTTAAAACATTTGGTGTTCAAATTTTTGAATTCTATCAACCTGTTGACGAGATATCTCACTTATAAGTTTGGGTAAGGTAGATCAGTGAAGCATTATTTGTATGGTATTATGTGATACATAGCATTTAAATGAATAACCCTGTATATAATACACAGAAATATTTTAGTTTGTATAATATACTTTAAATAATGATTTAATTATTTTTATTCCTTTTAGAATGAAGATAGTTATGTTAAAAAATTATCAGCACAAGAACAATTGTTTGGTACTAGTTCTGAAAATATGACTTATGATATGTATTCAAATTTTGATCTTGAAGACCATTCAATTCTTCCAAAAGAGGATGCACCTTTATCACCAGTGTATCAAAGTGAAGCTGCAAGGCAAATTGTACTAGAGTTATCAAAAAAAGATCAAAATGATTTTAAGCAGCAAAATGAGTCATTAACAAAGAGACTGGTACCAAGAGAAAAACGACGACACCACACAGTCACTAGTGTTCGGCCATTTTCAATAACTGAACCATATAATGTAAGTTTAAAACAAATGTTGGAAAATATTGTGTTTTATTCTAATGTGTTTAATTAATTTTTATAGTCATTTCTATAGTTTTGGTTTTTGTATTAACTATAAAATATTAAGTTTTTTTATCTTGTTTCTTAAGGTTATATAGGTACTTTTCTTAAATCTATATATAAGAGCGACTTTGTTCTAAATAACTGACTGTCTAACAAAGAACCAACACACAGCCTAAATCACTGGGATTAGAAACTTAAAATATTAACAATAGGTACCATTTATGCTATAGATATCCACTAAGGATTTTAAAATTCTACTCTTTAAAGATAGCTGATACATGGCTTTTGGTATTTTCGGAACAAAAATTAAACTATTTGTTGATTTATAGGTTACCTTGATGATATGGTTTATCATCCATGGTTGTCACAGATAAAAAAAAACAATAATAAACATTCCTATTAATAATACTTTTATATTTCATTTATTTTGTTTTTATAGAATAACAAGCAACAAAGGTTAAATGTAATAGGGGAGATAACAGAGAAATACATTTTAAAATAGCAAACAGATATACTTTGTACGATGAGTTGGGGCTACTGTTGTAGGCAAGGAGTTGGGAAAGTAGACGGGAAATTCAATGTATATCTGCATGCCAAGATCAATCATTGCTAAGGAAAAAACAATTCTTAGTAGAGTTATATACGCTTTGGTAGGCCGTAATATTTATGATTTAAAAATAATACATTTCGTAAATCTTCCCGTTTTTCTAATTTATTATGAAAACATTTGGAAAAATAAACCTCGTTAAAGTATCACTCCAGTTAGATTTCTTTTCAGAAAATGTGCTATATTTAAAAATTTAAGCAAAATTACTGCTAGAAAAGTTGTTAAAAAAATAAAAAATAAATAAATATTGTAAAACCTTAGGAATACATTCCTTGCTCCGCACAGAATCTAAAAATAAAGATTTTCCTTTTTATTATAATAGGGCAAAGCTGTGCAGGACAGCTCAATATAGGATAACATTGTCTCCTGATCTATACAACAATAGTGATCCAGATTAAATAAAAACAAAACATAATATGAACTTTAAGAAGAACATAAATTGAATATTTTTTATTTTATTTTTATATTTTTGTTCAATACTTCATGGAACAACTATTAGTTATATAACATAATATGTTTAAGCTTTCACAACCAGAATACTACATTTGTTTTGAAATTGTTAGTACAGTGTGTGTTTGGAAACACTCAATAACTCAGCACATTAAATATATTTAAATTTTGTATTTTTAGTTGCCTAACAAACTTTGATTATACTTATTTAACTATTTATATGACATTTAATTTTGCTCATGCATATACCAAATTTTTTTTTTGGTAATTATTTATTATTATTTTTTTGTGAATTTGAATGGTCACACCGTAATTCCTATATTAAAAAATAACCAAGTTATGCATATTTAAATTTTTGATATTAGTTGTAATTGTAATTGTAGTTATAAGAGATAAATTATAAAATTTAAAAAAAAGTAAGTTTCAGTAAAGAAAGAGAATTATTCCTCTCCCAATGTAGGTACTAAAAATAGCACTAGGAAATATTAGATTTAAAAAGAAATAATTTAAGTGTCATCAAATTGTTGAATAATTCAAAAATATTAGAAATAATATCAAACATTTAAATATCCGTAACTTGGTTACTTTTGAACATTAAAAGTTAGTTTAACCATTAAAATTAATAATAAAAAAAAAAAAAAATAATAATAATAATAATAAAGAGTTAAAATAATTACCTAATTCCTGTAATATACACATGTTTACATTTATTTATTTAAATTCATAATATTTAGAGGGATGGTTGGAGAGCTCGGGATGATGTAGATATGGAGCGAGCTCTAAGACCAGGTGCTCCAGATGTGGTCCGATCTACTATGAATAAGACTGAACCTGCAAAATTTAGTGCAGAAACCATAGATAGTATATTAGGAACACCTAGTAAAATATGTATACCAGAACGATATATCCCAGAATCAGCTCCAGTATCTCCAGACGAACGTAAAAAGAGAATGCACAAAGCTGAAGCTATCAGAAAAATGTTGTCAGAATCTACTCCTATACTTACTACAGGTAAGACATTTTTTTTTATTTATCTTCAATTATTATTATCAAATATGAGTATTTTGTTTAATTATTTATAGAAGGAGAAAATGATGAGCACACAGTCATTGGTAGAAAGAAGATGATTGAAGAAAAAAAACAAAGAGATCATTTATTACAATTAAACCAAATATTAGCTCAACAAGTTATGGAGAAAAGTAAAGCAGTTGCATGTAAGTTAAATTTTGTTAAAATTGTGTTTTATAAATGCATGGGCTTTATATGTTATTTTGATTTTTGTTTTGTGTTTTTATTTACCCTGCTTGAGTAGTCACACATTTTGTTGTAGGTGCAAGTCCCACAAATACTAGAGACTGATAAAATAGCATGAAGGTGTGTTTAATGTTTGTTTATTTAAAGTGGTTTTTAATACATATATACATATATATGTAAAAAAACAAATAAAATAATTAATATCCTTTTATTTTTTAATAAATTATTTATAGTGAATGCTATGGCTCAAGTGGGTAATATAAATTGGCGGTCAACAGAAGAAGATGAACGTGAACTGTCACCTGAAGAACCCCTTCCATTATATCAACAAAGAGAAAATTTTTATTCTTAAAACAATATTTAGGTTGTGTTGCCTGGAATTTTTAGGTTGTATAATGTAGATAAAGAATTAGACTATATTGAACTGTTGAAAATCTTTTTTAAATATTTAAATTTTTGTTGCATAATTTTATTAATTGATGTTTTAATAATGTGTAAAATAATTAGGCAAAAAGTATTGTAACTTGATACATTAATTTATTAATTTTGTGAATAGCAAATGTGTTTGTTTAATATTTTCTTAATGAATTAGATGAAAAAACCGTTTTATTTTTTATTTAATAAAAAAATTATCATATATATATATGTATGTATAAAAAATAAACAAATTGTTACTTCAACTGTATTAAAAATATATTTTAAAGAATTATTATAATCAAAACATGTTCCTTATTCTCAACTAATTGTGCCAATATTGAAGTGCAACTAATATTTTAGAAGTTATTGTTTAATATATTTATGTATATTTCATATTTAATGTATTGATAGGATATATTTATTTTATTGTACCTTAGGTAGACATTTTTATGAATAAACATGAAAAACATGCATACAGTATTTTGTAAGTCTTAATTTTTTATTTTTGGTTTTTAAATATGTAATTAGTTAATTTAAACACATTAGTCAATTATATAATTATTACAAGCTTATGAATACAGTATACCTAGAGTGTTAGGTTGCTATTTTAATCAGATTAAAATATTTTTTATAATTTACAATTTTATAATAAAATAATTGTTTAAATGCATAAATAAAATATTAGCTTACTATTTTAAAGATATTTCAGTTTATACAAATATTTTTGTACATTGAACAGTGCTTAGCAACCATAATAGAAATTGAAATTCAGTTATACTTGACTTAAGTATAGTTTTTACCATACTATTTAATTATATTAATTTTAAGAGGACATTGCACCAAAACAGCACAGTTTGTTCCGAAAATTAATTCATCAATAAATAGAACATGTACTTATAATTGGATTGAATATAGTTATTAGTACTAATTACTGGGTGGCTTACAAAATTATTTTTCCATAATACTACGTAATTTGTCTAGTACATTTTCTAACTAATATTAAATTGAAGAATTATACATAGGTATATATATATGTGACATGTTATATTTTTATCACAATAATGTTTACAACATTTGAGATATATTTGTTTTTAATTAAAAAAAATAAAATAAACTTGTATACAAATTAAAAACAAATGATACAAACTTCAATTTAAATAATTAAAAATTATTAGGTAACATAACATTTGTTTTTAGTTAAAAAAAAAAACTTATGATAAAAAATCATTGACGAACATTTATTAAACTCATTAAAATAAATTGATAATATTAAAATACTACCTATCTTACAAGGATAGCATTTATTTAAGACTACTTAACCTCGAATAATTTGTTTTATTCTATTCAATTTAGTTACACTACTTAGAATATCATTTACAATCTGAAATGTATATAAAATAAATAAATATATTATAGTCAAAGGAAAAAAATACCTGATACTGTTGATGGTGTCACTGTTATTGGTGAAAATGTAGGATACATAAAGTAATTTAATTTATATTTATATACAACAATAAGTTATTGCTCAAACAAAATAATGTTTTAAAATGTTGAAATTTAAAAATTTGAACTTAATATTTATAACAAAAAATTGTAACTATATGATTGATATTTTTATTCGGCCATTGGAACAATTTATGATAAAAATAGAGAGTAAAATTATTAGGAGCCACATAAATTATATCCACATGAACTAAAATTTAAAAAAAAACAAAACCACAATTGCAAAGGCCTCAAATTTTGCCATAATGATTTGAAAATTGAAAAAAGTCTAGAAAGGGCTAATATAAGTTTCATGACATAAAATTGGTCTCTGTAATTTGCCTTGATTCATGGTTGACCACTGTGATCATCCATTTACTGATTTACCTATGTTCAAAATACATAATATTTATGAAGTAGGTATGATAATAAAATGAAGAAAAAGTTGATAATGCTCACGAGTAGGCTATTATTATAGGTAGGTAAGTCTGATACACAAGGTAATTTATTTTATACATTTTATGTAATTGAAGACGTTTTTTCCTTGTTACAAAGTTAATACAAAAATCAATAAAAATTAAACAAAAAATGACCTAAGTGTGAACATCTTGATTTCAGATTCATTTGCGAGACTACATGAGAGAAAATGTAAATTAAAATAAAGGATACAAATTTACATTTTTTAAGGTATAACATAAAAAAATCAGAACATTTTACTAACTGTAAAAGTAAAATATATAAAATGTATAGCTTCTTTGTTATATATAGAATCTCATAGTAAAGAATTAAGATTAATTAGACAAATTAATTTAAAAGTTAGGCAATTATAAAAAAAATATATTGTTAACAATATTGCTAGAACATATTTCGAATTATCAATTGCTTAAAATTATATAGCATTATATGAAGTGAAGTTTTTAATTACCTGAGGATTGTTTGAATACAATATGTCATCTGATGAACTTGTCCAAGATGTAACTGAACTAGAAGTGCCCACATCAAGTACATTATCATTCTTTAAATAACAATTTTTTAAACTAGTTTCAGCAATAGTATGCCTTAATATCGTATTGCTGATGTTTTGAGGATAATCTCCAGTTATATCTATATATTCAATTTTTCTATTGTTTACTGAAATAGGATTTTTGGGTTTTCTTAATTCTTCTTGGAAATTATTTTCAGTTTGAATTTTTTCAGGAATTTCATTTCTTGTAACATGAAATTTATTTAAAAATGTATTAACATTATTTAAAACTATAATTGGGATTACTATTAAATCATATTAATACTGTATATATCAATATACAATAAAGCAATGGGAATAACCAATGAAAGACTATTTGTATACAAATATCTCTTACTATTAGTTACTATATAATAATCATGGAATATGATTATTTGATCATTGCTTTTATTATAATTTTAGAGAGGCATATTTTAACAAGTCCTTTGATAAATGAATACAGATTTTATATTTATCAGAAATGTAAATGTAAATTCACCTTAAAGAGTCATATGTTGGTTGATTTATAATTTTTTCTTTGATGGGAATCATTTGGCTTTTATTAAATGGTTGAAATACACAGACATCATAGTTGTCATTCACTTTTGGACCAGCACAGTCAATTTGACTAATCATAACCTAAGATTTAAAAACCGTACTTTTGAAGATAATACAATATTTAGGCATGGCAAAAGTTTAGTATATACTTTAATCTGGCCATGGCATTCTTCAGTTTCACTAATTACATCATATAATCCAAATGCTTGATTCATATTATCATATTCAAGTGCACATAAATCTATTAATATAAATCCGAGTCTTGCATCTCGCTTAGCATCATGTCCAGCATATTCATTTTTATATTTTTTACACCACAATTCTAATATTAACCATTTTTCCTAAAACCAGATGTAATATGAAATTAAAGTGTTAATATTTTAACTATAAACTTGTATAAAGTGTAATTAATCCTTCTACAGAGTGAAATTTATATTTATTATAAATGAAATACTTTTATTAAGTAAATTTGACATAAAATAATAGCATTACCATAATAATAAATATAAAATTAAAAATATAAGTAATCATCATATTATGAATTATTAGATAATAAAATAAATATTTTTTCACACCTCTATTAATTTTTTTTTTGGAAGCACAATTGTCCATTCACTCTCCCATACGGGATTTGTTTGTTGTACAACGGATGATGTTGATAAATGGCTTCCACTATTATATTCCATAATTATATATGTTGTTGGAGCTGTAGGTGTAGTGTCACCATTTAGTTTGACCATTGGTAAATTATATCCACATTTAATGGTTATTTTTGCTTTAATAATATCATTTAATTTGCCAAAACTCTTATTTTCTGGTCTTATACTTTTTTTATTCTGATTTTCAATAATAACAAAATTATCTATTTGGGTTGCATTTCCAGTTTTCATTTCAATTTTGTTACTTTTATTATTATTAATAGTTATGCATTGTTGCTCTATAACTTTTTCAGTTTGAGTTTTACAATTATGAGACATTTTAACAGGTACTGGATCAGTTTGAGTACTATTTTCAACAGCATTTTCAGCAAATGTGGTGTCGTGTTTATGTAATGTGTATGTTTTGTTAACACAAATATCTTCAGAATCAGATCCTGATTCAGTCAAGTCTATAACTTTAGGATTTTTTTTCATTGGCTTTTGTGAATATGGCTGGTCTTTAAGTGATTTTTCAGGAGATGGAAGTGAGTGATACACTCTTTTATAATTTATTTTTATATGGACATTATTATCAGATGTGGTTCCTACAGTTAAATTATTGTTTAAAACTAAATTTTTGGTAACATATGAAGTTTTAAATTCATTTGCAATGTCAATTAAATCAGAAACTAGTAGCAAAACCTAAAAATAATGATGAAAATTAAACATAAAATATAATATTAGATTCATTTATTTTATTTACTTTTCCAGATGAATAATCATGAACTTGATGAAGATTTAATACAATAGCTGATTTTGTATAATTATTGTAAAAATAGGTTTCTAATGGAGTTGTTGTGGGCAATGTTATCAAATGTAAGATATTAGTATTGCCAAAAGTTCTGAACATTCGACAACACTTAATAACTAAAAACAAACAAAAATATATGTATTTGTTTATTTAAAATATATCATAAAATTGAAGTTTTACCTTTTCCCATGTTATTAGTTACACATTCTGGAAATTGATAGGTTACATAATTAAAGGTTGAATTAAATTTCTTTTTTATATAAAATGTGAATTCATGAGTGCATCGAAATATATTCTGTATGTCATAAGAAATTACTTTATCTAACGGATCTTCTAATTCATCAGTATTAACTTGTATTGCAATATTAAATGTTTTTATTAAAGTTTGCACAGATTTGTTAAAAGAACGATCTTTTAAATTAGTTTGAATTCCTTGGTCTTTTGTTTCAATTTTTAATTTATTTTTTGACCACTCATCTATGAATAATTGACTTTCAGACATTTCTTTATTATTTTCAGGATAAAGTTGGTTGTAAAAACAATGCTGGTCTTTCATCTGATATGAGGTGAGATCTTCATTTTTTTTTTTATTTATAGTATGAACTGACTTATGAATGTCTATTGGTTTACATTGTTCCTTTTCAGAGTCTTCTATTTCTATTATATTTTCAACAAGTTTTTCAGAAAAATTATCTTCATGTTTTTGGAGTGTAAATGTTTTAGAAAACTTATATGATAAAGACAAATGACCAGTTATTTTATTATTATTCCAAATAGGAACTTTAATGTATCGAGAAACATCTAAAGTAGTTGAAAATCCAGTCCAGTCTAACATTTCTTTGGTTTCACCAAGTACTATAGGATTTCTTTCACTAAGAAGTCGTACATATGCTTTAATGGTAACACCTTTAACTGTAGAGCCTTCTAAGCGAGATGATAGAGTACAATTTGTAAATTTCACAACTAAAATTTTAAAAAAATATGTTAATATGTAACAATTAAATACAATAATAAGTACTTTTATATTCAAACGAGAACAAAAAATCAAATTAAAAAACATATTGGTTGAACTAATTTTTAATATTATATTGTTACCATTATCATCAACATGTCTAGATAGAAATCTCAAAGATTTATATGGTTCTTGATCCTTAAGACATTGCACAATATAAGTACTATTAATATCTAAAACAAAAAATTATATACATTATATAATATATAATGTATGTATTCATTTTTGAATTGTGTCTTTTTTCCTGGTAATTTAAAGTTTAAACATGAATATAATAAAATAAAAAATATATTCTGTTTAAGAGGAGGGTACACCAGCATTTGCCATCTTTGTATATTTAATAGACAACATAGCAAAGATTTGTTTTCACATTAAATAATACTCAGATTCTAATAGACTTAAAACAAATATTATTATTTATATTTTAAATATAAAATTGTGTATCAAGTTTAAATTTTGAAATATTAATAGATTATCTGGGAATTTGATATTGAAAAATTCCTCAGTGAAAACATAGACAGTGTTGTCGTCTTTAATTTCATTTAAATAGTAAAACAAATAGTAATTTATTTCAACTTTTAAGTCTATGAGCCCCTATTGGAAATACAAAGACACATATTTGCTACATAGTCTATTGAATATACAGAAAAAACAAAATGCAGGCATCTTCTGTAAGGTAAATATATATTTAAAAAAGCCAAAACTTACAGTTTTGGAGTGATTTAACCGTCCGGTAAACATTAATTGAAAGAACTGATATATGCATGTATACATCATCTTTTGGTACAGATGCTAAAAATATAAAATCTATAGTAATATTAATATAATAAAACATGTCATAAATAATAATACATATTATAAAGATATTTATATTCAGATATAATATGGTAAGGTGCTTTTAATTTATTTAATTATAAAAACATTAAAAAAAATGTATATAGTAAAGCACACTGTTACAGACAAGGCCATTCTTATTCAAGATAATCTTGATTCATTGATAATATTATTTGTTATAAACAATCTAGACCTAAAAGTGTTTTCAACCATGTATTATATANATTCAAGATAATCTTGATTCATTGATAATATTATTTGTTATAAATAATCTAGACCTAAAAGTGTTTTCAACCATGTATTATATAAAAGAATAAATTTAATAAACACTTGTTTTTAGTGATCTTATATATTGAATAGTCTTACCTTTATATGATTTTTTATAGAAGTCTTTTTTTAGATCATTACTATGTAATTTGGTAAATGGTTTCTTTAAAGTTACTTGTGTTGTTTTTATATTTTGAATGCTAGGTTTAATTTTTGTCATCATTTTGGTATGACCCTAAAAAATATATTAAAAATATAATGCAATGTTACTTAAAAATGGTATTAAATTAATAATATAGTCTGTATTATGAATTTTACATTATACACTTATGTACAATTTTAAAATCCACTAGAATAGTAGTCGGCAGCCCAAAGCCTTTTTTATGGTATATGAAATCCATTTGTAGATCTTGTTTATTTTACTCTAACATTGCATTAGAATGTTAAGATTAAAGAAACTGTAAAACTTTGAAACATTGTGCTTTAATATAAATACCTTTAACAAATTACTGCCCATTATCAATGGTAAACTTAGTAGAAATACCTATTATTTTTAGATTTAGAATAAAATAAGGAACTATATGTTCTTTTTATTTATGAAGTTTTATTTTTTGTATTCTAAGTTATATTTTTCAAGAAAATGAAACATTAAATTTCTAAATTATTTCACATTTATGTAATTATGAAACCAATGATCATTTGAATTTTCTGATTTAATAACCAAAATAATAAAGCGGGCAAATAAAGTATAGCAATTACATAGAAGTATTCAAATTTTAACTCTCAACTCAATACAAATAATTTTCTAATAACATAATGATTGACTCTCAAATTAAATTTTTAAATTTATAACACAAATATTCTGTACCTACTGAAATAAATTAAATATATATTTTAATTAAAGGTCATATTCGGTTTGTACTTTAAAAAGTATTTAATTAATAAATTTATAGATACCTAGTTATTATTATTTAATAAATTTAACATACATATTTTATTATATTTTACCAAGCACATACACATAAATAAAATAGCAATAACAATAAAAATAGTAAAAATAATAATTTAATATATTTTTTTGTTACTTGAACACATAATGGTGACAGTGATGTAGAGTAAATACCATTGTTTTCAGCTGCACTAACTATGCTTTCAGCAGAGGGCATTATTGTTAATGCACTAAGAGCTTCCTTTTCTTCTTCAGGAGCCATATCTTTTCCTAAATATTACTCAAGATATAAAAAGTTTTTTAAAGAAACTATTTTTAATTTTAAAACATAAATTAATTAATTAATTACCCATTAAATAATCACTAGCTAATTCTTCTTTGCTTCTATTTGTCTTAGACGACAAAGAACTAACTGGTGGTTTTATATTATTTAAAACTTCATTTTTAATTCCAAATTGTGTTAATAATTTAATATCATTGTCAAATGATGTGTCATTAAATGTTTTTAAATTAAAACATAATTTTAAAATACCAACTGTTTTCTCATTATTAATCAATGGTAATGTTTTAACCAGTTGATTATCTTGAGCAAGCATTAATAAGTTTCCGATAGTAGCATGAGCAATAGTTTTATTTTCAGAACTTTTAACTGAACATGTTAATGTTGATGTTGATAAGTAGTTTAAAAATAATTTATAGCTAGTTCGAATATCATAAGTCATTCTAGCAAACTGAGATGTCCTGCAATTGTTTTATATACTTAATTAATTACAAAAAACAATGAAATTATTAGTGTAGCATAATGATATTGATATTTTGATATGTGATTGAAATTATTGTGAACAATATTTGATATTAATGTGTAATAAAATGTATGTTGCCTTATTGTTAAGTTTAAAAATCAAAAGTGGACTTTTTAGACTTACCAATAGATTTCTATTCAACTATCAATGATAATACATATACCTACACTAGTTTTCAAACCATAAAATAGTGAATACTATACAGAATTCTGTCATAAGTAGCAGTTCATATTTCTCTTAGATTTGTACAATTCTAGATTTACATAATTAATATTTATTATTTGAAGTTTACTTGTGTATGTTTTAAAAATAATTGATAATTAGTTATTGAAACTAATATAAATTAATTAGTTCCTACATGGGATGATAAAAGATTTCAAAGGTAACAAAACATACCAAAGACAATAACACAATTAAAATAGTACCCTTTACATACTTTGAAACAAATTATAGTTTTTAATTGGAAATGGTAAAAATGTAGGTAACCTATAATTTAATATATAAGTTATAACAATGTAGTAGGTAGTCAAATATAATATGTACAATGTATATATAGGATCAAACTACACACAATACTTTAGAAATAAATAATTAATAATTACATTTATTTAATAGGTTTAGTTATTAAGAAAATAATAAACAATACTAGGTACCTCACAGCGAATAAAAAAGAAAATAGGTTTGTAATTTTATAATCCTAATTAATAAATATTGATTTTTGGCTTTTTAAAAATCTCAAAAGTAATATTTAAATCAAAACTATCTTAAAATGTTGTACATCACTAGAAAATACAATTGACTTTTTAATACAATTATTTTGGTTACTTACAAAAGTTTATGTTTTTCTTGACTTCCAGTCCATTCAAATTGTACATGGCTACTTTTTATACCATTTTTATACCAATATATATCTAATACAGATAGTGTTAAAACACCACTGATTTTTCCATTAAAAAAGGGAGGTAAATTTGGCATTGTGAATTCAAATTAATTTGGTTCTTTTAATCTGTAACAAAATATTAATTTTTAAAAATATATAATAAAGTGCACAATAAGAATGGTTATTAAAATCACACATTTATATTAGTTGCTAATTTTGAACTGATAAGTAAATATAATAAACAAGGTACCATATAATTTATAAAACTATAAATATTTAATTTTTGGTACTTTTACTTGTGATTCAAAAAGATCTAAAGGGTATCATTATAAGCCATTTCATTTTTTTAACAGCAATAGTAAAACCGTTATTAAAAATAAATAATAAGAATTACCAAAATCTGAGTAAAATAATGATGTTAGTAATTTCATTTGTCACGTGTTAATACTAAAAGCTTAAAACAGGAGTTTAATTTTGATTTTTATTATAAAATTTAAAACAAATTAGTTAATATATCAAAAATAATACAATTTAAATTTAAAAAAAAGAAAATAGGATGCTCAACTGTAGCTGATAAGAAATGTCCGTTTATCATCATTGAATAGCAACTTGGCCGTAACCATGATTATTATCAAATCTAACCACAGATAATAAAATAATTGATAGGGTATGCAATAGTACACTACATCTAGACGGAACATTTCCCCCGAGGACAGGAGGTTAGGGTAAAAGTACATTTATATTGCCTTAAGAGTGTTGAGAAACGTGGTCGGTCTAAATGGATCAAGAGAGATAGACTGATATAAAGCCTGGTGTAAGAGAGTGCAAATTTGCACTCCGAGGACAGCTAATTAAAACACACCGTTTATTATTTCACGTGTTTCGGTCCTCCAAATAGAGAACAAATAATAGTATTTATAATCAATGATAATAGATAAGAAATATGTGAAACGGAAATCCAAACTGTATGAAGTTTTCTCCCATCATTTTTATACGAAGTTCATCCTACTTTTTTTTTACATTCTTAATCTGCACGCAAAACACAAATTAAACAAAAAGAGACGTATTTGGATAATAGGGACGAATGCAGTAACTGTTCTAGATAATTTAATATATACCTATAAGTAGGCACGTACACAAAAAAAAATCAGGGAGGGTTCATAAAAAATGTACAATAATCAATATTACCAATATTATCAATATTTTTTAAAACATATTAAATTTACATAAATAAATTATAATATTAATTTTTGGTCGGGGGGGAGGGGTTAAACCCTCCCGTATACGTGTCTACCTGTAAGCAACAATTATCTATTAATTACGAAAAAACGATCCTTTGCGTAGTTCTGTTGATAATGATGCTTTGTCAACAATATATGTCATTTTATAGAAAAAAAAATAATTAAATAGGATTTAAAAAATATTTTCTTTAATAATATTTGTTTAATATTGTATCGATTTTCCCGGTTTTCCCATGTTTTATGCTGGTTTTTCACATTTGCTGAGAAAACTTACATCAGATAAGGAAAATAAATTCTGTTAAGAGCCTTTAATATTTGTTTCAATGACCATTTATTTTAATCAAACAATTTGCTTCAATCTGTAGAAGAAACAGCACCACTAAATTACTCTATGGGACAGATTGTACTATCTGGTTTTATTTAATCTGTGGTGCGGTTGTAGTTCTGATAAACAAAAGTGATAGTGATAAGTTAACCGAATAGGTAACACATTTTTAAAATATCTAGACAATAATACAAACGGGATCTGTTATCCGTCTGTCTTCACTCAGCCATGTGGATGTGGATTACCGCCAGTTTAAGTTGTCACTACATAGTCTTTAAACAATAATAATAAAATTAAGATAATTTGCACTTTCAAACTATACATATTCTAATTAATCATGTCATTATTTATATTAAATGAGAATACAAATTTCGAACACATAATTGGGGTACTCTTCAATAATTGGACTGCTCTCAAAGTAAGTATTATAACATGGCAAATACTTTTTGTTATTACTACCTGAGTTTATTTACTACTTCATTCAAGTTGGCGGTTGAACATGGGATGGGAGGATCGTCTGAAGTGATGCAGTTCAAAATTAGCGACTTAATACAAAATGTTCATGAATATCTCCATAAATCTGGTTTGTGTATTATTATGGATTTATATTATTTTTGTAAATACATATTTTTAATTTAATAATTGTAGTAAAATAGTACATTTAATATTATTTTTAAGGATATCTAATGTAGATTTAACAAAATATTATTACTGTATCATTTATATATTTACATTTTTTAAGAAGATTATCTAATCCAAGGGTTTTCAACCTTGAGGGTGTGTCCCCCTTGGGAGGCATGACAAAATTTCAAGGGAGGCGTAAACATGTTTAAAAACCATATTAATACCTCATGAAATAATAAAAAAAATATAACAATACATTAACACTTATTATTACATATTGGCTTCTGTTTTGGTTAACGGTTTTATTTTTGTTTTTTTTTACTCATCAAACTTTTATCTGGCTGGTTTTTGGGCACCCCATGGGGAAATTTGTGAACTCAAAAAATAGTAAAAAAAGGGAGTGTGATTTCAAAAGGGCTGAGAATTCTTGATCTAATCTATCAATAAATAATGTTAACACTAGAATTTTAAAATAAATTATTTATACTTAGCTATTTTGTATATTGTCTACATTAAATAATTATAATTTAGGTGACAGTATGTGTTGGACAGCTATATCTGATATTATTGAAGATGTTATGGATGTTGGGTTTGATGTAGTACTTGAAGACTCTTCTGCTGATGATTTAAGTCGACATATTTGTAAACTTTACTGTGATTGGAACCAAGCAGATGGACGTCAAAAAGTAATTGACGAACTGAAAAATTTACCAGTTACAATTCCTATTCAAGTAGTTCCAGTAAAACCCATACGTGAAAAACAAAAAGTAATTTTATACTACCTATGCTTTTGTTTTTTAAAGAATGTTATAACCATATTTGCTGTCTCTGTCTTACAAATGCACATCATAGGTAATTTACATTCAGCGTGTTAAATTTTGTACTGTAATATTAGAGTGAATTATTGACTTTTTATCAAACTTTAAGAGGAATAAATCTAACTTACTGGAACTTGGGTTGTTTCAATTTTACATTTTTTAAATTGATAGTAATTTTAAATGCTAATCATTATAAATCTGCAAACATTTTGGAACGGTTGCATCTAGTTTAGAAATAATGGATGTTTAAAAATTACCCGTATTGCAATGCACTGAAAGTCTGAAAATATCCCAAAATAATACTGTATTGAACAAACTTAATAAATGGTACTACTATATGCACTAAACATCTACAACTATTCAGACAAGAATAATTAAAAAAATATTTTATTTTATTTTAAAAATTTAAGGAGGTAAAATCTAAGTTTTTACAACTCGTTTTTTATAATTATAAAATAGTAAATATACAGAAAAACTAGTAATATATATATATATATATATATACTTTTTAAAACTTTAGTTAGAAAAAAAAACACTTTAAAATCACATATTTGAGTTTCTTATAAACATGGCACAAATTCACTTTGTACTATAGCACTTTGCTAGATTTAATATCAAACCAAAAAATAAGTAAATGCTCAATCTCTGACGAGTATTTAGATTAGCATTTCTAAAACTGTGGGTCCCAACCTACTGGTAAGTCTTACAATTTTTTTTTTTTAATAATATAAATTCTAAGAAATTCATGTTTTTTTTGTTTATTTTTTATAAACATAAATAAAGTACTAATATTAATGTTGTGATTAGAATGCTTGAGTTAGTCCAAATGCATCATGAACTCTAGCAACTTTCACAGGGAAGTTTTAGTATCAAAACATATTCTGGATAACATGAAAAACATTTTGAACACTTCTGTGAAAATAGTCAACTTCATTAAAACATGGCTATTGCAACCACGTTTATTTGAAATATTGTGCGAAGAAATGAGAAGTTCTCATAAGTCACTTCTTTTGCACTCTGAAGTACAATGGCTGCTAAGAAGAAAAGTATTAACATGACTTATAGATCTCTGCGAAGAAATTGCATTGTTTCTAAAAGAAAAAATTAATTTGGCAAAATTATTACACAATGAAGAATATTTTCTGAAGTATTTAACAGCTATATTTTCAGTTGAAGACAAAATTATAGGTTTATGAAAAAACTGTGTGGCAAAAAAACCATTGAAATGTAAGATTATGATTGTTTTGAAACATTTGAAATTTTCATAATTGAAAATGATATAAAAGTAGCTGATGGCATAATATTAGCCAATTAGTTAACATTTAATTTCATTGAAAGATAATTTTAATTTTTACTTTCTTGAAGAAATGGAAAAATATCAACAAAATAACTGGGTTCTGAATCTATTTAAGGACATTAGATTCACTAGGATATTAAAAAAAGCCAATGAAGAACTCGTTAATTTATCAGAAGATCATCTTTAAAAATTAAATTTAGCCGCAATAATTTAATTCAGTTTGGGTTGTCAACTCATCAAATTCTTTCAGCTGAATCTATACAAATACTACTCCCATTATTATCTTCATACATGTGTGAAGTTTGATTTTCGGCAATGGTGGACATGAAAAATAAACATCAAAACAAGCTACAATTATCAAACTCTTTGCGTTTGAAAATAACTAAGATTGACATTGACAATAGCAGAAAACAAGCACACACTTCGCATACGACTTTACTTAAAAGAGTACATAATAAAAGTAATAAACAAATTTTATTTTTTTTATAATACTTTTTTAAAAATGAAACCATGTGGGTCTTCAAGGTCTTTCAAGGAAAAATTTGGATTGCAGTCCTAAAATGGTTAAAAACCACTTATCTAGATATACTGACACTCAATAATTTCCAGAACTGTATTGGCATGTAAGAGACAATTGTATCTAGGATATGTTCACAAGAAACTTTAGAAGATACGGCACAACCCTTGTGGGGACAATGTGGGTTGTCACTATCTACTGCTATAGTAACCATCTTAATAATAACAATCATGTATAATGTTTAGGAATATGCAACCTCATTATCAGTTTTATGCATCATTTTTTTCATTAACTAAGAGTGATCATTGCAAATTTATGCAAATTCATAATACTATTGTAATAGTACTATTGATTAAAAAAAAAAAAAAAAAAAAAATGAAAGTTTCAGTAAAGTAGCTTGATACCCTTTAAATTTGGTCAAAAATTCACTATAATATAATTATGTAACAAAACAAAATTAGTTCTCTTAAACCCAAATTTGCTAGGTCGGTGTAAGGCAAAGACCGCACAAGCAAGTATGACATTCTACTAATATTTATATTTAGCTATTTATACATTAAACTTTTGTTGAAACTATTTATTTGTATTTGTTATTTTTTAGAAAGATGATTCGTCTAGTGAAGAGTCTGAATCTTCTCCTGATGATGGATGGACAGTAGTAAAACATAAATAAAGTTTAAGGCTTAAAATCTTACCTCCACAGTACAAGTTTATGAAAGAATTTCATTACTAGTGAACTGTTCTTAGTTGGTAATTAAACTGTGCTATGGGACACGTTTACTTAAACAAATAACATCCGGTTAAAATTATATTATTGGTTTATTAATGTTTTTACAAAATTGAATTTGATTTATTATTTATCAACTTGTTCTTTATTCATAGATTATATAATAAACTAATACCAATGCTGTTTGGTTTGTTTAACTATATTTTAATACATTATAGTTAAACCATTACTAAATTATAGTAGTTAGAATAAAACAGCAGTGTTAATTAGTAAATAATATTAAATTAAGGTGTACACAGATGGGAAAAATGCCTAAAAAAATGGATTTTAAATCCTAAAATCCAATCTCAGAAATTATTTACACAATCCGGTATAAATTTAAAAAAAAAATTGTTTTTATTGAACACAGATATTTATCATTTATCTAGCATATTATTGACATGATCAAGTGGTATTATTATATTATAATTTAATTAATAAACACAAACATTCTAATTATAATACCTAAGGATACCCGGATACAAAATAATTAACTATTTATGTATACATATTGTAATTTAAACTATTGGTTTTATTTAATCTAATATATTTATATTTTTTTTGTTTATTAAGCACAAATATTTTTACATTCATTTTTTATCGTCACATATAATTGGGTAAAAAATATTAAGAAATAGTCAACAATTTTAAACAATAACAAATAGATAAATCTAGTTTTTTATATATATATAAAAAAAAAATGAACAATTTAGTGAACATAATATGTAAATTAATTTAATATTATTATTTTAAATTAACTAACAAACTTTTGATAATTGATTTCTGTTTTGAAATGCTAATGAAAAATTCTGCAAATTTAATTGTCAAGGACAACGCTGTACTGGTTGGAAAAACGGTTTACAAATAGAACTAATAGAAAGCAAATTTATATAAGTGAATATTAACTTTTCTCAACAACCACGAGTGAGTGGTTGTGGGTAGATAGATTTTTGAATTAATATCTATAATTTTGTAAATTGAAAATTATTTTTACTATAAAAAAAAAAACTTATTTTGATACTTTATTATCTTTTAAATATTCACCCATGCCTTATAATAACGGTGTAAGTCGTCAAATCACAACGGTATCTTTCAGTCATGTTTGGGCTAGATAAAACTAAAACGCCAAAAAGTAAAACACATATAAATGTGTTTAAAAGTTCAATAGAACGAATATATAATAATTATAATCAAAAAACCAAGTAAGTATTGTTATACTTATATAGTAGAAATAAAAATCAAAATGCATAAACAGTACCTACAACGAGTAAACTGTACTAATGTCAAAATCTGGGAAACAGAGTTAACTTATAACTGCAGTAGACAATTGAATGAGATTAAAATAGTCACTTGAATGAAAAAATAAACATAAGACGTAATCCATAATTAACATTTAAGATAGTATATTTTTCCAAGAGTAAATAATATATTACAATATATTATGTATCTATTATAGTTGTAATTATTAATTTTAAATGACCATTGGTAATTTGGATTTTAAATTCTGGATATATATAGTAAAGAAGTTATACTATTAGTTTTAATGGCAGGGTTTTTTCTCCAAAAAAACCTTGGTTATTAAAAATGAATGGATAAACCAATTTTGTCCTACTGGGAAAGTTTAACCCATTTACGCCCAAGGTTAATTTTTGTACAAAATGTTACTAACGCGTAATAACGTTCGACTATACAACGCAAAATAATATCATCGGGTCGATTATTATATTTTCCAACAGTAAATCGATAATATGGGGAAAATTCTAAAAATAAAACTGATAGCAATAATTTCCGGTGTCCTACATATAGGCCACTGGGTTTATGTGGGTTAAAAAGGGCTCCTACATGAAGGCATATATTTTTTTTCAAATGGCAATACTTTATTTGAACAAGTTTCATATACCAGTGAGAAAAAATATGACAGTTGAACATCATTATTATAAGAAATTCTAACTTTAAACATATATGTATAATCAATTTTAATTACGAATACAAAAAAAAAAATGTGGAATACATAGTTATATTTGTTTGTTTATATTTGCATGTATGTAACAATAAATTATTGCTAATGAAAAAAAGTGATTCTGATTTTTGAGTGAAATTTGATTCAACATGTTTTGAAATACTGCAATACTTCAATATACTTATACCTAATATATATAATAAAAAATATTATATATTATGCTTCCTATAAATACTTCATTATTATTATGTACCAAAACTAGGGTAGATTTACAGTTCTATAATACAGAACCCCAGGTTTATATAGACAATTAAACGATATACTAATTTACAATGTAGTTAATAGTATTTATTTATTAATTTATTTGGTTTTATTCAAGTCTGAGGGTAAAATTGATTTCGAATGAACTATAAAAAAAAATTTGTAAATTGTCACACGTTTGTTCTGTAAAATATATAACATATATGATATTCATCTTTCTCTAAACTGTAGACATTATGATGTAAATACTACAATATTTAAATTACGAGAGATACCTATTTAACATAGGTTTATTGAACATGTTATTGCACAGTTTGGTAGGACGCACAGTAAGTGTATATAAACGATAGTAAAAAAAAAAAATTATAACATTTTATTACATAATACAATACAAATTTCGTTATTTCAGTACAAAATATGACATTGAATAAAAAAACAAAATCAAATATTATTGCGTCAGTGGACGGTAAATTAATTAAGTTTGTTCATTTTTGTATTTGGTCCTTTGGTTGTTGGAAGACACTGGGAAAGGGAATAATAATAAAGTATAATAGAGAGCTAGAGGGTAGTGAAAATCACAATCAAATTCATAGGGCACTTAAGTATAATGCATAAATATAAATAATAATAATAATAATAAAATAACTCATAATTAAGTAACTTTTAACATATACACAATTTAATATATAATTGTATTTGAATAATACTTTGGTGCAAACTCTTCAGGAAATTTACTAGTCATTAATTTTAATCCACATTCTGTAACAGACCATAACGAATCATAATTATTATATTATAAAATAAGTTTTAACACATTAATTTATACTCCCACATTTATTTTGCCTAATTACAATATGAATTCAAAAGCTATTTATTATAAATATTTTTTAATAAACAAAATATGAATTTATGTTGATTTTTTTTCAACTCCCATAACAGCTTTATGTTCTTGTCTGTTTTAAGTTAATTTTTTTTGTAAAATTGTAACTAGGGACCTATATAAAATGTATTTCAGTCGAGGATTGAAAACTATTAATGTGACTAATTATTTGACTAATCCTCGTAAATTTAAATATTCTTAACGAGTTCAGATACTTGAGACGTGCTTTAACTATAAAAAAATACCCCCAAATTTTATCAATAGAAAAAGGTTAATGTTTAACAGTATATTTGAAAAATTTGTAGTAGTTAATGGAGGATTGGAAATTTAAGATTATGCATTCAAATTCAACCAGTTCAAAAGAAATTGATAAAAAATGTGCATATCATAAAAATAATAGCTATTGATAATTACTGTTATAGTAAAACAAAATCTAGTATAGCCTTAACTCACTTTCGGTTGTTGTAGGATTGAGATATTTCTGGTCCCTTGGTTGGCCAAAAAAGTGGTGACAGAATCATCACTGTCCCCATCACCATCGTCGTCATCACTGTCAGACTGGAATTCGTCATCATCGTCAAGGTCACCTGTCAGGGCGGCTTGGAGGTCATCTATTCGCTGGAGAGCTAGGGCTAAGTCGGCCTTGACAGTGGTTACTTCTGATTCTGCCTGTTCGGCTCGTTTTTCTAATGCCCGTTTCCGATTCACATCAGCCGTCTCTTTAGATTCCTTCTCGGCCATTGACTCTCGAGCCTCCCGCAATGAACGCTGCATTTTGCGCACCGCCTCTTGTGCGGCATTCTCTTTGCCATTGGCCATCTCTCGTTCGCTCTCCAACCGCTCCATCATCTCTTTCAGCCGAGCTATTTGCACCTCAAGCCTGGTCCGGGTAGTCAGCTCTAGTTGTAATTTTGACTCCAGTTCGGTGACACGTAGTTGCAGTCGCTTTAAGTTCAGCGAACCCGCTGGGTCGCCGTGGGTCTCCATATTGTCTAAACGGAAAGTCAACTCAGCTAACCGTTCTTGTAAATTAGCCTTATCAGTTTCCAGCTCGGCAATACGTCCTGCTTGCTCTTGTTGGACGGTCTGCTCGGCACTTAGCTGCTGTACTGTGCCCCGATACTTTTTCAAAACTTCGGCTAACTCCTCTTCGTTCTCGTCCAGTTGGCTCTGCAAATGATTCTTATCCCGAGCCAGGCCGGTCGCACGATCTTCGGCTGCTCGTCTTGCTAACTGCACTTCTTCCAAAGAGACGGTTACTTCAGCTAGGTCCGTTTCAGCTATTCCCCGAGCCTTGATAGCCGAATCCCTAGCACTCTCTGCGTCTTCAAGTTGATTTCTTAACTGCCGCATTGCTATGCGATTTGCTTGACTATCACTTCGTTGTTCCTGTACCGTCTGCGCATCCCTCAATAGAGCCTTGAGTTTTTTTATGTCTCTCCTCAGTCGGGATATGGTCTCTTGGTCGTTCATGCTTCGACACCGTTCTCTGTCTTCAAAGTCGACCAATCGTCTTTCCAAATCATGACGTTCCCGAATCAGAGCTGTTCTCTCTTCATGCTCGTTTTCGATTTCACATTCCAGTGCTTTGATCTTCTTTGATGCTGAACAGCGAGTTTCTTCGTTTTCTTGTTCACGCTGAGCCAACTCTCGTCGGTGTTCTTTTCGTTCTTGTTCAAGTCCCATCTCTAAACGAGTCTTCACTTGCTCCAATAATTGCACCTGACCAGCCAAATCATCCAGTTCTTCTTCTTGATCTTTGAGCTTACTTTCCAACTGATGTTTGGACCGCTTGAGGGCAGCGACTTCTTCTTCAGTGTTACCACTAAAAGTTAATTCTTGTAATTCACGATTTAAACCAGCCACTTTCTGTTCCTTCAATTCCAATTCTAATTTAACACTCTGAAATATAAAAACATTAGATAGACGGATATTAATTTTTGTGTTATTATTATTATTTTTTAAACAAGAAAACTAACACTTAGGATCTGTTCAATTGAAAATTTATCCGATAATGCCATATCTTTTTCTCTAGTAATTTTTTCTTTTTGAGCTTTTTCTTTCTTTAATTCTTCTTGTAAAGAATGCAGCTCTGTATCAAATCTGCAATAATTATTTATATAAATACTGCCTACAACATATTATGTGTACATAATAGTATTATATAATTCATTTTTTCTCGCTTTTTACCAAGTATAGAACCTATAACTAATTCATTACTCACTTAAATTAATATATTTGGTAATAAAAATATTGTTCATACTCACTTTTTTTGTTTCTTTTCCAGTAAATTGTTTCGTGAGTTGCTTTCTTCTAACATGAGTTTAAGATCATTTGATTCAGAGTTTAGTTTGTTGACTTTTCGTTTCCATTGTGCAACTACTTGACGTTGTTCTTCTACATCTTCATAAACACCAGCCAACTGAAAGTTATTCAAGCTTTTTAATACAATGGAAATTCTCTTATTCGAAGCTTCTGGATAGCGGACGTTCTTTTTTCTTGGAGGGAGCTAAATCAAATGTTTTCTCCCGCTAATAGAGGATACAATTTATCATTGTTTTTATATAAATACTTTGTAAAATAACGGTTAAAAATGCATTTACGTTTCGATTTTTAATTAAAGTAGTTTTAAATTAAATAAGAAATATTTGCGTGATAACGATTTTTGATACTGGTATTTTTGTTGTTATTAAAGAAATTATTATAAATCAAACATAATCATTACTTTACTGTTCGCCAAATACTTGTATATGAATGAAATTTGTTTGAAACTTTGATACTAAGTTCATTATTAATTATTAATAAATTGTTTTTATAACACTTTAAAAATATCAAAAATCTGTAGTCACGGTTTTTGTTTTATAAGTATTTAAAGTTAGAATTTTGATGGTAAAAATGGATATGTCACTATATTATTCGATTTATGCGGATACAACTTTTTTGGTTATTATATAAAAACGGATAACTATAATTTATTTTGGAGTTCATGAATTAATACAAATATAAATTTAGGTACATATGAATTATACATGACTAGACTTGGTTTAGAATCGTTTTACGTTAATAATGATTCATCACTGCATGGTACATAAATTAAATTACCTACCCTATATAATAATATTATATACCTTACTTCCAACTTAATTTTTTTTTTATTTTGATAAATATTCAGTTGTGTTGAAATAAAATTTATTTTATGTAAACTTATTCCTTATGTTTTTATATACAATGATAATTATATAATAATAGAAAATCAGAATAAATCGAACTATTGGTTTTGAAGCGAGTGATTAAGACGCGTGAGTATGACATGGTATAATATTATAAATGTATATCTGTTAATAAAACAAACGCACGTAAGGTGACAAATTCAGTGAAAAAAAAAAAAAAAATGTAGGTACTACACTTATACCTAAATACAAAATGTCAAAATATTTGGAATATCGCCGGTATAGCAAGAAGATTAGAAAATATAGCATTAGTATCAATATTATTGTACTAACTTTCTTTTCAAGCTGCTTTTTCATTGCCAATAGTTGCTCCATGTCGTCGTTGTGTTGCTGTTGCAATCGCTTTTTCGCGTACTCCAACTCCCGGCAAACGCGCTCATATCTCCTCCTGTAGTATTGGTCACCTTTGTCACTGGTCGCTACAGCACTATCGTCATCACTCATGGTACCGGCCACGGAGGACGATGATGACATTAACGAAGGATCGGTGGACCTCATGCACAACAATTGCATTTCTAATTGTTCGTTGGTCTCGGTCAGCCGAGTTTTTACCGTTTGCGTCTCTTGCAATTCTTTCTCGAGGCGCTGTCGTTCGGCCGACTCGAATTGTAACCTTTCAGAAACCATAGTAACCGTGGAATGTTCCTCGGCCAGGTCGGCAGTTGTTTCTGCTAGCTATATATTCAAATAAACAGGCGAAAACAAAACATACACGTTTAAAGTCGAAGACGAGACTGTATCTACTGGAAAAACAAAGGGAAGAAACAAACGTAAACCTTATTCTCGTGGAGGAGTCTGAGGAGCTTTTCGTTAAAATCCGATCTCTGATCGGTAGTGCAGGAGTGACAAGACCTATACGATAACGGTGATAAAGAACGCGAAACCGATGATCGCGACGACGGCGTCGCGCCATAACGTCTTCTCATTAACGCCGGTGTGAACATTACACGGTTACGGTTACGGGAATGTATACGACGAGAACGTTATGAACGTTATGTTTGGGGAAGTGTCAGTCAGTTGAATGAAATAGGAGTTTGTCTATTGTTGTTTTACTAAGTCCCGTCTTAAAATATCGGTCGCACAAAAATAGACCGGCCCCGGGAGAGGAAATTAAATGCATTTGGCCGGTGACCAATTACCAAACGGCAAATACGCCAATGTGAAAAAAAAAGACACTGTCGAAAAGTTCAAAGAATTTCTCTACTTACTCTCTGTTCGAGTCTGTCGTTGTCCATTTTCAGCTGCGACCGTTCTTGTTCTAACTTGTCTACCCTACTTCGCAGCTGTTCCAGTTCGTCCTATACAAAACGTACAAGAAGTAAACGATAAAATTTAATTTGAACGATCATAAATCGCATCCGTAGTTTACAATCGAAGTACTACGGGTATATTAAACAACATCTTTTTTTTTTTTGGCGAGGGGGGCTGTTGAAAAATAAATTATTATGGTAATATTCAAACTCATTAATGGTATTTAGGTACATACATATTATACAGTATGTTAGTAGTAACTGTAAATACTAAATATCTCGGCGCTGAGCTATGTAGTTTTAATTTGGTCTTTTTAGATAGTTTTAGATTGAAACTAAGTAATACACATTTGTATAGTTTTGGAAGTGTTTACAAATGCATAGATTCGCGCATGTGCAATGCAACTCGTGTGTTTTCTTTTAATGGGAATCTCCTATTTTGAACACGGATTATTATTTGTTTAATTTTCCATAAATTACAGTGGTTGAACCAATTTTTCAAGTTCAAATCAGTTGAGATACAACAGTGTAATAAACGTTATAACTCGCAGCCAATTTATGACTTCAAGCACTACAATTAAAGGAAAAACAAATAAATGAAAACCCGTAGTCAAAACGAGAGATTTCTAATAATAATAAAAAAAAAAAACTGAAGCTGTTTTGCTCAAGTACGAAACCGAGCATTAGTAAATAATTTGTAAACTATAGAAATGCGTAATAATTAAGTATAATAACGAACTAAGAAAATAAAATTTAAATAGCACAATTCAACTTAGAGATATTGATTGTTTTCAATTGTTGACGTTTCCACCTTGGTTAAGTGTGAATTTCGCTATGCGCAAACTTCGATTTTTGTGCACAGCGAGCTATTATAAAAAATAAAAAAAAAAAATTAATCGTTAATTTTCACATAAACAGACGAATCGTTGAACCCGGAGAGATTTAATACACTGCAGCGCCTACTATACCTATCTAAATAAAATTTCATAAAATAATCACGTATTTTATACAGGTATATAAATAATAATATGCGTGTATAAGAATTGCAATATACCACTGTCGATTGTAGAGATTTAATTATAATAATAATTATTATTATAATTGACCTGCGAATTCGCATTTATCTCGCGTTTAAACACGACGCGTCGTACACGCCTAATCGTCATTTTTTTTTTTTCCTAATATTAATTATTAGTTTTTATTTATTTTTTTTCAAGTGCCGGTTATACTCACAGATTTCTGTTTCAATTCGAATTCCGTCCGGTGCACGTTCAGCAGAGGCGTGATTCTAACCAACAACCGCCACCAAGGCCAGTCCCTGACGACCATGAACTTTTTCACATTCCGTTGTATGCACCGTATGGCGATGTCGTTCACTTTGCGTTTGGCGTAGTCTTTCCGTGCAAGGTATCCGCGACAACGGGCTTGTAGCTGGGTAAAGATTCCGGATAATTGTTCGTCACGCTGCGATTCGATTGTCTGCAAGATGCCGGCACGGAAAAAAATCTAATAGAGAGAAAAAAAACCAACAACAAATACAAATTAAACATAGATTTAATGATTTAATCATATATTAAGCATTTGTTATGTGCACGCACGTATACACAAACACACACGTACACACACACAAAACATAATATGGTAGGTACGCAAGAAAATTTAAATCATTTACTCATATTGTCGTCTCCTATAATATACGTGTACAAATAAAATTTTTACCGAACATTAAACATTTGTTTAAACTAATTAATTATTATTAAACATTATGTTCGTACCGTGTTCAGAACACTTATCTATATACACCTTTATCGGATATACTGTATACAAACTAATTAATATATATATATAATAATAATAATATGTGTATAATAAAATAATGTCGAATAAAATAAACGCAATCCGATTATAATACATTCGTAAACTTCAATTAGAAAAAATATTATGAATGGCAGATATCTAATAGATTTTACGTGCCATATCCGTAATAACATTATTTTGTTCTCTGACCTATGCATTTTGAGATAAGATTTCCAATGGAGTACGTTAACGGCTGTATACGTTTTAAAAAAAAAAAATTATTTTATTATTATTTAATAAAAACAAAATCATTAACATGACAAATAATAATAATAAAAAATACATTTCCAACTGCTTTTATTGATGTAAAAATTAATGCAAATAAATTTCGTTATTCGCATAAAACAAATTAGGATATATTTTGCACTTTGGGTAGACTGCTGATGTAGGCTGGAAAGATGTAAGACGTATAGTACACGGGTTTAATTTAGTTTATACAATTTGTAAACGAAAAACAATTCTTAACAAAGTTCAGTTAAACATATGTTTCAAGTTGTAAGCAAATTGTATTATTCAAAATATAACTAGGCGCATCTATAATGAGTGGATATAAAGCACGAGTATTAGGTGAAAGTTTCAAGTAGATGCGATTATTTTTCACTGAACTACATGAAAAAAAAAAAAAAAAAAACAACAGAAATCGTTATTGCGTAAATATTATTTTCCCCCTATAATTATTAATAAAACTACAAGGCAAATAAAAAAAAAACGATCTTTTTCAACGCACCAACTAGACAACCTTTCCTACCATAAACCACCCCGATGTTATAGAGCAAGATTTCAGGTATGAAAACGTTGTTCATAAACAGAAAGAAAAAACAACATAATTTGGCGGAATTGGGGGGGGGGTTATGAGAGTTCAGTTGTACCCACTGGGATTATTCAAAAATATAGTTTAGCATCCACAGACAACATACAAAAATATTAAAAATAAATAAACTAGACTATAGCATAAATACAACGATATATATTTATTCATATATTTATCTATCTATATCATTATTTTATTATTCAAAACACAGAGAAAATAAGAGTGATGTAAAATCAATAAGCGATGACAGTGATATTGATAACTTATAACTTGAATATCATTGTCATAAATTATTAAAATTGAACGGTTAGGTTATTGTTAGATTATTATTATTATTGTACGAATTCCGTGTAATAATGTAAGCACCAAATTGTATTGATTGTTGTAGTGATTTTATGATCAATTGTGTTTAGACGGCGTTATATGAAATTTAAATTTGTTAAAAAAAAAAAAAAAAAACCGTTATCTAATATTATTTATTTTGTGATGGCAGCAATAAAATATTAGTTAGACATAAATTTGTCTTTCTGAGGGAATGTGAGGGACAAAGCCCTAATCGTAGTGTTTGCACCTTTGCTAGTTTCTACTAGCAAGTGTCGTTTGTGATTACATACATAATAAGCGTAGTATAGACACATTCGACAAAGACGAGGTTTTCGTAATAAAAGGGTTTTACCGATTTGAATCGTATTATAATAATAAAAATGCTGTCCTAGGGACAGCATAATGGGGACGGGTGCAGCCACTGTTATAGGTAATTTAATGTATACCTGTAAGCAACGATTAACTGTTGCCAACGAAAACACGATTCTGAGCGGAGTTTGGTCGGTAGTGTTGCTTTGTCAACAACACATATTTTCTATAATAATATTTGTTTAATATTGTACCCATTTTCCTAAGTATTTTCCCACTCATTAGGCAAACCTCTGCAGGGAAAATCAAAAAATGACCTCTAAAACGATTGCGGGTACACAAACAATATTATCATCCACATATATATATATTTTGGTTTTTTTTTTCGCCACTGCAGTGTCCAACGCTTTTGGCCTGATAAACGCGTCCGCAGGAAATATTCCACAGAAATCGATGCGAAACCGAACAATCGTCTAGCAGAAATTATTACGATGTTTATATAGGTATATGCATTCCGTTTCGCCCAACAAGTACACGCGAGCCCCGTTATATACACACACATACGCGATTAACATTAGCCATATATATTGCGTACATATATTTAATAATAAAAATATTATATGAAAATATGTTTCCACGGTACGAGCCGTGAATATAAATTTATAAACGACCGCCGCCGTTACGTCTTCTTCCGTACGCGTACGTACGTGCAGAATGAGGCACACGTGTATACGGGTCTTTTCGAACCGAATTCAAACCAGTTATTTTATTTTTTCGTCCAGAATTAATCCCGTCGCGGCCAACGACGACGACGACGACGACGGTCTAACGGGAAATTGCATATTTGTTCTGGTACGCCAATCGATACGAGAAAAAAAAAACCCGACGGACCGATATTATTGCGCTTAAAAAACGCGCCTGTGTATTTATAGCACACGCGTGCACATCATATTAAACGTTACAATACGATAATCGTTTCGTTCGCATTCCCATCGTCGTCGTTATTAATCTATAACGCGTAAACATACGTGTTTCCGGGCTAATAACACGTAGGTAAAGATAATAACAATATTATTACTATTCGTTTGATCGTTCCGGTAACCCGAAAAAATCGTTTTTATTCTCGGCGCGCGACGCGCCCACACGCCCCGCGAAATATCGCCGCGCCGCCGGCGAAGTGCCGTCCGTTACGCGTCATAATAAAATGTAATTCTTTGGTCGAGTACCTATTATTTTCATTTTTCACGCCCGCGATACATAGTCACACTATTATATTATATTTATAATTTATACATTGTGACATACGATGTGACCATCCGTTTTTCGTTCGCATCGTGATAATATATGCATTGTAATCCGAAAATAGTAAAGCACTTCCACAAGAAAACATACATCAAATTTCAAAGTTAGGTCATAATATATTACATTTTCACCAAAAACGAGTTTGTTGGCCCTTCTCGACCGTAACCGTGCAGTAAAAATGAAATTCGAATTCCTCGAGTCACTTAAATTTTGAATTTCCTTGTTTTAGCATCAACATTTCTTCATCCGCTTCACACTACCTCATCTCGCATTATTTTCTCTATAATAACTTCGAGTCACTTTTTTTTGTCATATCTATCTTCTGACTATCGACTACAAACAAAACCCTCTTATCTGATTGACTATCTCACGACTATCAAAATATTTTGAAAACATAACAATAATTCATCATACTCATTAGACAATGTTGCGGAAAAACAACAAAAAAACTTTGTACCAATGTTCTCGGACCAGAAACGTTTTAAAAAACCTAAACTATTTTTTACAAAACGAACCCGAAACATAATTAATTCCCGGACGAAAATAAATCGAGCATTTAATAGTATGTTAGACTGTATAAGCAACTTATTCAAAATAATGTTATTATAATCTTTAATCACTATCTTATGTGTAATACATAAGTAATTTTTTCTCGAATCAACGGTTCAACACGAGGGAATTTATTTCAAGATTAAGAAACATATAAAACAACACTTAGTCTTGGTATTTATTATTAATTATTAATTTAGGTGGATTGAAGTGATACCTTTTTTAGATGAATTTTACTGTTTTCGCGGGAGAAGGATGTTATTTTTTAGCTCTATACAACCCTACAGACCTTCCCATTGAAGCCAGTGGAAGACATTTCAGTATCAAGGATATGACTTTTGGGAGTTTAAACTTTTACCAACCGACATTTGTTTAAAAGTAGTATTATTGAAGTATTAGGTTATTTCTTGTATTGGAAAGCATACTTCTATATAATAAAAAATAGATAATGGACGGGATGATAATTCGATTCAAGTGACGAAGCTCTGCCGAACACGGGTGTTTTTTTTTTTTTTTTGGTGAACTCGCTAGACGGACTTATCAATTATTTATAATATCATTTTTTTTGGTCTCGCGTTTACATCACTGCCGGACGTGAAAATAGACCGTCCCGTTGTACGTAATATGGCGTCGGACGGTTACATTATAATCTAGCCGGGAGCCGTTAGTTTGGAGCTTGTTATTGATACCTTGTTATCGTTATCGTCGTCACTGGAGCAATCTTCGACGGTTTCCACACTGATCGGTTCAGTAGACGAACATTCGGGTATGGGTGAAAGACATCCCGCCGAAACAGCAATGGGCGTCGCTACGTCATTTCGTCCGAAATGTCGGCGAACCCCTGTGGGCGCGTTATCGTCGTCGCCTCGGCCGTCTTGGTCCGGCTTTGCGCTCGTCAAAGCGGGATAAGACGTCGAAGCGAACGTCACCAACCGTTCAAGTCGGTCTTCCGAGGCGGCGACGGTGGTGCCAGCATCGATCATCGATTCGTCGGAAGACGACGACGACGCCACCGCGTAATCTGCAAATCCGTCGGAACTGTCGTGTTCGCACGCTCCAAAAACCCACGAGTACGGTACCGGTTCCGGTGGCGGGGTCTGGGCGAATTCAGTAGTACTGGCCGTCTCTTCGACCGACTCGTACCCCGAGCTGTGCGGCGAACCGGGTTTCTCGTCTACGGCCGTCACCGACGGGTCTTCTATAAGACCGCCGCCAAAACAGACCGATTTCTCCGAGTCAGAACTGCAGCTACCGCAATCTGAAGACGCGGCGCTGTCCCGGGTACCCTCGTTAATCAACGGTCCACTGCAAGAAAATGATGACGTCCGATCGTCAACCCGGCGTTGATGACGATGTAGTTCACCCAAGAGTTTTTCCTGTCGCTTTTTTATTTCGTATTTGACGACGGCCGGCGGGGGTAGTGGCGGCAACGGCGGCGGTAACGAGCCTTGCGTTACGGGTGACCGATGCTGCAGAAGTTTCGGTATCCGCGTGGTTCGCGGCGGTGGTACCGGCTGTGTCTGAAATTTTTCCGTTATTTTGGACACGGTGCCTTTAGCCACGAACTGCGAGGACCGCGATGACCGACTGCATATGCCGCCGCCGCCACCTGTACCCGCGCCGTTGGAACGGTCGAGTAACGCTTTTTTGGTCTCGCGGACGCGAGAACCTCCGACACCGGCGGTGTCGGCCCCGGCGATCGTGCACCGGCGATCGTCGGCCGCAGCAACAGGTGGCATGAGCGCGTACGCCAACAACACCGGGACGACGTGGTCCAGTAACGACGGACACTGCAGCAGCGCCAACAGTACTGACACCGCCAACAACTGCAGCGACCGACAACGACAAATCCACCGTCGAAGTCGCGCCGGCACTACGACCATATGAACGCGAGATAACACATCACAACAGCGGCGGCGGTACCGCAAATTCAACGTCGCAGACAGATTCGACACGATCGGATACGACGACGATAAACACATCCGGCGCGTCTGGTACAGCCGACATAACTGTCCGTGTGTCCAGCGGCCAATGTCTCTGGTCGCCGACTTCGTTTCGGGTCCATTCACGCGCGCGCTCGCGTCGCGTATACACTTGTATTGTATATATGTATTAAAAACTGGTTTCGCGCCCGAACGACGACCTTCATATAGGTACACGTTAAAATACGTATGCGCACATAATAGTACTACAACGACGTCGATCGTCATCTGTAACAATCATCGTCGCGGCGAAAAAAAAAATATAATAATATTAAGTAGACAAATCGTGGCATTCCTATTGTAAAGCGCGACGATTTGTCGACGGAACATAATATAATTGGTACTTGGTACGCGTTGCAGGAGGTGCGCGCGGTGCCGCGTACCTATCGGATAGCCCTGGTAGGCCCGGGTCTAACGCGAACTCTTCTCCAAAAAAAAATGTTCAATTAATATTGATCTGTCGAAATTGTATTTTTTTTTTTTTATCTGGATCTGATATTTTTAAATATCGTCCCGCGAATTCTGTGACAAACTCGGGCTCGACGAATTAACAAAACTGACACCATTTCAAAATCAAAAAGTACAGTATTACAGTCTTTCCCGTTCAAACATATCGGGCTTACTCCGAAAAAAAATGTCTGGGTAATCCACTGCGGCGTTGTGAACATTATAAATAGGTACCGTACAAGCACGAAAAATCCAAAGATGAAAACGAATTATTTGGGGACCACTGCAGGTATTTAATATGGCGGGTACTATTAGGCACCGCAGTGGTGCAGCAATAAATAGGGGATGAAGACCAGAGGGTTCCATCAATCAGGTTTATTTAATATTATGGTGAAGCTCAAGCTAGCTCCTTCTCCGAGGTTTATGATGAGGTAATTGTACCACTGATTATGCGTTACGACGAACTGCATCGTGAACACGAGAATACGCCGGGATCGAGGTACGGTTGGAAAGTAAATTGTCCACGAGAAATGCGTTAATTTTTTTTTTTCTGGCACACGCGAGAGTAGATGTTTACTATATATTTGTAATCATGCATTTATAATAATGGCCCGCGGAATAGATAAGCTCATTAAAGTTCCTGGCGGTCGGACTGCAGAAACGAACGCCTAGCGCGTAGTGATTTCCCTTCGGCCGAACTCGGCCGCGCGATGATCAACGGTATACCGTATTCGACCTAATTATACAATAATTTTAAATACCGCCTATATTATAGGAACGCAGGTACTGAGAGAATCCATTGCAGTTTTTCATATTTATGTATACTACCTATGCTCGATAATATTAAAAATTACAACTATAAAAATTGAACTTTTTATTTTTAATTCCGTAGCACCAAATATTTTCTTTAATTAAACACACCTAAAAACGCGCGTTTTGATGAAGAGATGAGGTGAAAATCCCGTTTGAAAATTAGAACCATTTATATCAAAGCGCGCATATTAGACGTTCATAATGGTGTAAGTAATTTGTTATTCTTCTGACGGTTTGCCAACACTGTTTCCGTTTTATTTTTATCTCAAATTTTATGTACAAATAGTATAAAATGGAACTATGGTATTTTATAGTCATAACAAAAGAGTTAATCCGATTCGAAATTTCGGGTTCCAGTCTAGTTTCGTTGAAAATATGATAGGACTCGGGCAAAATCTTATTTAAAATATTTGAGTAGGCAATTTCATCTATTTCATTCGATTGGATTTTGGCGGATTTTTAATGTTATATTTAAGAGTGAAAAACTGTTTACAAAGCAATTGCAATTGCCCAGATCACATATTGACTATAGACTACTTCTGGAACGTTTCAATATTACCAATTCTGAATTCATGTTACAATAATGCTTATTGCTCCTGTTGTTTTATACTAGGAGCATAATCGTGTCGATTAATATTATAATGTTGTCAAAGGCAAAATAAATTTAAAATATTTTTGTTAGATACATATTTCTATGAGTAAATTCATTATATGTTTATTATACAATTTGTTTAACAACTCATTCCATATGGCGCGGACTGGAATGCAATTTCGGTTCACGTAATATGACTATATTTTTATTATAAAAAAAAAAATTATCAAAACTTAAAACGTGGCTCTTTATATAACAACTACAGGCCGATATGTATTTCACACGAACAATTTAAATATTGTTCTTGCGGATCGCACAGACTTCTGAATTCATGATAACAATTTCGCTAAGATTTTTTAATAATTTGTTTAAAGCACCGTTCCCCAAACTTTTTCTCTGCTTGACCCCTTAGAGATAGTAAAAATGATCGCGGACCCTCTCTTATACCTTTTTATACATCAATATTTTTGTTTTTATGTATACTATAAAATAGTATTTTCAGTTTACGTTCGTGAACCCTTCAGGTATACATCCGAATCCTTAGGGGTCCGTGGACCACGTTTTGGAAACACTGGTTTAGAGCATTCTATTATACGAATATATTCTTACGTCAAGACGTTTCAGTGGCGATAAAAAACTTAAAACAAAAATAAATAAACTAGTAATAAGAAAAATACACGTGAGTATGGTATTTTTAAAAACAGAATATAAACACGAAATTATAAGATATTAGGTAATAATTTAAATAGAATATAAACTATGGAGTAGGTATTTATTACATAAATATGTTCAATAGTTATTCAGATATTTGATTATATATAATTAAAAACAATTAGGTACCGAAATGAAAAATTTTAAGATTACATTTTTGATTCATTAATTTAATATTTGATATTTAATGACATTAACACGTTATAAGTAAATAAATGCATTTTAAAAGTCGTAAAATGTTCCAGTTTTATGACGAAAAATACTGATTTTATTTTTACCATTTGATAATTTGCCAAAATTCAATAGCGAGTGTAAATAATACATAACAAAATCATCGATGCTTTTCAAAATCTATTCTGAAATTAGACTCACAAAATTCGCAATGCCCTTTCTGTTTGTTTTTTTATTATATTATTAAAAGCATGTAGTAATACAGTATTTTTTTTTTTTTTTTTTTAGAACGGACATGAAACAATAAGGATAACAAATTCCTACCACAGTGAAACTAATTAAGTTATGAAGCATATTCATTCAATTATTTTAAAGTTTTGTACTGAAATTTAACAATGATATAACAGTTTTGCAATGGCATTTACAGTTTTTTTTTTTTTAAAAAAAAAGCTACAAAAAATAATTATTGAATTATATTAGTTAAATTAAGTACATTTAATATATTTTAATAGTACAATTTATTAAAAAAACTAAAATATTATAATAAATAAATATGATATTTCAATATTAATTTTTTTAAATTCTGATTTTGTTTTGGAACCTATGAGTATCTCACACAGAGATCTATATCTTATACAGTTATACAGCATATTATATTTCAATTTTACAGATAACCAAAATAAATTGAAAAAAAATAAATATATATATACACATATACAGTGTCATGTAGTCTATAAACAAACTTTATTTGTATTCTTTCAGATGTACGAAGTATAAAAAAAATATAAAGAAATAATAATAATGAACACTACATAGTATGTACCTTTAATATTTGTCTATAGTACAGTTAATTTCACTTTTTTCATCTTATTGCTCAGACGTGCATGACAATGATTATATCACTTATTCATAACATAGACAAGGTCATCGTATCTTCTTGTTGTTGTACAGGTATAAGAAAAGTTAGAAATTTTCACTAAAAGCATTTCCGTTGCTTTTTTACGATTGGATATGAGAATAATACGTATTATTTTAATTTGTTACACTCTTAAAAAGTCTTTAGTAAGCAAAATAAAATATTCACTTCTATTCTCATTAAAATTTATTGAAAATTTGTTTATGGAAATAATTGCTAGCTGTTTATGTAAAAATAAATAGTACCCAACAATAAAATAAACATATAACGAACATAATGGGTAATACTAGTAAATTTGTAATTTTCAAATTAGTAAAACCATATTATTGGTTTTAGAAAAAAAAAAAAAAAAATTATATATATAAAATAAACGCATTTACCTAATTCAAAATCATTTTAACCACTAAACTAATGCTCATAGACATAATAAATTCAATTTAAAAGGACAATTTATTCTTTTTGTACTTTAAAATGTTTCACACTATTAAAATATAATACGGGAACAACAAATCCCATTATTATACATAGGTACGTTAACAATGTATACTATCAAAATTATTATGTCTTAATAAAGCGTATCATTCTCCGGTGAAATCATTGCAATCATATTTTATATTTGTCGTTCAAAACGGTATAGATACTGCATATTGTGTACATTACAATATGTTATAACAATAAATTTATGCCAAGTAAAATATGAATATGTATGTACACAATATGTACACAGGATTCTTTCGATATATCACGACCGTTTATTTTTTATCTTGCCAACAAATCACTCGTTAAGAATAACAAAAGTATATATGTTGATTTTTTAATATAAAACCTATAAATCATATTTTCATAACTGAAAATTAATACTATATACATGTACTTTTACATGTAGCTACTTAAATTAATTTCAGAAAACAATGCACTCATAAAAAATTTAAGTCAAGTAGGTACTTAATAATATCAAATAAGAGTTGTTTTCTGCAGAATTTCTACTCACTCATTGGCAATATCGAAATTTATACAATGTTATTTTTAGATTCTGAGCAATGCGAAGAATGTATTGCTTTTACTGATGGTATGATTTTTATTTTTTATTTTTGGTTGTTTCTAGTAGAAAATGTTGTCAAATTGATGGATGAATCGGGGAAATTATTAATTTTTTAAAATTTTAATTAAAGCTTTTTAAATAATTGGAAAAAAACATCGTAAAAACGAAACAATATATGTAATAACAGTTCCTGTTATCTTTGATTTTGTTTTTTTTTTTTTTGTAATTTAGTTAAATAAAATTGTATAGAACATATTTTAACAGAATATTTATGTTAGCATTTAACAGATATGGTAAAATTTCAAATTAATTGTTTGATTTTATTATGTAAATACAATTAATTTATTTCAGCAAAAATGTTTCAAAATATAAAACAAGGTTCATTATAAGTTGTATTTAGAGGTAAAAAAAAATTCAATGTATTTTAGTAGTATTTTTTTTACATAATATATAAAGTTTTTATCTTCGCTCAGAATCGTTCTTCGAAAACAATGATTCATCGTTGGGAACACATATAAAATAAGCTACTCTATAAATCCTACCTTAAAATTTTATACATACAACAACGGCAAACCCATCTACAGCGTATTAGATCTTTTTTTTAATCATTTTTAAAGTTTTATTTAACCTCCTGAATGTGCCAAATGTTCTGACGACCGCGTGGCAAATTTAACAAAATGCCCAGCATAGGTATCAACAGCTACCAAAAAAAAAAAAAAAAAAAAATCACCGAAATTTCTGTGTAAATTACCCTTCTCATATTCCTCAAAGTTTTTACCTTTATATGCATTTATAATTGTTCATAATCCAACCACCTTTTTACTTTTCATTAAACTAATACATGTTTCATTAATTACATTAAATTTACAATAGATATTTTGAATTAATGAAAAAAGTGACCAAACAGGAAAGAAAAAAAGGAAAGCCATACTTTTATAAAATATTAATCGAAAATCATTTTTAAATGTAAATATTATGCATTATAAGTTTGGAAGTAAACAAAAACAATTAATAAACTTTAATCTTGAAAAATCCAGACAGAAAGTTATACAAACTACGTATGTATGCATTCAATTTCACGAAGAGAGTTATCGACCATCTAAAGGTAGAGAATAATATTTAAATTAAGCTGTCATTTTTTAAATCTAATAATATTATGTTAAATTATCCAAATCTGTTGGAGAATTCCAGAATTTTAAAAGTTTAAAAACTAAATCGATAGAATTCTACAATCACCCAAATAATAGTTGTAAGAGTTATTAAGAATTTAAATATCCACCTCATCTATAAATATTGATGAAATATACTTAATTGAATTATCCGATGAACTTTTAACAAAAAATTATTTCAATTTTATAAATACCAAATATAAATAATACGTTTTACTTATTAGAGCAATATTTAGAATTGGAAACATAAGCTTTGAAAATTTAAAATAATTTATACGTTATTGAGCCGTAAAAATCGTATATTTCGTTTTTTATTGGGTTTTTCAATTGTTATGAAAAATACTTTGGATACAAAAAAAACGACTTCCTTTGTCAGTAGCTATATGTTAGAAGAAATCTATTTTATAATTTTCGACTGGAGTAATATTTCTGATAGAAAACATAAGTTAAACATAATTAAACCAGAAGGCTCCTTTACTATAAATATTAATCAATTTAAATTTTTAATTCTTTCTCTATAAATAATAGGGAAATTACTTTGGATATCGAAAAACCAGTTATTCAATCAGTGGCGAAAAGATAAGAAATAAAATCGATATCTTGTCATTTTTGGATTGGAGCAATATTTATGGTAGAAAGCATCGTGGCATAATAATAAAAACAATGAAAACGGTAACTCCACGTCGCGCCATAAATATTTACTTAAACTATAATTTTCTTTCGGTTTTTCCGGATTATTTCGAAAACCTCTTGGAAAATCGAAAAAATTACTACCCCAATGTACCAACGAGAAAAAATTACCATTCATAAAAAGTGCTGTCCATACTTCGGAGCAAATTTTCTAGTGGAAAAGGTATTCACAGACGGGAAAATTAAATAAAAACACACATAGTAAAACCAATAGATCCCTCGCTACGCTCCGAATTTAAAAACCGTATACATGATAATAAAATCTATGCATTCTTCTATGCACTCAGAATCTAAAAGAATTGCATATATCATAACAAAACTGGTACATCAACAATAAAATAGTAAATAGTATGCAATCAAATTAATAAGTAGACATAGGCAACAGGACTTCAAAATTTCAAATTATTTTAAGTACTTTTTTGGTGATTTATTTTATTATGTCCCTCCCTGATAGATTCCCTATGGGAGTTCATGTAAGTAGGTACCATGTATATAATGATATACTCTAATATTATTATATTACTATACATTAATTGTATTTATATACACTGGTTTAATAAATGTATTCAAAACCATTTTAGTTCTCAAGTTAAAACAGTTAATCAACCGTTTTATCAATAATAAAATGTGCCAAATAATACATGGACGTGTATATTTTCTTAAATAGATAGACATAATACATGCTACGTATTTACTTGTATAAGCAGCAAATATTATACACCTACAATACCACCGCCACACATATGATATTCACTACTTTCATCTGACCAAAGCTTAAAGGTTTAATATCTCGTCAATGGGTTAACGGAAATCAAAAATTTCAATACCAAAATTAATACTCCATTTACTTAAGGCTTTTTCAATATGGGTTGACATTTAAAAATTAAAAGTAGGTAGTTATTTCAGCACTAAAATAAGGGTGGTAAAAAAAATGATAATGGAACATTTTAGAATTATTTGTTTCTTAAGTTTTTAAAACAAAAAAATTCAAAAATGGTTAAGACTTTCATTACTAAAAATAAGTGTTCAATGACAAAAGAATTACTCGGCATAAATTTATATTTTTAATATTATTACAGTAAAATGTAAATTAATAGCTTTTTAAAAAGTGTCAGAACTTTTTACAAAGTAGAAGCGACACCCAACAAACCATTTTTACTCCTTGTTAAAACAAATTAATTATGAAATAATGGTGGATAATTTAACAACATAGGTATTAGTAAATAATAATAATTACTATAGTATAAACACGCACTTTAATAGGCTTGAATCTGGTTTGATTAGTTTAAAATGTTTTGTTGATAGTTCAAAAATCATTTAAATAATTAATTTTAGCACTTGTACCAAACTCAAGATATTTATTTAGAAATAGTATCTTAAATTGTTGATGTTAAATTCAAATAAGTAGGTACACACCAGCCAACAGTTTATGATATAATAACACAACACAAGTTAATAATGGAAATATAATCAAGTATCAACAAGTAATCAACTCCGACCAATAATACCTACAATTATTCAAATAATCATATATTATCGTAATATCATGAGACGACTTAGCAGTACAAGTTTATGCAATGATGTAATCATTTTTATTATAGTATTGTAACAATAATACATTCTATTCTGAACAAAATTGTTGTATATATTACCAGGTATATACTTGATTTTTACAATGTAGGTATCCATTTGCCCAGAAATGTAGAAATCAGGTAAATTTCTTTTTATAAATGAAACATAAATTAATTATAGGTACTAGTTAAAAATAATTTTTATTTATAGTTTTAATTAAAAAAAAAAATTGTATATTATAAATATTTAAAAAATTTAATTATTAGTTGTTTTAAATTATAGATTTGGTAAATTTAAATATTTTGTTCAACACACAATTTGTGTATTAGACATCTCCTGCCTCCTCCTATAATTTCACCGCAACATAGAGCACAGAGTATATGAGGAAATACGGTATCGAGTATAATTTTTCATTTATTCTAACTAGATATTTAATGACTTATCATACACTTGACACTTACATTGATGTATATAGTGATTTATAATGAATGTAAGTACTTAATACTACATGGGCTTAAAACAGGTTATAACTGATTTCTGAATAAACCGGTTATATTGAAAATATTACATGAAAAAAACCAAAAATTAATCCACAATTTATCATTTTGAAAACAAAACCAAACTATAAAAGAGTTATTGTCTATTCTCAAACAAAAAATATTACACGGGTTCTAAACAAATTTTTAATAAATAAATACATTTTATTTTCAAAATACGTTCGAGATTTTAAGTGGATCAAAGAATCTATTAGTTTTACTATGATGTCTTTTTATTTTTTTTTGAGCAAATTTTCAAATAAAAATAGAAAACTTGTGCCGATGTATCAAGTGTAGCACTTTTCTAATTCTCCAAGAGGTTTTCATAATAATGTAAAAACTGAAAAAATGAAAACTGTAAAATGTATAGGGTAATAATTTCATTGTTTTAAATTTACAGTAATGTTTTCACTATTTTAAATTTTGTTAATTTTATGCAATTCGGTTAAAAATATGTGTATAGGCTAAAACTTATGATAGAAAACTTATATTTACTTTTTATAGACGTGGTTAAATTGTTTTTCAAAACATTTTGGTGATTTTTGAGCTAGTTATAAACATTATATATATATAAATATTATTTACATTTTTTTGTTTTTTTTTGGTTTTTAATTGATAGATACTATGTGAATATAATAAGTTTTTGACCAACCGAAAATGCATGACAGTTTAACAGAAGGTTCGTTATAAGATGTACTTAGTGTTCAAATAGAAATGTGGAGTGGAATGATATTAGATTTTTTTTTTATATAATTGTTTTAAGATCAAATATTGAAGAAAATTGTAAATATTATTATGGCCTTACAAATTATGTATAAACAAACTTTGCTCAGAATAGTTTTTCGTTAGCAATGGTTTTAGGTTGCTCACTGCTTACAGATATAAATTAAATAACTTTATGAATCTACCTTTCCAACTTCCCATCTATAACAATGGTGCACCTAACAGTAGCAATAGCTTTTTTTTCTATCAATATTAAGTAATATAAGAACTAGATTTGATGAAGGTATTTTACAAGATATCATGAATATCCAGGATGACAATTAATAATTAGGTAAATTGTTAGGAAGTTCTTATTTAGTTAGTAATTATTTTATCATAGATTAAATAATTATTTTTTATAGGTATAGTAAATTAACAATTAATACTTTCTTTCTTTTTTTTTTATTTCTAAAAAAAGTGAATATAACTTGAAAATAACTTAATATGAGTAATCTTATTAATGTCTTGGTTGTCAATTTTTCCGAAAATTAATTTTTTTTAATTAATTTGTTTAGAATTTTTTATCATGCAAAATAAAAATAACCCATAACCCAACTTGAAAAATATATTTTATATATAATCTCAATATTTCAGATTTTAGACAGTTGATTTATTAAGTCTGTAGTGAATAACAACATGTTTCTCTAGTTTTTAGACATTAAACACACTATTTGTATTTATGTATGTATATATTTACTATGTTTTAATTATTACCTGTTTTAGACTAATAGTGTCCAATTGTTTTTTTTTAAATTTTAACTAGAAAAGCTGTTTACAACATTACAAAAAGTCTATTGATATATGACATGTGTCAATTTATTTTTATTTTTTGTTAACTGAACATTTAAAAAAAAAAAATAATCAAATATAAAATAATATCAACACTTCCACTAGGAATTTTAATTTAATTTCTAAACTATTTTCATCAAATTCATAAGTAAAAATATTAATATTGAAAACGCTCATTATTATAATTCTAGACTATAATAAAGTAATAAGATAGGATAGCAAAAACATTGGTTTACAATGATGATGTTTTTAGTTATTAGTTTATATTATACCTATTTTTGGGATAGTAAATGAGCTAAAAAATTATTTTTGTTATTTTTTATAATATAAACAGTTTAAATTAAATTAATAGAAATTGTATGTATGAATACAACTTTAATAAAATTATACACAATTCACATTTGTAGATACCTATTAAGTAGTAATTTAATAATCTAAATATTTTTAACACGTTTGCTGCATATCATATTTTAGTAGCACCTACCGCATTGCATACATGATAAAAGTAGGTAATTAGGGAATATTATTACATAAATATAAAATAAATGGTTATTTTTAGAAACTGTTTTCAAAATTATATTTAATAATGTTTATAGACAACGTTGACATAAAATTAAAGTACAAGTTTTAACGCTGACCGAAATACAAGTATATTAAAATTAGTATATCATATAACGCCAAGTGTACGCAGCGATTGTGTTAAATGAGATGAATATTTAAAATTTACCTGATTAACTCCAATTTTGTATAATGATTCATCTATATCAGCTTTACTCATAATTTCAGAAACACATTGTCGATGGTCTTTAATAGTGTTATTAGAATCATCGGTTTTTAAACTTGTAGACAGAAACACTGCAAACTTGCGAATAAATTCAGTGATATATATAGAAATGGGATATCCTTGTTTGTAAAATCGAACTGTAGGTAAAATATCGGCGCCACGTATCTGAAATAAAAAAAAATGAACACGTTTAAACAAATTGTTACACTAATAATAATTCAAAGTAGTTTATTGAAACCAAATTATACAAATAATTTACTTGTTGTCTCAATAGAGGTATGTCAACAGGTTCTGTGTTTGGTTTACTGGAATTAGGACTCAATGTTATTGATTGTAATTTATACATAGAATGAAAAACCCTAGTAGCAGGAACATCAGTACGATTAGTAAAACCAGCTTCATGTTGTGCAATAAAACAATGAATAAAGTGCTGTCCAGTCCGTCTTAATGTTTCAACTAGCCCATCCTAAAAAAAAGACAATGTAAAATAATTTAAAATTTACAACTTACAATAACTAGTATACATATGGTACTCACCACAGCAAATCTTATTTGAACACATGTTAATTTTCTTTTCAATGTAGCTGTTGTACTGAGACTACCAAATGTTGCTCGTCTAATACTAGACATACGTCTTAATGACTGTGTTCCATCAACAATAGCCAATGTACTTGTAAGGCCGGCTCCTCGATTTTTGGAAAATACGGTTGAAATATCAATGCTAAATGAGAAAAAAACATTACCTATACAATAAATTATTTGTTAATAAATACTTTACTTAGATGAGTCATGGAGTAATGCAATTGCTGTTTTTGCCATACAGTCACGACACATAGCTGTCCATCCATTTATATTGTAAGTACTTGGAATAGTTTCACGAAAGTGAATCAGAGTAAATTCATCAGATTTGTTAGCTTTTTTTAGAATATTTGAAAATGCTGTAATTTAAAATAAAACAAATGAAAGTTAATACAATTATTGATATTAAAATGTTAACGATTATCAATTATTAATACTAACATTTATCATTTGATAGGTTTTGAATTTTTTCAATAAGATCATGGTCTGTTGAATTAATATCACCAGCAGTATCATCTAGAATTCTTAATAAACCAGGGCATGGTTCATGTTTTAAATCTACCATTGATGGACTGCGGCCAAAACCAACAGCTGCTTTAGCTCCAACAAATAATTTTAACATATGATCTTCGGCACAAAACTCGGCTTCATAACTAGCAGCTGTTTCTACCTTTTCTATCTTGTACTTTTCTAATGGGGCGACAACAGCATAATTATGATAGCTCGATAACAAACGTTCATGAAGATAATTAATCCAGAAATCAAACATGCTTAATGCTGACTTTGACTTAATAATATAACCTGGATAGTCTGGAATTAGTATTGAACAAAGAGAATGGATGGATGGAGCTAATTTACTAAAAAAAAAAAAAAACATAAATATTATTAATAATATATTAATTATACATTTTAAAACAGTATATACCGGTTAATAATAGAAGCCACAAGATTGAACGTTTCTGTATATAGTCCAACTATTAAAGCATTTAATTGATCACCAATATCACATTCATTAAATAATTCAACATCTGGAAATACTAAACTGAACAAATCATCGGCATTTCCAGCACCAAGACATTTTGCAGCCCGTTTTGCTGCATCAGAATTGCTCCAAGTCCATTGTACTTTGTCTTTGAAAATGCTGTCTAAATAAAAACAAATAAAATAATTTAATAAATAAGAAATAAAAACATTTTTTATTGCAATATTATTACCTTTTTTCACAATTTTTGTTTGACCAAGGTGTATAATAGCTGCTAAAACTGCATAAATTGCTTTAAGTTCGGTGTTAGAAAATCCAAGAGTCATCATTGCAGATTGAAGTTTGGTAAACTCTACAGTTGCTTGACTCTTATCAATTCCCTATAACAAAAAAAAAAAGTATTATAGTTGATACATTTATGTTAAACAGACTTTTACACACCTTTAACTCATCATTAATTTGATCTAAAAATAATTCTTTACGCAGAGAAGGAATATTTTCTATACCAGCTAGTAAGAAATAAAATACATGAAAAGAAAATTCATTAGGAGGATGATCAATAAGTCTCCATTTATCATAAAAATGCATTTGTATGGACATTGAAGCAATTTGTCCTCCTTGATCTAAATCAATGCTAAATAAATGCACAGATCTAGTAGCATTTGGATTATTTGCAGTTGCTGCATTTCCAAAAGCTTCTAATACTGTCCACATGGCTTCAACTTTTTCTAAGGTAACAACCTAAAAATATAATTAATAAAAGATTTATTAAATTGGTTAATGTTCAATATATTTTAGGATACATATATATATATATATTATATCTTCATACTTTATTAGGAGATACAGCTGTTAACAGAAGATATTGCAATAAATGTTTACATGAAGTTGATTTCCCACTAGCTTGACATCCCATAGGAATCAAAGACTGATCACGACGTGTAGTCACAGCTGCCATATATACAGACTGAGCCATAGCATAAGCATGGGGTGGTGGTTGTTTATTGATTTTATGAAGATTTTTAACCATATGCATAACCTGTACCACATTATATATATAATAGCCTTTAATAATATTTAATTTAAGTATGAATGTTTACCTTATCAGTATACAAATTTAATGGAGATCCTGGATTAATGACTAACATTGTAGGTCCAGCATATGTGTGAATAAGATTTGAAGTGTATCTGCTGCGCATTACATTTAAAATGCTGGATTCATTTAAATAGTTTAACTGTGATAAATCATCAACCAATTGCATTTTTACAGGATTCATCTAAAATATAAAAAAAAATGATTTCAATAAATATAGTTAAATCTTTAAAAATTATCACACCAAAAATTATTAATTGGAGGTACGCAAAAAATAAATTGTACTAAAAATACGCTTCTAAAAATAAACAGTAATTTACATTTACATTTTTTTTCTCTGTTATTTGAGATCATAATATATTTAATTAGGCCTCAGATTTAACTTTGGTTTCTTTGAGATGATATGATATTCTGAACTACACATATCAGTATAAATTTTAAATTTAAACTCTTGAATAGTGCTATTTTTTAAGCAACTTTGAAATACAATTTTTAAAAATGACCAGAGATCAAATCAATTAAATTTGATCAATTATAGAATAAAAAAAAAATTTAAAACCCATGACTTAAAATAACTAAAAAAACTTAACAATTAAAAAAAAAAAAAAAACTATCAGTAAAGATTATCATAAAATTATTCATTCATAATAACATGTTTTAAGTTTGTTAGAATAATCAAGAAAAAAATCATATTAATTAATCAACTATAAATGGCTCTCTCTTTCATTTTTTTAAGGGGTAATAATGTATCCTAAAATGTGTATTTCAGTAGCCCCTGTTACCTCCCGAAAATCCTATTTAAATCCAAGATCATCCGGCCAAAATAATTAGTGTTACCTGAAAAATGATCACACTGTATAATATTAATGCTTAAATTTATAAAAATAATTAAATACTTACTTTTTCTAGACTATCTTCATCCACATTATATTCTTTACCCCCGAAAACCTTAACCAATACTTTTGATGTACTATCTGAACTTTTTTTCCTTGTATATTGTACAGGGGAAAAACCTTCATTGTGGACCAACCAATACGCATCAGAATCAGGTGAATCTAATTCGGCTGGTGAATCGTTAATTTCCAGTTCCGATTTTGAAACCTAAAATAAAAAAATTAACCAGTCTTATCAATATACAAGTATCTATAAATATAACAAAATGTATAATTATTAATTATTACATATATCTATATAATATTTAAAATAAAATAAACTGTAAATCCACTCAGATCTGTTAGATGATTACATTCGCCAATAATTAAGAGAAAGTGAAAGAAAGTAAATATTGAAAGTATTTGAAGCCATTTGAGATTATGAGGTAAATACTTATGATTAAAAAATTAATACAATTTTAACATATTTCACATTTTACAAATCAATGTTTAATATTTTGTATTGGGTAGGTACCAATAACAACATAGTTTTATTTTGTTAGTACATAATTTTCTTTTGAATTATGATTAATGTGTTAATAAAATATACATTATAAACACGCGTAAAATATAATCCAACAAGTTCGCAGACGAGAAATTTCTGTAGAATATAATACAAACAGATGTACAAATATTGTTTTAATAATGGAAGAAACACGTGAGATAATAATGAGAAAAAACAATGTCAGTATGTCTGGCCTTAATGGTCAATGACCGCAACCGCGGTTGCTTTGGAGATAAGAAAAACATTTTGTCTATAAAGTTTCTAAAACACTAAAATAACAATGAGATTTTAAAAAACTGTCGGAAAATGTGTATTGTTAAACACTAAAAAAAAATTAGATGAGAGACAGCTGTTTACATTAAAAAAAAAACCCGGCTAACCAAAAATAAAAATGGTTATCTTACAAACAACAATCTACCTATAATAAATTGATCAATGATATTAAAGTAAAAAAAAAAATGTATTGGTAGCAAATATAGATAATAAACAATGTAGAAGAAGAACTACTAATCATTAGTCACCAATACATGTAAATTTTCATATCATCAAAAAGTTGAGAAAAACAAGTGTTTTGTTTATTTTAGTATATACACCAGTATAGTTAAAATTATATTATATCAGTTAACCAATGCAATTGTATAAAAATATTTCTGACCCTGAATACAATAAAATATATTGTGAATAAGCAAAATACGAGATAATATTACACAGTTAAACTATTTATTGTAGTTGTATAATATTAACAGTTGTTTGTTTTTTAAAAAAATAATAATAATAATTTTGACTTATACCTACAATATAATAAAATATAATGGGGATTATACGCTAAAACATAAACACGCAGAGAGTATAACGAATAAATAAAAACGTTGTTTTACTAAATTCTACTGAAATATAAAAGTAAATTAATTTCGTATATTTTTAATTTTATTATTTCATTACTTTCGTATCGTTAACAAACTGGTATACCTACTCAATAAGTAATATGACCGTAGTCCATAATAATTCAATAAAAAACCTATAGAATCGGGGCCGCCTGTTTGTACAAGAAACACTATAAATTGTAAAAATTGAATACGCATATCGTAGCAAATAACAATATATCTCTATTAAATTAATATTATTTATAATATAAATGCGTATAATATTATACAATTTGAGTACCTACATTCAATTAGATAAAATATTATATTATATCTAAACTAGTTTAATGATAATTATTGTCACAAAAAATATAAAACTAACGAAAAATAATTACTATTATGTAAATTATTATTATTTGCAATATAATGTACCCATTATAGTGTTTTAACTGTATTAAAATAATTATTACTGTATAGGTATTTAACCAAAACAAATCTAAACGTTTAAGTATTTTTGTTTGCTTTATGAGACGTGAAACAACATTCGAAATTAAAACTATTAAAAATATTACTTTTTGTTTAGTTTTTCTAAGATCGGTTGAACGATTTTCAAAGCAATAAATTCGTAGTGCCTTCCGAAAATCATAAATGAAAATCAATGAACCATTAGATAAACAATTGACTCGTTTAAAAAACTACAGATTGTCTAGAAAATTAATAATTAAAATGAAAAAACTATTAAAACGTATATAACTCGTTTTATCAATGTATTATAATTTACAGTGATTGACACAATTAAATGAAATCCAACTAGTCGATAGTTTTAAACTATCGAGTTATTTAATAAGTTAAAGGATCATTCGACCGGTTTATCGATCAGATTAAATTTGTAATTTTTTTATTCTTCCCACCTCAAGTAGAATGCGGCATAATATTGCATTACCATTCGAATAAAAACTATCTACAAATTTTTTTAATATTCTAATAATAACTATTGAATACTATTTCGATAGTTAAAAGTATTCGATTATAAGATTAGTCATTCATAGTCTTCAAAAGTTTTAACTAAAACTATCGAATTTAGTCAATTGTGCTCATCACAAATAATTTACCGTGTTTCACTGTTAGAAAAATTGTCTACTGAAGATTCGATAAAATCTCGTTTCAATAGAAATTAATGGTATTACATTAATTGAAAACAACAACGTAATATTGTAACATTATATCGTAAAGATATAATATTTAACTCGATTTTAAAAATACAAATATTAACCGAAGAATTGTAAAAAGTAAATTGACCATAAGTTTCTATTAAAGTGTATTATCTATGTGTTATAATAAAATACAATCGATTTAAAATTATTGTAGTATGATGCAACAGCAAGCGCATTCAATAAATGCGTTGATGTGTAAAGAATCGTGTATTTTTTTTACCGTTCAATTCAATTGAACCGTATCAATATCTTACAAATTTCATCAAAATGTCAAATATTTAAATCCATAATATGATTTTTTTTTCAGCTGAAAAATAAACAACGTCATGTATTGCGATATTTTGAACGTAAAACTCGAATTGTGGCGTAACTCTAAAATTAAATAGTAAAAACTAACTAGTAAAATTAAATATCTCGAACCGAATCCCATTATTAGAACATATAATGAAAAGTGCATAATAATATTCAAACCTAAAGAAAATATTTCGTATGAAAAAAAAAAAAAAACAAAAAAAACAAAAATAAATGTAAAATAAACATTTCGATAAATTATTACGAGTACCTATATAAGTTGTAATTAATGTAGTATCTAGAAGAGATTATAAAAAAGACAGACATACTTCGAACGATTAGTAGGCCACCAGGTGAGAAAATGTGAAGATAGGACAGAATGAAGAATTTTATTCATATTAGAACGAAACGATTAATTATTTTAAATGAAAAACGATTCTGGCGGAGTTCAGTTATACATTGAAAACTCGTAATATTGAAGATTTTCACCAAAAATAATATAAACAATTCTACATTGCAATTAATTTATTTTCCGACCACAAAGTACGGTTTATAATGAGCCTCTTGTTAAATGTTCAAGTATTTCTGTTCGGTCTAACAATTTTATCCACTTATCGAATAAAAATTACATACAAATTCAAAAAATGAAAATGTCTATAAATAGCTCAAAAATGGCACAAATGTTTTGAAAATGTTACCACGTCTATAAAAGTTCATTTATAAGTGTTTTTTCCAAATTTCAAGTCTCTACAAATATTAAATATTTTTACTGAATCACAATAAAAACAAATTAAAATATATTTCGTAAGTTTTCCCGTTTCCCTACGTCTTTTCCAATTATTATGAAAACTGTTAGGAAAATCAAAAAATGACCGGCATAAAGTATCATCGAAATAAAATTTCCTTTCAGAAAAAGGTACTACACTTGAAAATCGGAACAAGTTTTCTGGTGGAAAAATTGTTTACAGATTAAAATAAATATATAATAAACATTACTATAAAACCAATACATTTCTCGCTTCGGGAACATCCAACGACTAACGCCCGAAGACTTTCCAACCAGAAAAAAAATTATCGAAATTCTCCGAGGGCTGAGTTTCTCTTGTAAAGTATGTTTTGATCAAAAAAACTGCAAGTTACGTGCATGTCGTTTACTAGAAAATGAAATCTATTTAACTATTTATTAAAAATTGGTAATAACAATTGAATAGGTATACTTTTATCAATTGCATGTATTATTATAATATAAGTACTTAATAATGTATCTTTGGTCTAGGGGAAAAAGAGCTTAAATCCATAATTGGCTTTTTTTTTTATAATTTTGTTTGATATGATTTGGTTTCCCTTTATTTTTCGTTTCAAATGATAAAAATGTACCTATGTATATTCTATCATATTTATACTGTAAATTAAAACGAATATTTTGGTTATATAGACCATATAGCAATTCAACCATTTAACAATTTTAAAAACTGAATTCACTCATATTGAAAACTATACAAAAATTGAATTATAATATTTTAACTATCGGGTTAAACACGTCATAATAGTATAATAATAATATACTAAGACTCACTCGAGTAACATGATATTATAATACATTAATACCTATTACTAATATAATAATAATTAATATTATTAAAGATGGGCACATACATTATCAGTTTATCACTTATAGTAAACACCGAATACTTGAATAGATCAGAGTATGATGTACAATAATTAGCATAATATAATATAATAGCTGTTTGTTTTTATTATTGCCAGTAAAAAATACAGTTTGTTAAATCAAAACACAAATGGTTCTAACTCGTTAACGCGTCATATCGAATAATACTAATTTCACGTGGCATCAATGATTAATAGAAAAAAAGTATGATATTGATGATGGGCGTGTCACTGCTTTAAAATAAATGTTGAATGGAGGGTTTAATTTAATTAATATCTATATCCAACGATAAACCATTACGAATGAAAAACGATTCTGAGCAGAGTATTATATTAGTTGTATTAGATTCAGAGAGTAGAGGGATTTATTGATTTTACTTAAAGTCTTTTTTATTTTTTGGTAATTTCTAGTAGTTTTATTTCTACTGTAAACAACTTTTCGAAAGAAATCTTGCTCCGGTGTATCAAGTATAGCTACTTTTTTGTAAAGAAATTTTATCTAGTATGTTCAATTATAGAAATATTGTTCCAATAGAAAACTAATAAGAGACCTTTTTTGTTGCATTTTGAATCTAGTTACTCAAGAAATAAGTTGTATTTTTGATTTTCTAAGACATTTTATTTTATAAAAATTAAGAAAACCAGAAAAAGACAACAAATTAAAAAACCAACAAATATACAAAGTACGATTTCATTATTATACATTTTTACACACAATATTTTCTACCAAAAATATTGCTCCAATAGAAAAATAACAAAAGACTCTTTTTGTTATATTTTTTAACTAATTTCAACTAGTGAGTAAGAAATGGTTGGTAAGAAAGTCGTTTTTTGAATGTCCTTGTAGTTTTTATAATAATCAAGCAAAACCGGAAAAAATGTAGAAACAACAAGAAAATTGTGATTCAGTTGACATATTTGTCGAGACTTGACATTTAAATAGAAAACTTATATTTGCTTTTTCTAGATGTGGTAAAATGTTTAAAACATTATTTTTAATATTGATATTTTTTAGCTTTTTATGGAAATTTTAATTTTGAGAGATTTTTACGTGCATTTTATTTGGTAGATAATCTGCGGATAAAATTATTAGAATAAACAGAAATGCATAAAAATTGAGCACATGAGGTTAAGTTAGGTTATAAATCATACTTAGTAGAAAAATAAATTCAATGTATGAAGTATTTTTAGATTCTAAACGATGCGAGGAATGTATTGGTTTTACAGTGATGTTTATTTTTTTTTCTGTGAACAAGTTTTCTACCAGAAACCTTGCTCCGAAATATGTAGTTATAAGTGTAGCATCTTTACTGAAAAGAAATTTTGTGTGTAAATAAGAAAGTCGTTGTTTGATTTTCCGTATATTTATTTTAATAATTACGAAAAACCGGGAAAAACGTAGGAAATACATAAAAGTTTACGACATTTGAGTTTTTTATTGTTAGTCGGTTAAAAATTATTAGAATTTTCACAAAAAAATAAATTTTTATAGACGTGATAAAATTTTCAAAACATTCTAATTGTTTTTAGGCTATTGGTAGGGGTAAAACACTATTGCGTACGTTTGTTACCGGTTGATACCTTTTTAAGCTACACAATTGCGTACGTAATTTTAAGCGTTATTACCAATTTTCATACCGGTATATACCACACGAGTGAACCAGAAATAATTCATAAATATTTTGCGTTTTTCCATAAACGTTTATTATTAACGAAATCAACACAACATCGAATACATATATATTATAATATGCTCGAAATTTCGTTATTTCAAATATATGTAGATATTTTCTGCCCTTCAATTCGTCAGACATGTGTATACTTTATCGACATTCAGTAGTATCGAAAATTCGTTTAAACTTATAAAATCTAAAATTTTTTAGTAATCAAGACCAATTATACAATTAATTAATAACGGAAAAATGAAGTAAATGGCAAAATAGTATTGTATTCGAATTAAAAAATATTATAAAGGTTTATGATGAGTATAAAATCCAAAATCCATACAAATGAATTGAAATATTTAAAAGTATAAGGTTATGGATATTCAGGAATTAAAATTTAGGTATTTAAAATAATTATTAATTGAACTATGATTTTATTTATTTACTATAATATAAGAATTAATTATTGTATTAATAATAATAATATATTTTTCGTAGTTAAGATAAAATTATTGAACTGGTTAATTATTGAATATATAATATATAAATTTGACAACGTTGCATACGAATTCGTACGCAACCGTGTTCTACCCATTTGCAGGTATTTTATTTTTTGGTGTTTGTATTTTTATTTAGTAGGTATATGTTAATAAAATTGCATGACTTAAGAGAAATGCTTGAAAATTTAACACATGGTACGTACATTATAAGTTGTACTTATTAGTCTAAAAAAGACAAATTTGAGTTTTGAGGCATAACGCGGATACGATAAAAATCGTAAAAAAATTGCCACTTTTTCCTTGAAATTAAAAAAATACTATAAGATAAATCAAAAAATGACCTACACAATATATCAGTTTTTTTTATTAGATCGTAAATATTATACAAGAATATTCACATTAATGTTTTCAGTTCGGAGCGAGATTTCTGGTAGAAAAGTCGTTTACAGATGCAAAACCTTTAAAAACGCACACCATATAGTTTTACTATAACAGATTCTTCTTCTCACTTCACTTAGAATCAAAAACATAAAATACACGTGTAGAACCACCCCTCTCCCTTCGCAGTAGCATTAAGTGAACCAAGTTAGTTATAATAAGGATTCGCGTCATCCTAATAAACTATGGCCGCAACTACCACATCCATCATCGTATTATATGAGTTTAACAAATGAGAACCCCTCTATCTTCTAACCGGTTTCGTAAGACTATTGAAAAATTATATTTTGCTTTTGTCACTCGTTAAGGGGCGCTCACCCCTAATGTATACATACGTAAAAATAATACAAATAATAATAATATAATATCTAGGTACGATATTTAACGTGCGCCCGAGAATATAACACACCATGGGATATAATAGTAATCTTGCCAAATGGTCATTGGGGTCAATAAATTGTTATTGACGGCCGTGTGTGCCGGGTCGTTCGGAACAATACGTCCGGGTTTTTCGTTATACCATCGCACCGGAACCCGTTATATATATATAAAAAACGCGTATACGATTATAATATGAATTATATTAAGTAAACGCGGAGTGTACAATCAGTAAGTGAGAGAATATAATATAACGTCTGTTTAAATGCCGACGACGTCGACGTCGACGCCGCCGAGCGACGGGGACCGGTGTTTATAAGGACGACGTTCGATCGACGGCTTGAAGGGAGAGAAGAAAGGAAGGGAAAAAAAAAATCAAATTTAAACCCGTTAAACGCGCGAGCGAAAATCCGGAACACGCGAGTATAATACATAATGCGTCCGTCATAAGACACACATGCACGCACATCACACTGAGTAATATATATACGGGTAAATAATAATAACAGAGACGAATATATATATATATATCGTACAGTATATTAGTATACTACATAGTAACGATTCGTACGGTCCGTAAACGATTTGGCACCGATTTTAGACCAAGAAAAGACGCTAAAATCGGTATCGAATCGGCAGAAAAACACGTACAGAACGCACAACTGATTTCTGATTATTATAGACAATATTATGTACTATTGTAATACAGGCCGCAGCGCTAGGACTTGGGAGGGAAAGCATGCAGGGGGCCCAGTGTATTAAAAGTAATTTTTGCATACCTTTTAGCATGACTTTATCATATACGTTTTAAGGGCATGGCGAGTGGCCCAAAGGTCAGACAAAACTGTAAGAACTACGCTCGAGAGGTCTCAATTTTGATGATTATTTCTTCGATTCCTTACTAGGATGTGTTGGAAATAACAGTTTAAATGGAAACCGCAAAATAATTTGATTGCGAAAAAATGTTGAAAACTTTGTTTTAAGTATTTTTACTTTTAATTTCGATAAAAAAACTAACATTATTACAATATATCCTAATTAAGAATCTAACGAACAGTTTTCAAAAATTGAAATCCGTCAAACGCTATTCCTAAAGTTTGGTTAGGCGGTCTTAGTCATGTTCGTCTATGAAACCGGCCAGACCCTGTCTTAAATAGATATCGGGCTGTAGAATAATGGAATTTTTATCATCAAGGTGGTCGTGAAAAAAATATATCAAATTTTTAATTTAACCAAATTGTAGAAAAATTAAAAACCCTACATCTTAAATGACACGCGTAGGTCGGTACATATTTTTGAATTTTTATCAAAATGCATTTCCATTAAAACTCGAACTTAAAACAGCCATAAAAAAAATTACTACATCATCGCTCAACTTTCTTTTTTATTTGCTACTAATATTACAATTTATCATAATATGATAAACCTTGTATTTAATTATCGAGTATTTTCGATGGGCCAAAATAATTATATCAACATAAAAAAAAATTCGAGAATTTTAAATGGCTGCAAAAAATCAATTGAAAATTGTATACCATACCTGGAAAAGGGTAATATAAATATCTAAGGAAAAAAACAAGTCTCTACGATTTTTTTTTACTGAATTACAACAAAACCGAATATAACAGAAACCGTTATTGCGCGTATACATATTCCAGTTAATCGACGTTTTTTTTTAGGCGTTTCTTTTTCCCTCAAATTACAAAGGAAATACAAAATTACCTTAACGACCACAAAAACAAATTTGTTCTACTTAAAACCTCTCTTGCAGTTGAAGATCAGAGCAATGTTTTTGGTTAGAAAAATAATTTTCGTACAAATAAATTGGCGCGAGGGAAATGTAACGAGTAGTCTCCCCGCTGGTTAGACGGGGAGTTCGATAATTATAAGGGACGGAAGTCTTTGTTAAAGTTTTATTTAATTTTTCCGATCGAACACTGTGATGTTAAGCCTTTTTTAGTTTTCGGTAAAACGTTTGTTGCATTGTTGCTTGCTAATCGGTCGCACATATATCGCCCAAAGGTTTTGTTTGCTGTACAGTATAACAGTTTGTTCGCTGAACTAGTAACCGGATTGCTCAAGTCTGCATCATCTAACGACTAATAATATGATATTATTATATACTAGGACCGGGTAAACTGGTACGGGAAAACTATTTAATTTTACCGGTTTGTAAGCGACAAAAAAAAATTTAAAAAAAAAAAAAAAAACGAAAATCCCGAGACATCGTGGTAATATGACATAGGGTACGTCATTATTTTAGCGCCAAGAATATTGTCGTTTCATAATTGACGGACCCCGATTTCAATTGTACCGACGCGCCTTCAATATTTTACAGAATATTGAAAAACGTTTATTATTTTAACATCGCACAAAAAACCGTCAAATGTGACGGTCGGAAAATTTTTTTTTTCACACCAACCGGAAAACAACGACGCAAAGTTTAAATACAATAAATACCTAGTAGGTATATTATGTACGTAATATGTATACATATGTTTTGTATACACAATCGTCGCACGTCGACGGAAACGGATCGCACACGCCCAAACGTATGTAATGTGTGTGTGTGTGTGTGTGTGTATACAAATTCAGACGTGCCGAGTATCTGTAGAAAACCAGTCGCACGCCTATGTATAATAATATCGTGTACTGCCCTCGTTCGCGACAAGCGGATATCACACACTAGCGCGATAATAATATAGGTATACTGCATACTACAATATACGTATATACCTTGACGCGTTCGGTGGACGTGGGCCGATTAAGACACTTGGGCCGCTGCCGTTTCCTGCCGTCGTCGGCCGCCAGCGGCACCGACACCGTTTTCCGGAGCACCGAGGGCGGGACCGGTTTGGGCCGTACCGGGATACTGGACGCCCGGGCGGCTCTGGGGCTTTGAGAACCGACGCCGGTCGCCGACTTGCGGCCCGTCGCCATATCCTTAGCCAACACCATGGCGGCGGCCGCCGGTGCCCCGGACGATTGTTCGGCGACTCCGGCGACGCGCCTCCGGACGGACGCGGTCCCTTCGACAGAAGCCGGCGCGGCGGCGGTTCCTTTCAGTATCTCGCCGACCACTTTCGGCGGTCCCGCAGTTCGCTGTCCTTGGAGTGCGCCCGGCGACATCGTTAACATTTGAGGACCGCGGAAATTTAACGCGCGCGAATCATCCGCGAACGACGACGCTCCAGATTTTCGAATAGAACTTATATATATATATATATATAAAAAAAAAACCACTAAGCGATAATTTAATTTTTACGATCGTGTCCGCAATAGCTGCCAGCGATTTTATTCACTTATTTATTACTATACGCGACGTCGTAAAATATTATTGCACGCACGCCGCGGCAACAGTACTAAAGATACACGCTCGCCCGATCAACGGCCACTGCTGCGACTCCGCACGAGAACCGCACTGTGGTCGCAGCTGCCGGTATTTACGCGTCGCGTTCGGTTTGATTTTTAGATTAGCGCGCGCTCGAGCCGCTTCTGCTGTTCGGCACGGCCGCCGTCAATGGAACGTTCGAGCGTTTAGAGGGGGTAGGAGGGGGCGGGGAGAGAAGTTCGATGCGGCCCACTCCCCGTCGCCGACAATACAACACTAGAATCATAATAATATAATGAAACGATAAACGGCAGTCTGATAATTAATTGATGAATTAACTGAACCCGCGGTTGCCGCCGTAGCGACTACGTCAATGACGAAGGTCTCGGACACTGCAATCGACCCCATTGACCACAGTACCATTATAATACTCGTATTTATTTTGTTATTTACGTTCCGTCCGAGAGCGCGTTGACCAAATTTCTGTTTTAGATTCGGAACGTAACGAAGGATCCATCGGTTTTACTATGATGCGTGTTTTTTTATTTTCTATTTGAAAACAACTTTTCAAAAAGAAATCTTGCTTCGATATATAGAGTATAATATCTTTACTGAAAGGAAATTTTGTCTAGTCGGTACGTTAAAGAGGTCATTTTTTCAAGGGGTTTTCGAAATAATTGGAAAAAAACCCGAAAGAAAATTATGTGCAAAACGACAAATATTTACGAGGCACCGCAGCGTTACCGATTTCATTGTTTTTAATATTTTTAACTTATGTTTTCTACCGGAAATATTGCCCCAATCGAAAAAATAATAAAATCGATATTTTGTTCTTTTAAACATAACCACTGTCAAAGGAAATCTTTTTTTTTTTTTTTTTATATATTTAACTTATTTTTCATAATAATCGGAAAAAACTAAAAAAAGACGTAAAAGACGATTTTTTTTTAATTACGGAACAACGATTCATTATTTTTAATTTTTACGGCTCATATTTTCTACCATAAATATTGCTTCAATAGAAAAACAACAAGGGACCCTCCCGTTTTGTTGCATTTTTAATCTAATTGGGGTGAGTCAGTTATTCGATTTTTGATTTATTTGGTAGTTTTCGTAACAATTCCGAAAAACCGGAAAATAATAACTAATAAATTTACGGTGTTACGATTTCATTATTTTAAATTTTGTTTTTTTAATGCAATCCAGTTAAAAATATTTTCGAAGAAATTTTGATAGTAAAATTATATATTTTTTTCTAAGCGTAGAAAATTTTTAAAAATATTTGAGCGATTTTTAAGCTATTTATTGACATTTTACTTTGCCGAGTTTTTCACCTAATTTTTATTCTGTAAGTACTCTATGGATAAATTTGTTAGACTAAACAGAAATGCTTGAAAATTTGATAGGAGGTTCATTATATCTATATGAATATATAACGACACATAATTTATGTGTCGTACTTATAAGTCAAAAAAAAAAAAAAAAATAATTGAGTGTAATGCAATATATTTTTTTTTTTTTTGATAAGAATTAAAATCAAATTTACAGCCTTTCAAAACACGTAAAACTAAATTTCGTGCCGAATCGTTTTTCGTTAGTTATAAAAATAAATTAAATAACTTTATGTATCCTTCTTTTCCGACTACCCACCTACAACAGTGGCCACACCCGTTCCCAGTATCAGATCTTTTTTAATTACAATATAGTTCTTACGAACCCTGAATTACTGGATTAAGTAACCTATTTCTAATTAAAAAACTCATTAATAAAACATAACTTTTCAAATGCCCTACAACATATCGCTTCTCTATCGTGCACTATGGAAGTGACAATGAAACTGCGAGCATATTTACTACCATAAGCAAAGTACACAAAAAATCACTTTCCCTCCCCTTTTAATAGATTTCTAAGACTATGTAATTGCATTCAAGAAACGTCGTTCACCACGCCCCTATAACAAGAGTAAACTCGTAATTGATTAATTATTGTAGTGCATTTTGATTTTGTTATCTATACCATTAGAAAATACAAAATACTTCAATGGGCGTATCACGAGTAAAACCGAAATCTAAAAAATATAACTAAAATAAATATTAGTTTATTCAAATTATAACTATTTCTTAAAAGATAAAAAGTAACTCATAAATAATTATTTTTAAATACATGTATATATTAGTTGTCAATACTCGATATTTAATAATAATAAATTATTTGTTTAAAAAAAAAAAAAAAACATTAAAACACCACATAACGAACGAATGAGTCAACCCCGTTACTAAATGTTTAAATAATACTCGTAATCAATAGAGATTATAATTTAAAGCCATAATTTTTTTTCTGCTAATATAAAGACGGTTTTACTAACACTGAGGTCTATTCGTTTTTACAAATGTACAATCGTCTATAAGTTTCTACAATTTCCCAGAAGATTCTACTTAATAATTAAATGTTTATCAACCCAAACGACGGATTAAGAAAACATAGGGTGTTATAACGAATTTCAATTGTTTTGGGATCTCTGAATTTCGTAACGAGTGTGTGGTATTTGACATATTATATTATATTTTTGATAACACGGTCATTATAATAATAAATTGTGTGTATTATATTTTGCTATTTCGGCACTTCTATAAACGTAATTGGTATTGGTTAATGATAATGAATTGGGTAAATACTAAATAATATGTTTCGTACAGTTAACTATTGTAATTAAGATTATTGATTAGAATAAATTGTGAGTCATTAAAATATTACATTTCAGTCAGAAATTAATTATAAATACCTACATAAAAACACGTAAACATATAATTCAAAATTTGATTATAAAAAATAAATATTAAGTTAATGTCTTTAAAATGTGTAATACTCAGCGGTATATACGCCTACACCCTGTTGACATTTTTTCACTTGCTTTATGACAATGATATAATATTATTCGTTATAAAAGGTGTACTTAAGTTTTTTTTTACACACGTTAAAAATGATTTACAAGGAATGTTTTAAAAAGTAAAATTACAACAGCGAATAAGCCAATTTTTTATTTGTTGATACATTTACACGAAAAATAATCTAAGCACACAATAATAGTGTATGTCTATTTAAATTGAGAATCATTTCGTAACTGTGTTAAAATTGTTTACTATGAGTAATAATATAAATGAGTTTTTGTCTATATGTACACGAACCACTGTCGAATCTATCCCACTTAGAGGTCTGAAAATGTACACAGAGAAGAGATATTTGTTGATTTGTTGGTTACCTTGGTAATAGGAATGAAATAAAAAGAAAAATACGAAAAAACGTTGAAATTTATTTTATTGATTTCGGCTTTTGAAAAGAATTTCAAAAATACGGTATTTGAATGGTCAAGCAAATGAAGAAATTAAATTGGTACTGGCAATGTATATAATAAAATACAATATCTGTATAAATAATCTGTATAAATGAATTTTATCTGTGTTGCAAAATATAAATGCTTAATTTTTTTCCTATACATTTCGCCCCCCCCCCTCCAAATAAATTGATTTGCACATTAATTTACAGGCTGATCTATTTTAATGGTTATACTCAACATTTTACAAATTATTGACTTTTTAAACAATTCTTTTTGATAATTTAAGAAACAAGCAGCTCTAAAACATTACTTTTTGTCATATTTGTTTTAGGAAGGAGTGAAATGAATACCTACTTTTAATTTTCAAATAACAATTTATATACAAAATTTCATACATAGATGAAATATTTATTAATTTAAATAAATTTTTGATTTCCGTTAATCTGTTAAGAAGATATTCCACTTTAAAGTATGTATAAGTAGTAGATCACAATTAAAATTCGGTGCATGAAGCCGCTACACAGATGAAGTGCCACTACTACTTAGATAACCAAAACATCCGTATGAAAAAATGCATATTTATTTGATAGCAATACCTACAAAAAAAAGCTTTAAAAGTTTGCAAGCTTAAAAATTTAATTATCTTTTCTTACTTTTACAACATATTTAAAATTATAAAAGAAATACGAAAAAGAAGACGAACATTATTCGCACAATGAGTGGGCCACTGTTGTATATTATAAGTTGGGAAGGTAGGATATAGAGGTGAATTTAATGTAGGTATATCTGTACGCAACGATAATATTTGATAAAAAAAAAACAATTCTGAGGGGAGTTCAATTATATATGTATATTATACATAATATATAAAAGGCCATAATATTTTATATTTTCATCAAAATTTGATAATTAAATAATTATAAAAAAAAAAATACTTCATTAAAATCAAACTTTTTTTGCCCACTAAGTAAAAATTATCATGAACGTCCTATTAAATTTTCAAGCATTTCTGTTTGGTCTAACAATTTTATCCGCAGAGTAGGTCTACCAAATAAATATTACTTAAAAAATTCCAAAAATTAAAATGTCTATAAATAGCTCAAAACAGGCCCAAATATTTATTAAATTTTACCACGTCTAAAAAAGACAAATATGAGTTTTCTGTCTAAATTTCAAGACTCTACAAACATTTTTAACTGAGTTGTAACAAAAAAACAAAATTGAAAATAATAAAAGCATCATTTTCGTAAATATTCTAGTTCTTACAACATTTTTTTTTTCCATTTATTATGAAAGTTAACAAATTATCTCCTTAAAGTACCACCAGTTTTTTCAGAAAAATACTTCACTTTAAAACCGGAACAAACATGCTAGTAGAAAGAGTTGTTCAGGTATATAAAAAAAAAAAAAAAAAAAAAACATCATTGTAAAACCATTACATTTCGAGATCTGCTCAGAATTTAAAATGTATGTTATCAAAATAATTTGCACGCTATAGTAGCATAAAGAAAATTCTCCTTTATGTATAAATATTATGTAAGAAAAGTTAACCCGTGCAAAATAGTTTATAATCAAGTTACGGGTAATACAACGCGCACTTAAATTAAAATTGTAACTTATTTTATAGTTGAAAACTATTAAAACTTTCAAATTAAACATCGAAAAATATTATTAACCTAGTTAATATATATTAATACTATTAGTTTAACAGCAGTGTATTGCTCTCTTCTATTGACGCGGGTGATAATTTTTTCCCATCCTACAATTCCAAAAGTATTTACAAAGTACTAAGTCTGAGGTAAATATATATTGTTCTTATTTATAAGCAAACAATTACTTAGTTTTATGAAAATTGCATTATAAAATTGTTTAAACTATAAACATTATATATATTGCTAACATATTATTATTATGACTTACCTACGCAACCAAACAAGTGTTCATAAACAATAAATTAGTTCAAATGAACTAACAAGCATTTTATACTCTCAAAATTATCCTAAATGATAATTTATTTAAACATTTGAAAATATCTAAAAATATTAATTTAAAAATAATTTAAATTATTGAATTATAAAACCAATTCAAAATTAAAATATAAGGTTTTTATTTTAGATTCCGAGCGTAACGATGGAGCTATTGGTTTTACAATGCTGTTTATAATTATATTTTTTTTTCTTCTTTTTCTTTGTTTTAATCTGTAGACACGTTTTTTCCAAATAAACTTACTCAGATTTTTACATGTAGCAACTTTTATGAAATCATTTTTTGATTTTCGACGTCAATTTTTAAATAAAAGTACTTAAGTGAGAAAAAAACGTAAGTAAACGCACAATTTCACAATTTCATTATTTTATAAAAACACTACTTTTTCTATCAGAAAAATTATTTAATCGAAAAATTATAAGGTACCTTTTTTTTCCTTTTTGATTTACTTTCTTATGGTATCATCGCCAAAACTTTTGAGTTTTTAAGGAATTTTAATTTTTGGGAGTTTTTTTGTTGTAATTCGGTTATAAATACACTTAGAGACTTGAAACTTGGTAATATTACTTATATTCGACACACATCGTTCCTTACAGATGTAAATGAAATAACCTTATGTATCCTACCTTCTCAAATTCTCACCTACAATAGTGGCAGCTCCTATTCCTAGTATCAGCTCAAATTCAAAACCAAAAATGTTTATTTTTAAGTAAATTAAAAATAAAAAGTAATCACAATAAATAGTAATTATATACTTAAAATATTTATTCAAATATCTCCTTTATATAACAAAATAATAGTTATACAATTTAATAATAAAAAAAAAAGCTAATACTGAGGACGAGTGAGGCCACTGTTGTAGGTAAGAAGTTGGGAAAGTAGGACACATAGAATTATTTCATTTATACCTGTAAACAACGATAAACAATTGCTGACAATAAACGATTCCGAGCGCAGTTCGATAATACATAATTAGAAATGCCTTAATTTTTTTTAACCTTACCTTCCTACGTTTTTTCCCGAATATTATGAAAACTAATTCAAAAATCAAAAAACAACCTGCACTTTAGGAAACAAAATTAATAATTCAATAAAAAAGGTCTTTTATTGTTTGTCAATTGGAGCCATATTTGTGCTATAATATGTGGTAGGTACTTATTTAAAATAACGAAATCGTGAAAAAATCGTATTTTTTCCCCGGTTAATAATTTTTATTTTAAATACCGATTCAAAAATTAAAAAATGACCTAAGTATTTATCAAGAAGTTGTAGCATCTTTCTAAAAGTCAATTTTAACTTCTTGGTAAATACATAGGAGCAAGTTTTCTAGGATAAAAGTGGTAGGAATAAAGTGTATTTATAACCGAATTACAGCAAAAAACTCCCAAAAATTAAAATTCCTTAAAAACTCGAAAGTGGCTCAAAAGTTTTGGCGATGATACTATAAGAAAGTAAATTAAAAAGGCAAAAGAAAAGGTACTTTATGATTTTTCGATAAAATTATTTTTCTGGTAGAAAACGTTGTCGTGTTTTTATAAAATAATGAAATCGTGAAATTGTACGTTTTCGTAAGTTTTTTCCGATCTTCGTGATTTTATTTAAAAATGGTGTCGAAAATCAAAACATGACCTCTCTAAAGTACCATTAAGACAAATTGAGCTTTCAGAAAAGTTACTACACATAAATATACGAGCAAATTTACAAGGAAAAAACGTGTCAACAGACTAAAAAAAAAAATAAAAAATAAACATCTTAGAAAAACCAATAGCTCCCTTGTTTGGGATGTAAAATTACAATTAAGTTATGAAAAAAATCAAAGTATGTATTTACTATGCTTAAAAATATTTGCACGTCCACAAAGTAAGTCAATGAATATCAAATGGTAAAATACATTTTCAGGTATTATAACAAATAATTTTTCAAGGATTTATCCCTGTCCTTAAAAAATTATAGATTCCAGTTTTAATAAGTAATTTCTATACTATTTATTATTAAAATATTTTTAGATAAATTGCCTACGGATATACTTTCACATATAAACTAAAATATGTTTGTTTAAATTATGTATAGTAATAAAATAATAATATAAGTATATTATATATTATAAATATAAGTAATAACAATATATTATCAAAGCTTAAATTTATTATCACTGAAGAATGAAATACTATTTTTCACTCTTAAGTGTACCTTAATTACTTTACTCCTATTCAAACATTTACATTTGTTATGAAATATGAATATTAATTGTACTGTAAAATTTAAAAAATGAATTGTTGTAAAATATAAAATAGATGTTAACAAATAATTTTTGATAAAGAACTATTGTATAGACATCTCTACTTAATCAAAAGATTTTACACATCTTAGTGACCGTTAATAATTCACTTTATTATATATTATATTATTCATGATCAATAGAACATCAAAAAGTTTACATAAATTGTAACCTGGCAAATTCTATTACCTTGAAATATTTCCATGCACTCAACACAATGTGATCACGTGTCCACCAAAGCAAACAACAATGATGAATATTTATTACTTTGTTTGGGTAGGCATTATTACAATATATTTATGGGGTGGGCTGTAATGTTTAATATTTTTGCAGTAGAGTAAAATTCTGAATTTTTCATTCATCATTATCTAGGTAAAAACCAAAGATCAGTTTTTTTTGAATAATAATATAAAAAAAAAAAAAATGAATTTAATTGTATTATTATTTATTGTTAACATTATAATTTTATAACTAATACTATTGATTAAATATTTTTATTTATATAATTAACATTTTACTTGGTTTAATTGTTTTAATTGTTTTTTTTTGCAATACCAATACAAATTTTAGGGCTCTTTTAGGTGTATTGTAGGGCTTAATAAGCATATTTGAAATAATATTTTGTTTATACAAAACGATTCACAATTTCTGTTATACCTATTTTATTATGTAAATATTAAAAATAGAGAAAAATATAATACAAAAGTTATTTGGTTTACACAAATCTTAAAATAATATTTCCTTTTTTAAGAGGTTTTATGGGTCAACTTTAGAAATAGAAATGAAAACCTACATTTCAAATTACATAAATAAATGGAGTGTTGGTTTAAATAAATTTAGGAGTTGAAATTTTTAATTTCTGTCAACTCATTGACAAGCTTTAACTTTTTTTAATTTAGGTAGAAGAAGAGTAGTAGTAGTGGAAGGTTAATCAAAATCCCTCACAAAAAGAGACAATAAAAAAAAAATGTACAAATTATATTTATAAATAAAAAGTTTTATATTTTATATTTTTCTCCATTTTGAATATTTACATAATAAAAGACTGTAACATAAATGTTGAATCATCCAGTATGTTATAAATTTTGATAGAAGAAGCCTCCTAATGGTGACACTCAAATTAAATTATACACAATTTGATTCAATGAAATCTAAGAGTAACAAGAAATGTATTGGTTTTACTATAGTGTGTTTAATTTAATTTTTATTTTTGAAAAACTTTTCTACAACAAAAGTTATTCCGATCATCAATATCATAAGTAGTTTCTGGTAACGCATTTTGTATTATTGTTTTATTAAGATAATTTTTTGATTTTGCTTATTATTTTCTTAATAATTAGAAAAACCATGTAAAGTTTAGGGAAAACAGCAAAATTTGTTTATGGCAGTGATGATTTCATTGTAATTTGGTTAATCAAAGAGATCTGAAATTTTTACCAAATACTTATAGTTTCCTTTTCTAGGCGTGGTAAATCGTTCAAAACATTCTGATGACTATTTAGTTAGTTATTGTTATTTAACAGTTTCAAATTTTTTAGTTTTTATTCGGTATTATGTGAATAAAATTGTTTTAGTCTAACAGAAATGTTTGAATGTTTTACTCAAGGTTCATCATATATTGCATTAGTATTCAAAAAAACAAAATTTGAGCATAATTTAATAATTACAAACTTTAATGGAAATTGTGAAAATCACTGCATTTCAAAGTATATGAAATGCATGTGAAGTTCAAAAATGAACTTCGCTAAGAATAGTTTTTGTTAGTAATGATTGATCATTACATATACACTATAGAGATATAATTTAAATAGCTTTATGTATCTTATTTTCCCAACTTCCCACCTACCATAGTGACACATCTATAAGCTCATTTTCAAGATTAAAAATAATACTATGATTAGGGAATAAAAATAAAAATGACTCCATGAAGTACTAAGTACAATTTTACATAGCATAGAATTTAGTGGATGTAACATTTAAAGCATATTTTTTTAAAAATTTAAAAATAAATATCAAATAGTGAGTTATTTTTTTATTTAATTTTCAAGTGAATCAAGCTCCACTTAAAAATTATTAAAGTAATAATGTATTTGGCTTTAAAATAATAATATAATAGTAATATGACAAATATTCAGTTTCTAACCAGATAGCTGATAATACTAATTATATTTTGTCCTATTTAAATTTTAATATTTTTTAGAAGTATTTTCTGGGCGTAACAAAAACGTAACAAAAAAAACAATTAATAGATAGGTTTTCGTATCATAAATTCATATATACATGAATAAATATAATGTACAAATGCAAAACTTACAAATATCTATTATCTATTTATGTAGCTCTATTATGTTCATATTGTGTTTTTTCTATTAGTACAACTATGATTTTAAGTAACTTACCGAAGCACTTCCATTTTGACTACTCAAGAATTTTTGACTCAATTCATATAATTCCAATGCTGGTTCTACCTATGAATCAAACATATAATTAATAATAATAATTTGAATAGAAAATAATTTTAATATAATTCACCTTAACAATTACACTTGTTTCTGACGACTTAATCATATCAATAATTTCATCTCTATTTTTTTCAGAAACAGGACTACCATTTACTTCTAATAATTTATCCCCAGGAAGAAGTCCTGTGTAATGTGTTTTGTCTTGACCGGGTTCAGCAAAAATTACTGGTTTTAAATTTTTGGTAGGGTTTTCAGTTACAAGTCCACGTCTTAATGAGAACCCAAAATCACTACCAGGGCCAGCTCTTCTATTTATAGTCAATATTCGGGATTCTACTTTCACAACTGGAACGTATGGAAGTTTTAAATTTTCATCAAATTCATCAGTTAAATAGTCATTGCCAGATGGACTGAGATTGAATGGTGTAGCAAAACTGCTATTTGTTGTTGAATCAGTAAGACTGTCAATACTTGACACTCTTGGTACATTTTCATAAACTATTAATTCATTTTTTAATGTATTAGTTTGTAGAAGGGAATCTGAATCAAGATCTTGTAATGGTCCGTGTTCTAAAATTGGTGGTGGTTTGAGGATACCTCGACGGGGTGGAAGAGGAGGTGTTTGAACAGATTCATCAATCTCGTCACGATTTAATGGAGCAAAAAAATTGGCACTATAATCTGCTGTTATTCCACTTGGTAACTTTTGTTTTTCTTTCCGTCTTGTACGTAATTTTAATGATTTTCTCACCTAAAAAATATAAAGTAAACAAAAGTATTTTAAATTAGAAATATAATCAGGTATTTCTCACCTCATCTAGTCTTAACAAATCGTCAGATGACATACTAAAGCTGCCTTTTTCTCTTTTTTCTTTTTCTTTTCGCATTTTTTTCATTTTTTTTCTTTGTTCTTTTTCTTCAGATTGATTATTGGCTGAACCCTGTGATCCATATCCAGAACTACTTCCATTATTGACCACGTTGTGGGAACCTGAACTTTTTTTCATGAAGTTGAACATTACTACGGTTCCCTTACTTGGTATTTATGATGCTGAAAATAATTAATGACTTATATAAATTGATTCAAACTAATAATAATTTATTAAATCTTCTGATAATAAATATATAAAAAATAATTTTTTGACAAGTAAAAATTAATAATAAGTAACTTTTGAAATTTATCCACACAGCATTATTATTTTTTTTTTTTATACAGCTAATCTTACCTGAAGTTACTTTGTCATTCCAAAAAGGCATTGATGTTCTGGTAAAATTTGAAGTAGAATTATATTAAAACAAAACTTAATTATCATTGCTTTTTGCTCTGAAAACAAACAAAAAAAATACTTATTTATAGTACACACATTGTTATTTTAATATCGTGTATAACAAACTTTAGATTTTCACTAAAATTGAATTTATTATTATATCCTAATACTACTTACACATTTTTCAAATATTAATATAATAAAATTGTATATTAAACTTATCAAATATTATGCTTGTCTCTAAATAAAATACAGTATTTTAATACTAATACGAACTATGTATTAAATTACATTTTTAATTGATACCTATACGACTTAAAATATATCAGCAATATAAATGAATTTCATAAAATTACATAATATACACACGTAATACTCATAAACACGTCATCAATTACACCAATGTAAATACTTTTAGTTTAATATTTAACTAGAGAATAGATAACTTGTTTAGTATATAAAATATAAAACCTAATTTATTAGTTTAGCCAAATAACACTAATTACTGTTTAATCAATAATTTATAAATAGTACAATGTAATTTCGAAATCATTTTAACTGATGATTAATAATAACTAAAAATATAAAAGTACTCAAGTACAAGTATAATAGATATACCTAAGTATTAAAAATGATTTAATAATTTTATATTGTATTACTTTGCATTTATTAGTATAAATATAATTTAAAATAATTTGTTTTCAAAACAATTCTTAAAAAAATGCTATAATCTTGGACAAAAATAAATGTGCATTGATAATTCATCAAGAATGATATGTACAATTTAAAATAGTACATAGTAATTGTTTAGATAAAAATAAAATATTTCTATTAAATTTGTTAAAAAATATAATTGTCCATATAATATGTAAAATTAAAATATAAATGTAATTACATTAAACAAATATTTAACAAACCCCAAAACTTAGTTTAATTAACTAAAAATTATACAAATTTCGAAAATATAAACTAAGTATTAACAATTTTAAATTGTTAATATAATTTTTGAAAAAAAAATATTGTTATATTAAGTTAACTGAATTATAGGTATTAAAAATTTTAAATATTTCAATTATACTATAAAAAAAAATTAAAATTTCAGGATTACCATTGGTTCAAGTCATAACATATAAACAGCTAAAACAACAAAAACTGAAAATATACTGTTATACATAATTCTTTAAATGGGGGACACACATAATAAATTTAATAAAAACCTATATTAAACATTATTAATGTGCCTATAATAAAGTTCTGAATTGGGTAAATGCAGTTGCAAACAAAGAAATATGTTCTATTATTAACTTGAAAAAAGAAATTATATTATATTATACTATTTTTATGATCAAATAATTCATGGAAGTCAAACCATGTAGATTTGATTTGTATACATTAGACCATTTTGGATTTTTTTGGCCATCTCAAGGAAGGAGTTTATATAAAAAAAAATTTGTATTCAGAAAATTTACAAGTTAAAATTACGGGCCACAAGTTTAACACTTCTGGATTACATAATTTGTAATATCACTCTAAATAATATATTGTTTTAAAAAAATTATTATTTTTACACTAATTGACAGATTTTAAGGTTAATTTGCTTTTTGAATACTATGATACGCATTTTGGTTTTTATGTACATGAATAATTTATTTTAATCCAGTATCTATAATAACCAAAAAATTGAAAATCCATTCAGTTATTTCAAAGGTAATACACAAAATATTGCATAATTAACAAATTAATTTTTATTGACATCATATAAATATCATATAATAATATATAAGTATCAATTATATTTATAAATGAAATAATATTTTTTTGTGAATCCAGATGAGTATTAAAGAAAGAACTTAGAAGACCCATAATCTCATTCATCCAAATTTATCAAGCATATATTATTTATTCAATAATTTAAACTTTATTATTTTACTACTAATTAATATGTTAATTAAATAGCACACAATTTAAAAAGATTATTAGTTATTTAATTATCAATTAGGATTAGGAACCATATATTTATAAAATTGAATTATCAAAAAAATACATGTATACTTATAAATAATATATTATAACATAGTACAGTAAAGGTCAGTGTCAAAAAAAAAGGTATTACAATTACATACTTCACACTAGATTTTTGTAAATTAATTGTTTTTTGACATTGGTCATTCTTGCACCAAGTTAAAAATATATATTATATTAAAACAAGAAATTAAAATGTATGGTGCATTAGTAATTATTATTACCTTTATTATTTAAATATTTAAATTTTATTATTAATATAAAATGTAACTTTTTATGAATTATTAAGTCCAAATTACCTACTGACTACAGTATTCTTAAAAATATGTTGCATTTTATACAAATACATATAATGAAATATGATATTGTTGATTAATAATACAAATTTTATTTTGATTAGGATAATTATTAAAACTAATTACAATAAAAAACAATCAGTGTTTAACAATGATCAACCTATCTGAGCTCCCTATCACTAATCATCTATACTACTGTCTTTCAATCAATAGGTAATACTAATTGCCAAATAATAATTAATTACTTTGTCAGACCTTATAGATAACTTAACTATGTACTGAAATATTATTAACAGTTTTAAGAGGTGTAAGTATGGTATTCAAATAAAGAAATTTTAAAGTATTTAAGGGATATTTTATTTATGTAAACATTAAATTTTCCACACAAATTATAACTTATTAAAAAGCTGAGTTCTAACTCATTTTTGAGTTAAGAAACATGCCTTATGGGAAAACTATTATGCATCACAGAATGATCCAATATCCACAGTTAATTTTTGTTGGAAACTGAAGAAGACTTTCAACATTATTGAACTTTATTTTTTCAATATTTTGAAAATTTGAAAAATGGGTACTATCTCTTTAAATAAAACACAATCTATATTATCATGTTATTTATAGAAACATATTCTAAAGTTATATTATTTTAAAGTAATATTTAATTATATTAAAATCACATATATTTATTATCTTATGGAGAGTTAATTATCAAAACTTATTATATATAACTAAATGGGTAAGTAATAAAGATTCATTCAATTACACAGAATTATGGAGTTCAACATAAAATATTGATAGATCTGAAATAGTGTACCCATAAACATATTAACATTATGTATTGATTTATGAGATCAAAATTAATTTAGTAATTCAATTTTAATTAGTTATAGGCAAATTATTTGCAAATAGCCATTATCAAATTAATAATAATGATAGCACTAATTAATATTATTACTAATTCTACATTCTAAATTTAATTTAATTTTTATAACAGCTAAAGATAGTTAATTAAGAGATATTTAAAATCAAATAAATTAATTATAAAAACGTTTAATGATTGTTATTGAAAGTTTAAAAAATCAAGTTAATTGTTTAAACATTATCTATAAGTAAATGCTTGATACAATTTGAACATAATAATGGTAAATATTAGTAGATTTTAATTTTTAAAATAAAACTTATGTTTTTTTTTTTTTTTTTGAAAAGAAAATACTAGGCTAGCTAATAATTGTACTTTTTAAACGATAAAATATAAGTACCTACTTGAAAAATACCTAAGTAACTTATCTTGTATGTTTAATAAAATTAACCTTAAGCAAATTAAACAGCATGAAAAGTCTTAAAATGTACGTCGATAATCAAACATTTTTTTATACGAATACAAAACACCTGCAAAATTACTTACTTGCACATCAATATTTAGGCGATGCGGGGAAATCTTTTTAAAAGTCGCAAAGGGCACAGGACCTTGTTAAATATTCAAATACACATGATAAATATATTTATGTTATAAATAAAATAAAACAAAATAAATGGTTAAATAATTAATTGACGGAAAAAATTTTGAAAACAATTAAAATAAAAATAAATTGCACAAAGATGAAAATAAAAACAAACCTATCGCAATCGCACCGCCCCGGACCGTGAAGAGCGTTATCACGTATTCATAAATTTGTTTTTTTTTTTTTTTAATCCCCCGAGTAAAATGCGTAGTGATTGTGGTGGCGTGAAGCGTACGCGCGTTTATGCACATACACACACTCATCAAGCGGGTTGAGTGCTGCCGCCACCGCTTCGGCGCTACCGATCGTCAACACCACGGCAGCACGGTCTCACCTGGAGCTTGGAGGTCTCCGTTCTCCTGTAGTCATTGAGTAATTATTACTCAGTAGTCAGTACTCTATGCGTCGCCTGTCGGCGGGGTTACGCGACCGTAGGATACGGCATACGACGTCGCGGCTCGCGGTACGAAAATCCATTCTCCGTCCCCCCGACGGATTACCATAGCTCCAGTGCAACTAACCACCCGAACCAAGAGAAATTTCACGTCGCGTCGTCACGCACACCTATTCCCGTGTTAAAATGCACTTCAAAAACACAAATTCGTTATTACACATAAACGCAATCTATATAGATGCTAATTGCTATACAGTTCGCTAGCGCATCGTTTTTTACGTTGTAAATGTGTACCGAATACCGAGTTATCGAATGTTTATCCGTTAGAACGGTGTTCCGCTCTGCCGATTGTCTTGGTGAAATATAATATCACAGCCGTGTCGCCCGCGCGATTGTACGTTGATATTATTACAATATTATTATCACTATCGAGTGAACGGGTTTTCGTTTCCATCACTCGTTTGCTACTCAAATTCCATTGTCGTTTGCGCCGTTATTAGTGGCTTCACTGCGCGCTATTTGTTTCTCGCTTTTTGTGTTAACGACGCAAAAACTGGGTCCCTAAGAAAGCCTCCAAAATTGTTGCTGATAACGTCGTGACCCCCTGCCGAATAACAATAAATTATTATCCTATTAAACGTGTCCTGTGCATTGGCCGTCCAAGTAAGTTATTCGAACACCGTTATGTGGTCTTAAGGTGTTTACAAACACAACTTTTCTTATCCGTGTACAAATTGTATTGAATTTGTTACGTTGACTGTAACGATGCCTGGTATTGGTGTCAACTTGCGTGTGACCGGTTACTGCAACCAGGGTGGTAGAAAGTACATGGAAGATATGTTTTCGGTGGCTTACCAGCAAACGCCCGATATGAAAGATCTAGAATATGCTTTTTTTGGCATATTCGACGGACATGGTGGTTCAGAAGCAGCTGCATATGCCAAAGATCATTTACTTGATACCATCATCAAGGACGATGCATTCTGGTCAAAAGACGATGAAGATGTTTTAAGAGCAATTCGCAATGGTTATATAAATACTCACATTGAAATGTGGAAAGATTTAGGTATATTTATACTTATTTAACATTTACTAATTATATTTGTCTAAAGTTACTCATAAATAATGTTATTTTTTTATTATATAGAAAATTGGCCAAGGACTCCATCAGGGTTACCAAATACTTCTGGTACTACAGCAAGCATAGCCTTTATTATGAGAGGAAAGATTTACACTGGTCATGTTGGTGACAGTTGTATTGTACTTGGTTATCAAGATGAAGGTTTTTTTTACATTTTTGATTTATATTTACTTATTATAAATATTATTGTTTATAAAGGTAATCTATCTTAAATATTTACACATACTCTTTCTGTTTTAGAAAATGGAGAATGGAAAGCTAAACCATTAACACGAGATCACAAACCTGAGTCGTTTGAAGAAAAAGTTCGAATAGAAGAGTGTGGAGGCAAAGTTATTAATAAATCTGGAGTTCCAAGAGTTGTGTGGAATAGGCCTCGTATTGGTCACAAAGGTCCTGTGCGTCGTTCAACTACAATCGATGAAATTCCATTCTTAGCTGTTGCACGCGCTCTTGGTGACTTTTGGAGCTACAATTCTGAACATAATAAATTTGTTGTATCTCCTGAACCAGACGTAGAAGTATTCAGTGTAGATCCTTCTAAACATCGTTGTTTAATATTTGGCACTGATGGTTTATGGAATGTTCTTTCAGCAGATGTAGCTATTTCCAATGTATATGCTACAGAAAAACATAATATTGAAATGAAATCTTTAGAAGTAAGTGCATGACTTATAGTACATATTATATTAAATGGTTCTAATTTTAAAAGTTGTATTTATAGAGACAGGATTGGTTAAATCCTTCTAAAAATCTTGTAGACAAGGCTATATTACAGTGGAATAAAGTCAGATTAAGAGCTGACAATACCACTGTTATTACATTAATGTTGGATCCTCCTGGTCCACCTGCTCCACAAGTTTTACTAAAACATAAAATGCAAACTGGTAATATGAAATGTGAAGATAAAACTAATTGTACATGTGTTGATGGTGATCCAGTTCAAAGATTTCGTAAAGGTTCAAGTGGTGGATATGCCATATTCACTAGATATCCTACAGATCACATAAAAACATCTAGCTCTCTTGCCAGTACTTCAAAATCGTATGGTTTTTTTTTTTTTTTTATTACACATTTTTTATTCATAATTTTCTATTTATTTTACAGATATTGTAATACTCCAATAGCAACAGCACCACCTATGAAAACGAATAAAGTTCTTAGAACATCTGCAAAACTTAATAATTATAATAATAATAACAACACTAGTAGTTCTAGTAAACCAAATAGTCAACCAACCGGAAAAAGAAGTGCGCGTATAAGCAATGGAAAAATTATAAAAAAACCAAAGTCAGACACTGGGTCTACAACTGCTGATGAGACTGCTAAGTTTGGAAGTAGTGATTCTGAAAATGAGCAATTACCACGTGAAACATGGTTATTATCTCCATCTAAATCAATTAATACCGAAGAGACTAAAGTGGGTGTAGTATTAAGGAGTTCTGGTAAAATTCGAAAAAGCTGGAAGTGCAGAAATTCCAAAGACATTTCTACTTCACCTAAAATAAATTCTATATCAAAAATTAAAACGCCTTTATCAGAACCTATGACTAGAATATTAAGGTCACATAAAAAGAGAACTAATAGAAGATTTAAAAGTGTTGTGTCTAGATCATGGTCTGCGGGTATGGTAACTCGTAGTCATAGAAGAAGTGTTAAATGTTAACTTTTCATTAAGTCGTTCACCTTTATTTTTTGATATTACCACAGTTTTTATCTAATTACAAAATTAATTTTGTATATTCTTAATACTTTTGTCATAAATTGTTTTTATGCTAATCATTGTTATCTTTATTTTTATTTTCATTCTTTATCTGACAAAACAAAACTGAAGTATTTTTTCCTGTTCAAAAATAAAATGAGCCATCACTTTTTTGACTAATTAAAGCTTTGACTATTAACAGTTAGTGTTTATTTGATAAGTTATGCTATTATTAAATTGTACATTAGATAAAATCTATGATTTAAATAATAATATTTTTTCTTTTAGAAAAATTGTTAAATAATATAAAATTTGAATAATAGTTATGTTTAAAACAATTATATTTTTTTAATTGTGAACATATTAATTATATAAATTGTAATATTTGTTTCCAGGCTCTTAATGTAAATTTTTGTTGAAACTATTAAGATTAAACCATATTTCTATTCAAATGGCGTTGTATAACTATTAATTTTAAGTACAAGCAATCAGTAATTATCTATAAAACCTATAGATGATAAAAACATATTGGACATCACCAACTGAAGCCACTATATTTCCGTGGTTTGTTTTAGTGAGCAATATATATTTTGAAATAAAATTTCTACAGTGCTGAACATGTGAAGCCCTATCTACATTATATGGAAATTATGGGTTACTACAGTTTTCACTTGATAAGCTGTTATGTCATATCCACGATCGATAATTATCTTCCAAGACTGGTTCTATTCATGTTATTATTATCTATGATATAAACATACTATTAATTATAATAATTGGATAGAATTTGTTATTAAACTAAATTAAAGACTCATGCATAAAAAGCTCAAAAATCAATAATTTTATTTTAAATTAATTTCAACAAAGATTTATTCATATATTTGTACTAAATACTATTTCATTTTTTTTTTTTTACAATATATTTTACAATCAAATGGATAATAGAGTTCTATTGAGCCTTATTAATATCACTCTAAAGTTAGTAAATTAAGAACTTTAAAAATTGTTAACTTATTAATTATAACTATTATTTTAACCCTTGAGATTAACAATATTATTGCCTAGTTTTTATGTATAAAATAATTAACTACCTAGTGATTAAAATGTGTTCCAAAAACTAATCATGTTTTGTAGACACTCAATTTATTTTTACTGTTATAAGGAACTGAATGATTACTCAAATAGTGTTAAAACGCCATATGTGTAATAATTATTTATATTGAAACAAAATAGTTGCTACTAGTGGAGTGCCTTGAACAGGTGTGTGATTATGGAAGGGAGGTCGAGGAGTTCATATCCCTCTTATTTTTTTTTTTAACTGATGCTTTATGAATTTTCAGCTATTATTGTCTGTTTTAAAATATTTATTATTTAGCGACTGTATTCAATACAAAACCATTATAGAAAAATTCAATTTGCCATAATTGATGTTTCAATATACCTTATTGTTGTAAAACAATTATATTTAATTAAATATTTAAGTTAATCAAGTCGATAACTGATGTAGTAAATTTATAAACTATTTAGATATTTATAATTTTTTTTTATAACAATTATTGAAATTTATATCCCCCCTCCATGTGAAAACACTATGCACGACATTTTTCCATGAATGATTTGAATAGGTCATCTAATTATGACACTGATATTTGAGATTCATAAATAATAAAAATTATTTCCTACTTATTATTTATTATTAATATTTACTATACATTCATATCTATCTCAGTGAATTATACTAAAAAAAGCTTAAAATTATTTTTGTCAGAAACATATTAATATCAAAGTGGGTGGCTTATCATGTATGACTAATTTTGATAAAAGATAACGTTGTTTTTAATGTTTTGATTTGATATACTTTAATATTCTATGGGCTTATGCCTGCGTATTACTCGTTTTACAGTTTAAAATAACTATACAATTAGTATGATATTATAATGAGTTTTATTTTCTTAAAATTCTTAATATTTTATACATAATATTTATTGAGTTACCTAACTATATTTTTATAAGCCACCTTCCTAGTCTCTTATTCTTATTTAATTTTTGATTGATGTGCCTTGAATATTATCAAGATGGAACATATTAAAACTCCAAAAGTAAATTACATACTTTTTAGTCTAGATAATTTAATGATTAATATTCAAATTCATAATACTTTTGTTGGAAATATACTTGTTTAATGGTGGATATTATAATATATTGGGTGCTTGTGGCTGAGGCTAACACATATTGTGCATGTGTGCTAGATAACTAGATTCCTTCTCATATTCTAGCCTACTCAATACTTATAACCCACCTACCTGTAGTATTTCTTTATTTCTCCTGGAGAGGTTATGGCAAGTCGTTTGTTCTCTTGTAGTTATCATAGTAGACCTAACCCATGGTTGTTGTGCATGCTTTTGTAGGACACGCAGTGAGTTGTGTGTATAAAATCATAACACACGCAGTTGTATGGCCGAAAAAGACAGGTTCGTGTCACCGGCCGGCTTCCGTCTGTATCGTTTGTCGTCAGTTCCTGGATCGTATTCACTGTTCTGTCGCTTCAGGTCGTGGCTACAGCGTGAGGCTGCCATGGCCAGAGTGGCCAGGCAACAGCAACAGGACAGTTCGGTCATTAAAAAGGTACAACGTGGTTATTGATAAAATGGCTTAAACCTCTTTTAAAATAACTTATATACATTTTAATTCTACCATTTTATCTTAAAACATATAATCAAATTATCAGTTTTTAATTCAAAGTTATTTTACCAGCATTATTATTATTATCCATGTAATATTCCAGTTTCGTACACCTTGGTATTATTATTTTTTATTACATACCTAATATTATATTATATTTGTTGAAGCAACTATAATGGACTATAATAATATGAAATTGTTTTTCCATATTTTAATTTATCACCATAATTCACATTAAGGTAAACTAACATTATACTCTATGTTGGTTTTATAATTTAATACCTATCTATAAGATCTGAACACATACATTTTATATGGGGGTGAAAAATATGCATACAAATATTAACATTTATTATTATTAGAATTTATTTTAAACCACTTGAAAAAAAATGAATAACACTTAATGCAGATAATAGTGTCTATACTAATTACAAAAATTATTGATATTTAAAATATTAAAAGTTATTATATTTTATAAAAGTATCTACTAAAAATAGTTAATTTACAAACAATTTTAATTTTAGATAGCTTAAAATGTGTTGACATTTTTACCCAAGTGTTGTTATCTATTGTTGTAAACTTTTCAATTAAAAATTAATTATCTTACTTTCTAATTGGTCTATTATTCCTAATTGTATAACCTTTTATTATTAAATTCAATAAACTATATATATATAAAAACCCTATCAAAATATAAATTTGTTAGGATGCGATCCATAGCTAATCTAACATTTGTTGGGTTATTTAATAAACACATTCTTATGTCTTCTTATACATAAACTTATATTCCTTATAGTAATTTTATTTTAATTATGTAGTCTTTCAGGTATATAACAAAATAATTTTTTTTTAACAAAAATGAGCAAGCTTGAGGTTAGTATAAAATAATTAGTAATTTCATAATATACTAAACCACATTGGAGCAAATAGCTGAATGATTTATTAGATCTTGGGTCTCACAAAAATACATTAAAATATAATTTTTAAGGCAATCGGTAGAACAATTATTTAAGTAGATTTCATTAATAATTTGTCCATGGCATTAAAATTCTTAAGAATAAGTAAAATTTTATCATATATTTAATTTAAATCATACCAAAAAATACGAAAAACAAAATCAGTATTTAAATTTTTAGAAACCCTAATAAATACTGTTGTTTTTAAAATAGATAAAGAAAATAATTATAAAATACAATTGTTTCTTAAAAATATAAAATACATGGTGTAACAATTGATATTAGAAAATATAAAATTATGTTCCTATTTTAAAATGTTCAACAATATCATGCACTTATTTTTTTTTATGTGGTTTATCTTGAAATAATTTGTTTGTGTTCTGCTTTTTAAATAATAACGACCTAGATTAAAAAATTAAAACCTAAAGTTGTATTGGTATTTTATAGATATAATTATGTAAAAAAGTAACTAAATTTTTAATCTTCAATAGTGTTTCACTTACCTAACCTAACCCTTTGCCTTTCATTGAAATAAGCTTAAGTAGCTCACACCATAATATGCTGTTAACATAAGATGCTTATACATTAGTACTTAACATTATTTAATGTATATTCAAATTTAATGAACTCATTTAGAAGCGTGTGCACTTATATTTCCAGATCGAAAATGTACGAATGTTAGATCGCTATAATCCTAAGAAAACATCAGTTGGTACATTATACCTAACAGCTACTCATTTAATATTTTTTGATACTGAAAACAATAAAGAATCTTGGGTGCTATTAATGCACATAGGCAATGTTGAAAAATTACCTCTCACAACTACTGGCAGTCCAATATTAATACGATGTAAAACATTCCTTTCTGTCACATTTGTGATACCAAAAGAAAGAGATTCGCACAATATATTTACATCACTTCTTGTTCTCTGTCAACCTGGTTTGTATTTACATTTTTTCATAATTTTAATTTATTTATTATAAACTAACACCTAACGGCTTTTCAAATAATTGTAAATATAATTAAATTACAAAGCTTATTAAATATCAATTTTTAAGTTATTAAATCTAATAATCATTTTTGTATAGACAAAATTGAGGATCTTTATTGTTTTTTATATAAGTCAAATTCTGATAAGCTATCAAAGAGTGCTGGATGGGATAATTTCAATTTAGAAAAAGAATATAAAAGAATGAATGTACCAAATGAATTTTGGAGTTTAACAACATTAAATCAAGATTATCAGGTAGATTAATATTTTAAAAATATGCTATAATAAACCAATATGTTTAATAAATATTGATAATTATGAATTATTAGTTGTGTGATACATACCCAAAGTTCCTTTTTGTACCATCATCTGTGAATACATCCATTTTAGTGGGCAGTTCAAAGTTTCGTAGCAAGGAACGGTTACCTGTTCTTACATATTTACATAGTAACAAGGTAACAATAATTAAAAAAAAAACGCAAATATTATTTTATTTTTAATTGATGGAAACCTGTTTTCATTTTCAGGCTTCTATTTGCCGCTGTGCACAACCATTATCTGGATTTAATGCTAGGTGTATGGAAGATGAACAACTTCTTACATGTGTACTGTATACAAATCCAGGTAGTGAATACATGTATGTTGTTGATACTAGACCAAAGGTAATTTAATCATCATAATAATAAAAATATATTATATTTTTGTAAAATATATTATTATTGATAAATTATTTACTTTTAGATTAATGCTATGGCAAATCGAGCAACTGGAAAAGGATATGAAAATGAAAACTTTTATGATAGTATTAAATTTCATTTTCTAGGTATAGAAAATATTCATGTAATGAGAAGTAGCTTGTCTAAAGTTGTAGATTGTAAGTATTATCATTATAAGGTATACATATCTTTTTTTAATTGATTATATTATTTTATAATAACTTAATTAGTGTGTGAACAACGGAGTCTTTCTATGTCTCAATTTATTGGAGGTCTAGACAATAGTGGTTGGTTGCGTCATATCAAAACCATTCTTGATACTTCAGCTTTTATATGTCAAGCAGTTAATGGTGGTAAATCTGTTGTGGTCCATTGCTCAGATGGATGGGATCGAACAGCTCAAGTTTGTTCACTTTCTTCATTAATGTTAGACCCATATTATCGCACACTTCAAGGATTCCAGGTATCAAGTTCACTGAATACTAAAAAAAATTAATAGCTTATATATTAATTATTAAATTATATTTAGGCACTTATTGAAAAAGATTGGTTAGCTTTTGGTCACAAATTTAATGATCGGTGTGGCCATATTGCTGGTGACTCAAAAGAAATCTCTCCTGTGTTTACACAATTTGTAGAAGCAACATGGCAACTCACAATGATTCAACCTACAACATTTGAATTTAATGAACGATTTTTGTTAGTTTTACATGATCATGTAACTTCTTGTCAATATGGAACATTTATTGGAAATTGTGAAAAAGAACGCGGTGATCTCAAGTAATTATTTTAATCATATTTATTAAGTAATAAAAAATAAACTTTTAAATAACTGTTTTTAGGCTAAAGGATCGCACATTTTCTTTCTGGGGTTATGTTGATGAACATAAAAAAGAATTTTTAAATCCTCTTTTTAGTGCTCGAGCAGAAACTATTATCCCAGATTTATCTCCTCAGAATATAAGGTTTTGGCGAGGAATGTACTGTCGATTTGAAAATGGAGTTCATCCACGTGAACATGTGTATGATATTTTACTGGCCACTAGTGAACAAACAAAATCTCTTGATGACCATGTAAAATTCCTTCAGAAAAGATTATCATATTTTAAACGCAAAATAACAGATGGTGCTGACATGGTTAAAAACAGTCTTTTTTCAAAAGAAACTTGTATAGAATCTATGAGTTATAATAAAGAGGACAATATTATACAATCTATGAATGAAACATTTGATAATTTAACTATTATGGAACCAAAGTTAGATGAAGCACATAAAGTGGCTATTGAGTGGAAAAGCTTACGAGAGGTCGTCTCCTGTGAATGTTCTACTGATTCCTCTACCAAAAAAGTAATGAATATTTTTCAATATATTTTCTAACAGGGGATATGTATACTTTTATACTAATATTTTTACTTTATCTGTAGTATCATTGTTGGAAATGTGGCAATGTGTTTTGCACTCGCTGTATAGATATGAATGTTTCATTACCTGGTCATCTTAGCCAAAATCCTGTACCAGTGTGTCATGGATGTCGTAAAATTGTATCAAGATCATCAACAGAGTCTTCTTAAACTCGTGTTATTATTTATTAATTTATCTTACTCAAATCTAGACCAACTTAATATCTATACTATTATAATAAAATTTATTTACATATTATGTGAATAAATAGTATTATTACAATTATAAATTAATCAATTTGTTTACATTATGAACATAGAAAATAGATATTCAATTTTTGAATAATCAGTTACCTATCTTTTATGTTAAAATTATCGCTAGAATTAAGATAGCTGCACAATAATTCCTAAATTAGAAACATTTAATAGTTATATATTTTATTGTAACAATAATAGGTTGTAATTTTGTTGAACCATGATTCATGAGCAACTAGAATTGTAGCACAAATGTTATTTATATATTTACAAGACATTATTTTTTTCTTTTTTCATTTAATGAGTATATACTTTATAATATTTATGACAGTTAAAATAATTTCATTATAATATATTTATTTTAGAAATATTCATATTTTAATTATGTATTTAAATTACATGCAAATAAAGTGAGAGCAATATGTTAAAGTTTATACCTAGAAAATTGTGTTTGTCTAAGTTATTGTGTCTATAAGTTGTCTTATGATATTTAGCTTAAGCTTAAGAGGATGTTATACATGCATTTGTGGTTTCCATCATATAAACACAAGATAAAATAAAAATATGTTTACTCAAAGTACACAGAACTTGCTTAGTTTAGGTTTCAAGCACCTATTATGAAATTAATATAGAACAATATTTCAGAGGGCAGTTCATTGTATTTTTTTTAAAAATGTTTTTGGGAAATAAAAAAATGTTGAAAAAATTGTTATTTATAAACAGTAAATTGACTGTTGTATTCAGAAAAAATGGAAAAAAACACAACATCTTACCCTTCGGAATATTGTTCTCTTTTGATTTTATAATAGGTGTTTTTAGTCTAAAATCAAAATTAAGTGAGTTCTATGTAGTCTGCGTAAGCATGTTTTAACTATATTGTGAATTTGTAAGACGGAAATAACAAATGCATGTGTACTGTTCTTTTAATGTTCTAATTTCCATATCTATTATAAAATAAACCCCTAACAAACTTATTAGTTATTTTCAACTTAGATAAGTAATTACACTTTTGGTCAAAAAATTGTTTTGTTTAAAATTATACTATACTATATCTTCGCAGGAACAGGGTCCACTTTACCACTCATTACCCTGTGAATATTTTTAAATTCTGTTTTTGGTACATTAAACTAGACTAATAAATCTTAAATTCCTAAGACTTACAACCTTTTAATTCTTGTATTTTGTGCTTGTGCTACAAAACTTTACTTGTTTTAAATGGCAACTCGTAATTTGAATATCATTTTCGGATTTATCGATTTTTTTTCAAGCTATTTTTATGTAACAACTTGTATTCTAAATTGAAAATTGGTTAACTGCATTTTATTAACTTAAATTTGATATTCAATACCTGTGTTATTGGTTATAATTTTTTTTTTTTAATTTAAAAATACAAAATAATGCAGATGATGAGATACCCACATTTTACTGTTTTAGTCCAACTAACAGATGATATAGAACAGGAACATAACTAAGAATTAAAATTTGACTTTAAATACAAGTAATACAATTTAAAACTGAGAATATTTTTGATGATACCTCATTATGTGTTTTTCTTTTCAAAATATTGCCAAACAAATGAATTATAGTAAATTGCTTTTTAAAAATTGTTATACTGAAAGTCGATAGACTTCTACAACAAGATAGCACTATGAATTAAAGTAATTTTTATTTTATTTGATATACCTACTAATTTTTTTTTAGATATCAAAAATAAATGACCCAGTAAATATTTTAACAATGATTGTTTGTGAATAACAACTTTAAAAAAATTTTTTTTCGTTATCAGCTTAACAATTTTGATAGATACCTAGATTTTTTTCCTTTTGGAAAAACACTTTTGGTAAAATACCTTTTTCTCAAACAATTGTTATCTAAGTCCACAACGGTTTTGGTCATGTCATTGCTTTACAGTAATATAGGGAATGTCGTAAGGAGAATTGATTTAAGAATTAAAATAGGAGGTTCCTAGGAAGGTTTAAATTCTTAACAACTTAAGGAAACTCCAGACATGCATTAATTTGACTAAAACTGTTGTTTTATGGTTAGGTCAAAATGCTTACTGGTAGGAATTGAATTGAATTATTTGCTCCTGAGTCCAGTGACGGATTTGAGGAGGGACTACGTGGCAATCCCCCTCCCCTCTCTTGAAATTTTTTTAAAATTGTTAATTTAATTATATAATATAGCTATATATTCCAAGACCGGGAGAGGCGATGTAGGGATGCCAGGAACGACCTTAGGATTTGCGAGGCCCAGGGCGAACATTAAATTTTTTTATTTTTTTATTATATTATAACTCGTCATTTTTTTTTCGAACGTGAGACCCCAAATCTAAGTAAACATGTTAGTTCAAAGGTCCTGCCCTTCCTAAAAACGGTTCTGAGGGATGGGCTAACTCGAATAACGATGTAACGATCTCTGACTGGGACCTTCTATAGTAGGGCCACTACAGGAGTGGATCCAGGAATTTTTCAAGGGGGGAGGGCACACTTTCTGTGGACATTTAATTTCCTATATTGGTCTTCCGATTTTTTGTTAAACATTCCATTTAAATTAACATTGTATTCATGTAAAATAAAAAGTGTTTTTCCAAATATGTTTAAGATTTAATAATATTTATGATTTGTGTATAGATACCTCCTACCAGTTATTAATACTGGTTCAATTAATAAGTATTTAAATTCATAAACGTTTAAATTGACTACACGGCACACATACTTCTCCCATGGACTGCCAGGCAGCAATTCAGGGTATAAAAAACATTTTGTGTTCTCACACAATTATTTTATGCAAACATTCAACTAAATGAAGGGGGTGCGTGCCTGTGCGCCCTCCCCTAGGTCCGTCACTAGGCCACTGTTAATAACTTGGGACAGTTAAATGAACAATTTTTAAGTTCGTACCAACCTAATTAATTTGAATCTAAACAGCATATGATTCTTGTATACAATATTATTATTTAATTAAACTTTTACCAGGGTTCGAAAAAGTATTTTCATTTAACAAAAAAAATAGATAGGTATTTTATTTTTATGGTTTTTGTTGGTTTTAAATGTCATAATATTTTACTCAAAATCAAACAGATAGTAGAAACCTATAATACCAGTTTGCCCGCCTGTCCACTTAAATGAGCTTCAGATCCGGCGTGGCAGTGTTTGGATATAGAGAACAAAAATTTAAAAATATTGAAAAATGTTTCATACCTATATACCTATATATATATATATATAGGAATCGTTGATTCCAATCGTTAGAAAATTGTTGGTTACCAAAATATTAAAATTTCGTTATAAAAATGTATTACAGGTTCTTAATATTATAGAGTTAACAAACTCCATATTATATTATCATATTATGGATTTCAATCATAATCACTGACATAAATTTATAAATCACGGCGTTTAAGAACTGATAAAAAATATGAATCGGACAAATCTATAATTCTGGAATGTACCTACAGACGGCTACAGTAAGTATCTATCATAATATTTTGACTAAACGTAGCTAAATTTAATGACTTCCAACTTTTGTTCGTTTCCACATTATAGATAAATTGGTAATCCGTGGTCAGATTTTCGATTTTCCTGTTTCCCGATCCCGTAAGACGAAAGTTGGGTTCGATTGAAAAGAATGCGCGTGCAACCGTACGGCACAAGTGCAATGCGGCCCTTTGCCGTTGCAGAGGGGCGTTACCGGTCACGGTACACAGTATATAACATCATGAAAATGTGTGCTTATGCGCATGTACGTACTCCGTGTGGCAAGCTCCGCCCCGGAGCCTATCGTGGGCCAACGTTTATCGGTTGGCTGACGTTGTAAAAAGCACGCTCCCTGTCGTCCATCGATGGGTACCCTACCGCTTACGCTCATCCGCGGTTAGACGGTCACCACCTCCGGGGCACTATCAGCCGCCGCCCGGAGTAACTTGGCCATTTTCGCACCAGTCACCATTGTACGTCTGTGCCCGAGAAATATGTCGTCAAAGGTCTCTAAGTCCGGTCCTGTATCGGATGGATTGCCATCGCTGGTGTTGTCCAAGAAGTATTTGACGTGTGTGAAGCCACCGCAAGTGCACAAGTTGGATCACGAGAATAAAGATTTCGGAATTCGCGCGGAGTCGATCGCTAACGCTGTCGATTGCAGCAGTTGGCAACCTACTGCCTGGGTGCCCTCATTATCACCACATACAGCCGTGCAAGCTCGTTATGAGCCGTCAGACGTCTTCACGCCTTTGGTGTTCGAAGAGATACAGTCGTCAATGCAACCTCCCGTCGAACAAATGTCTATGTGGATACGGTCCGCTGATCGACTGCCTGCACCACTGCAGCATCAGGTGCCACAACCGCAGTCATTGCACAACCAAGCCGTGTCCGGCGGGCAAAGGCGGCCATTGCAGCATCTACCGCAGTCATCACTGTTAAAGCCTTCGGTCGACCGTAACGGCAACAACCCCGGTGACCTAAGCTGGCTGGTCAACTTCCAGGTGGCGTCCATATTCGAACCGACTTGCAATGGACCCGCCGGCAGTGGGACTGGAGGTAACATGTTCGGTGGCGAGTGGCAAGAACCAGATGGTCTGAAGCAGAAAAAAAAACCTGCCAAAACGGACCAGAAACGTAAGTATTACAATATACTGTATACACGGTCTTAAAAAAAACATAGGTACTTACCTAAATACTGTTGTACTAATATGTACCTGGTTGAGCTCATCCGATTAGTTAAGGGCATGTTTATGCCAGATAATGAGTATGATCTCCCCAGCGATATAATACCTATGGCTCCAACACGTTAGTCGAAACTCAAATAAAATTGTATCATACATAAGTTGTATTTAATTTGTATTTTAGCCGCATCTAAAATCAATCGTAAACCATACAGAATGCCACCTTCTAGATTAAACAAAGCCAATAAACCTGGCTACACCTACACTGAAATGATTCATCAAGCGCTAATGGAAAAAAAAGAATTACCAGTAGCAGAAATATACCAATGGATATCGTGAGTACCGAGTAGAATATTAATATCTATTAACTATGGTATTAATATACCCATGATTTTCAGTTTAGTTAATAAAATAAACCTATAATAATAATAATTGTTTATTATATTACACCAGTGGCTATAATGGCTATTTTTAGTTACCTATAGTTTTATTCTCGGGGGAGGATGTACAATTTGTGAGATAAACGTCGTTCGAGAGTCTTCCACACCTCTCATAAGATCTGTATTTTATATTCTTAGTGTAGTAAAGAAACTATCTTAGTTTTCAAAAAAATTGTTTGATTAGTGAAAATGCTTACATTTTTTTTATGCCACACATTAAAAAATGCGGAATTTCTGCCTGTTTGTACTTTGATGGACTAATACGATTAATAATACTAATACTACTCCGCTCAGAATCTATATTTGATTGCAATAATTATAGTGTATAAATTTAATTATTCTATAGATATTACTATAGTGACGATTTTAGTAGTAACTCTACTACAGTGACCTATTAGTTGCTAATTATTCGTACTTCGTAAAATGTAAGAACTAAGTTGTTTATAGTTCTAGCACTTTTGAGTTGTGACCACCATTAGTCATATTATAATTAGGTTGGATTAGGTGACCTTTCTAAATAAGTATACTTAGGTACCTACATTATTTAACATATTTAACATTAAAAAAAAAGCTCTAGGTGCAATATATCCTGATTGTCTCCACCACAATTGAGTTATATATAACTATAATAGGAAAATCTAAATTGTTTTTGGAATTTTAAAACTTAAAAAAATGGTGGGTGGGGTATGAACAAATGAGCAATCCAACAAACTTTCTAATGTGGTTTATTTTATTTAATAAGTCCTTCTAAAAATAAAATTATATTTATCCCTAAACCGTGTTTATAAATTGATAACTCGATATACAGTAAAACTTCCATGTAACGGTCACTAAAGGGACCAGAAATAATGACCGCTATTTAGAGGTGGCCATTAACATAACTCCAATACTTCCAGATGGCCGCTCTATAGGGTGCATAAAAAAATAATTTCAAATTTCCATAATTTTAAAACCGTATCTTTATTTTTTATTAAACCGATGGCCTATTTCAAATTTATCTGTGAGAGCACAGATATTACACTCACATTTTCTTTTTCACAATACTCGTAACAGTTTGATATTTTCTACTACAGTTAGGTGTTTTCATTTGTACGCCATCATAACTACTTGAAACGTTATCGACTGAAATTTGAAACTAATGAAACATAATAAATACACAGACCCAATAGCGTTATCGTAAAAGTTCGATAACTTACCTATAAACTACCATAAATAATTTGGGTAAACCATGCATTTTAAATTTTTTATACACTTCTTATATACTCCTATACATATTTTAAATTATTTTATCTTATATTTTGACCGTTATTTAGAGTGGTCGCTCTATAGAGGTATTAATGCAATTTTCCCATAAAATTTGACGTAAGTTAACGAAAGTTTTACCGTGTTATGCATTTTTACATTTTAAATATTTTCTACCGAGATAAAAAAAATTAGAATTGTTTATTCATAACCATAGATTAGATAATACGATATTTTTGTAGTTTAAACACGAATAGATCACAAAACATTTGTTTAAATCAATCGATAATAATTAAAACATAAAAATTAGTATTCGTTGATCGAAAAATCGAAAATTATCGATGTTTTTACGACGACAAACGACGTTGTTCTTTCGAGTATTTCCGCTATTATACACAGCATTATTATACCGCGGAAGTAAATAATAGTTAAACGTGCTCATGTTTATTTGTTAACATTTCTTCGCCACAATATTTATGTTTAATATTTTCCCTGTGTTTGCTATACAAACCTTTAATACCTACCCATCAATCGGCAACCACAACGGCTAAAACTCCCACACACCCCCCATATATTTACATCGTCCCTCGAGCGTGCTAACACCAATTTTACGGTTCAGTGGCGGAGGAATCGCTGTTTATGGATCGCGTGACAAAATACACATATATACAATACTATGTATATCATACAGCCCAGACAAGTGCTTTCGGGAAAATATAATATTTAAATAAAATATTACACAGTAACACCCAAGATTGTAGTATGTTACCTATTATTCTTTTTTATTTTCGAATATAAAAAAACAGGGTTCGGGACTTATATCATTTGCTTATTTTTTTTTGGTGTGTCATCATATCTAGCAGACTGCTATGGACATTAATGTCATGTTACAACAAGCTCAAGTATGAAATTTAAATAATATTTTTTTTAAGAGCTTTATTTAGATAAAATTGTATTCGAATAAATTATTATTCGGATGAATTTAACGTAATTATTCGAATAAAAATGTAGTTAATTAAATTATTTTCAAAACCAATTATTCGAATAAGTTTCGTTTATTTTATTTAGTTAAGATTATACTTATAGTTTATGAAGTACAAAGTACATTTGACAAAAACACGTTTTAAATGTTAATTTTATATGGCACATACCCCATCTACCTATATATTTTAGAGCCTAATAGGTATAATGTTTGAAAGCTATATTCAAATAAGAATTCGAATAATTATCTAGATAAAGTTTTGCCCAACTATAGCTGATGGGTATGCTACTTTTTTAGGTGGGAAAGGTCGCTAAAAAAACATTGTTAACAAAATACGATTTTGAACGAAATTCAGTAACACATGTTTTGAAATGCGTAAAATGAAAATTTTACCACGTTTAGAAAAGTTGAACATAAGTATTTTTTGAAAATTTTAGGTCTCTGAATATCTTTAACTAAATAACAACTAAAAACAAAATTATAAATAATGAAACCGTTATTTATTCTCTAAACTTTACCAATTTCCCAAAGATTTTTCCCGGTTTTGCTCAGATATTACTAAAACCATAAAAATAAAACTTTTTTACTCACAAACTAGATTCGAAATGCAACATAAGTTATACAATTTTATGACTAAAACGTAGAAAAAAAAAGAGCTGTTTTTGAGGACGAGTAAAGCCACTATTTTAGGCGGGAAGTTAGGAAAATATTGATACATAAAGCAATTTAATTTATATCTCTATGCAAAGATAAACCATTGCTAACGAAAAACGATTCGGAACGAATATAGCGAAAACATATTTTGATTTATACCGTAATTTTTACGACTTTCGTACAAATTTAATTTTAAACTGTTATAATAAAAAGTAAATACGAGATTATAATTTTTTTTTCGACTTCTAAATACGACTTATAATAAACTCTCTGTCAAATTGTCAAGCATTTCTTGCATTATGTATTTCTAAATCAACTTTCATTTTTTTCTACATATTCTAATAGATCAAATAATATTCATAAAATAGTGTTTTTCTAATCGTAATAATTACGAAGTAACACTTATTTAGAACGTCAAAATCTTGAATCGAAAAGATCGGCAAAATAAATAATTCTGCCAAAATCTTGAATACATAATTTCGGCAAAATCTTGAACAGCAAACATTTGAACGAAAAAATCTTGAAAAAATAATAATTAATATTAATTAAAAATAATAGATTTTGCCAGTTTTTTCGGTTTAAGATTTTTGACGCCCCCGTCCGAACTATTAGGAATGTAGTGATTTATAGTTAATAATAAATACTTTTTAGAACTTCGTATATATTAGGATGTGTGTTACATGGAATTAAAATTAGAATGGAATGATTCACATACGTTATTCGTTTGTGTTGTTGTCGCATTAAATTCCAACCAAAACTTTCTGTGGAAATTTCAATTCTTTGATCAATATAATTTTTAAAAACATTTTAAACATACATACAAACATACAAATTTACGGAGATCTTATTTATCTTGAGATTGAATAGCTATTAAATCATTAACAAAACAATATTCTACGTCTTCAAGGAGTAAAAAAGGCAGACTAAGATGTATTTTAGGGACCTGATAAATTTAGAGTCACTTTTATAAACACAAGACATTCCCAAATTTGGAATTTTGCGTCACCTATAAATGAAATCGACAGCTGTTGATATACTTGTGTGGCCACACCGTCAAAATAAAAAAATGAATCTCTTCCACAATATCGATAAAAATTGTTCTAAGTGAAAAATTCAAATTAAGTTTCTTGCATTCATTGACTCATCGTATAATAATTTAAACATTTGTGAGTATTTTTATTTACGTTTATCAGAAAGCAAACAAAACAAAAGAAGAATATTGTAGATAGGCACCAAAAACTATCTTTTGGCAATACAGAAATAACAATATATAATAATATTTCAACGCAATATTGTAGCTACTATAGTAGTTATTCGAGTAGGTAATAATTATCATATAATATTTTACAACTACTAATCGATTAAAATTTCTCATGACCCACACCATCAAGTTAATATTACTGAAAAATTATACTTCTCCTTTAATTTTGCTTCAGCTGTCTATGTATTTCTCTAGCCACGTGTCAGTATTTCCTGTGTAAAACGGTTCTAAAAGGGGGGGTTGTAAGGGTTAATAATGGTTTCTGTCTGTTTCCGTAATCAACCGGCCGTGAAACGTTTTACCTGTTCCCACCCTGTAGGTGTATAGGTATAGATATCATAAACGAACAAAAATTAGAATTGTATTTAATATGTGCTCAGGTAGTAGGTACTCATTTGGCGCTCATTATTTAGAACTATATACATTATACACGTATACACTATATCTACTACATATAGACTTACTATATCATATTTGAATCTAGGAAAAAAACGAGACGGTATAAACCGACCAGGGTAAAATACGACAAGATAAAATACATCAAATGCAACAAAATCTTGACTAAATCAAAACTCAAAGTGCAAAAATTATTATAAATGTAAACTTTATTTCATAAACAAAATATTCGTAAAAGATCGTGCACAAGTGTACTTTCGGATTTTTGTAAATATTTAAAAATAAATACTATAACTATTTAAAAATAAAATATTTAGCTTTCACCCCAAAAACAAAAAAAATCCAGGGCGCGCCTTTGAAATCTATAGCCATATAACGGACATTATTTGATCGGAGCCTGCAATTAGCCACTAATATTTGTAATTTTTAAGTAAAATACATTTGATTTTTACCGTGTCATTTTTTCCGATTACCATCATATTTAATATCAATATATTATTATAGTCAACATATAAAACGCTCTAATGATAATTTGCATGTACAAATTACAAATGTAACTTTCAAAACTGGGCAAGCTACTCAATATCTCTAACTTATTAAAGTAAAGTTAGGTTAAATTATAAAAAAAACAAACAAAATTAGATTAAAAATTGGTGTTTAAAATGTACAAAATGTTCAACTTAGTTATGTTAGAAGTTACTTGGTGAAAATAATAACACAAGTTTTAGAAGTGAGGAATAACTTAGAAGTAACGTATTCGTTTTATTTGCATATCGCAAATCTAAAAACCGGTACGTTAAAAAATTAAAACAAATCGCAAATATACGTAAAAACAATTTCTTCTTCTGAAAAACAATATATTTCGCATTGTAGTTTCTTACATTTTTGAGATTTAAAAGACAATGTAAAGAAATACATACTTACAGTATAATTTTAATTTCATAAATATTATAACTTATAATTTTATTTTTATTTTTTGTATGAAAATAATGTAATAAATAAACCTACGTCGGTGGTTCATTTTTGTTCAGTTGTTTTATAATGACTGGCAGTATAATATCTATAATAAGGCGTAGCTAACCCAATTGGTGATTTTTTTATTTTATTTTTTTTTTATTGTGAAAATTATACTAGCATTTTACTAATAGGGACTCCTGGATCCCTACCGTCTTCGCTTCTAGTTATTATTCTGGATGTACCTAGTTATTTTTATTATAAAATAATATAGTACCGTGAGACAACTTTGAACAAGTTCTGACCACGAAAAGATTTTTGTTTTTTTTTTATTTATTCTTCGTGACCGATTTTATATATATACAACAAAAAAACGATACTGTATATCTACGTGAGTATATATAGCGTGTGTATATGTTAGGTATTATACTGAAAATAACTCACCCCACACACGTTTATGTGTTCGTACCACCTCGGTACCAGGCACCCGTTTCTGTTTTTCGTAAAGGAAATAAAGAAATAAGGTTAACTTTGCTGAAGTCACGGTTCCCCTTTTTAACTTTTATTTTGATATGTTTTATGTCCGACAACAATAGAGACCATACCGATAACACATTTCGAATACAATTTCGAATTTACGTTGTTCGGCCGAACCATTTAATGAATATTAAAAATACAAAACGTTAATCTATTCACAAATATTGTAAAAACCAACAATATTAATATAATGTAAACTATTAAAAATGTGTACACATCAGTAGTAGGTTACGGTATCCGTTCAAAATTGCGAAAATAAAAATATCGAACTTTAAAAAAGAACGAAAATAAAATAAATACATAAAATAGAGAAAATATAGTAGATACTATATTTTTTAATACGGTCTTTATAATCATAATGTCGTTAAGTTCATTATGTATTTACATAGGTATTAATAATATTTGAGTATTTCGTGATAATAATAATTTTTAAAAAAATAATTAGATATTTATAGTGACAAATCACATGCTACACATTTTACAAAGTTCTTATTATCATTAGTATTATAATTTCAAATTTGTAATTTATAAATAAGTTTCGGTATTATACATGGTCGATTATTTTAAAATTCGCTATTATTAATTCGCAGTTTTCACATTCGCGGTTCATTTTTCGCCATTTTTGCCTAGACGGTTTTTACCGTAGGTTATATTATTATTCATTGTAGTAGCTTGGATATGTATATTACTCGCGTAGTGTGCACCAGCTGCTTCCGTGTTCACATAGTATAGATTCGATTCGGGTAAAATAAATAACTAAACAAATATTTAAAAGTTTTGTAGATAGATAATGTTTAAACAAATATCGTAGAATCTGTATCTACTATATAAATAGTTATCACGTGTATGTGAATAACTGTTTATTTGACACGATATTTATATACCTAGGTTGGCAAATTTTGGTAAGGTTTAGAGATCTGTTGAAAAGTTCGTTCATATTTTAGTTATAATAAAATCGCCTACCAATATTAAATCAAATAAATCAAAAACCTATAATAGGTATCATATCGAATAATATTAGCCGATCAGTATAATTTAATATTAAATTTATTTCTAACGAGCAATGGCATAATTTTTGTCCGTTGTTTTAATTATCAAAAAGTGTAATACCATATCAAGGTCTCGGCAAGTGAAACGTGCAAAATGTACTGTAATACAGTTTTTATTTATTTTCTATCGATAATAGCTGAATAGCATGTGTAAACCCCTGCAGAATACGTATAATACACAGTGAATAATAACAATTATTGTAAGTTGAGTTGAATCGAAAAATAATTATCCCGTATTAAAGTATACTATATTTAGAGTTTTTAAACAAATTATTGAAAAATAAAATAAATAGGTACTAATCGTTTATGCAAATAAAATTGTTAGGATGAATATACATTTTAATTATAGATATTCAAGTTTACAAATTTACGTGGTTTTAAAATGTTTCTAGTGTGATAGTGGGTTGAAATATCTACCTACATACCTACCTATGATTATGAATATGAAAAAAGAAATATTATCATTATATATACTTTACCAATACTTATAGGTGTTATAGAATATTAGAAAAAAAATGTTTTTTTTTTTTTTCAGAAATCATTTTCCATATTTCCGGGAAGACGACGAACGTTGGAAAAATTCCGTTCGCCATAACTTATCCATAAATCCAAACTTCCGGAAAGGTCGAAAATCCCAAGGGGCTGGTCATTATTGGCGATTATGCAATACCGAAGAAAGCCTGGGCCATCGCGAATATTCTATAACCACAGAAGATGTTTGCGAGAATACATCTTCGCCACAAGGACAAGAGTCGTCTGAATTGGAACAAGCCTGCAAGTATTTGGAAGGAGAATTACAACGAGAGGATAGCTTGGAATGTGCAAAAATGATTGATCCTGGCATCGATACAGAACTAGAAAATGGTATGTTTTTTGGTGTCTAATCAACGATCAAAATGTTAAAACTGAAAAAATACTTAGGAACTTATTCATAATGTACACATTTATTCGTACTTATTCAACATTAGATATCTAAGTAAATCAAAATGATTTTGGTTACTTACCTACTACTATCCACTTATTGTACCTACATTGTAAAATCGGTACGTTATTACTAATGATCAAATTGGTATTTTCTTTGTTATACCAATTCTTAATAACGGATCTGCTGAGTATACTACTGATTATTATATACCTACCTGATAAGATGGTCATTATTCATTCATTTATTCATTTATTAACGATTATCTAATCCTAGATGAAAAAAAAAAAAACATGCAATTTGTGATGATGAGAATAATTAGGTTCATTCTTCCACAATTTATTTTCAATTTACTATTAGTGCATTGGGAACGTTCTGCTTTCACCGTTTTATTCCCGTACGAAAAACGGATTAACGGACATTTTTTCCCCGGTCGTAAGATATTTGTTTCTTAGAAATTGTTAATCACAAGACGTTTCGTCCTAAAATATGGCATTTTTGATAGAAAGCAAAGTATAGGTTTAACGGGGTATCATAATAAGCATCATCATCGTAGATATCATGATTTAAGATACTTATCTTAATTCGTGCTAGACCCCATACTTTTAATGCTAAACACGATTGTATGTTTCTTTCATATTGAATAAAGTAGGTATGAATTATAAATATGCCTATAAATTATAGAATAGAAAATAATTTTATACTCTTCTACCTATAATTATTTCAAAATCAAATTTGCCCGTGTACCTATGTAAGATGAATATTGTTTACTTAGGTACCCACCTGTAATTTTTACCTGCAAAACCTAATGTTTCTCTTAATTCCCTTCTGATTAGAAGCATAGATTAAATATACTATAAAAGTATGTTTAATCTATGATAGAAGTATACATTTATGTTGTTTAATAATGATTTAAATTTGATTAATGGTTAAAATAATACTGGGGACCAAATGTCATATTGCGCGGACAAAACATCCATTAATGACAGAGACAAAATTCATTAATTTACTAATTATTGCTTAATTTTATTACATGCATTTTTGAAGCCTTAAATAATAACTAGATAATATTGATATAATAGACAATAATTATTCAAAAAATATTTTTGGTTTTATTAAAATCGTGTATTTAATATGTATTTGTATTAAATTTGATAACTTGATAAACAAAATATTATAATATATTAGGTATTAATATCTTTAGATCGGCAATTATTATCTATAAAATGTTCTTATAAATAGTTTGTAGAAATTAAACATTAATTTTAATACAGAATTAAAGTTACCTATTAATATTAGTTAGATATACCTGTATATATATTATATAAATATATATATATATATTGGTAAGGATAAGTATATATTACCTACCTATTATAATATGTTTTAGTCAATTTTAATTTTAATTATCTATCTAGCTGCTATTTACCTATTTTGTTTCATTAAGTATACACTTATATAATATATTCACTTATATATGTCTACTAATAAATAAAAATCAATAAATTATAACTGTTTTTGTTTCAGAACTATATACAAATTCGTTTTTGATTTCCAGTCCATCAAAGTTTATTAACGAACAAATCAGTTTATCAAATAACAATGATTTTCAATCATACAGTGATAGCCTGTTGGAGGAGTCTATTGACTTCCAGTATTACAATTTATAAACCTTCTGGCTCAAACAATTTTGGTTTCCAAAATTTCGATTTTTTTTTTTTTTTTTTTTTCGTATTTAAGACTGACCAATGGGTGACCTTTTTATAATATTACTTTTGTTATACATAATTTAATAATTGATTACTACCATCAATTACTGCTCTAAAATTTTACCTGTTTGCGATTATGTTTGAAGCTTATTTTTTTTGTTACCATTACATAAATACATTTTTTATCATCCTGTATTAAGATTCTAGTCAATTATTTATTATTTAAAATGATTTTTGCTTGTTTATTTATTTTTACTATTTGCGAAATACACTCATTTTTGGATGAATTTAATTATCATAACTTTTTGAAAGCATTTTTCTTTGAAATTAAGATTTTTAAATGAATATCTCTTGAACCTTTCGAGTAATATTTCATATTTTTATATAAATATTTTTAAAAAAAAAATTGTATCTATATATTATATAAAAACAAACATAAATTAAAACAATTGTGTGTTTTAGAGTTAGTTTGTCGTGGTTGTTATTCATGGAATTAGAAGTAGGTAATTTTAAATTAACAGTGACTGCCACACAATTTTTAACTATTCTAATTTTTTTGTATATTAATGCAGCCTTAATGATACAAACGACATACTGTGTGAAATTATTTCAGCAGCCTCAGAAGCAAACAAAAATGTGGACATACTTGTCTTTTAATGAAAAAAGATTCAGCAAAACCTGCCTATACATGTATATTATTTTATATTATATAAAAAAATAATAATGCCTTAAGATTTAATCAAATTATCATTGTCAGTAAATACCATTGGAACACCAAAAAAAAAAAAAACATTTTTGTATTAAGGACATAGGAAAGAATTGTGTAGAATTAAATGATCTATAAAAATTTACCATTAGTAAATAATATAAGCGTGTGTAAAATTAAAATGTTTAAGGAAGCTGCTATAGATATAAATTATAGAAAAATAAATTCACTGCATAATCTTTATCAAAATAAATCACTATAGGTACATAATAATTTCACAACATAATAAAATATTATACAACAATGGTACCACAATATTGTATATTTATACCGAAATGATACAAAATTATCAGTGGCAGGGTTGTAATTGTCATTAGTACTAGTCACTCACACTACGGGTAGCTACTTGTCGTTAGTAAATAGAACGTGTTTCTATTCACTTGCACTCCCAGTTTTACTAATACTTAGTACCTACTATTTGTATTGTTTACACGCGAGGTGCGAGTGCGAGTGACGCGTACTAATGATTAGTACTAAGCATCATGTAAACTAGGCATTAGCTCAGTTTATTTATCCACGACCATAATTAGGTAAAAAGCAGTATAGCGAATACCACCAGACCGGAGATCTGATTAGTATGCCTCCAGTTCAATATGGGATTCCAGACCTCGATCAAATCGTTATGATTCCGCTCCAATTGCATGCAAATGCGGAGTTCCATGTAAGTCATGTTCAATTAAGATGGATAATTCTGTTGCGTGCCCTTTGGAAATAGCCTTTGAATAGGAGTAATACTGCAAGTTTTAAATTCTAAAAGTTGATCTATTTTTATTAAATAATCGTTCAAAATAATATTTAAGTTGGTTAACAAAAAACAATAGTTGATGAAAACATGCCATCAGACTCGAGTCAAGATTTAGTGTGCATTACCAATTATAAATGCAACTATACGAAATAACTGAACGGGCTAGCCTCGATGTGATGACTGAGCCTTCCCTCTCGTGGGTAGCTGGTGTTTCGTTGAATTCACTCTGTTGAACTGAATTACCTCTTCGCCGGTCGTCTTATGTCAATAGCCTTGATCAGGGATATTAATACCTTTGACGCCGCCATTATTGTATCCTTATGGCACGTCGTGCAGATCTGGACACGGTTTCTCTGTGACATCCGCTGTTTCGTGAGAACTCTTTTTTCACACACTTATTAATGGCTGAGTGGCCAAACAATTTTGAGATGTTGCATAAGTATTGTTTTGCAACAACAAAAATATTCAAGTTTGTAAGTTGTATAATATATTATTATAAAAAAAAAAAAAAATAACAACGCGATGTTTAATAAATTTTTTCTAATTTTCAATAAAATGATAAATTGAAAAACTAAACCAATGATACACAATTTTTTGTAATTAACATTTATAATAAGTGATAAGGTTACATGATTACAGCACGATTATAGATAATTATCAAAATCTGTGTCTATAACCACGTGCAGACCACTCCTAGAGTATCTATAGTCTATGGGACAACGGTAAATAATTGTGCTTATTATCTTGTATTATTTTAAATGAATAATTATTTTGAAAAATAACTGTTTATTTATTTTTTTTGAACAATATGAATCCAAAATTTAGTTATAAAATGATGGAAATTTTCCATCATTTTTTCAAATAATTAAATTTTAACTCTGGGAAGTTTACCTTTATTACCTATTATTAAATACAAAAAAAAGGATAACAAAATACTAAATAGTTTATTTAGTTGTTCAATAATTAGTGTATGAGAAAAATATAACAAAAATTGTATCCCCCCGTCTTATAAGAACCAAAAAGAAGGTGAGGGGTCATGAACATTTAAATATCCCTGGTTACACTTAATGAATATACTCCATGAATATACTTAATTTTCATCATAAACGTGCTTTATATACATTTTTGAAATCAACCCCCCTCCCTCGTTATTTTATCCTGGATCTTACTCTGATGTGAAGAAAATATTTTAAATTGTTATTTTATACAATTATTTATGTTTGCTTTTAGATTTGACATCTTCGGGTCTTTTATAAGACTGAAATTCGTCACTCTGCATGACGTATAAATATAGCTAGATGTTATCAATCATTCTAGTTTAAAGTAGCAGCAGTAGTGATTCTATTCAATTCAAATAATATCTTATATAGTATATCTAATATATAAGTACCTATAAATGCTATAATACAGAGGTTCCTAAACTTTTTATGATACCACCTATTTTGGAAATAATTTAAATTTTGGCAACCCAGAATAATATCAATGGCCCTTTTTTTTCTGTTTAATTTTCATTTCTGGATTGTTCATATAGTTTGTTTAATCGGATACTCTTATTGGCAAGTATAGATTGGCTGTAATATTTTTATAACTAATACCAAAATTGTGTACATTTTTCAATTTTCCAAATTATTGGGAAAACTCTTAGGAAAATCAAAATATAACCTCCCTAAGGTATTACCCAGTCAGATTTACTTTCAGAGAAAATGCTATAAAGTGCTTGTAAATCGAAGCAAGATCTCTGGTAAAAAGTTGTTTACAGATAGAAAAAAATAAGTAAACATCATTTTAAAACCAATACCTTCCTCGCTCCACTTATAATCTAAAAATGTTTTATTTCTATTTAAAAATATAATGAAGACCGCTAAAAATATGAGTAATGACCCACTTTTGAGTCGTGACCCACACTGTGGAAACCTCTGCTATAATATTTTTTTAATTATAATTACATAAAAATGTTTTAAGTTTTATTAATATCACTTTGTAAAATAAAACTTCTAGCTGACTTATAGTCAGAAAGTTTTAAAGTTGGTAATAACTAGTATAGTGTACTAGTATAGGTAGGTAGGTACCTATTTGTTGGAAATGCACAACTCAACACAAATAAATATAAGAATAAGATATAAGTACGATAAATGCATGAATACATGTAATGTATGGGCACATTTAGAAATACTGATTTTTATTTTAATAAATCCTATAATATGTATATTTGTACACGCTTTAAAACCTATGTGTAGGTTTAAACTTAATGTGCCTATTTATACATCAAACATATAAAAGTAACAAATCAATAAGGTAGATATTAGTTAGGTACATTAAAATTGACTTGACATCAACATGTATATTACATTAATAGTTCTAATTTAATAATATTGTGCATTAAGTATGTAGGTACATATTAATACAATATTATACTGGCATGCTGCAAGTATCGGTATCACGATTCAAGTTACGATTGAAAAGAAAAACATGATTATTTAACATAAGTGCACAGTGGTAAATTCAGATGGGCATAAGGGCACGTGCACCCTTGTCAATGGACTACAATTTTTATTTGTATATTTTATATTAATTTGATACAAAACTGATAGTTAATTTACCAAAAATGTAAATAATGTGCCCCCTTTAAAAATTTCTGGATCCGCCTCTGTGAGTATGGATCATCTTCTTCGAGAATTATAACTGGCCATACACAAAAATAATATATAATTTTATAGGTTAGGCAATAACCATTAACTTCCAGCATCCAAGATTGTTAAGAGTATTTTTCCAATGTGCACTAATAAATAAAATAAATAATCATTTAGATTCCCCTTGTGCATGTTATTCATCAGAATGTCACATATTCGTATGGACAATGTAGAATAACCTATACCTGCTCGTATAAACTTACTCGTATTATAATCAAAAAACACGACAAAATTAACCTAACGTTCAAAAATTAGAATTTACCAACTGGTCACCAGACTAATTTTTGTCATACACTATACAAAGTATATTATACATAACATAAGACATCCGTTATTTAAAAAAATAGATATTACCTAAATTTTTTAGAATTTATTTTTTAGAAAATGTAAAAACTAAGCAGCTCTAAAATATGCCATTGCCCTTATCTTTTGTAATCTAAATTTTTGAAGATGAAACCCACTTTTAGTTTTAAAATGGCAACCTACATAAAAAAAATTAACTTCATAATAATTTATTCATCAGTATGAAGTTTGAGTTTGAATTCATTTTGGTCTTGACATTTTTGATCCCCCCAAATCAGAGATATTTTACTATTGAGTTAATCGTTTTCTGGTAAGGGTTTTATTTATATTGAATATAAATTAAATAGTAATTAAACATCGCACGCTACAAATAATGCTCCACCACTATCCCTCTAACTTTTAAATTATAAATTTAAAATATGAATAATTCACGTTGACGAAAATTAAAAATATCAACATTAAAATATCATTTTTTTATGGAAGTTTTAATTTAGGTTGTTATATCAAAACTATAACTGGGTAGTTCCACTTCCTAAAATATAGATAACGAGAAAGAGCAGTAACGTAACATTTTATAGCTAATTGTTTCTTAAATTTTCTAAAAAAAAATTCTGAATAAAATAAATAATTTCCGAAATAATGAGTGTCTTACGTTAGTCTGCAGATATACGAGTATGTTTGCGGTCTATTCGGTGATGATATTTACTGTAAGAGAGGTATTGGTAGATAGGTATTGGTAGGTATTGGAGGTATATCAGAGATTGACTTCACGCAGTTTCACGTGATTGTCTAGCACTTCGGCGAACCACGTCCTCTTAACGGGGTCAGCAAAAAACGTCGACACGACTTTCAGGTGAAGCCCGACCACCGACTGGCCGTCCATGTGTGTGGCTAACTCGCGGCACAAGTCCGGACGGTTTTTGAGTGCGTATAGACTAACGTACTTGTCACCCTGCGAGGTCTCCATTTGCAAATTGGTTTCTATCCATTTTTCCATAATGTCCTTAGATCCGATGCTCGTCACTTGGCCCTGGTATTCCGTGTACACTGGGGATAAGTACAGAGCCGTATCTGATTCTGAACAGTTGTTCAGCACACACTTGTAAAACATGTCGTAGAACACCGGGAGGTATACCAAAACCTATAGGTATGAAAAACAAGCAAGTGAAACTGGACTATTAGAACAATCAATATTATTAAAGATAAAAACGCATTATTATATTGACTTATGATAAACGTACTTATTACCAATAAAGATATTTTTGTAAATTTTTCAAACAAAATCGATTTTGATTAGAATTCAATAAAAAAGATAAATAATTGTAGAAAACTTGATAATTTCGACGTTTTTCATTTTCGTTTCACATTATCATGTATATTTTTTTGAAAACATGAACATTTATAGTTAGAGTTCCTAGGCTTTCTGTATATATTTTGTATATTATTCGCTAAGGGATTTAGTGGAAGATTAGCCTACGCATCATCATGCTGAACGATGATAGCAGTAGGTAGTAATATTTGAACAGATTCTCCACTGTAATCGGTTCAAATTGGAAAAAAAATCATATTTATGCGTCATATTGGTTATTGTTTTAGCAGATATATGATTCAAAGACGTACTCGGGTTTTGGCAATCGGGTGGTATTTTTGTTTATGCTAATCCTCCCCCACCCCAATAAATATCGATTTTTGACGAAAATAATTTGTTCGTTTATTTTATACATGTTACACATATTCAACAGACATAAATAAACACACTTTTGGCTTTTATTAAGTTTTTTTTTTTTCAGATATAATCGTGTTATTTATGTAATAATTATTTAATTACTTAGTACTCTCTCATTCGGTATTCCACTGTACATTCATATTGTTTATCTATAAGATCGTGCTATAATTTGAACATTATTAATTTCTTAAGGTTTATTCGAGTATAATAATTAGATAATAAAAAAATAAAAGTAATAATATATTACCAACTAAAATTGAGAGGCGAGAGCACACATTTTAATGATGTTAGCGTTATATAGAAACATTTGTTTGAAAACGATGTCCAATGCAATCCTCTTAGCCCCCTTAAGTTTCTGATATGACTGAACTTCAAAACGCGTAGAAAGATATTGTATACATTATTATATAAGAGCCTATAATAATATTAATAACATTGAGTGCGGACTTCCTTAATGTTATGTTCGGTATAATATTACGATAATATACCTAATTATTGATTAATTGTTTTTATTATTTTTTTTTTTTTTAACGTAGTAGATTAAACAATTAAAGACTTATTTATATTATAATTACATGTTCACATAATCGATATTAAGAATGAAAGATTACCTATCTGTCCATTACAATTCTGAAATTCTGATTATAAACTTTCATTATAATACCAATTATTATTCGCACTGTTAATATAATTTTCAAGTGCCTATTGATATAATGCATACTTAAATAAATAACATGATATGATCACTATCACGGACTCTGACGTATTAATGATATTATTTAGATAAATAATTGGCTTTTAATAAATAATCGATTGTATTATTATGATACATTATTGTTGTGAGCAGTAAAAATATACATAATTATTGTATGGAAAGATCATTAGAAAACTTTCTTGTGGGGATATTTTTTAAAGATTTTGTACGTTATGTAAAAATAAAAAAGCCAATGGGTCAAACTTCCAAATCCCTCATCCCCCAAATACACCTTTGAATATAAAAATAGATATACTTTAATAGAGATTAGCCATAATTGTAAATTTGGTTATTATTTAAAATCTATATACGGATATGCATATATGCTTAACGAGTTACCTGAAAAACAGTGTCTCCTATTGTGTATTCGTCAATATAATGTGATCCATATTCTGCAATAAAATCTGTCACCATAGATTCTATACCAATGGATATACATTTTATTTTTTCAACCAATGTTGATTTTAGTTCTGCTATTTGAGTAAAGTTATCGTACGTTTTAATTCGCTTCAATGGTCGTCTGTAAGATACGATTACAAATTTTTGTCCAAAACCCATTGCCATGTCAGGTAGACCAAATCGATCCGATATCATGTGTAATGATCTGCTTGTTGTCAACAGTTTCCACGGTTTATCAGCGAATTCTACTTGAAAACCATCAAAATAAACATCAAATAGGCAGTCCAAATCGGGACAAAATGTGATGTTGAGTAAATTTGTATGATTTTTTGTTACGTTCAAAATTTCACTAAAAACAAAAAAAAAATAAAATAAAAACAATTAAACATTTATCGCCGTAAATTTATCTATTTTCCTATTCGTTTTTCCCAATTATTACGAAAACTGCTTGGAAAATCAAATGATTTCCTTAATGCACCAAATCTTTAATTTTCCAAAATGCTACAAAAAAACTCTCTTGTCATTTATTGGAGCGAGATTTCTGGTTGAAAATTTATTTACAGACAGAAAACACACCATAGTAAAACTAATTCACTCGGAATCTAAAAGTTTTCATAAAAGTTCCTTGCCAATAGGTAAGTTTGAAGAAGTTGAAAGATCATGTTAATTGTTGTATAGGAACCTATAGATTATTTTAAGTTGATTGACAAAAATCAATCTTAGAATATTGAAAAAATGAAACTAACCATAGTTAAATTTAAAAATAGTTTCGTAAAATTACTTTTTGATATTACAATAATTATATTGATATAACAATAATAATAATAATAACAATTATTATTGTGTATATACTTTTTACGAACAGGTATCAAAATTATAATCAGTATGTTCCTAATCATCGATTCTATACAAAATCTGCGGTGTACCTATTCTACATACTCGATTGCCCGATGAACTATAACTTATGAGGTAATTTTTTAATTACAATAAATTAGTATATAATTTAACCGGTATTGCTAATAATATATGAATAGGTATAGGCAAACAAATTACAATTATTGTCAACGGATTATATTATTAATTAAATACCTATAATTTTAATATTTATATTTATGTATAAGTATAAACTACACAAGTATTAAACTTAGGTAAATACAAGTTTGCAATACAATTATTAAAATACCTAAATTTGTAAACCCATTGTTATTTAAAAAAAGACGGCTAATACTGCTGATGGGTATGTAAATGTTGTATGTGGGAATTGGGAAAGTAAGATATATATGGTAATTTAATTTAAATCTATAATAAATTGCTAACATAATTGCTATATAAATTTATTGCTAACAAAACCTGATTCCGAGCCAAATTTAGATAAATATATTTTGAAATTCCTCGATTATGATTATGATTTTCATACATATTTGAATTTTGAACAATTATCAAAATAAAAATATTATACCACATTATATCTATAACTTTATATTTTTAATTATTTACGCCGGATCAAAATAATTTTATCTACGTAAAACGAAATAAAAACTAAATAAACAATAAAATTACAAATGGTTATAACTTATAAATAACTCAAAAATCACTCGAATGTTTTGAAAATATTATCACATCTACAAAGGACATAGTATTCAAGCTAATTTCAAGCATTTAAGATTATTTCTAATTGAATCAAAACAAAATAATAAAATCGAAAATAATAAAAATCGTTTTTTCGTATATTTAATAATTTTTCCGATATGCTCAGTTGTTTTTTTTTATATAGTTATTTATAATTTTAGAAATTCGCAAGGAAAATAATCAATGACCTCTTTAATGCACCAACTAGACAACATTTTTCATCAACAACCCCTCCCCCTTTTTTTCAAAGTTACGGTCAGAATATCGCTTCGCTCAGAATCTAAAATTATACTAATGAAATTACGGTAAAAAATTATGATACTTTTTTAACTTTTATTATTTAGAACGTTTCAATTTGCAAATAAAACGTACTATATTATTAATCGCTAAAAAAACGACCAGTTTTTAACCTTTATGTTATAAACTAAAAAATTCAACAAAATAATTGTATACCAAATACATACAAGAACAAAAAAAAAGTAACAGCTTTTATTGTTGCATTGATAAAAAATAAAAATTCCGAATGCTGCAGTTTTTCTGAAGGTCAATATTAAATATTATTATTATTATTATGATTTTGATAATATTGCATACGTAAAATATTATCAAAGGTGAAATATGTTTAAAGAAAACTTACAGAAACTGTAATTAGAATCTTTAATAAATCTAGTTATATTTTATAATTATTATTAAATCTATCACGTGATATTTTAGGCGGATATTACGAAATGATTGTGGTTTATGCATTTTAAGCATTTTAGGTATACGAGTTCTCATTGTATATTAAATGTACGGTGATAACTTTTACAATCGACATTTTGTAATTAGTGTTGTAAATGAACGTGGTAAAATTAAAAATTAATTTTTAATTGAAACTTTTTTTTAAAAAAAATACAAAAATGGATTAGGTGTATACAGAGTGTAACTGGACTATTTGATATGTTCACATCTAAATATATAAATATTATTTATAAACAATAAATGCTAGAAATAAATATTTAAATATCTACAGGTATATATTTTATGAAATTTCAAATTAATAAAAAAAAATTAACTTAATTAGAAACCATTAAGAAAATTAATCGAAATACGAATATAATTATATATATGCCTATATAACATATTGTATCCAATACTCATAATATATAAAATGTAATTGAACATTACCTGTATCAATAATTATTTATAGATTATTAATTATTAAGGAAAATGTTAGTTTAGGTTACGGTTATGCACTATTTTCAGGCTTGAGGCTATAATTGTTGTAGGTGAGAAGTTGAGAATGTTGGATATGGTCTAATGCAGTTTCCGCAAATGTGCACTTATGCATAGAAATTTAAATTTTAATAAATAAGATTTCGGGGTGTTTCCGGGTCTCTATTTTGTTAAAACGCTCGTGTTTAAAGTTTTGATTTCGTTATTTTTCGTTAGGTCTACCCATTATGAATAGAAAAAAAGAAACTAAGAATTTAAAAAAGGGACTACCAGAATACACCGATTAGATAAAAAAAATACTCACAGAAATCCCTCTCCCCCCTTAATGTTAAACATTATAGGAAATCTTCTCGTCAAAATCGTATTACCTATATGTAAACTAAATACTAAATTTACTTTATTTTATTTTACCAAATATCCCCATCTACAACAGTTTTTTTGTTTTACAAAACCATAGTAACTATAAAAATTGTGTAAAACAAAAAAACCTGTTGTAGATAGGAAAATTTGGTAAAGTAAAATAAAGTAAATTTAGTATTTAGTTTATCTGGGTTATCTCGATTACCTCCGTATAGGAATTTATTTAGAAATGTATGTTCCCGCGTTGTAATCTGTGTCATTGTAATATATAATTTATAATTTTATGTCGGTATTTATTTCGTCAGTCAGTTGACAGTCGTTCTAATTGTCCATAGTATTGTCACTAGCATAGGCGCAACTAGGGACTTGCTAAGGGGTCTTTATCACCGGGTTTAAAATTAGCACCCCCAAAACACCTAATCAGGTTTTTCGTAGTAATGACAAAATATTTTATCCATGTATTTCATAGTTCATGGACAGAACAAAATACAGGTTTCCCACAGACCATGCATGTGTGTATAAAAAATAATGTTAAAATAATCATGATAAATTTGTACATACAAAATTGTAAATGAAAGGTGTAGTCGACTATTGTAAGAGTCATAGAAAGGGGATTATGGGGGCATAGTAGTCATGGGTCTTTGGTGTGCTCATAATTTTAGCACCCCCAGAATTGGTGGTCTAGTTGCGCTTATTGTAGTCAGTTATTATAATATACTATCAGTACCTACGCACTTCGTCTTGTCAACAAGAATTTGTTTAATTTCTCATCATCAGAGAAGGAAGCGACAAAACCTTGCAAACGATTCACCATTTAATAGAATTCAAATGGGTATTAAAACCAACTTTCCTCCGTAAAATAATTATTAACTAAATGTTTTTTTATTTTATTTTTGTTCGAAATTATAGATTGTTTTTTACATTATTTTTACCAGATATTTTTACTATACTAATTATTTAATTTTTGCTTAACATTTTAAAATGTTAATTAAATGTTATCTAAATTTTAATTAAATTTCAGCGATATAATATGATGTATAATTTTTTTATTGTTTAATAAATTGCGGTAGTAGTCGAGATAATATGGATGATCATAATAGGTAGTCTTGGAAATATTTCAGTTGTCGAGATAACACGGTTATGCATTCAAAGTAGTCAAGATAACACAGAAGTACCCATTTTAGTTGATATACGCCAAAAGTAACGATAACTCATAATAGGTAGTTAAATACTATAGTGTACACTTTTTACATTCAAATTTGCACACCTAATTATAATATATTTGTATATCTAATGTTTCATATTTCCTTTTTCCTAAATGTATAATATTACAATACAGTAATTAGGTACCTACTAACTAGCAAGCATTTAAACGGATACAATGAGTCTCGAAGCTAATTAAAATAAATGTAGAATATGGAAATGTGGGGCAAAGCGTAATTAGTAATCTAACCTACCTAACCTAACTTAGTTTTCTAGGAATAGGTATATTGTATTCTTATATTATTTTCGTATATGTATGCGTAGATCTATTAGGTATATTTCAGTTTAAGAACCTATTCCGACTATCTTTAAAAGTGATATGGATTCACATCATAGGCAGTGGAGTATTTAAGAGGAAACATTTATTTCGCCCTGGTTATGACATCTCTAAATTGCTTAGTTAATTAATATTAAGTTAACTTGAGACGAATATCTTAAACTTTTCCTAAGAAAAGAAATCGAATTGTAAATACACTCATTAAAGGCGGTGAAGGTACAATTGTAATAATACATTTTACATGTGAATTATGTAAAAAGAAAGTAACATCAATTTTGTTTCTAAATGATGTTTAAGTTTATTAGAATAAGATATAAATATTATTTATTTATCGCAGATAAAGAATATCTTCACTGAGGATTGCTATACAAAATATACAAAGGTACTGATATCGCTCGTTAACGTTGTAAAATTTCGCTGTCAGACGAAGGTTAAAAAAAAATCGATCTAACCACTATAGTATGAATGAGGGTAGATTTGATATTACCTATAATAAGTACTTATAATAATTACTAGTTCTCGTACCTAGATATTTGATTTCAATGAAAATGTCAGGGCATGTGAATTATACATTTCTTACAAAAATGTATATTTTATACACAATTTCTAAATTTAGTAGATACTTAAGTATTACTTTCTTGACAGAATCCTAAATATGCCACAGCACTAAGGTAAAACAGATATAGTCATTTATAGAGCTGAAAAAAATTTGTGTGGTACATAATTTACACCAATACCCAGTGCTTGAATTGAATAAATAAAAAAGGGGGTCATTTTTTATATGATATATATAAAAAAAGTAGGGTAATTAACCTCAACCTAATCCATGGGGGCTTCGCTTCACACCCACCTTACATTAATTATTCATAAAAATGTATACTTCCCACTAAACCATTGCTTACGAAAAACGATTCTGAGCTGAGTTCAGTAGATAGTGATGCTTTGTCGACAATATATATGTGATATTATATTAAAATAATTAAATAGGCTATATATATTTTCTTTAATAATATCCATAGAAAAAAAAATTAAACAAATATATTTCGTACATTTTCCCGTTTTTCCTCCGTTTCTTTCGATTTTTCATATTTGTTGAGAAAACTCGGGGAAAATGAAAAAATGACCTCCTTAAAGTACCTCTCCAGTGAAACTTCCTTTCAGAAACATTGCTGTCAATAAATTTTGGAGCGAAATTGCTGGTAGAAAAGTTGTCCACAGAAAAAAAAATCTTAATACTATATGTATTATATTTTGTAAATTTTCCTTTAAAAATGACCTCTTTAAGATACCTCCCTCCCCACACCTTTCTGAAAATTTGCTACACGTAAAAATTGGAGCAAATCCTTCGGTAAAAAAATTGTCCATCACAGAAAAAAAAAATAAAAAATAAAGAATTTACATCTTTGTAAAACCATAAGCTTCTTCACTCCACTCAGAATCTAAAATGTTTAGACCAACAATCGTTATTAATTATTAATTAATAGGGCTACATAATTAAGTATGTACCTAGTTAAAATTGTACACCTCAAATAATCGGAAGCACTCGGCTATCGTTCAGCTATCAATGATCGTGCTAATCAGTCATCACTTATTTTATCATATAAGGCCGCAAACGTGCAATATAAAAAAAAAAGATAATAATTTATTACTGAAAGATACTCTAATCGAAATATATATATATATATAATTAATTTATTAGAGTTGATGATAGAACAATAAATATTTTTATAATTATTAAAAATTTCTGTATTTATTTAGAGATTTTTGCTGAAATTGAGAATATTGCTCTGTCAATATTATTGTGTTTGTTGTGTGTAGGTACCTATATTAATCTCTTCCCCGTTATTTTTGGATACTTTTAGCGGCTTCCTTCTTACTTGAACTCAAGAATCAGAATTATTTTAAACGCGGATTGAAGTGAACAACTTTGGCTTGAAATCCACTATACAGTTGTGGGTAGAGAATATTTTTTTAATTTTGAACACCCCAAATTAAAAGTCAGAGGGATGAAAGTTTTGGTGTTCGTATCAAGGACGTGCCTTTTTAGGAATAGAATAATATTATAGCATAGTTTAGTGGGTATTGTATTATTGTTTTATTCTTCGGTTATTATTTATTGTTTTACAAAGAATATTTCTATAATATAAAATAGGTGAAAGGGAGGGGGGAATTCAACTTTATAGTAACGAAGTTATGCTGCTCACTGATGGTTTTTTTTAAACATTTCGATGAGACGAAATAGCTTGTTGGGACGATAGATAAATTAATAAGGATCCAGTTCGGCGCACAAGTTACAGTTATATTATTCATATTTTATACTTGGGTGTGTTATATTTAATTTTTACCGTAAAACTATTGATATCTGCATCACCACATCAATTCAAGGTTGAATATGAACCAAAGCATTGAAAATATATATTTTTTACTAATAGTTTTAAAATAATAATTACTGATAAAAAATAAAATCGATAAATTAGGCGGGTACAATAAATATTATAATAATATTGCCTACTGATTAATATACTAATTTGATCAGGATATTACAAAATAGAGGAACCCACCTAATAAAAGTGTTCTATTTACAGTTTTATCTTTATTTATACGTATTTACTATTAGTTTAAATATAGTCTTTATTTCGTAATACCAGAGAACAATGGTGTTACACTTTTATGATATTTTACTAAAAAGAGTTAAAACTACGGTATTTAATAAAACGTAATACGCATTTTATCGATACGCATTTTATTTTGATTACAATTTTTTCGAATAAAAATTACCAATTGATTGATTGAGTTGTATATCAAAATCATCATTTCGCAAATTATATACTAATAATGTATTAGGCGTATGTAGAATAATACGCCTAAAACAAAACGTGATATTATCTATGATAATAATGGATACCTATTCAATGGAAAGTATATTTTTTTTACTTTATTGGTGATAAGTTCTAAGAGCGAAAAACATTAATTTAATTTCATTATTTTAGTACAGATCGAAATGATTGCATAATGTGTACGTTTTCTTTAATACTAAAGTCGATTATAACAAACGACTAAAAATGACCATACGATTATGATTTTTAAAATCGAAACTTTTTTAAAATAACATACAATAACAGTATTACATATTAAACCATTTATAATGTGGGCTTTATATTGTTCATGTAATTTTTCTATTATTCATTTGATTCGTAGTAATAGCTGACATATAATAACGTGTATTTTATTTATTTAAAATCGAATCATTATACACCCCAAATATTACACTCGTGGTAGTTACATCACATAACACACATATTATAATATAATGTTAATTAAGAAAAACAGAAAGGTTCGTACACGTTTAAAAATTTTAATTTTACAAACGTTTTACAACATATCCATATACTTTCGACCTCGTTGATAATTACGAACAAACACACATGCATTTTTCGTACATAGGTAATTTTAAACTTTTAACTGTTGTGGGGAAAAAATTGAGTGTATATGAAGGGAATCCACAAGCAAAATGTTGTACTATAATATTCGTATAAATCAAAATGCGTATGCCATTAGGTGAAATATTGCCGAAATCGATCCAGTATAATAGATTTTTACCAACTCAAAATACAATTTTAATTGTAATTGATTTAATCGGATACAGGCAATTAGATACCTAATAATTTCCCGGTTTTTTTTTTTTTTTTCCGTACCGTAGTTCCATCGTATTCATAATGTGGCTGCATCTGAGTTCTATCCCAATAACCTTTTTTTATACCAATGCCGTCCCTAATAAAAACAAGGTTAGATAACTAAAATATTACAATATTACTACATAAGTAAATAAAAAATAATAAATCCAGACACGGAGATGCACAAATAAAGTTTAAAAATGAAATAGTAATATCTTTATTTCTAAATAATATAAAATTGTTATCATAGTCGTAAATTGTATACTATATTGATATAATAGTGTAGAAAACGCAAAAAGGGACGGAACTCCGGTATAACTAAATAAATTACATGGGACGGAATTACATCCATTTTAAAAACCCGGGACGGAAATAGTATATTCATAAATTCAAATTTTACGTTCAGGACGGAACTCGGACGCAGCCCATACAACATTATGCACCGCTTAATATCATCGATCTAATGGTGTTGTGCGGCTGCGGCTGTGGCGTAGGTTGTACGGTTGTTGTTTTACTCACGTGAAACGATCGGCGCCTTCGAGTATGTCGCGTGTGACCGTCTCCTTGGTGTTGGACACGTCGCCGTACAGCACGTCGCCGATGATGCCGAACCGCTGGAGCACGTCCACTCCGCGGCCAATGTCCACGTTGGCCGCGGCCGCGTCCATGAGGACGGCCGCACGGAACACCAGCAGGACGGCCGCGGCTACCATGCCGTGGCCCATCATTGTCCGGTGTCACGGCGGAGGCGCGTGCCGTCTCCGCTATCGTCGCGGTTCCCGTACTTCACGAGACGCGTACGTCACAACGGCGACGATCGCAACGCGTCCATGTCCGGTCGGCGGACGTTTGAGCGCGCGATACGCGTGTAATAGGTACCGGTGAATGATAATTATTGTGCCGGTGGCCTTATTGTGATGACGGTATTTATAACACACGCGCGTAGACGTGTTGGCCAGTTGCAGCACGCGAGAGTACCGCCGACGGAAAACGGGAAGTTCTATTACGATTATTTATTTGTTGCTGCGTGTGATGCGTAAGGCGGAACATCGGAAAACATTTTAAGTCACCTTATCGCGGACGGGTTCGCGCCAACGGCCAAACAGTATTTTCTAATAGGTGTATAATATTATTATTATAATAATGTTGTATTATTACGAATAAATTATTACGCGCGTGTAATAACAATATTATAATACCGCGGTATTCTGAAATAAGGAAAGATAACCGTTGGCCGCCGGGCCACCTCCTCCGGTTACTATTATTGTGTATTTTGTACGTTTGCATAGCGTCTACGTCGACAAATTGTTACTGTCTCGTATAACACGAACGCGTCTGTCTGAAAAGGAATACGTATTAAGTTGCTTGTGGGTGGTGTCAGGGGTTGTGTCAGGGGTCATATCGACACTTAAAATTACAACAACTATGACTATTTATTTAGTAATTTTTAACATCAATTTTATTTTCTAGTCAAGTTTTAAAGGGAAAAAAAAGTTGATACTGGGGACGGATGTTGCCACTGTTTTAGGTGAGTAGTTAGGAAAATGGGATGCGTTAAGTTATTCAATTTATTCCTGTAACCAACGATAAACGTTTACTAATAAAAAACGATTCAGAGCGAAGTTAGGTTATACATGTTTTGAAAGATCGTGATATTTATGATTTTTGTAAAACTTTGATTTTAAAACTCTTATAAAAAAAAAAAAATAATAATAAAAATGGGCTCACCATTGATCGTATTTAATAAAATTTGATTCGAGTAAAACTCACCCAGAAAAAAATTAAACAGACAATTTTTTGTATGCTGCGAATGTTCTACCGTGTTCGACGAATTTGTACACCTTTTTATATCTTTGTTAATATTCAATTATCTTTTTTTCAGTAAGATTTTTTTTAAGGGAGACATATATTTAGAAAATAATTACATTTTTATTACTACTTCTTAATCACACAAAAAAAAATAAATATTATACCTAGCCTACGAACATAACATGAGGCACCCGTCGAAGACTTTGACGACAACAACGCTATTTTAATTGCCCAAAAGTATAATAATATTAAATTATTGTTCTCGATCAATCTGAATTTAAAATTAAAATACAATGTGTTGATATTCTCATGTCCGTCAAAGATAATCGACAATTCCAGGTCATATTAACTTAACTTTTAATTTATATGCCTAATTCGAAATTTTGTTGTGTTATTTTTATCGTTATAAAGTTGAATTATTATTGTTATTAACTAACTTAATAAATTTAACCGTTGAAAGGAATTTTCGTGGTAACATATATAGGTAAGTTCCCAACTTTTGAATTTTAATTGAGCTTCAATATTTAGAAAATTAATATTTACGAAAACAAATTATCAAAAGGAGCAAATTTTATTGAAGAGAATAATAATATGCCAATATCGATTAGGCTATAAAACATACAAATATAATAATAAGTGGAATAAACTGACCTACAGATAGGTTATCAAACAGGTATATAGAAAATGAATCATAATTCGTAATACAACTTTAATTTTGAATTTATTTTGATTGTATAGTTAGGGATAGGTACTAGGTGTTATAGTATATTAATAATATACTATATATCAGTCAATAATTATTGAAACTGTTGAATCAGTGACGTGGTAAATTTTTGCCAGGCGTGGCCTTTTATTAGAATTTACATAGCATATATAGGTACACAACGTTACTGGCTTAATATATTGTTCTCATAATTATATTTCCTTTACCGTATGACCTTTGTTTATTGCTACATAAAATTGACGACTGTAGGCTGTCGCTCATTTGATCAAAATAATAATATAATAATGATTATTATATTACTATATATTATGCTCGTATAAGTACCTATTATTATGCGATAATTTGCAATTTCTTAGTATTGTTAACACGCATTAAGTTGTCTTCTTGTAAGTCCAAAAAGCACACGAAATATCAAATTTCCTAAACTTGAGTAATTTAAACTACTCATAATATATAGTTGATATTGTATTATTATACTATTTCTATAATACGAATATAAATTCGGTGGGGGGAAATTCGACTCTAGTGACGGACATTTTCTGCTCACAAGTGTTCTTCATAACTACCTGTAAATAAGTTTTCAGTTTTCACCTTATTATTTATTGAATCAGTAACAATTTTCTATAAATTTTCTAACCTTTATTTCGACAACTTACAATTATAATTATAATTATAAATACTCTTAAAGTAAATTCAAATTAATGCTAGGTAATCTAAAAAAAAGAGCTGATACTGGGGATGAGGGCGGCCACTGTTGTAGACAAGAAGTTAGGAAGATAGAATACATAAAGTTATTTTTTTTATAACTGTAAGCAACAATAAACCATTAATTGACGAAAGACGATTCCGAGCGCAGTTTGGTAATACATAATTTGAAGTACCGTAATTTTTTTTACGATTTTCGTTTAAATTTGATTTCAAAACGCTTATTAAAAAAAAAAAAATTGTCTAATAATTTTGAAAATTTTACCACATCTAGGTAAATCTAATAAAAGTATTATCACTAAGTTTCAAGTCTCTACGTGTATTTATAACCAAGTTACAGCAAAAATTAAAATTCCTTAAAAGCTCAAAAGTTACTCAAATATTTTGGCAATGATACCGTAAGAAAGTAAATCAAAAAGTTATCTTGAGATTTTTCGATTAAATCATTTTTTCTGATAGAAAACGTCGTCCGTGTTTTTATAAAATAATGAAATCGTGAGATTGTACGTTTTCTAATGTTTTCCCACTTAAGTACTTTTATTTCAAAAATGGCGTCAAAATCAAAAAATGACCCATAAAGTATAATCTAGACATCTTGAGCTTTTAGAAAAAGTGTTACACTTATACACCGGAGCAAGGTTACTTGGGAAAAACGTGTCTATAACAGACTAGAACGAAAAAAAAAGAAGAAAAGAAATAATATAAAACAGCATTGTAAAACCAAGAGCTCCATCGCTACGCTCGGAATCTAAAATAAATAAAATAATATAAGTATATTCTTTTTTAGTTTTTATTTATTTAGCCTAAAAAGTAAACTAAAAATTCTTAGAGAACTTAAAATTGACAATGGCTGTAAATTGTACATTAGAAAACCGAAAGTTAATATCTGATGAATAAACAATTGTACATAGAGGGGAATTCGGAAGATTTAACCCTGCCAAAACTTAGCCAGCTCTTCTTCCCCATTAAACCAACTCCTAATAATATTAATAGTATTTATTATCAATATTATGGAGCGAAGGCTTAACTCCCTATAATATTTAGACTATTTATGCGTCTATGTTAATGAGGCACGAGGAGAAAAATATTTTGAATAAGTAAAGGTATAGGTACTCTCTCACGAATAATTAAATTATTTATTTATGAACAATCAAAAATCAATTTATTTTTATTCATAGAGACTTAGAATTTAGACAATAAATTGATTTTTGTCTTTTCTAGACGTGGTAAAATTTTCAAAATATTTGTGCCATTTTTAAACTATTTACAAACATTTTAATTTTGTGAGTTTTGTACGCAATTTTTATACAGTAGGTACTCTGTGAATAAAAATGTTAGACCAAACAGAAACGATTGAAAACTGAACAGGATGTTTATTAGAAATTATACTTTGTGGTCAAAAAAAAAAAAAAAAAAGCGTGTAATGTATAATTAATTTTTTTATAAGAATTTTAATAGCAAATTTTATCGAAAATTGTAAATAATGCTATTGTCTTTTAAATAAGTACAGCCGAACTCTGTTTAGAATCGTTTTTCATTACCTAGAAACGATTAATCATTTTGAAGAGATATACTATAATTCCTCTCTATATACTATCTTCCCTTCATACAATGTAGTCGTTTTTTTTTTTATTAGAATTTTAAGATCAAATTTTTACAAAAATCGTAAAAATTTAGGTATTTTAAAACTTGTACTTATTGTACCTACTCTGAACTTCACTTTGAATCGTACCTCTTCCATTAGCAATGGTTTATCATTCTTTATAGATATTATATTAAATACCTAACTCTTTGTATCCTACCTTCCCGACTTACCACCTACAACAACGCTACTTATCGTCTCATCAGCTCATTTTTTTTGCTCATCAATCCCTTACCCAGGAAATAAAATGTGTAAATGCGGCATTGTTTAGATGGAGTTCCCAATATAACTACAATACATGGTCCCTAGTCTGGGTAATCTGTTGTGAATCTGGTCAACACTATCACTATATTATATCATCAATATGCATGTTTTTAAAAAATTGATATACCTACCTGTAGTTATCATTTATTTAGACTGATTTTTAGATTGATTTGTTTAATCGCTGTGGAAGTATAGAACATAATTTTTATCTACAACGTAAAAAAAAAAACAGATGCAGCATTTATTCATACGAGACCGAAGTTAACGTAATTTAAATTACATTATAATATGTAGGTACCCAGTGATATTGATAACAAATTTACAAATATTAATAGATTTTAAAAGAAACAATTAATGTTAAACTTGAGTATACTATATTAAAATTATCTTAGATAGATATTATGGAAGGTCAAATTGTATTTGTAAATGTTCTCCATTGATTTTATTCGTTTTATTTATAATTATAATTTATATATACCTACCTACTCGTACTATATTTTAATAAGAATTATGAGTTGTGTTTTAAAAATTTAATTGAAAGCAATATTATCTTCATTTATTTCTACGTTTGAAAAATGCAACTATTACGTATAATTTCAAATATGTAGGAAATATATTGCTTGCAGTATAACTACTGTGATCTATAATAGTAGGCATATATGTATAGGAAATAATATGTTAATTTCATTTTCATTTTTTTTTTTATATTGCCTTATGTTAAAAAATATTCTTAACTATTTAAATTGCGTATATGCTATTTAAAAAACTTAGGTGTCTAAAAGCTAAAATCTATTGCTCTTTAGTTTAAAATTAAGTAACATTATTAAGTATGGCATACAACAATGATATAAATAAAGAAGATCGATTTTGATGTTTATTAGTACTGATATTGTCATGACAACTACAAATAACCACACTGCATAATAAAACCATAACAAGTAATACTGAGTGCGTTGCCCCTTTCTGATAGTACAAAACTAAAGTTCGTTCTTGTATGAATACATTGCGATTAATAATTATATTTAAAAATATGTATATACATCTTTCATTCTGTTTACTTTCAGTAATAATAAGTAAGTTAATTATTAATTAATTATTGTCTTATAATGTAATAGAGTTATTATAACCTAAACGTATACTGAAATCAAATAATCTGTCTTATTAATATTGTATTAACTTGAACAGCACATTTAATGCCCAATATAAGTATATTTTCTGTAATTTTTTTTTAAAAGTTCGAATTATTTTGAATTTAAAAATGTTTGAACAAACAAGAACTTATATTATGATTTTAATCCAACTTACTTAAAATATATTATTAATAATATTATCTCTTATTTTTTAAACTATAATTTTGTAATTTTACCTACTTAAAAAAAAAATAAAAACTAAAATTACATTGTATTTATTTTATACAATGGTTTATAATGAATTTTGTTTATTTAGTTTATCCTATTACGTCCATTCACATTTCTCCTTTCATCTATGATGTACAAAATAATATTGATACAGTTATTCGAATTAATGGACTAGAAACTACAATGGACACAATACAAAATACTACTTGTGAAGTAATGGATTTGGATTCTCGAATAATAATGGTAAATTCAATTTGATATTGTTAATTTCTTTTTAGAACTATTTTTGATGTAAAAATGGTTACTAAAAGAAACTAAAAAATATGTATTGCGTAGATAAAATAATACTACCTAACTTAAAAAAATATATAAATATAAAAAAAGAATTGATACTGGGGATAAGGGTGTACAACTGTTGTAGATAAGAAATTGAGAAAGTAGTAGAGGGAAAATATAATACATATCTGTAAGCAACGATAAACTGTTGCTAATGAAAAAACGATTCTGATCGGGGTTCAGTTAATGGTGTTACTTTGTCAACAATGTATATGTCATACTATGGTAAAATAATTGCTTATGATGCATTAAATGTTATCTTTAATAATATTTGTTTAATATTGTACCTATTTCCCCATGTTTTTTACGGTTTTTTCTATTTATTGGGAAAACTCCTGAGAAAATCGAAAAATTACGTCTCTAATGTACCTCCCCAGTTGGATTTCCTTTTAAAAAAATTGCTATCATTATGAATTGGAGCAAAATTACTGGTAGAAATTTGAGTATAGAAAAAAAAATCGTAATTTTTTAGTAATTTTTTTTGCACATTTTCCTGTTTTTCCTCCGTTTTTTCGTTTTTCACATTTGATGAGAAAATCGAAAAATGACCACCTTAAAGTACCTCCCACACAGATTTTCTTTCAGAAAAGGTGTTACACTTAAAATCTGAGCAACATTTCTGGTAGAAAAGTTACGCACATCTTTGTAAAACCATAAGCTTCTTCCCTCCACTCAGAATCTAAAATACACAGTACATAACATACAATTTTTTTTTTTACTATTAAGTAGGTACGACTTATAATGAACTTGCTATTTTGAAGCATTTCTATTTAGTCTGAAAATTATATTCACAAAATACCTAGGTAGGTTAGGTTAGGTTAGGTATAATAATTAAGTGCCTACGTAAAAACTCAAAAATTTAAATGTCTATAAAATAATGGCTCAAATATTTTGAAAATTTCACCACGTCTGGAAAAGGCAAAGTATAATTTTTGTGTCAAAATATCAAGTTTATGAATATTTTTAGCTGAATTACAACAATAAAACAAAATTAAAAATAGTAAAAGCATTATTTTCGTAAATTTTCCCGATCTTAGTTTTTTTCGGTTTTACTCAATTATTAAAGAAACTACAGAAAAAAAATCGATAATCAACTGTCTTACTCACCAACTAGATTAAAAACACAACAAAAAATATTTCTTGGTATTTTTCTAGTGAAGAAATATTTCTGGTAGAAAATATCGTTTATAAAAGTTTAAAATAATGAAATTGTACGTCATAAATTTGTTCGTTTTTTATTTTTCGTATTTTTTTGGTTTTCAAAAAATATTTAAAAAACTACTTGTGAAATCAAAGAATAACACACTAGATACAATTTTCTTTCAAAAAAGCTACTATACTTGATACATCGGAGTAAGATTTTTGGTAGAAAAGATATTTGTACACATCAGAAAAAAAAAATCATATAGAAAACCAAAAACAATGACTCAGAATACTGAAAGAAAAAGATACAATTTATGGTTTAGTGGTTACATTTAATTATTTGATTCGCTATTGAAGTACTTGTATAAGTCGTATATATTATAAATATATGTATTTTTTTCTTTTTTTTAATTATGAACATCATATTATTAACTTATGCACTTATCTATCTGAAATCCAAACATTTCGAATATGTATGTTTGGAATATATTTCAAAATAATAAAATTAAAAATCTTAACACTACATTTAAAAATTGTATTGTCATTTTGTTTTATTTTTATAGAATACTAATTTAAACTTGAGCAATACCTTTACATTATTAGCACGGTTTGAAACACCTATATCTTTAGGTGCCTTTAAAATCCAATGTTCAATATTTGGTTCACCTGTGAACTTTGATGGTAATTTTTTACTTGTTAATAGTTTACATTTGATAGTTGGAAATGTAGAACCAAATGTAATAAAACTTGGAGAAAGTGTTTCGGTAAGTACTTATACAATCACTATATCAAAATGATATACACTAGTAATTAATAATACATATTTAAATCTAAAATTTAATAAATAATATACTTTATAATACATATTTTTATTTTCTAGTTCCGATTGGAAATATTTAATTTAACTGAACCTGTTCTTTTATTGTGCTATTTAACCGACGGGGAAGATTATATAATTTTACCTACAAATTCTATCAATGGAAATAAATTATCTACATGGATTACATGTCCAGAGTACAAACTTAACAGAGCTGCTGAATACAAAATAACAGTAGTTTACTCAACGAGTGCAATTGATGCTATGTTAAGGTATTATATACCATACAAATACCTAATAATTTACTAGATACATAAATAATACGAGTATGTATTTATTTAAAGTTAATTTATATAATAATCAAATTATGAACAATTACATTAACAATTCATATTGACTAAAATAAGTACATGTAAACTAGGGGTGGGTGAGTAGGCCGATACATAAATTGATAGTTGATATCGCCGGAATTGGTGTTTTTTTTTATTTCTAATCTGTAGATTATAAAAAATGTATTAATAAATCGAGTTTTCAACCAAAATATCGGTTAACTTTTATATTAATTCATGGTTTTAATTTCAAATATTGGTTTTATATCGATAGCATTATATATCTGAATATCGGATATCGGTAAAAAGTGGTATCGGCCTATCCCTAATATATACCTATACATCGGTTACATGAAGCTGACACCGCAAAGTTCACAAAACTTAAAAAAACTTCTAACAATCTCCGCTCTGTGAATTGTTGGAAAGTTGTTGAAAAAGATTTAAAAAGTTAAAAGTATCTAACTTTGCAATGTTTAATGTCAAGTACATACTAACAAGACACCTAGCTGTGAAGTTGTTAAAAAACTCATACAACAATCTTGACATAGGTTTGTTAGATATTGTTAGAAGTTTTTTGAAAAATATTGCACAAAATTAAAATCTCTGTAAACTAAAAAATAATTTGTTGCTCTGAAGTTGGCACCGTATTATACACGACAAATGAAACAAAATTGAAATCATCCCACGAAAAATCTCAATTAACAAATCCAAAAAAACTTGTTTGAGCCATATTGAACCGTTATTTAAACAACGGATAACTACTCCAACAACGTTTTTTTGATATTTTAAAGGCCTTTTTCCATCCAACATCACAAATTTGACTAATTTCATGTACCGTTTTCATAACTTATTGAAATTTTAAAGTGTAAAAATTTGATTTTTTTTTTTTTTTATACTAATACGTATTATAAGGACATTTGTGATACTAGGGGAAAAAATGTGTTCAAAGTATAAAAAAAGGTTGTTGGAGTGAATTTTTTTGTTCAAACTTTTAAATTATTATTAAAACAAGATTTTTGGATTTCTTACTTGACATTTTCGAGAAATAACTGCAATAATGTTTTATTTAATCGTAATCGTGTCAACTTCTCAGAACCACATTTTAATGTACAGAGCTTTTAATTTTGTCCAACATTTTCCAGCAATGTTCCACAAATCTATGTGCATATTGTTGGATGAGTTTTTTTTAAGTTTATAGCTAAGAGTGGTGTTGTACATGTACTTGACACGAAAAATTTAATAGTTGAATAACTGTTTTATCTTTTCCAATAAATTCCACTAACTTTCTAACCATGTATAACAAGTCAGAATAAAGATTTTAAAAGGTTTATTTTAAATTTTGTGAACTTTGCGGTGCTAGCTCTACGTATCTGTATATATATATATAATTATTTTATAAATAGTTCGAATAATTTCAAAGTGGTGACAGTTCAAGCTAACCGTCCAAAATTAATTTTATCCGGATTTACTAAAGATTTAAGAACAATTTGGTTTAAATTTGATCAAAATATAGAAGGACCAGATTCGTGTAATGACATATTTACATCGATTACATTATCTCAAATTGGTTACGGTATACTTAAAATTATTGAAATTATATTAGTTATATTAAAAAAATACTTGGAAAGGCTAAAGAAAATTAATTTATCTTTATAAAGATGCTGTTTGTTGGTTCTCATCAAATTATTTAACAGTACTCCTTGGAAATGTAAAAACTGTTAAAGATAACAAGTTTATTATTCAATATTCTTCAAACAATAATATACGGACTTATAGGTCGTGGTCTGAATTAAGTCCATCAATGTTAAATAATGAAATTATTGTACCTATAGTTTCTTCAGAGGTAATTAATACAATTTTAATGCATGCTTAAATTTTAAATTGATATGTATTTTGTACTTATTTTTGATTTTAAAATTACAAACTATCTCATTATTAAAAAAAAAAAATTCTAAGCGAAGCCCGGGTTATCGTTAGATTATTAAAAATGTGGAGTTACAAAATAAATGACAATTGTTCCTGTTTTTTTGTCATATCAAGTATAAATATATAAAAAAGACGGACATACTTCCACACTACGTGGATGCAGCCACTATTGTAGGTGGGAAGTTGAGAAGGTAGGACACCTGTAATGTACATCTGTAAGTAACGATAAACCATTGATAATGAAAAAACGATTCTGAGTGGAGTTCAGTTGATAATGTTGCTTTTTCAACAATATATATGTCATATTATGGTAAAATAATTAAACATTTACTGTGATAAAGTTTATTTAATATTGTACCTATTTTCCCGTTCTTCGTTTTTCCTCCGTTTTTTTTTTCAGTTTTTCCAATATATTGATAAAACTCTCGAAAAACTTAAAAATGACCTATTTAAAGTACCTAACGTAACCTATCCTGCCCCCCTCCCAATGAGCGGTATATTTAATTATATACAAGGTGTTAAAGATATACCCATTTTATGATATAATGTTGTTTACAAAATAGATATATCTTCATAGGACATCATATATAATATATTTTTATACTTGACGTTTTAGTGGAGTTGACACATACAGTAATAAAACATTTTAGGGAAGTTTACCATTAATGTAATATAATATTTTATTGTTTATGGGAGGTTGACATAGCCCACGCGTCTGAAATATAGGTAGTGAATTTAGGACATTTAGTATATAATCTACATAAATTAAACTAAAAGTAATGTTAAATGAAACGATTTTGTCTGTTAGGTTCCATTGCCTGTATATTGGTTGTACGGACCTCGACAATTTTGTAATATCGATGATGGAATCATACTTGGAACGCCGTCTTACGATGAACCTATATATGACTGCAGTAATTTTCAATTTATTAGCGTATCCACAATTGGTTCGCTTATACTCAAGTACAGTCCAATTTTAAGCTTTAATGATTTATCAAATTCAGCGATTACTGCAACTGCAGACGAATCTTCAAATCGAGCATCTTTGATTAGAGATAGTGTTAGAAATCTTGTAATAATGATTAATCGACAAAACTTCACCCCGAGTGTTTGTCTTAGCAGCGCACTGGTAACTGATACATAATAATATTATGTTCTATCATATTTCATTAATTAATTATTCATACAGATGTTGCCGTATGTAGAATATATATTAGAAGTAACAGGTACTAATATTTTGAATCAATCTGGCTTAAAGAAACAGTTGAAGTTTAAATTAATTGAAACCCATGGTATTAAGTCTCGACCGAAGATACAAATAGTAGCACGTCCAATTGTTTCTATTGGGTCTGAAGCTGTTTTTGAAACCATAATCTATCCTACTTGTGGTGAACCGGTGGAAGATTATTATAATAACTTACAAGTATTTTTTTTTTTTACCTATTATTAGTTTAAAAACATTATACATTTTCGATTTATTTATATTGGAACACATTAAACAAAGTTGGTAATTCGTTTTAAAATGGAAATTCTGAACTTTAAGAAGTCCATTTTATTTCTTTGAAAAACACTTTTTTGGTGCTCTGATTTGCTTACGCATTACTTTAAAAGTTGCGAGTCGGTGGTATTCGATTTAAACTTTTTTTTGAAATTCCCAATAGTTAAAATATAATGCATAATAATGTTACTTATTATCATATAATCGTATCAATAGTTCCCTTTGAATGATCCGAACTTAATCTTAATTTTTTTTTAACATGTATTTTTAAAATACTATTGCATATCATTCGAATACTATTTTTGAGTATTTTATATGAGTGTATGTCCTTTTAAAGCATTTAAAACCACTAAAATATGCAGATATGTGCAATACACAATTTAGGATTTAGATTCTTTACATGATAACCATTATTTATGTTTGACTCTGCTGGTTTTTTTAATATTTCAAAAATAATATACAAATGCTAGGTGTCTCTAATTCTAGTTATAAATTAATAAAGAACAAAAATAAAATAATTGAATATAATACCTCTATTTGTGAATATAGTATAGTTGGTATTTTGTAACTGAATACATGAAATACAATATTGTTGGCGTAAATGGTCCAGTATTGATATTAGACACAAATAGATTACATCAAAACAAAACCTATACAGTTGGTTGTGAATTATACAACGAAAACTCTATACTAGAAAAACAAACAACAGCAATATCAAAGGTAAATACCGGTAGACATAATATTATAATATTTATTTTATACATTGTTATTATCAGTAAATATAAAACAGATCAATTTTATATTTTTGTTATAAAATAACAAAACTGTATGAAATGCTTTAAATAAAAAAAATTAAATAAATGATACTTATAGGATGAAATTCAATTTGAAATTTTACCATTTGACGCAAAAGCTGTTATTGTGCCTAGCCAAATTGTAGTTGCATTTGGTAGATCCATTCATTTAAAGGCAAGACATCAGAATTATGTCACATTGGGGGATGTGCAAGTATGTTGAAATTATTGCTAGTAATTAAAATTAAATCATACATACAAGTATGGACGCAACTAGACTATTAACTTTGGGGGTGCTAAAATTACAGACACAGATCCAAGGGGGTAATGTCCTTCAAACCCTTTTACATGACACTTATATTAAGCAACTATACATTCTATTTACATTTTTTCATAGATCCCCTAGCATCCCCTATGGTACAAGTAGATTATACAAAAATAAAAATAAATTTCGTAATAAATATCGGAATTTCGGATAACGACGCATCACTAGTGATAATATTATTAGTAATTGCCTGGGTGGCGAGGTAGACTGTTGTACGAGTAAGATTAGATGCTAACAACTATATGAAAAACTATGAAAATTGAAAAAGAAGCAAAGAATATTATTATTATTATTTACGATTACTTGCTATCTATAACTTAACACACTATTTAAATATAATTTTTTTATTCGCTATATTTGCATATTATATAAGTATTTTACAGTCACATTTATAGACTATAAGTAATAAGTAATTTTGTATTTGATTTCTTTTTATTCCAGTACAAATGGTTTTGCAAAACGACTAATGATGCCGATTGTTTAATGATTGGAAATTATCCGGAATTAAAAGAAGCTATGGATGATAAGTCATCATCGACATCTTCAGAATTAATAATTCACGAATTGACATTACAACCAGGAAGGTACAGTGTAATTTTAACATTTTTTGTGCGTGGATTTCACAACAATTTTTGGTGGGTTAAGTACACATATAATACATCAAACATCTTGCAAAGTAATCAATTTTATAACAACTATATCCTATCATTTAAAAGATGACAATCGCTCAGTTTACCTAATAAGTAACAGTTATATTAACTAATTAAATAACGAAAATGTTTAGATTGGTTTTTATTTTAATTGTTGTTATTGACATAGGTACCAATCATCCAGCATTATAGTTGGGCTAATTCGGTTATTATACTTAACAGAGTAAAGTACTATTTATTTTAGATTCTGAGTGGAGCGAATATATAATTTATACATTAAATTATCTATAACATGGTTGCACCCGTCCTCATTATCCTAGGACGTCGTTTTCATCTTTGATTCCGAATTCTGCGTGTATTTAATTAACATTAGCTTAAATTATTCAAATCACGATAAAAAATAATATGCGAAAGCTGTAAATTATTGTGTATTATTGTAATCACGTACTTATATTAACAAAACCTATCTTTTAGATATTACTTTGTGGTTCAAATATCATTATCTGGCATTAAGATTGACACAGCCGTGTCTGTTGTGGTAGTATCTTTTGAACATGGTCCACATATAATGTTTTACTGGCCTGATGGAAATTTCAACCCAAGTACACCTTTACCGCCTGGGAGTAAATTTATATTAGCGGCTACCGTCTCCTATTTGACGTCAGATTGTTTAATTACTTGGACTACGTCATCAGATCTTGGCTACAGCTATTTATCATCAAAATATCTGGTGAAATATTTATAGTGTTCATTGGAATATTTTCAAATATAATTAATAATATTATGTTATTATTATTATTATATGTCATTATAATTACTAGTTTATGTATATATTAAGGGAGGAAAAGATATAGTTATTGGAGAATTTACACCCGGGCGAAACGAAACATCTTCGCGTGATGTTCGTCTTGTAGTCACATTACCAAATAAATCTGTACAAAATACTAATTTTTTACTGAAACTAAATATCTATTGTGCATCGTTAAAACATTCTATGTTTGGATCTATACCGGTTCCAATAGTTGCTCCACCACACATATTCAAATTAGAAGTATGTATAGTTTTTCTAAACTGTTTTATTAGGTTTAATGTATACATTAATAAAATAATAATTTGTAGGTAACACCAAATGAAGGAATTGGTCTTTTAACCAGGTTTAGATTTTTTACCAATACCGCATACGAAACGAAATCAAATCATCCCCTCCGATATAGTTTTGGATTTTATATGCCAGTTTTGACGTCAACGCCAATATATTTTTACTCGTCAACTCTCCGATTACAGACAGAAACTATTCTCCCTTCAGGTCAGTACAAATAAAAACGTAAAAGTACGTATACCTTACTGCCATGTTTATCATACGTATATTATATAATGTCAAAATTATGTATTCAATAATAATATTTATACAATTAATAGTTAACTCTGGTGTATCAAAAATAAAAACAGTTCTAAAAGTATGCAATACTTATGAGAGTTGTAGTATAATTGAAGGTCCAGAAATTTCTATTCGTCATCCAACGCAGCTTTTGGATACAGATGTAACGTACGTTTTCTTTTTAATTTTCTAAAATACAAGGTTGTTGATAGTGCTGAATTAATATAATATAGTTAAAGACCTACTTCAATCATTTTCACAGTACCTATCTAAATATAGTTACTTAGTTGTCAATACTAATAACTTATATAGCGTAATCTTAAGCTTAACGATATCTATACAATTAAATAATATTTTATACGTGAACATATTTGTATAGGAGTTTTATTCAAAAATACAAACGTATGTTAATAAAACAAATGTTAACTGAGTCAGAAGCATATATAATAGCTTTTATGACAACATTAAACATCTTCAAAACTGAAGTTTATGAAAAAACCACTCATGAAATACATAATGTTCTCTCAACATATATTAATAACATTATAGAAAGGTATAGTAATGCTTTCTGTATATATTTCTATATGAATATTAATCCTTTAGAGTTTTAATTTTGAAAATATATTATAATAAATAGTGTATCCTACGGGAAAGAATACATTCCAATTGGTCTGGCACTTATGGATTCGATTTCTCGAACTTTTTTTGTTTTACCGAAGTTAAATAACATAGTCATTTCACAATCATTAGTATTATTACGAGACCAGATATACGAAAAATTAATAGGTATATAAAATTAAAATAATCAAAAATGGCGTGGACTTTCTTTAATCGAATTATTAAAGATAAAATATTAATATATTTGTTTAGCTTACGATAATACACTAGCATCGCCAAATGCCATAAATAACATTAGATACATATTTAAGAATGTTAATTCTAATATACAGAATATTTACTCACAAACAAGGATAAACAAAGAAGTTGTATGATCATCTATTTACTGTTACTTTATATTAAATATTAATATTATAATAATTTTTTTCAATTTAAAGGTGAAATCATTTTTAGAAGTATCAGAAATTCTAATTTTAAATCAAGAAGATGGACCTTATGGACTAAATGAAAAAAAAAAATTACTCAACAGTATTGAAAATTATGCAAAACATATTTGTTTTACATTAAGTGAAAATGAAGAATTATATATTGGTAAGTCAAAATATAAAAAATAAATACAATTCACAATTGTTCGTACTATTCTAAAATCTGAAAAAAAAATGTACACATTTTAAAATGATAAATACATTGAATTTTGAAAAATTATTGTTTGATTTTCATAATAGGGTCATTGGTTGGGAGTTTCAGTGTGCAACAAATAAACAGCTTTAATTCTATAAAAGAAGCTTATAATATACCTTCTTGCAATTCAGATTTCCACAGAAAGTGCATTAAACAAAAATCAAAAGTAAATTGATACATATTATGATAATAATAGTATTTTTTTCAAAAAATGTTATTTAAAAATAAAAAAATATACTTAATATTTCAAATCCAATAAAAGAAACAATACTTTTTTTAAGTATACATTTTGTTTTTCTGAAATTTAGATCACGATTAACAAAAATTTGTTTATATCACATAGAACAGAATTTCCACTGTGCTTTTTGGGTTTTCATTTGTATGATGATTTTTTTACACAAGTGTATGGTAATAATGGTCAATTTCTGAAGAGGTAAGTTCATTATTAGTTAAACTTGCTAAAACATTTCAATGTAAAATTATACAATAAGATATATTGTAGAAAAAAAAATGTATATACAAGGTGATTGAGTGATTCCCTAAGCGTGCTTTGATAAATATTGGAAATTTTAAGTGTAGTTGAAGACAATATTTTCAAATATTTAGATTTTTCACTACATTATCCTATGGTGATACTAACTTTGGTTTTTCAAATGAAAACCTATGTTAAAAATTCTATAAACCGATGAAGAATTAGTTTAAATAAATTTTGGTGCTAAAATTTTTGATTTTGACCTCAAATTGTTAATGAGATATTCGGCTTTTAAGTTTAGGTAGGGGAGATTAGTGAAGTATCATTTGTGTGGCAGTATAGCGCGCGGCGTTTTAATAGTACTGCACTACTCTGCCTCTACCTAAACTTAAATATCGAATAGCTCGTTACCGGGTTGAGGTAAATCAAAAATGTTAGCACCAAAATTTATTTAAACTAATTCTTCATCTGTTTGTGAAATTTTTAATATAGGTTTTCATTTGATAAACCAACGTTGGTATTGCCACGCCACAGGATACTTCTTTAATGTTCTGAAAAACTAAGTAAAAGAAAATATCGTCTTTAAATACACTTGGAAATTCCAAAAATCAAAATTTGAATATATGTAAAATTTAACCAAAATAATGGGAATATTATACTCGTAATTGCATACTAAATCTTTCAAATTTCATTTGTATTTAGACATAGCGGACTGTATGGATTTCATATTATGAAAATGAATAACGAAGGAAAATCAAACTATGAAAGTGTCGTATCGAATCCATTAAATTTAGTAAACATTGTTGAAATTCCAGTACAATCGACAATTAATACTCAACTAGAAGTATTGCAAAACAATAATTTAATAATTTATTACCTTATAAAAATGTACATTCTGATTTTTAAATTTTAGTGTAGATATTGGAATGGCATAGTTGGTTGGACTAATGAAGGATGTAAGTTTCTTGGAATTGTCACTAAACTGTTTTATAAATTCGCCACTTGTGAATGTCCAGCGTTTAAGTATTATGCGTAAGTTATTTGGAATTTTCTTAAAATTATTTTTATAATAATCACAATAAATTATACATTTTTAGAATATTTTCAAAAGATTTTGCAAATATTCCATTGGATAATTCCGTATCAGATTCAAAACATAATAAGGTCATTCATAATAATAGTAAAGCACTATTATTAAGTAATTCGTCTATAGTTCAACGATCTCTTTCTGATATATATATTGCTTTCAAGTAAAAAAATATTGTACTAAATAATTACGTATATGTAGGGATAGTAGTTTCTCAAGTGACAAGTCTGCACATTATTGATTATAATATGGTTGAATCAATTTTAACACAATTTTGACAATTACTTTAAACAGTTTTATCCATATACATAGATACATATTCTATGTTAACAGAATAAATGGAAATCCATCAGATTTATCTAACCAGAATCTTAGAGAATTGGAAAATTCTTTAAGTCGACAATTGGCCGACAAAGTAAAATCTATTTCTTCTGTTATGAGAGAATTAAAAATTATGATGAGTGAGTTTTTTTTTTCTCTACATGTTAAACCATCTTAAATTATATCTTATATGCCATACATTAATATATTACATCATTTGGTCTCTGGGCAGAATTTCGGCCATGAGATTTTTTGAGAAAATCTATAATGCATTAGATATAAATAGTAAACTATAGATCGATTTAACATCTCCAGTAATTAAAATGAATATGTTTTATAATAATAAGTATTGCAAAAAGTACTTACAAAAGTTATAAATATATTTATATATTTTAAATAACTGTTGATAAAAAATTAAACAGTTTTTAACATTGAATGGAAATTTAATACATTCATGTATGTATTCATGTTTAACGCAATCACGTACGGTTTTTAATTAAAAATATGAACATACTCATCTATAGTTCATAATTTAGATTTTGAACACAATGAGGAAAGTAATGTATTAGAATATAAATAATAATGAAACCGTTAATGTCACACATTTTCCCGCCTTTCCTACGTTTTCCCCAATTATTAATACAAATAAACGGAAATCAAGGATCATCTTAAACACCAATTAGACTAAATTTACTTTTAAAAGAGATATACTGCACTTAAAAATCGGAGTAATATATTTTTTTGAAAAACGAAATTTCCAATTCGAAAATAATGAAACTTGTACTACTTTAAATTTGTCAGTTTTTCGCATTTTTTCCCAGTTATTATAGAAACTGCTTAGAAGATGATATATATATACCAACGATATATAATAAACTATAAAAAAAAAAAAACGCTCGTTGTTGATCAATTAATTTCCATTCAGATTCTAAAATCATAGAAAATAAAGCGAAATATTGTTCATGTGTTCTGTGTTTCACCAAAAACTGAACGCATTTATTATTAATACTGGAAAACAATTATATCATGTACTCAAACTAGTTCTAAATATTTATATTTTTGTAATTTCGATTACTTTAATGAAGTCATATAATGAAACGATTTAACAAAATTTAGGCGATCCAATATACGTTACTTTACATTTAATGCAAACCGTAAATTTTACAACGGACGAATCTATTCAAGACCTTGTTAAAAAATTAAGTGATGGATCCTTAATTTTATATGACTTGCATAGATATCGGTTATACGTACCCGAACAACCACTACGAATAATGCAACCACGATATCCAGGTAGTTAATACAATAAATTATAATGCATAATATTATTTTTACACTACTAATTATACTATACAGTTAACAAAATTTGAATATATAATATATTAATATTATTAAACTGATACTATTTGTGTTTAGAGTTTGACAATACGGGAAAAAATATTGCTTTGTTCTTTGCAATAATTGTTGCCTTCCTTGCATGTTTTGTGTTTGGCTCAATATTACTAAAACGACATCAACTTCTCGCAGATGTTTCAGACGTTCAAGTACAGTAAATTAAATATAATATTATGCTTTCTAAAACAATGAACTACATTACATTAAAAAACAATTGTAACCAACTCAATAGAATATATGACCAGTATCTATACTAGTCATAGGTACCTATTATTCAAATAAAAACATTAAATAATTCAACATAAATTATTATTAACTAATGCATAAGTATAGTCATTAATTTAATTAATTTTAATAACTTAAAAATGAAAAAATCTGTTATAAGTTGAATTAACTACCAGATAAATATATATATGCATATATAAAATATTAGTATCTATAAAGGTGCTGCTAGTGGAAATTTAACTTTTCAAACTAAAATAACAATATAAATGTAAAATATATTATTGTATTTTAGTATGTTATATCGTCACATTCACGCAAAAAGTTACTAAATGATTAGTGATTGAAAAATTGATTTTTAGATTCTAAGTAAAGCGAGGAATGTATTGGTTTTATAATGATGTTTATTTTTTTATTTTTTTTTATTTGTAAATAACTTTTCTACCAGAAATCTAACTTCGAATTTCAAGACTATATTTTCTAAAAGGAAATTTTATCTGAATAATATTTTAAAGAAGGAACTTGAAATTTGGACAGAAAACTTACAATTGCCTTTTCTAGACGTGGTAACATTTTCGTAATATTTGTGCCATTTTTGAGCTTATAGACATCTTCGGTTTTTTTTTTTTCATAATTTTTATTCGTTAGGTAGGTACTCTCTTGATAAAAGTGTTAGACCAATTAGTAATTCTTGAAAAATTACCAGGAAATGCATTTTAAATCGTATTTAAAACATATTTTATACAACAAAATTTATTTTAACTCCAAATTAAAGTATATCTCAAGTTTATCTATGTTTAAATATTTGGTGCAACCCGATATTAAAGTAAGAATCTATAGTACCAATAAATTTCATGAGTTATGGTATATTTTATCCTTATAATCTGAAAACATTTAAATATTACCTGTAACCCTACATACTAAATGAGCCTAATACCTAATATATTATACTCTACAATAGCAACTTCCACCCTTGAATAATAGAGAAGTAAAATCTTTTTCAACGCCTCCCCAACCACTTAAAATAGAAATAAAAATAATATATGTAAAAAGTTTATTGTTGAATAATAAATATAAAATGTAATTATAATGTTTAATTATAATGATTAAACACATTTTAAGTGAATAATTGACATTTTTTGAAATATTCGCAAATAAACCTTGGTGCGTTGCTTTTAGTTTTTACCTTTTAATATAAATAATGCTCAACACCACCCTATTACCATTACCTTGCTCACCATATCCCTATCACTTTAAATCACTCCCATTGAGAACCACTGCTGTATAATGACATCAAATGGGCCTGTTTATGATTTTTAATTTATATAATATTTATATTTTTCAGCAAAATATAACAGAAGAAGATGATCATGTAAGAAGGCCAAAATATAAAAAATTAGAATCCACTGAATTTATCGAACAAAATCCGAGCTCCGAACAAAGATTTCGTCATTTTAACAATAGTAAATTAATGAGCAACAAAATATTTATAGTATACATATATTATGTTTAAATTTGTTTTATTTGTTCAATTTATTTATTTATTTATAATTTCAGATGTAGAACTTTCTGACTCCGGTATCACTTTGCATTCGGATAGAACACAAATAAACTTATTACAACAACTTCGTTAGATTTAATTTATGATATGTTTGTAGTTCACGAGTAGGTACCTGATATTGTTATTATTATAATTTATGAATAAACGTATCATAAAGAATTGTATGAATATTAAAATATATTACTATAACAATATTATCACTCTGTATTACCACTCGTAAAATGTCCAGTTCCTACAATAACAGTAAAGAGAACGTTATAAGTCTAGTACTTAATAGGTTACATAAAGATAATTTTATTGATATTTTTTTTAAAAAATTTAAAATATATCAACTTAAAAATATTCAAGTTCACTTTCAAATAAATTCACAAATTTTCCCGTATCATTATCAGAATAAGTATTTTTTGTGCTATTATGAAATTTGTTCATTCAAATTCGTGTTTTTTATTTTTTTATTTTATAAGTAAAATAATCATAAGTGACATTATTTATAATGAATGTATAAATAAATAAACGCCTTAATAAACTCTGATAAGTGATAACCACTATCGTTTAATGTTCATATATTTTTTTTTTTTTAATTTTGTTGGTATATTCTTGTGGACCACTATACAACATCTTGTCTACATCTAGGATACACAACATCTTGTCGACTACCCGTGATATAGGTTGGGAAACACAGTGCCTCAAAACATTGAGGCCAGCTGAACGTCGTATGGAGCTTTCGAAAGCTAAAATACATATAATAATTGTAAAATACCCATAATAATAATAATAATATGTACTTAAATAATGTATACAACAATATAAAAAACGAAATTATAAACTTTTAAAATTTCTGTAATTATTTGTAATAATTTAAATTCTTAGAAATACCAAAATATACAAATTTTAGCTAAAAAGAAAACATTGTTTTTAATAGTATAACAATTAACTAGTCTAAACACCTTGACAAAATAGAGTTAAAACTATTCTTATTAAAAAATATTAGAGTACCTATACTTTCAACAAAATATTACCAATGCATTTAATTACCCGTATTTAAAAAAAAAAACCATCACTTTGAAAATCGACTTTTTAACATCCGATGTATTAATATTGTTATTTGAAATTATTTGCCCAATTTTAACTTCGACGGAAATGCTAAATGAAATTGTATTTAATTAAAAAATTATATAATGTTTTTCTTGCATATATCTCTGGTTGATGTGAGTAATAATAGTAATATGTGACAAAATAATTTACATTGAATTTAATTTTACAAATTACTTAACTACTGGTGGGTGGCGTTACTCCTACATCCCCTTGAAAGCATTCGGTTATTTGGAGGCAAACGCAGAAGAGAGTTTTGAAAATCCAACCACCAAAAGAAGAGAGTCCCTGACTTGTTGATTTTGTATTAAATTATAATTATTATATCAAGGAACAATATTTCATAAAAAAAAAAAAAAAAATATTGTAACTTTCATAGTATAAAGTATTCTATACAATGTACTCATATTATCATAATATAGTACGGTTAATATTTAAATTAAAAAATTAACCATGAATTCAAAAAGATATACTTAGGCACTGGTTTTTAAAACATATTTTTTTTAAATTATTATTACAAGAACTGAGAACTAAGAATTACAAATAAATTATGAAATTAAGTGCAATCGTCAGCTATTTTGGGCAAAATTGTTTAAAACATCTTCAAGATTGAAATTGTTTGATACCAATGTCTCTTTCTTTATTAATTAAAGATTGAAGACCGTTTGACTATTGAACCTAACCGTCTAGCAAACGGAAAAGAACTCTCAATGAGATATTTCTAAAAATTATTTGGGTACCTAATATAATTGATAAATAATATATAATTTACGATTTGTAAATTTCAATTGCAATTACATAATATGCTTATTATTTATTGAGATGATTTGATACCCACCTGTACTGTCTCCATCTTATACAAACTTACGACTTAGCAAATTTACGTTCTGCAGGGACCTCATTGTACTGTTAGTTATAATATTAAGTGATTTGATTTGACTTGTTATAAAATTTAAAAATAAAAACATTATCTGTATATTTTATGCTCAAAGTTGTAGATAAGAAGTCTGTATATATCCATATATTCTAATTTTCAAGCGAGATATTTTAACGCTTATGAAAAGTGAATTTTTTTTAGCTCTCCCTTATCTAGTTCCTAAATCTATTACTCTCCGAATCTAATAAAGGCCGTAAGAGTAGCGCTATCTATTCCATATTATAGTAATGTCATAAGGGTAACGCGATCTATTACTTATGATAAGGACGTAAGGATAGCGCTATCTATTTTATTAATAAATTTAACTACAAAGGGGTTGCAGTATGTAAAAGACCATAATTTCCTCTAGAAAAATCTATATTTATTAGATTATTTTACATCTATATTTATGTTTTATAATTTATATTAATTTACAATATAATAATAAAAACAATTCTAAAAGTTATTAAAATTTGCATTTTTAATTTTTTCTTTTTTTGATAGTGACTTAATCTTTTTACTGCTGTGACTATCATATATTTTATGTTATTCCATTATTTCAATCATCATAATTTTATAACAATAGAAATGCATATTATAATATATGTATAGATCAACGAAATTCAAATAAACGTTTCCTTTACTAATTACTAAAATTACTAAAAATTGAAAACAATTTTCAACAACTCCTAATAAATGCCTAGTATATAAGTACATTATACCTTGTAAATTAAACCTCAGAATCGTTTTTCGTTAGCCATGATTGATGTTTACATACAGTTGTACATTAAATTTCCCCACTCAAATGCATAAACATTACCACGGTTGTGCCTAAATTATATTGGTCATAACCATAGTGCCTAAGAGTGAGCCCGAATATTTCTGAGGTATGCCCGATATTAACTTTTTCCCGCACATATAGGTGCATGTGAATATTTAATAATAATAGTGTTAAAGCAGTTACTTATTACTACTAGAGGATAGAACGTTAAGAGTTATATCCCTACCCCCATTGGCTTAAAAATAAAAAAAATATTAGTCATCTAATATCAAAGTGCATATATTTCTACCAAGTTACGGGAAAAGATTGATGTTATGATTAAAAACTAAAAGGCTTGGAGCAACTTTTTTTGAAATTTTCCAATTTAACTATGATGATTATTTTTAAAAAATGTAAAGAATGTAGTAAAACCAATTGTGTTTATTATTTTCAGCCACCATCAATAGAAATTAAATGATAAAAAATGTTTGACATTTTTTTTTGTCATTGAAAATAAAATATTTTTTATTTATCCTGAACAATTTTAAAAAGTGGACTTATCTTGTTGTTGCTCTAAGCCCTTTAATTCGCTTTTTTTGATCTAGTTGGGTAGAGAAGATAATTTTACGATTTATACTCACGATTCTTATTTGCTACAACCCATTCCATTAAAAATTTCTAAACATGCTACTGCTTATTACAACTATAATTTACTTATAAGTAACTTTGGTAGGTACCTAACTAATGAACTGGAAAACGAGAAAAACTTGAATTACATATTACGCGTGATAAATACTTATTAGCCATTATATAGTTAAATAGTTGAATAAATATAAAAATCTAAATGAATACACACCACTATGAATATGAACTTTTGTATGAAAATTAATTAAATGATAATTAAAGTTTTAAAGTAAATCTCAATTATACGTATTTTAGGTATGGAGTTTTACATTTATTTTATTAATAATTTACATTTATTAATGGATACACAAAATATTTCAAAAACCAAACGTCGATAGCTAAATTGCCAATAATTAGGTATGTTAACTATATTATGGAGGAAAGGTAACATTCAAGTTCAAACGTTGGTATATTTTCTAACGTACCTACGTATAACGCTTAAATTAAATTTGAATAATGGTCAATTTTACATTCAATATTATAAATCTTGTGTTTTCCCAAAGATAATCGCACCGATAATAAAGTAACAACCAAAAATACGTGTAAACAAAGATGTTTCCTTTAATTTTAATAACGTTTTATACTACCGGTATTCATGTAGACCGTGTGGCCTAATGGATAAGGCGTCGGACTTCGGATCCGAAGATTGCAGGTTCGAGTCCTGTCACGGTCGCAACAAAATTTATTTTTGTTTTTTTAATATTTTTAAAATTTGAAAAAATTATTTTCTCATGAAATATTTTTTTCAAACGTTTAAATTACATTTGCTCAGTTTCGCTTCTTTTTTTTGCACTTTTTTTCTACAATACACACCTATATTATATTAATTTTTTCATCATTGCGATACGGCACATCTACATTTTTTATTTTTTATTGTTGTTAACAAAATGGTATTTCAATAAAAAAAAAAATGGTAAATTATTTAGTCATATAATAAATAGAATGATGATTTTACCATTATTATGATCAACTTTTATAATATTCTTATAATTAACTTTTAGGTAGGTATAGCTCATAGACGGTAAATACAATTTTAATGTTATGCATATCAAACACTTTTAGCAAAATATTTTTTTTTTTACGAATCTGTGATGAAAAGGGAAGAGGTGTCCATTTGAAAATTAATAATTAATTCTTATTTTTAACTATAAGGAGTAGAGTTACTAATTTAAAAATATTCTTAAAATAAATCTTAAACATTTTCAAAACTATTGAAAATACAAAAATCAAATTGACTACATTCCTCCAAGAAAATCGATGAATCACGCTTTATTTAAAAGGTCCTCAACCTTTAGAGAATCACGCCCTTTTTTATACTATTGTACGAGTTCCTATCTCCCCCTCACTACTATTAGATTAAAGTATGTTTAATATTTTACAGACGTCATAAGCATTACATACTTTAATGTTGGTTATTGTATCAATATACATAAATCTTTGTAGTTTTTGTAGTTTTTTAAATTATTTAATGAATTTATTTGTATAGGAAAAAAATTATTATTGCCATTCAAAATGTATTATTATTAAATATAAATTAATGTAATTACAAAATAATGCTCGATACATTTTATCAGAAATATATTACCTATTTATATTTTATTAGATAAAATATAAATAATCAAAAACAACGTTTATTTTCGGTAGTTTTTTTAAAAAAATGTTCACCCCTTCCCTGTAATTTTGTCACGCCTCCCTAGGGGGAGCTTACCCCAGGTTGAGAACCCTTGTTTTATTTTATATTTTGCATAGTAATATAAAAAAAAAAAACATCCCGGTGTAATAATTGTATTAATATATTGAGATAGTGTATCTAAAATGGGGTTGATGTATCAAAAACCATAATTTTACCCTTTCTTAAATTATATATACGGGTATAATAATAACGGCAATAACACGTTATCATTGTTAAAAAAACCGATTCGCGTCAATATATAAAATATAAACGTCGGAATAAAAATGAAATAAATGCGTTGTTGAAAATGTAATTCATATCAATCCAACAAATTATTTTCGCATAATAATAACAAATATTTTCCGACCGTGACAGGACTCGAACCTGCAATCTTCGGATTCGAAGTCCGACGCCTTATCCATTAGGCCACACGGTCTACATGCAGTATTTAGAACATATACATACACTTATGAACAATACTTATTGCATAATAATGTGCAACTGTGCACTATATATAGCGTATAATATATATAATATATATTATAATTGTTAACCAATTGAAAAAAAAACATTGAAAAAATAACTTATTCTGTAGTTTGAAAAATATACCTAAACAATCGAGTGAACTGTATACAGAGGTGTCATACTGTCATCAACGATTTTACAGGGTGTTATACACGTTATTTGAACAAATAGCAAACGAATTTTGACGCAATATGATTTTTAAAAATAAGGCCAATTTTAATTAATAAAATTAGAAATGATATAATGATTTTTGTAAAGACATATTTTTCTTTCAAGACGTACCTATAAGGTATATTAAGTTCCTGTAGTTATCATTCAATTATTTATTGAATTATTTCATTTTTTCTTTTTTTACCAATTAAATACCGAAACTTATTTATTTTTCTTTATCTAGTTATTATAAGATGACTTAAGTACAAATTGGTAATTGAAACAATAACAATATATTATTACAACCAATTTATACACATATACCTTTTTGGCGAAAATTGAAAGTGTGTGAGGAGGCAAGTGACCCCTGATATTTTGAAAATATATTTACATATTCTTAGATTAAAATGTAAGTACATTAAATCATACAACTTTAATAATTTTTTCTTTATTGTGAGTCAGTTAAAATGATAATCATAGCCGTATTTCATAATCTTAGATCATACACAATGGATAGAGCCATGGACTTTAGATTACATATTATAATATCGATGGTGTGCATATTAGCGATGAGTCACCAGGTAAGTGGACTCTATTGCGCATACCCTTGCAACTAGTCATATTTATCTCAACATATATTTTATTCTTATCTATAATGCAGTTTTTTATAATATATATACAATTGTAATTTACATGCATCTAAATTTATCAGTTGGATATATTATCAGCTATTGATTTCTAAATAAAATTAGTTTCATATACCGATTTCTCCTTGTTTTTGCCTATAATTTGTTGAGTAAATAAGTTTACATAGTGGTACATTCTTAATTTTATATAATATTCGAGTATAAGTTTAATTTGTATCCATCCTATGATTGTCAAAAATTGCCTTGAACTTAAAAACAAATAATCACTTATCTTATAAGTTACCTATTCAATATTTATCATATTTACATATAAGGCATTGGGATAAATATTCGACTAGTCGCTGATGCATGCAAAGTAAAGGCTACTTATCCAGTGACTCATCGCTAACATCTGCATTAAAAATCAAAATATTAAACTAAGGCTCCATCCATTATATTATATGATCTAAATTTGTAATCATAAATCAAATCGCTTATTATCTATGATAGTAATAAACAACCCTTGAACTATTGATATTTGATATTGAATTAAATGTTAATAGACTGCAGATACAGCTGATTGCTACTATCTAATTGCATTACAGCCCAACGGCCAATGGCCAACAGTAGCTTGATGCAGAGTTGCTTACAAACCGGCGTAATTTTTCGCATGTGTACAATAATAATTGTACCTGCACATTGGTGTATTACTGGTTTTTTATCGTTATCATTTATCATTTGTATTGATTTTTTTGTTGTTTATATGTTTAGTAGACATTGTATCTTAGTTCGTTGTAATTAATATTTAAAGTATTATTTGTATATTATAGTTATCGACAAATAACAATTAACATTATTACACTTTTGGAAGAAAGGAATGTCTTTGATATTTGCAATTTTCGTATCATTATGACTATCTTCTATCCAAATAATACGATTACGTAAAATTTTATACGCAAATATCAGGCCACTTGGCCATAATACGATCCAAACCATCCACTTCGCTCATACTGTTATGGGTAGGAAGTTGGTAAGGAATGCATGTATGCATCATTATATAGAGTTACTTAATTTATATCCCAGTGCATTCGAATTGCATGCCAAAAAAATAAAATATAAATTGAAACATCAGAATTGCATGCCATCTTATGGAAGGGTCTGTCCGAATTGCATGCCGTGAATAAAATTGTATTTATGAATAAAAAACCAAATATTTTTAAACAATTTTGAATTATTTTTTTTTTCGTGTTTTGGAAAAATTAAAATCTAAAATTAAAAAATTAAGTTGTGATAACTAAAATTATAAACGACATATAATTATTCAGGTAGATCACTTTAAGAGTTGGCATGCAATAAAGACAGACCCCTCTTAGACAGTGGTTTCCAATCAATGGTGCACAAAAAAATTTTAGTGACCGCAAAAAAATTGTTAGTCCGCGAGAAATTTTGATGGGAAGAGAAAAATTTGAACAGTACATAAAATTGTATGAACATAGTTGGACATCATTCAAGCATTGTTGTAAAAGTGAAAAATGTTGGTCATCCAGAAAGGTCATCTACAAATTACATTTTGCACCGTAAACAACTTGTGCCAAGAAAAATGTCCTCAGAACTACACAAAATATTATCTGATATTACAAAAATTGTAATATTGTTGGACACAAACCACCTAATTCACGATTATTTGAGGCATATTCTGAAGAAATAGGTTCCCAGTATTCACACCTTCTTCACGCTGAAGTGAGATGACTTTCGAGGGAAAAAATAATAACCCAATTGTTCGCTCTGCGTGAAAAGATTAAATTAGTTTTCCATCAGCAAAATAATTCGAAATCAAATATACGATGGAGAAAGACAAGAGATTTCAGCAATTGTTCAACAACATAATTTACAATCACTCACAGAATCTTTCGATCGTTATTTCCCCCCCTCTCCCAAAAAAAGGTGCTAGACATGGGAATATGTGAATAATATATCCATTTGCAGCAAACATCTAAAATAACAATTAAAATATGAACGAAAAAGAAACCCTAACTAATTTATCATCCGATCGCACTCTCAAAGCAAAATCCAAATTATTCTTATCAAAGTCTAATTTTTGGCTCTACGTTAAAAAAGAAAACCCATTGCTGAGTGACAAAGAAATGCAAATTTTAATTCAATTTTCAACAACTTATTTATACAAAAACCATTTTCATCTATTATAGTTATTAAAACTTGGTACCGGTATTGGCTTGAAATAAATAGAGTTCTATGTCTTTCAATAACTTGATTGGAGCTAAAACTACACACAATTATTAAAAACAAGCAGGAACAAATATCAAATTAAGATTAAAAATGTATTATAGTTTTCTGTTCTGTATCTAAATAAAGCTTAAATTGTTTTGCTGTAACTAAACTAACTTAATAAATTGTGTTACAAATAAAAAAAATCCTTTATTATTATTTTATAAATGTATTTTTTTTTTATTATTATATATAAGACTTATCAGTGCGCCTTTATTTATAATAAAAAAAGCGGTAGGTTCAAAACATCTGAATAAGGCCTAAGACTTGTAGTATAAAAACTATACAATTTATAGTGGTTCACTGAATTTACAATTATGAAGCCAGTTACAGCCATAAATTATTGCTCACGAAAAACGATTCAATTTTGAAATGCCGTAATTTTGATCAAAATTGGATCTTAAAAAAAAATTACTTCACCTATATTACGCTAAACATTTTTCTTTTACCACTAAATATAATTTATAAAGAACTTCGTGTACCATGATTGTCATTAATTTTGGTTTGGTCAAACTATTTTACTCACATCATAATATCTATCAAATATAAAACTAGAAAATCTAAAATCAAATATATCTAATAGTTATTTAAAAAATAAAAATGTTTAATATAATAATGAATTCAATCGAATAAAAAAAATATTTAATAGCCACGATTTTTGTGTACATAAAAAAGATGCAAAAAATATTCTCGACCGTGACAGGACTCGAACCTGCAATCTTCGGATCCGAAGTCCGACGCCTTATCCATTAGGCCACACGGTCTACATGAATACAAGAAGGAAATTATTTTATTTATACACATTAATCTTATCAAATAAATGCTTGATAAATAATTAATATACAATAATAAAAATATTGTATTTAATATTTTGTAATTTCAAAGAAAAAAAATTGTTTTTCAAATAAAAATAAGTACATAATTTAAAAAAATATACCCTCCTAGATAGGTACCTAATGTATTATAATTTAATTATTTTTTTTCATAATAGGTACTAGGTAAATATCTTCTTTATTATAACTTAATCCACAATGATTAAAAATACTAGAAATCAAATTAATTTAAGAGGACGCTACACATCAAGACACATCAGCGGACTAGATTCTATTCTAAATATACTAGATAATGACCCAAAACAATTTTCAGAACAGGACCTCCGGAATATTGTTCCCTATCAATTTCATAATAGGTGCTTTTACTAAATCTTGTGTTTGTAAGACGGAAACAACAAATGCATGTGTAGTGTCCTTTTAAAATCCTCCGAGAAAATTGCTGGTTTACGGTGGGTTGGTTATTGTTGTAGGTGAGAAGTTGGAATGGTAGAGAGGAAATTAAATGTATATATGCACACAACGATTAATCATGGCTAACGAAAAATGATTTTGAACGGAATTCGGTTATTCATGTTTTGAAAGGCCGTAATATTTACGATTTTAAAATAATAAATTTCGTAAATTTTCCTGTTTTTTCCCATTTATTATGAAAAACCCTTAGGAAAATCAAAAAATTACTTTTTTAAAGTACTACTCCAGTCAAACTTACTTTCAGCATAATTTCTGGTAGAAAAGTTGTTCAAAAAAAATAAACATCATTGTAAAATCAATATATTCCGCGCTCCGCTCAAAATCTAAAAAGTAAATCTCAACTACATACCTATACCTATCAGTAATACCTCATATATTTGCACATACAAGGAGAGGAAAAAAATGTAAATTTATGTTTATTTTAGATAAATATACTTGTTATAGTATTTTTAAAATATTTATCGGATACTATCAATCACACTATACCTTTACAAATAATATTATATTCACCTAAATATAAATATAAACTTTATGTACTGCTTGTTACATTTTTCATGCTATAAATATATCGTTATAATTAAAACATGGTATAAGCCACAGAAACAAAAAGTAAGACGTAAAAATATCAGCTAAACCAAAAAAAAAAAACCAATGAATATTCTTATTAAATTTATTTTATTTTAGCAAAAATAAAATCCTTAAAAAAATACTCAATATTCACTATTTATACAGCTAAATAATATACAATATAGAGCAAACTCAGTTTATAATAAGCGGAACAATAAACCGTTCAAGATTTTATGACGTAGACAAAATAATATGATAATATATTTACAATAGGTTTTATAAATAAATAAAATTAATTAATCGACTTCTTCAATGGTAGGTCCTCGGGAATTAGTTCCAGGGAATCCGCAACCACCGGACTGCGTGGCCTGTGGTTCCCCGGCTTGTTCACTATGCAATTTCATCATTAACTCCGAACAGCTTTTTCTGAATTTCTTTTAGTTTATGCTCGTATTCTTCTTTGTCCGCCAACTGATTGTTGTCCAAACACTGTATGACCTCTTCGCACTACTGTTTGCCGGCATTTTTCTCGGATTCGGTCAACTTGTTACCAGCCTCGTCTAATGCTTGTTTTACGCCGAACACATAGCTCTCCAACTGGTTCTTTGCCGCAATCTTGAATTGTTGTCGTTCGTCCTCTTCTTCGTACCGTTCAGCTTCGCTGAGCATGCGATCGATTTCGGCTTGAGATAAACGGCCCTTATCGTTTTTGACGACAATGTTCTTGGAACGACCTGAACTGTTGTCCTTGGCCAATATGTTTAATATACCGTAAGCGTCCAGATCGAATGTTACATCGATCTTAGGCACACCTCGGGGTGCTGGGGGTATGCCGGTCAAGTCGAAAGTCCTCAAAAGATTGTTGTCCTTGGTCATAGCCCTATCTCCTTCAAACACCTGTAAAGTGATGGCCGGTTGATTGTCCGCGTAAGTAGTAAACGTCTGGGTTTGTTTGCACGGTATGGTGCAATTGCGGTCAACGATCTTGGTCATCACGCCTCCCGCGGTCTCGATTCCCAGTGACAGAGGGGTCACGTCCATGAGTAACACGTCTTGGATGGCAGAACTCGTGTCGCCACTAAGAATGGCCGCCTGTACGGCAGCGCCATACGCTACCGCTTCGTCCGGATTAATTGATAGAGTGAGCGACTTCCCCCAAAAAAAGTTTTGAAGCAGACTCTGGATCTTCGGGATTCTCGTAGAACCACCCACGAGCACCACGTCATGTATGGCTCCTTTGTCCAATTTGGCGTCCACCAACGCCTTCTCCACCGGTTGCAAGGTCGCTCTGAACAGGTCTGCGCACAGCTCCTCGAAACGGGCCTGAGATACCCTGGTATAGAAATCGACGCCTTCCATCAGGGCGTCAATCTCAATGGTGGCTTCAGAGCTGGACGACAAGGTTCTCTTGGCACGTTCCGCGGCGGTCCTCAGCCGTCTCAACGCTCGAGGGTTGCTCTTAACATCCTTTTTGAACTTTCTCTTGAACTCCGCCAAATGAGACACTAGCCGATTATCAAAGTCTTTGCCTCCTAAGTGCGTATCCCCCGCCGTAGATTTCACTTCGAAAATTGGTCCCTCGTCGATCTGCAACACGGACACGTCAAACGTACTACCGCCCAGATCGAATATCAACACGTTTCTTTCTCCTTTTAGGTTCTTGTCCAGACCGTAGGCCAAAGCCGCAGCCGTCGGCTCGTTGATTATCCTCATCACATTCAGACCGGCGATGACGCCCACGTCCTTGGTCGCTTGCCTCTGCGAATCGTTGAAATATGCCGGCACCGTTATAACAGCGTCCGTGACATTACGACCCAAATATGCTTCGGCGGTCTCTTTCATCTTAGTCAATACCATCGAACTTATCTCTTCAGGCGCGAAAACTTTTCGCTCTCCTTTAAATTCTACTTGGACTTTTGGTTTTCCGCAGTCGCTGACTACTTTGAACGGCCAATGTTTCATGTCCGCTTGCGTCTTCTCGTCGTCGAATCGCCGGCCGATCAAACGTTTTGCATCGAACACCGTGTTGCTGGGATTCAAATCCACTTGATTCTTGGCTCCGTCTCCGATCAATCGTTCGGTGTCTGTAAACGCTACATAACTCGGGGTGGTCCTGTTACCTTGGTCGTTGGCGATGATCTCCACTTTTCCGTGTTGCCATATACCCACACATGAGTATGTGTTATCCAAATCAATCCCGATTGCCGTTTTTCGAACCATTTCGTAAATTGTTAAAAAAAAAAAAAAAACAGATAGTAGAACCAATAGAACACTATTTTTCTGTTTATAGTCCAACACACCGAACCAGATTACATATAGTCTCACGGTGGGACTCACTACACTTTTGTAGAACTTAACTTTAAGTAGAAATCATTGTAATTCTCTTGTTATATATAACACATGCATATGAGGTTTCTCTCTACTTTGTCCAAACTCACTTAATCCTATGTTTCACATCCTCGTCAAAGCCACTATTTGTATACAAGATCCTAAGTAATTGAAATTATCTCAACCTTGTTTATTACATTGCCACTTATCGTTAGCTCTCTTGTCTTGTTTCTCCAAACTCATATTCTGTTTCACTTTTACTTATCCTTAGTCCCTTCCCTTCAAGTGCTACTCTCTATTACGTAATCTTATCGTTAACTAATTCCAGATTTTCTCCTATTATCTGCAAAAATCATGCACCATGGAATCTCCTCTCACTTGTTATCCCCATGCACATTCAAAATGGGACAATCCACCTGTCTTGTTTAGAACTCTATTTTGACAGAATTTTACACCGGCAGTCGACCTGACGCAACCTCATTTGTCGCCTCTTATGACAGAAATAGAGGTAAAATAGTTATTTTAATTGAACAAAATAGTTGGTAATGACATTTTCAAAATTTATACGCCACCCAAATTCCACAAAAAAGGGTTTAAATAATGGGCGCAATTTGTATTACCTCACTATACATTTATATAGGTACCTGTGAAGTTAAGACTAAAATAAAATGTATATTACCTATATCAACTTAATCCTTTAATAATATTAAATTATTGAGTAGATATGTCAGAATAATAAGGTACCTTTAAACAATAGTATTATTATTTATGGTGGTAATTAGCCATTATCACACATTACTTTTCTGATGTAATTAAAACCATACATAGATAATTAAAAGTTTTAACTTATAACTACATTATAGATCGCCTGTAATATTTTTGGAAAATACATTTTGGATGTTTTTGTCTTAAATGTTGTTTTTCAAAAATAATTTTCTTTCAATTTATTTTTTTTTTCTGATATACGGTTAGATTGACTTATTATCTGCTTTTTTTTACGTTATCCGGATATCCAATATTTTTATAGTGCCATTAGTACATTATCTTTTGTTGAATCTTATTTCGAGTCAGTAGCATAGCTTGAAAGGGGGGGAGGTCTGACCTCCACATTGCCTTATTTTTAATCAATAAAGATTACTGGTAAAAAAAAAATAAAGAAATTTTTATTATTGTTCAATTTTTGAATCATTTTCATGTTAAAACTTAAAATATTTGTTTGGAAGCAAAAGTGTACATAACATCACGATTAAAGTTATCTTTAATATATATCTTTGTTCTAATGTATATCTTCAATAGTGCGTAACATCATAGATTAGAAAGATAAGAGAGTAACATTATGGAATGGTGGGCACTTGTTAGTAAATGATAAGAGATGATAACGTGAATATTTTAAATAATATGATTTTAGAACAAAATAACAACATACTTTTTGAGCAACAAAATTGAATAACCATAGTTAATTTAAAATGATTTTAAACTACAGTTCATGACTAATTTTACTTTTCAGTTATTTATTTCAAATTAATTGTTATATAATTTAAGAATGGCTGCTCATGAAGAAATTGATTATGATCCTACAGATGGACATTATTCCGATGTTGTATTAACCATTAGAATTCTAATGGGAAAGGTGAACAAATATAAAGAGGATAATTAAAATGTTACAGACCTACTTACAACTTGAATTTATAAAATTTAATTTTATATCTTTACAGGAAATTCTTCCATTAATTGGAGAATATGGAGAAGTTGTTAAAGAACTTAGAAATCAGGTAATTATGTTCATACCAAATCATTTTAGTGTTATAAAATACTGATTGTTTTTCTTTATTCATATAATTTATAGTCAGACGCTACAATTACCATTACTGATAGTTCAACTCCAGAACGCATTGTAACTGTTACTGGCAACATCAATGTAATACAGAAAGCATTTACATTAATTACTACAATTTTAGAACAGGTAATATAATTTCTAATTGCTATTTATTATATAGTACATTTTTTTTCTTTGCAATAAAAATTAACAAATAACCAAACTTTAATTTAAATTTGTCTAATCAGGATAATTTTTACAAGTAATGACTTACTATAGGTATTATAATGTGAAGCCATCATGTCTTATTTGGATTTATAACATTAACAAATATAAAATATTCTCAACAGCTTGTGAATAGACAAATTGTAGATATATATAGACTCCAAAATACAATAAAACTTCTGTACCTTTCATTAACCTAACTTCTGAATATTGCTCACAGTTTTTAATGATTAGTTGATTCTTACTTTTTGTGTTGATTGTGCTAGTTTTGTAATTTTACCAGACAATTGCTAAATAACAACTTTTATTAATACCACATTAAAACAGAAAAAGAAAGAAGTTGTAAAATATTTTCCATTTGTTGCATTATTTTTGGTTTAATTCAATTTCTTTGTTGGTATATTGCTTGTATGAGTTGTAAGGATTTCACTTCATAATTTATATTACATATTCACCAATTGCTAATGCCTAATATTAAATTACTTTATCATAATTTATAATTTGAATATTATAAGTTTATAATATTATTGATATGATTTATTTTTTAATTTATATTTTCGCACATTTTCCAATATGATTTTGATATTTTTATAATTCCCATGACAAATTTTATCAGAAGAATCTGTATAAGTTATTTGACTTATATCTTTTGAAAATTTTTCTAACTGCGGAAGTTTTTTGTATTCTGAAAATCTTGGAAGTATTGGAGTTCCATCTTTTATAAATTTTATTTGTCCACCAATTTGAGTACGCAGTCTAGGTTTTGAAATTTCTAATTGACTTAATGACAATACATGTTCTGTGTCTACTTTGTTTAACATCCTTAAATTATCTTTAGGTGTATCCATTTGATTTGTACTAATTCCATTATATTTATTTGAAGACTGATTATTTAGTTCAGAGTCCATATCTTTGTTCACTTATTTCTGATTTCTCCAATCTAATGTTTAATATAAATTTAAGATTTCATATCATTATTAATAATAATCATGAATTACTAGAGCGCCCTATTTCATGTATACACAGTTTTGGCAGTTATGGTGCAAATGAATTATATTTGAATTACGTGGTTCACAAAAATGAGTGGGTGCCTGAATGTTCATATATATAACAAAAATTAATGTTTTTTAAAAAAAATGTTATTAAAAGAATTTTAGACTGCGGAAATTTGATAAATTTGTGGTAGGATGGTGGGGGTATTTTTGTGTTGGGGTGAGTGGGTGGAAAATTAAATCTGTGATTTAAAATAAAAATACTTCGCACCAATACTGATTTCATGTATTTACGTGAAATTAACATTCAAATCTAAAAAACTATGTACTTGAAAAGTACCACAATTTACGTATACAAGTATATTTATGTATTTCATGTTATTTTCACTATGTATTCACGTGAATAACACTAAAATACATGATCACAGATAATAAACTTAAGTATATTAAATATGAGTACATATTTTTCATTATTATGTACATGGACTAAAGACAAACTTTTCATGTACTTATTATATATTTCTGTTTTTAATAAAAACCTCTATAAATTGCCTATTCCTTCTTTAATGTCTGGAATATAACCTATTAAAATAAACTTAAATTTATAATTTAACAAATTTATGTAGTAAGATTACCGTTAATTGATATTTTTTAAACTTGATATTATATTTATATTTTATATTACTCAATACACCAAAAGTAAAAAACAAAAAAACTATTATGCACATTTATCAAAATAAATTACTTTATATAGTATGTATTTATAAAGACATTCATATTAAATGGAAAACAAAAAATAATAAATAAACAATGTTTATTATTGTTTTAATAATTTTATTATTTGAATTTAGGAGCCAGATAGTAAAAATGTAAAACTTGATAAGCAATAATAATAATCAATAATAATTACACATTCACAGGTTTCTCCTACGCATCCTCAAAATATCAGAAAAGGATCTAATTCAAATAGTACAACAATAAAACTTATTGTACCTGCATCACAATGCGGATCTCTCATTGGAAAAGGAGGAGTAAAAATTAGAGAAATTCGAGAAGCTAGTGGAGCCATGGTAAATGTAGCTTCAGACTTATTACCAAATTCTACAGAAAGAACAGTGAGTATTAGTGGTTCAGCTGATGCTATCACCGAAGCTATTCATCAAATATGTATTGTGATGCTGGAGGTATGTTAAAAAATTATTATAATTCATTATATGATTATCTACTTATTATTATTATTAATTTTTTTTTACTGGAACTTTGTAAAAAAAAAAAAAATGATATTATTTATATATACATATATATATATATATATATTTATATATATAGATATTATTTATATTTATTGCAATTATGTTTATCATTTTTTGATTATTCAATGTTATGGCAGACACCAGGAAGGGGACCTACAGTTGCATACAGACCTTTAGTGACGCAACCAGGGCCTGTAGTATTCTGTTCTGGCCAAGCCTATACATTACAAGGATCTTTAGCAATTCCAGCTGTTGGTGATGTAAATATATATTTTTTTATATGGATTTATTACATATATAAAGCATCTTTAAATTGATTGTTTTATTAATTTTTTTTTTTTTTTAGGCATCAGCTTCAAATACAGCATTAAATACCATTGCAAGTATTGCTCCAAATTTAATTGCAGGCTCTGGATTAGATCCATCAGGTAATACAAAATATTCTGAATTTTATTATTGAAGTATAATTATAGATAATTGATTACTTCTAGTGCTTGCTGCATTAGCTGGTAGTCAGTTACGAGGCGGGGGTGTCAGCTCAAAAAATTCACAACAGAATATTACACATGAAATGGCTATACCTAATGACATAATTGGATGTATTATTGGTAAAGGTGGAACAAAAATTGCTGAAATTAGGTGAATTTTTTTTATCAAATTTCATTTGTATTTATTACTTTTTAAAAAATGTTAAAAGATACTAATTAAATTATCTAAGTGTTTAGGGGTTTGGAAGCAATGATTTTCTGTTTTTGTCTTAGACATAGACGCATGTTTGTTGTGCTACATAGGTAAATAGATAGATATATTTATTGTTATTTCAAAATAGTTACAATTATACAAAATATAATAATAATAGAATGCGAAAAAATGTGTTTCCAAAAGCCTGAGCTTGTAGGGAGACAAGATTTCATGTTTATTAAATGTATACATACTTATCAACACTGTTCACAAATTTAAAAACAAATATACACAAATAAAATGATAACAATGTGGTATACAATTAAATGTTAAAAACAAAAAACCAACTATAAGAAGATTATTGTATTGAAAAAAGTAAATAAAACTAATTTATTAATTGCTATTCAATTTAGTACAAAGAAATTTGAAAGTGTTCTATTTTAAATGCATTGATTGATCTAGTGAATCATTAAGAATTCTGAAAGCAAATTTGAATTTGTCATAGAGTCTACTTGAGATCGACTTTCCCACTTTTTTCATTTTTATTTTTCTTTCTCCAAAAATTAAAATATTCAATTTTTTTAATTACTCTTTTTTTACTATGTTCTTTTAGGATTTAATCAGATAAATTTAAAAAAAAGTGATAAAGTTGATTTCCAGTAGCCTTGACAAAAAATTCAAATCTGGTATCAAAATTCTTATCGCTTTACTAGACAAATTGGTACAGTGGAAATAGAATATGTCTAAATTACTTTGTTGCTATTTTTCCTTTGTGTGTAAGACAAAGGCAAAAAATCTAATTCAATTGTTTCCAATACCCTTAAGATAGTTTTCCTAACATGTGTAAAGACAACTACAAATAATGATTAATTTTAATCAGTTATTTTTTTTTGTGGTTTCACTGGTTTTAATGGGTTTTTTCTTTTAGTAAATATTTGTTTTTATGGAATAAAGCATTATTACTATAATAATACTGATAATTGATAATCTGTAGTATGATTTGTATAATGTGTGTTTAAAGTTTATAGTTTGGTTTTTTTTTTTATTTTTGTTCCTTTTCTTTAAATTTTAAGTAGGTTAAAAATAATCTATCCCATACTATAAGTAAATTATTCTATTATTTTTTTCATACTAAAAGATGAAGAACTAGTATTGGTATTGAAAACCAAAAGAAGAATTTTCAGAAACGGACAAGAACCAGTGCCAATGTTTTTTAGGAATCGGCTCATCCCCAATATTAATATATTCTGTATTACTATTAAATATATCTATATAATTATATTTCATGTGTGAATATTCAGAAGAATAAGTGGAGCTATGATAAGAATATCCAATACTGAAGAACATGAAGCATCAGGCAAAATGGAAAGAGCTATAACAATTAGTGGACAACCTGATGCTGTTAATGTTGCTAAAACATTGATAAATTTGAGGTTGGTTATAAATTCATTTTTATAAAACTAAATATATTTCTATTCTTATAATTTTATTAATAGTATTGATCAATACAATAAATCATCTGGAGACTCTTTGGAATTTGATGAAGATTTTTCATCCAATTTTACAACAGATGCAAAAACCACAACTGAAACTTTAGCAACATTATTATCAAATCCAAATGGTTTAGGAGCTTTAGGAGCACTGACTGGACTGAAAGAACTTTTAGGAAGTATTAACAATAAAAAACAATTGAATAAAAAAAAGGATAAAATTGATAAATATTCACCTTATTAAAGTAATTAGTTGTTAAAATCATTGTTATATAATTTAATCATATTTTAAATTAATTCTATTGATACCAAATTAAATATTTTTTCCCCTGATATATTGTATAATTGTAAAATTACATTTAAAAAAATAAAGTAAAGTACCAAAATAAGAATCACAAATTTTAAAAAAGAAAAGTTATATATATAAATATAATAATTATTGTACTTTGTTGAATTTTTAAACCGGTTGATTTTATAAAGAGTAAATCTTTTTTAATTATTCAATGTTTATTTACAATACATTTAAATTTATTTGGTTCCTTTTAAATTTTTAGATTTACTGATTATTATACCTTAAATTTACTATATTTTTAAACAATAATCTGTATTTTTTAGATTTAAAGTTTAATATAATTTCTGAATGATTGTAGTATATGTGTTGATAATAAAACTTTTATATTAGATAAACTGTGTGAGAAAAAATGTTATGAGAGTATTGGGAATGATTTACCAAATTACCAATGCTAATATAAAATAATTTATCAAATATAATAATACTTAATTAAACATTTTTTAAATTCTAAGAACAGCAAGAAATGTTGGTTTTACTATGGTGTGTGATTGTGTTGTTTTTTTTTTTTGTATGTGAACAACTTTTTTATCACAATTCTGTTATAAAATTTAAATTTAACAAAGCTTCTGTGACATGATTATTGTAACTTGAATAAATGTTTTACATAAAATTTTAATTAGTGTTATCCTGTAATTTTGAGTTTCATTATAATTATTTCTCCATCCATCAATATTCTCATTAAAATCACATAAAACAGCTTACAATAACTACGCTCTTCACAACTATTACTTACAATCTCAAACTGGATCAGTACATAAAAATTGAGGGTGAAGAGAACTTAAAATGTTAGGAAAATGTGTATGTATGTTTTTATAGAGTAACAAAATCTAAGTTGTTTAACGTTAAAAACCTTAAGACTCCCAAGCCCAGATTAAGCATCAATTGGGTCCTGGGAAAATTCAATTGATGATTGTTATTGAGCCCCTTTCAACTCAAACTTCAAACATTTGTATTACTAAATTTCACTGTTATATATTAATATAAATAATATTGTTTTGTAGATTATATTATATATCTTTTTAGCAAATTGTTTTAAATTTCTATTAAAATGAATTAACTGCAAAATATCATTTTCTGAATATAACATCATTAATTTTGTTACATTTTCTTGAGTCTGGTTTGTCTTATATTGTCCTATATATATTATTTGTGTAAAATAAGAAAATGCTCTTTCGGGGAAAAATTGGAAACTGGGATGGTTAAATACAATTTAAATGCAATTAAAACAAAACCATTTTAATGAATTAAATACTTCATTTTCATCAAATGAAATTTGACTTAAATTTAAAAATGTTTCAAAATGAATAATTTTGTTATTAAGTAAAGGGTCAACATCATTTTTATAAGTTAAATTTAAAAATAAGATTTTTGATGCTCATTTGGACTTCATTATTTTAATCTGATTGGCAACTTAATTTAGTAATAAATAAAAAAAAAATAGTAGGTAATATAAAATAATAATAATTAATTGAATTTATTAATCAAATTAGATTAAAACAAATGAATAGAAGAAATTATAAATCTAAATTAGTAAACTCTGTAAGGTGATAGGCTTTTATTTTGTATGCAGCATATTAATTTGAGAGAATATGCATAGTCGCATACAGTATAAATATATTCAACCATAGAGTATACTATAAAAATATAATATACTCTATGGCGAGATGCAACCTGAAATGGCTGCGTTATAAAAAATGTTTCTTATCATTTTTGAATCACACCCATAGAGTATTCTATGACCACACGTTCACGCGCCAGTCTTATTATAGATTATCGATTAATTATTATAACTCTGTGGCATTGAGTTAAAGATTAAACTTAAACCAGATAAACCGTTTATTTTAAACGTGGTTTTTTTTTAGTATTGTGCGAATAATCATACTTATTTTATAATTTTGTTTTATTATTCAAATATTATACTAATTATTCAATAAAATGTGGAGCACAATTTTGGAACCTGGCAAAAAATATATCGCAGTTGTGAACTACACATTTAATCTTTCTATGGCTGTCCTTGATTTAAAAACCGTAAAAAAGAAGAAAGATGTTCATACTATATTCATAGAAACTGAAGATACACCTTGTTCTATCCTTTGCCATCTCTCTGAAACATTAAAATTGGTACAGGTAAAATTGGATCTTGTTTTCCCCCCAAGAACAACAATAAAATTGTTTACATCAGGGTCGGCCCAAATACATATGACTGGATATTTACTCTACGATGAAGAGGAAAAATTATGTCCTATTTTAGAAAGTGAAATTATAGAAGAAACAACAGTTACAGAGAACAAATCAAAAACAGAAAATGGAAATAAGCGTAAAGCTGAAGAAAATTACCCAAAAATTACAAAATCTGTTAAATTAAATGATGATGATGAAGGTTCTGATGAAGATTTTGATGTAAATTCTAATGAAGGTTCTGATGAAGATAGTGATAATAATATAATAATTGATGGATTTAGAGAAAATCAATTGGGTAATTTACTTGATGATAAAGGTGAAGATTCAATTTCTGGCAATGATATTGTAGGTATTAAAAACAAATCAGTATTGACTAAAGAAGAAAAATCACAAATGATTCCTAGTAAGAAATTTAATGAGAACAAACAAAAACAAACCAAAAAGGATCAAACAATTCCTAAAGACCAAGATAATACTTCTTTAGCTCAAAACACACTTAATATTAAACAGGCTTTGCCAACTAGTTCAACTGAACATAGAAAGAAAAATGACAATGAACTTGAAACTTTATTGCCTGTATTAAGAACTTATACTAGGAAAGTTAAACAAAACCAACAATTTATAGAGTTAAGTAGTGGAGTTAAGATTCAGGAACTTCAAATTGGTTATGGTGCTATAGTAGAACCTGGTAAAATTGTTAAAATTTATTGCACTAATCAAATAAAACTGTTTAGTAAAGTTTTAAATATAATAGAGGGTGGTCCCGAATTCAGTTTCGTATATCAACATGATGAAGTTATTAAAGGTTTAGATATTGGTATTGCTGGAATGAAAGTTGGTGGCAAAAGAAGAATTGTCTGCCCATCTAAAATGAGTCTAGGTACTAAGATAATGAAACTAAGATTTAAACCAAGAAACACATTGGAATTTGAAGTGGAACTTTTACATGTTGGTAATAAACAAAAAAAAACTCTTAAAGGTCAAAAAGTACCTAATTCAAATAAGTTATTGTCAAATGTTTCAACCGAAAGTAATAGTAAGAAAAATATTAAACGTATAACTACATTGACTGGATTAATAACATATACTCAGAATGTTGAACAAAATCAAAAATTAATGGTGTTAAGTGACGGAGTTAAGATTCAGGAACTTCTAATTGGTGATGGTACTGTAGTAAAACCAGGGAAAAATGTTAACATTTATTACACTGCTCGTATAAAATCAACTGGTAAAGTTTTTGATTCAATGCAAGATGGTCCCGGATTGAGTTTTGCATATCAGCGTGGTGAAGTTATTAAAGGTTTGGATATTGGTATGGCTGGAATGAAAGTTGGTGGCAAAAGAAGAATCTTATGCCCATTTAAAATGAGTCAAGGTACTAAAAAGATAATGAAACCAATAGTTAAAACAAGAGGTACATTGGATTTTGAAATTGACCTTTTACATGTTGGTTAAGTTTTATTTGTTAGGTAATTTATTCTAATTGTTATTCAGATATTCTAAGTTTCTTTATTATTTAATTGCTATTCTCCATTTATTTTTTAAATTACTTATAATTATTTTTTAGTTAAATAATTTTATTTGTATTGTATTACCTACTTTTAAAACCACTCAAAAATAAAATAAGTACATATAATTATGAATAATATTTATTGTCTTTTCTATGTTAAAAACTTGTTATTTTATTTGGATAAGTACCTATCTTTTCAGTACATAAATAGATAGATAAACTATATTTCTGAGTGAAAAATATACTTTTAAATTTTGAGTAAATATTATAAATTACTTATACATAACTTTATTATAACTCATAGTAAATAAAATTGTTTAAATTTTAATCCAAGTATTTATCTTATATTACTATAAATTACTAAAATATGTATGCACATATTGTTACACCTACTTATAATAATCAATCATTAATAATTATTTTTTATATGCTGGCGTGGTTACTGTGAGACCTCAAAATATGTTCTACATTTTTTGGTTTGATCTTAACATCAAATTACAATACAACACTGAGAAAATTACAAACTACTTTTATTATGCCTAATTTGCATTATAAAATTAAAAGTATGACCTTTAGGTAAGTACTTACTTATACATAAATTAATTTTTTACTTTTTCTCTTAATATATTCCATTCTTTAAACTAATAAGTTACAACAGCACATTGTTCACACTAATACACTAGATACTTAAGTCATAGGAGCAATTTCAATGTTTTACTTGAAGGCACTGGATTAATCTATGCCAAACAAACACTCTCTTTCTACCTATCATTAAAATGTTTTAATAAGTGTTATGAATTAATAATATTAACTAGGTACCGAAAAATACATATATAAAGCACGGTAATAGATAACACTGTCAGGAATAATACAATCATTCAATTATTTTTTGGTGAAAAAAAGAGTAAGAGATTGTTGTATTTCCAATTTACGGAAATAAATTCAACGTTATCGAAATGTTCGAGAATTTGCGATAAAATGACTTAAATCAATATATGTTTACTAAATTTTATTTTACATTTTAATATCTTAAATTCATAAGTCTTTACTAATATTTATCCAAAATGCAACAAAAAAGGTCTCGTTATCATTTTTCCATTAGAGAACTATTTATGGTATAAAACGTTTCAAATATTGAAATCGAAAAATAATACGTTTTTTCCCACTTAGTGCAATTATCTCAAATAAACATCATTGTAAAACCAATATACATTTCTCGCTATATTAAAAATCTAAAATGTAAAAAGGTCTGTGTAAAAGATTACACCATCTATTTTTGGCAGGTAAAAAGTGTCTATGTAAGAATTTACACTATTTTTTAAATACAGGTAAAAAGGTCATTTTTGTAGGAGTTTATGTGTAGCCGGATTTCGGGGTCCCGGGTTCGCTAAACCTATTGCATTATATGCTTCCTTCCTTTGAGATAAATATAATAAATTTAATATAATATAATAATAATAAATAAGTACAATTTCAAGAATATCGGAACAGGAGAAAACCGAAGCAATTTCCCAGCAAATGTAAAAAACATGGGAAAACCGATAAAAACGCAGAAAAACAGGAAAATCGATACAATATTAAACAAATGTTATTAAAGGAAATATATAATGCCTATTTAATTATTTTATCATAGTATGGCATATATATTGTTGACAAAGCATCACTATCAACTTAATTGCGCTCAGAATCGTTTTTTTGTTAGCAATGGTTTATCGTTGCTTACAGATATACATTAAATTACCTTTAACAGTGGCTGCACCCAAACTTCATTATTCTAGGACGTCTTTATTTACTAATACCAACATTTCGTATATTTTCCTGTTGTTTTCCGGTTTCTACATCAGAGCAAAATAGCCGGTAGAAAAGTTATTCACTGATTAAAAAAAACATCATTGTTAAACGAATACATTCTTCACTTCACTTACAATTTAAAAAAACCTTTTATTTACTTATTCTTAGTTGACAATTTGGTTCCACTCCCATATCAATATTCAATTCAATCGAATGCGGTAAGTTATGATTTTATTAAAGATAATAAATGATGCTTTTGCCGGGTGTATGATTTAACAATCAAAGTGCAACAGTTAAAAAAGCACTCAACTTGCGTGTATAATTTTCAAACCGAATTTGGGAAAATATAATATTATTAATAATTATGAATGTATAGATCACAAAGAGACCACAATTTTGTAAATTAAAAATTAAAATTATTTTAAAATTTTACATTTTACAGAAAATGTAAGCGAGTGTGTTGGCGCATTTCTTGGGTCAGTTTGTGGGAATTCGATACCGAGTCGTATTTTCTATTAAAATAGACTTATATTATGCTAATTGTACCGACTGTCCTAGTAATCGGATAAAACTTCTGAAAACATATTTGAATTCGTCATGAAATTGACTTTTAAGTAAATATGAATTATCACTTTTCTCACTTTTTTTGAAATTGATATTTTAAATAAAAAAAAAAAATTAAAGTATAAGGAACATTTAAAAATTAAATTTGCACTATTAATTTCTGTCATTTGTCAATCATATCTGTACGTAATATTTTGTATTTGATTAAAAAAAAAAACTGTTATTTTTAAATTTAATATTATTGAACACCCTACTTCATCACAAGATTAGGCTTAAAGTAGTAAAAATATTCTTTATATATATTAATATATGCAAATTTATACATACATATATATACATATGAATTTAGATTTCAGTTGATGGTGTTGATATGTCAACAATATTATATATGTATGTCATATTATGATAACATAATTATATATCTATTGAACATTTTCTTTAATAATATTTGTTTTATATTGTACATATTTTCCGGTTCTTCCAATATACATTAAGAAAACTACTGAGAAAATAAAAAAATGACCGCTCTTAAGTATCTCCCCACTCCTTACACACACATTTACAGAAGGGTTTACTACATTTATGGAGGGGAGAGTCCGGACCCGAAATCACCTCCTTGGGTAAGATTTTAATTCGTGGTTAAACGTCAATAGGGAACTATAAATAAAAAGTAACAAGTGACCAGCAAATAGTAAAAATCATACAAATATTGATAAGTACCCATTGATAACACAAACCGGAATTCAGAAGATTTAACCCATGGTTAATCGCCAGAATTAGGCCGGTTAAAAATCCGACGGTTGAACGTCTTTTTTTTTTATTTATAGTTAGGACACTTTTTCCTTAACCGATCAATGTAACCATTAACCAACTGTCCGTTAAAATTGAAGATAACCAATGGTATAAAACACGTGTAAACATCTCGATGTTTATCAGCTTATCTAGGATTCTATGGGTTCGGCAAATTTAGCTTATCATTGATCAACCAATTACATGTAAGAACGTTGAGGTTAGGGAAGTTTGTTATCTAATGTTTACGTCGGGCAATAAATTAAAATTGTATTGTTTTTAATAATTTATTGTATGAAGTGTATAATATTTGTTTTCTAATGTTTTATAATATATAGGTATTTTTTTTTTTATTGATTAAATGATTTCTCGTAATGCATTTTGGTTTACTTTATATTTGTTTATTATAGGTATCTGTAACTAACTTAGTACTCTGTAGTAGCTAATAAGCTTAAGAATTGTAGTATGGCTAAAATTCTTTATGAATTGGAAGATGAATTTGAATATTGTAAGATATATTAAATTATGTATAGGTACATATAATATACATTTAAAAAAATTTAATTTCTGTTTAGGGAGTGGTAAACATTCAGTTAAAGCAAGGCGAAAAAAACCAAAAAGAAAACACATTGGAAAAGGTAAATGTATTTTACATAATTTATTACTAATTATGCTAACTATAATATAATATAAGTAGATGTCAATTATAAATATTATAGGTCTTATTGTATTTCTTTATTTTGTGTTGGAGGAGAACTTTAGTTTGATCAAATATGATTAAAATTATCAATACTGAAATATAGGTTTGTCAAAAACTGATCGCTTACAAAAACATAAATAAAATTCTGGTGCATTTTATTGATACAAATTTCAAAATAAAATATTTTGTTTTACTGAAATTTTGAGTAATTTTAATTTGTTATAATATTTATATATATATATTTTATTTTATATACAATAATTGTATATTTGTTCCCAGTTTTAAATTAGTAAAATTAAATACAATACCTATTAAGAAAAATATTTACAATGAATACAATAGGAGGTACCTATATAATATTGAGAAAAATACAAATTAGCTAATACTTACAATAAGGAAAGGTCTACTTTGAAAATAGAGGTACAGAGAGGTTTATTAAGACCATAATATTAGCTGAGGAAAAAGAAAGCAAAAAAGTGCAAACTGAAGTGAAGAACGAAGAGGTACATTAAAAATCATTATTGAAAGTAAATAAGGTGAATTAATTTTTTCATGTAATAATTAACTAAAAAACTGAAATTACTAGCATGCTTATTGTTGGCCAATGTGTTCAGCCTGAGAAACTGAAATACAGTTGCATAAATAGCGTTGAATATTATTGTGTATTTGAGTATTATGTTGTCTCTAAAACCGTTTATCCAAAGTATTTTTTTTTCTAATTTAAAAAATGTATTATACAATTTATTTTTTTAAAAGTATAACCAAATATTTATTTATGGTCCCAAAATGATATTAAATATAAAAAATATTAATTTAAGACAACTTGTTTTTTATGTTTTCTTAAAATTGTGATTTGAACAATTTTTTTATAAAATTGTCAATTGATATAATTATTGATTAAAATTTTGGGGTATTTTGGAAATATTATTCATATTGGGTATACATAACATTATTTCAATGTTTTTATTTTCTTTAGATGTGCATTTTATATGGTATTTACACCCAATTACGCACTTTTTATTTCTGTAAAATTTGATGTTTATTGTATGTAACTTATTTTTGAGGTACTATGTTGTACTATTATAACAATGATGATTTCTTATTCTTTGGTTATTATTGAAATCCTGAATTTTATCTTATTAATCAATACTAATTAGACTCAAGATTTTAGTAATTCATTTCTTAATTATTATAATTTTGGTCTGTTACTATTATGCCTGTATTGTGCATATTTTATGAGCAATACACTAATAATATTACTCGGTTAATTTTAATATGAAATTGTTAAAATTGTATTCATTTATTATTTTTATTGATATTAAAATAATTGATATGTACCTAACGCTAATTGTTATTTACAAAACTATATATTTTACATCATTTACTAACACTATATATACCTATGTATGTTTTATGTAAGTAAATCATTTAAATTGTTTTTCATTTAACTAAGTGAATTAATAACATAATGTTTCAGATTTAAGTGTAGGTTTCTATCTGGTTATGTTTTTTTTCATTTTTTTAATAATTCAAATATCAGAAAATAAAAATGTGAAAAAAGGGAAGTATGTTACAACCATGATAGATACAAAATGGAGTATGGTGCCCCTCGTTTTGGAAATGGCAGAGTATATGGCTGAAGAAAGCCGCCATAATTTATGGTCTTTTGTTGATAGTATATCAGAAATGAATCCAACTCTAAGTAAACTTGGTTGGTATAATAAATCTATGTCAATTTAATTCAAATTAAAAAATAAATATTATATTATATTGTAGATAATGACCAAATAAAATACCAGGCTGCATTATCTAAAGCTGAGTTATTATTATCCAAGTCTAAATTAAGATTATTAAAATTTGCTCTATCCATGCATATTTATTCACCACGTATTGAAATGTATGCACAAATGGCTGCTGACCGAGGAGTGAAGTGTTCTACATCTGTAGAAATCAATGGGGAACTTATATGTTCAGTTGAGAAGTTAGATCAAGTTTTGAAACAAATAATTGTTAGTATCTAATAAAAAGTTTTTATATGCATTAACTATTTTTAACATAAATACATTGTATAGGCTGAAGGTATTAAAATACCCTGTGAAACATATCATATTGATCATCATCACCCTTCTTCTAAAAATAAAAGCAATGTAGCAATTTTGTATGGTGAACTAGGAACAGCAGAATTTGCTGTTTTTCATCATGTTTTGAAAAAATATGCTCAAGAAGGATCTATTGATTACGTATTACGTCATTTTGTTAAAGTAATTATTTAATACATATATTTAAATTATGATTTTATATTATTTATTGATAATTGTGTGAATCTATATTTGTACAGGATAAAAGTGAACAGAAGGTTCGTCTTTCTGGTTATGGTGTAGAATTACATATGAAATCAACTGAATATAAAGCTGAAGATGATAGTGTAGTTAAGGATAAAAATGATATGAATATAAATGAACTAGAAGAAGATACTTCAGAAATTGAAGGATTTGATTTCAAACGTCTTGTGTAATTTTTATTCACTAACTAAGTGTTTATTGTTTACTGATAATCAATTGTGGTTTTTATTTTAATTTAGTGAGTTGTACCCAGATAAAAAACAAGATTTAATAAAATTTAGAGCTCATTTGTCTGAAGTTAGTGGTGAGTTGGCTCCGCTCAAAGCATGGCAATTTCAAGAGTTAAGTTTACAAGCAGCACAAAGAATTATGAGTGGGCCACCCCAAGACGCTATTCAGACTTTTATTCATATCGCTCAAAATTTTCCTACTCAAGTAATTTCAAAATGATAAAAATTAAAAATTGTATATTCATAGTTAATTTCAATTAGGCTAGGTCACTGGCTAATGTTAAAGTTAGCAATGAACTAAGAGCTGAAGTCTCTAAAAATCAAGATAGTTTTTCAATGGGATTGAATTTGCAACCTAGTGATACTGTGTTGTTATTAAATGGGATGTATTTTGATATAGATATAACTGATATGTCAACAATTTTAGACTCAATTACTCAAGAATTGGGTATAATGGAAGGATTATATTCTATAGGTAATTCTTATTTTGAGTATTCATTAAAAAAAATCCAAAATAAATTAAAATTATTTGTTTTTTTAGGAATAAAAGATAAAAAAGCAATTACTTCTATGTTGGCATTAGATTTGGGTGGTGCAAAAGGAAAATCTTATGCTATAGATATTAGAGATTCTTCGATTCAATGGATTAATGACTTAGAAACTGATGCTACATATAAAAGGTGGCCTGCATCAGTTGACGATCTACTTAGACCAACATTTCCTGGCATGTTACGAAGTATTCGTCGTAATCTGTATAACCTTGTAGTTGTTTGTGATCCTGCATCTAAATCTTCTTGGCCTTTACTAAAACTAACAGACTCATTTTTAAGTCATCAAAGTCCTTTAAGAGTTGGAATTGTGTTTAATGTTTCACCAAAACCTGCTATTGGATTAAATGATGCTAGTGTAGCCTTTTTGAATGCTTATAATTATATTGTTGAACAAACATCAAAACCATTAGTTGCATTTAATTTTATAACAAATATATATACATCAATTAGAGAAGACAGAGATGCTATTGTTGACGATGTTTTGAAAGCGTTTAAAAAACAGTATCCTAAAGCTCCCATTAATGAAATATTTGGAGAAGAAAGTGATTATGACACTGCTCGTATACTAGCAGAAGAGTATGTATCTAAAATAGGATTTCGAAAATTACCTCAAGTATTACTTAATGGAGTTCCATTAAAAGAAAAATCTCTAGTGGAAGAAGACTTTGAAGAAGCAGTTTTAGTTGAATTAGTAACTCAAACTCAGACTTTACAAAAAGCTGTTTATAAAAGAGATCTGACTGATGCAGATAATGTTGTAGATTGGATAATGACACGACCAAACGTAATGCCAAGGTAATTTACTATGAAATGATTATAAGTACTTATTATTTGAATTCAATGCAAATATTTATAATTTTTTTAGGCTTAATTCACGAGTGCTCAATTCAGACTCTAGTAAAAATTTGCAATTAAACAATCAACATGAATTTATTTTTAAGGCAATGAATTACATTACTTTTACTAAGAAATCTAGTATTAATCCAATTACACATTGGATTGTTGGAGATTTTTCTAAATTATCTTCATTCAAATTGATTAAAAACACTTTTGAACATTTGGTAAGTAAATATAAATCATTTTCATTTAATAATTTAATATTCCATTTTTAAGTGTCATATCTTGTAAGAAACTTCTTTGTTTAAAAATATAATAAATTAATAGTGATTAATTAAAGTAATGTACGAAAGAAATTATAGGAACAAATAGTCTGATAATAATTATGGACTGTTAAAAAAAAAAAAAATCCTTTATTCATTTATGTTCATCCTATTTAAAATATACAGGTAAAAAATTGAACAATATATACTATTTTATAATAGTTCTTCAAACATCTTCGACTTTAAACCATTTTCATTGCATTAAGTAAGTATTTTTACATATTTCAAATCTAAAACATTCAATGTCTTATTTAATTGTACGCAAAATTACATTCAATATTTTAGTTAATAAAACTTATTTGTATTCCTTCAAAACATGAGCTCCAGGGTCAAAACCTGACGGAGATGGCAATTTGTATTTTTTTCATAAATTAAAACCATGTGTGTTGACATTTATTAACTCAATGTATTCTGAAAACAATCAAAAACATTGTCTAATATGTTATTTCACCCTGAAATATGCTTTTTGTATATTCTATTCTTTATGGCTAACTTTTTTGTATTTTGAGTCATTGACAAAGTAATCGTCATGAAAGTCCACTAGTAGAGCTGCTTAGTTTTAATAAAAACATGTAGTTGCATAAAAATCTGGTCTTTAATTATAACTACATATATAATCCATAAAATATTGAAACAAATTTTAAAAAAAATGTTGTCCAATGAACAATGTTATCATTAATTACAAACTATTTTGTGAGCTTCTTATTATTTTCTAATGCTAAAATCTGTCAAAGATGTGAGGGGATGTGGCATTGTTAAAATATGTTTTACTTTTTAGTAATCTAAGTAAGTCATATTGTAATAGATTTAAATCTTAATTTATTATTTATTATTAATCTTTTATTCAAAATAGTCTACATTAACCTTTTGAATAGGTAAGTTTTATTTATTTTGATGGAAATAATTAATTAAAAATTAGTAAAAAATTTTAAAAACTAAAATTTTAATTCTATGAAATTATTTTTGAATTCAATATTTTGTACAATAAAAACAAAACATATCTTTGTTATTAATTTTGTATTTTCTGATATAATTAACGTTTGTTTCATATTATGTACTACATAATATATAATATATAGTTTATATATAATGTATTTTCTTTTATTACAGGAATCTGATTCTGAAGCACGTATTGGAATTATTCCTAATCCATCAAGTACTGATGAACATGTGATTAAAATGAACAAAATTGTTTTTGAGGCTTTTAAGCAAGAAGATAAATTGAAAATATTAGTCAAGCACTTATCACAGGCCATGCAAGCTAATAAAGATCACATTGAAATAATTAATTCATTACCAGTAAGGTTTAAATTTTTTATTTGAAATAATCTTAAGTGCTTAATTAAATTGCTTATAGGAAGAAATACACTTTGAAGTATCGAAGATAGAAATGGAATCATTTAATAACTATGCTGTAAAGACATTAAATTTTAAAAAAGGACAATGTGGTATTGTTACTAATGGACGTATTTTGGGTCCATTTGATGAAGATGAAGATTTCTTAAGAGATGACTTTGCTTTATTAGAACAACATACTCTAAAAAGCAGTGTGAACAAAATTCTTAACATACTTAAAGATTCGGGTATGTTGAACAATAAACATTTATAAAATATTTAAATAATTAAATTAATTGCTTTGTTTTATAATATTAATTTATTATAGATCTAGTAGAAATTACAAGTGATATGATAATGAAAGCAAGTGCCTTAATTAGTAGCCGTTCTCAAACGAAAAGTCGACATTCTATACCTAATGTTTCTACTAAGCATAGGTAAAATAAAATAGTAATATTAATTATATTCAAACAGTTAATGTACTTTAAAAAAAAAATTTTTTTTTTCCATTAAGTGTTATAAAACTAGCTGCCGCAAATGAAGATGAACCAGTTTTTGAAATCAATGTTATGGTAGATCCTGTATCTAGGGGTGCTCAAAAGGTTGGATCAATTATTTCTGTATTATCCAATGTAATCAATGCCAATATAAACGTGTTTTTAAACTGTGTAGATAAGAATAGTGATATGCCTGTTAAAAGGTAACAAAATTTATTTGTTGTATGCTATTCTGTGTACTACATAATACATTTTCTTTATATTTCAGTTTTTATCGTTTTGTACTAGAACCTGAAGTCATTTTTGATAAATCGGGCCATTTATCCCCTGATCCAATTGCCAAATTTTCTAATATGCCTACTAGTCCGTTATTAACACAAATAATTCATGTACCCGATAATTGGTTAGTGGAATCTGTCGAGTCTCCGTACGATCTTGATAATATTCGACTCGAAGATGTTGAAATGGGTGTTTATAGGTATGTCTAAACATAAAATTGTGTCTGTGGATTACAAATGTTTTATTTTTATATTCATCTAGTCGGTATGAACTTGAATATCTTCTACTTGAGGGTCATTGTTATGATTCAGTCAACATGAATCCACCTAGAGGTCTTCAAATGACACTGGGAACAGAGTCAAACCCAGTAGTGGTCGATACAATAGTTATGGCCAATTTGGGTTATTTTCAAATGAAAGCAAACCCTGGTGCTTGGATGTTAAGACTTCGTCAAGGTCCATCTGCTGATATTTATGATATTATTTCTCATGAAGGATCTGACCGATCGCCCAACAGTATGGATATTAAAGTATTGATCAGTTCATTCCGTTCTCACATAATTAAAGTAAAAGTTGCTAAAAAACCTGGAAAGCAGAGTTTAAGCGTATTGGGTGATGATGATGATGATAACAAAGGTCTTTGGAATTCCATTGCCAGGTAAATAAAACATATTTTTTACTTCTTTAATAGGTAGGAGGTACTCTTCTTATTATTAAAGTATAGTGTTTAATTTTGATAGTAATAAAAAAAAAATGTACCTTTATATTAGTTTCAGATTCTATATGGCCTTTTAAAACATGTATACATAAACTTTGTTCAAAATCGTATATTGTTAATAATGATTAATCTGTACGCTACAAATAGACATCAAATTCCTCACTTTATCCTATCTTCCCAACTTTTATCTACAACAGTGGCCCATCCAATGTCCATGAATTATGTCCATCTTTTTAAAGGTTTTTATTTAATTTTAAATCTTTTCTGTCTGTATACTTTATCATTATCAACATTATTTCTCGAGAATGGCTAATTTAGACTTTCAAAATTGAAAAAATATAATCTATTATGAAATTTAATATGATGTGGGAAGAGGTAACTTACTAGTAAAAATAAATGTTTAGTATTGAATGTTAAATCACATATTAGGAATCTTATGAATTTTTCTTTCTTTATCCCAATATAAGTTAAATTTTATTGTTATATGTTCCATTTACTTTACTCTTCAGTTATTCTTTTATGTTTACTTTTCTACCTATCTTGTTTTTTATTCTCTAATAATTTTTTTTATTTTTATATTATTCCCATTGTAAAAGTTGTTTGGGGTTAACTTTCAAAAATAAAATATTAAAATTATTTAATACTTATAATAACAGCATAATAAACTAGGTATAATATATTAATATTAATTTATATATTATGTGTATAGTTCTTTCAGCTCAGGGTCACCAGATAAATCAATTGATGAAACTATCAACATATTTTCTGTTGCTTCTGGTCATTTATATGAACGATTTTTAAGAATAATGATGTTAAGCGTGTTAAAAAATACTAAATCTCCAGTAAAATTCTGGTTCCTTAAAAATTATCTTTCTCCCACTTTAAAAGTATTTATATTCATTTTTATTTATTTTTTAGTATTCATTTTTTATTTGATAATTGCTAGAATAAAAAAATAATTGTATTTTTATTTAGGACTTTCTGCCTATAATGGCTAAAGAGTACAAATTTCAATATGAGTTGGTAGAATATAAATGGCCCCGTTGGCTTCATCAACAAACAGAAAAACAGAGAATTATATGGGGCTATAAAATATTGTTTTTGGATGTACTTTTTCCATTGGATGTCAAAAAAATTATATTTGTCGATGCTGATCAAGTAGTCAGGGCTGATATGAAGGAATTAGTCGATCTTGATTTAGGTGGGGCCCCATATGCATATACTCCGTTTTGTGAAAGTCGCAAAGAAATGGATGGATTCAGGTAAAAATTGTGTATTTATTTTATTTAAATTGTTTAAAAATATATTATTGGTTTTAGATTTTGGAAGCAAGGTTACTGGAAAACACATTTGCAAGGTCGACGTTATCATATCAGTGCACTATATGTTGTGGATTTGAAACGCTTTAGAAAAGTAGCAGCTGGAGATAGATTAAGAGGCCAATATCAAGCTCTTAGTCAAGATCCAAACAGTTTGTCAAATTTAGACCAGGTAGAATAGGATAAAAATAATACATTTTAGATTTTGAGTAGAGCAAATAATGTATTGGTTTTACATGATGTTTATGTTTTTTTATTATTTATTTTTTTCTATGAACAACTTTTCTACAAACAATTTTGCTCCAATTTTTAAGTATAGTACTTTTTCTGAAAGGAAATCTGACTGGGGTGGTTCATTCAGATTATATTTTGATTTTCTCAGCTATTTTCATAATAAATGGAGACAAATTGGAAAATGTACGAAATGTATAAGTAAACATTATTGCCTTTTTTCCCATGATATTGTGATATCCAGTGACAGTTTGTGGGTAAAATAATTGGTGGTACACGTTTAAAAAATTGTATGCAATAAGTACAGTCAATTCAAACAACAGGAACTAAAACAAATATTTTATTGAAATATGAATATATTTGTATTTGTTTTATATAAGAGGTTCTTAGATAGAAATCTACAATATATTTTGGAATGATGTTTGTTTTTGTTATGTTTTATTGAATAATATTGTTAGATATATAGACCGAATGTAAACTGGGTCGGTCAGTATTTTTTTAGATAATGTCGCTCGCTGGACAAATTTAATATTATTCAAAAGAAATAATCAGTTCCCTATGCATGATATTTTCTGTCATCAGTGGCAGATGGCTATATGGCCACTGGCTTGCAATATTCGTTTGTGCACCAACACACCATGAGTTTAATGGTAATTATACCAGTAGCGGGAATGAAATGGTTAAATGCACATGTGCAACTAGTGCAAAAATTGTATTTGCCTGTCCATACTCTGTGGCTGCAGGCACTGCATATTGTGAACAATGTATACCTATAATTGCAATAACATTAGTTTTTCTTAACTTTTTGCATTAAATATTTCTTTAATTTTATAAAATAATAGTTATTCTTGTTTCTAAAATAAATCTGAATGCATTTCTATGTATATTATAATATTAATAATATATTTTTTCATTGTAGTAAAACAGCAATGTATTAGTAGTTTTTAAAATTATAGGTGGTGCACTGTTCTTGTGCACCAAAGCACGAGCTGATACTGGTGATTCCATTTTTTTTTCATGTGAGATAAAAAATTCTATGCAAATATAATATATATAGGACTCGAATATTTATGAAATTTTTTAATTTGTTTTCTATTTCAATTTAATGTTTATCTAGATACCAATTTGATTTACGTATCGGGTGTTGTATACTGAACAAAATAACCATTCCCATTTGAAAATAATTGCATATTCTGGATTCTGTGGAATCCAGAAATCTAAAAACAAATGCTGTATATATGCTTTTTTTTCTGATTTTGAGAATATATAAATGCATATTACAGAATAATATGGTTTTAAATCATTTTTTATGGTGGATACTACTGTATACTTGTGTACTATTGGGTAAATTTACTTAAGTGAGGTATTTTTTTTTTATTTTCTAAGCAGTTTTCATAATTACTGGGAAAAACCAGAACAAAATAGGAGAAACAGTAAAATTTACAAAAACAATTTAAATTTTAAATTTTGCTTTCTTGTTGTAATTTATTTCAACTTTTTTTCAGAGAGTTGAAATTCAGGCAGAAAATCTATATTTGTCTTTTCTAGTAAAACTTTCAAAACATTTGAGCCTTTTTGAGCTATTTATAGGAATTTTAATTTTTCAAGTTTTTTACGTCATTTTTATTTTTGTTAGGTACTTTATAGATAAATTATTAGACTTAGTAGAAATGCTTGAAAATTTAACAGGGGATTTATTATAAGTTGTAATTTTTGGTCAATAAAAAGAAGTTAAGTTTTAATGTAGTATTTATTTTTTTTTTTTAATAAGAATATTAATATCAATTGTTAACAATATTTGTAAATATTAATATTACCTTTTAAAACATGTATAATCAAACTCCGCTAAGAATCGTTTTTCATTAGCAATGGTTAAATGTTGTGTACAGATATACATTAAATTCCCCTTTATATTCTACCATTTCAACTCCTCACCTACAACAGTAGCTTACCCATTGTACAAAGTACAGAAATATGTTTTTAGTATATGATGATTTTACTTTCATTCTAGGATTTGCCAAACAATATGATTCATCAAGTTGCTATTAAAAGTTTACCTCAAGAATGGCTTTGGTGTGAAACCTGGTGTGATGATGCTTCAAAAAAATCTGCCAAAACAATTGATCTTGTAAGTCTTATAATAATAACAAATTGTTAATGAATGTAATTAAAGATAAAATGTTATTAAATACATTGATTTTAGTGTAACAACCCATTGACTAAAGAAGCTAAATTAACAGCAGCTATGAGAATTGTGAATGAATGGAAAGATTACGATAATGAAATAAAAAGATTACAAATAAAGCAAAGCAAGCATGAAGACGAAGTATTTCAAGATGAAACTCAATCAAAAGGTAATTTGATATACTTAAAAATAAAAATAGTGGATATACATCCATATATACATTATACTACATGTATTATAGATACAACATAAATAATTATTCATAAGAATTATTATAATAAATGAAAAATTATTTTTAGATTCTGAGCGCATCGAGTAATTTATTAGTTATACTATGAGTGTATGATTTTTTTTCTGTAGAAAACTCTTGCTCTAATTAAATAGATATTAACTTAATAGTTTAATTAACAAATTAATGTAATTGTGGTGTGTATTATAAAACTAAAAACTAAAAATTAATTTTAGATTTTGAGCGTATGGTGGAAGCTATTGGTTTTACTAAGATGTTTTTTTCTTTTTTTTTCTAATCTAAACACGTTTTTTCCTGATAAACTTGCTTCGATTTTTATAAGTAGCAACTTTTCTGAAAACCCAAGTTGTCTAGATGGTACTTCTAAAGAGTAAATTTTGATTTTCGGCGCCATTTTTAAAATAAAAGCACTTAAGTGGGGTGGGATAAAACGTAGGAAAACTTGCAATTTTAAGATTTCATTATTTTATAAAAACATTGACTACATTTTCTACCAGAAAAAATGATTTAATTGAAAAATCACAATACATCATTTTTGTTGCCTTTTTGATTTCTTTTCGAATGGTATCATCACCAAAACTTTTGAGCCACCTTTGAGCTTTAAGAAATTTAATGTTTGGGAATTGTTTGATGTAATTCAGTTATAAATACATGTAGAGACTTGAAATTTGGTAATAATACTTTTATTGGACTTACCTAAACGTGGTAAAATTTCCAAAATCATTAGACATTTTTTTTTTTATACTGTAGACCACATTTATCCTAGAAAAATAGATCAGATGTATAAGTGTAGCATCTTTTCTAAAAGTAAATTTTATCTGCTTGGTAAATACATAAGTCATTTATTGATTTTCGAAACGGTATTTAAAATAAAAAGGATTAATCAAGAAAAAAAAATACAATTTTTTCACGATTTTGTTATTTTAAATAAGTAACACGTTTTCTAAAACAAATATGGCCCCAATTGAAAAATTTGTTGAATTATTAATCTTCTTTTTAATGATGCAGTCCGTTTTTTTCGATTTTCAAATTAGTTTTCATAATAATTGGGAAAACATATTGGAAGGTTTGGTTAAAAAAAATTACGGTACTTCAAATTATGTATTACCGAATTGCGCTTGGAATCGTTTTTCGTCAGCAATGGTTTATCATTGCTTACAGATATAAATTAAATAACTTTATGTATCCTACCTTTCCCACTACCCTCCTACAATAGTGGCAGCACTCATTCCCAGTATTAGCTCTTTTTTTTCACAGTTAAATTTAGTTATTTTTCAAATAATCTTATTAGTACTTTTATGTAATGGTGTTAAAAAAATGTTTGAAATGAAATTGTTTTATTATAATTATTGGTATGTATTATTTTAAAGTCATATTTTGATTTCATTTTTTATACTCCATCAAATACTTTGAAATTAAATGGTAAATTTGATTTTTTTTTTTAATAAAATAAATTATTAAATTGCTTTTCAAAATGTTTACTAAACTGTTGTTTTCATAAATTTAAAAACTATAATTTCATATTTTTTAACACTATAGTATATGATATTAAATTTGTTTACCATACCACTATTTACTAAACAATTTCATAAATAATGATTCTTTTAAAATACTACACATGAATCTTTATTTCAAAATTTTTAATTATTTTTATTTCTTTGTTTTTTTTTTTAACATTAAAATATCCTTGTTTGATTTTTATAAAACCTATCACATTTGAATAGTGTAACATTTGTTCAAAGTATAATTCGTTTTTATTTTTTAGAACCAGAAGTGCACACAGAGTTATAATGGATTTTATTTGAAAACTGTAAAAATTCAAATGATCTCCAGTTTCATAATGGTAATGTGCCGATATATTTTACTATTTTCAAACCAACATTTTATTGTTTCATTATTTTTTCATTGTTGGTTTGTTTTTTAATTGTATAATTATTTGTTCAATAACAATTTATTTAATAAAGATAATACATTTATTTTAACTGTTCAAATCTGTCCAGTTGTATTTTTAATTATTAATTGTATGATGTTTATATTTATAAAAAAAATACACTTGATGAATAAATAAATGCATTGTTATAATTAATTACAAATTTGCCTCTTTACTAGGCTAGTACAGTTTTGACAATTGACATAACAGCACCAATGGTATTTGCATTGACAACGTTCGGTCTGTTCAATAATTTGAGTAGTATAACCTCGACCACAGCACATGGTAAGACAATTTTCATTCCCGATTATTGTGGTGTTACATTTTCTATAAACAAAAAAAAAAATTATAAAAAAAAAGTTAATTTTTAAAATGATCAGGAATATCTCAATTTGTTATATTCCGCACCTGCCAACTGTTCCGTAACTGCCTACTCTTGGATCGTAATTACAATAATCTGAAGATTCAGTAATGTAAACTAATGAATTTTCGGTGTGTTTAGGTATTCCGGACTGTATGACTTGAACCATTCCCACTTTAACTGGTGATTCAGGTGATTTGTTGTATAATTTTAACAACTTAACACCCACCGTGATGAATTTGTTTGGTAAACCCCTCCAACAAGTTTTTACATTGCACGATCCTGACATACCGTGACACTTGCAATGGGTCTTCATACTTGACATGACTATCTAGAGAGAGTAAAAGTTGTTGAAACTAAAAACACAATCCTTTTACAAAAATATATTTTCAATTCAATGGGTTAGGTTTTCCATTTTATGCAGTTTAATATACTGAATAGTTTAAATTAATTTACCATGTATTTTTCTTGCAAAAATGTAATTTTGTCTGTAATATTTTTAGGACTGGGCCGATACCAATAATAACCAATATTTATACATGCCGATATTGGTACTATAGGTTTATTACCTGGTATATACCAGGAATCAATCTCTTTTTTTTTTTTTTTGGAACTGATACAATGTACAGTGGCAGTCGCATATAAATTTGTAGCTAATGATGGTGGTTCTAGGGATTATGTTATAGACACTCCTAATAAACTCGAAAAACTACGATTTATATCGGTTAACGTCCAAACACGATCATTTTTCGTTATCAACGGACAAGCATACCTACAATTGATATGGTCGACCGGTTTATAGATTACACCCGCGTCGACAGATATGTTATGTCACCATGAGCAATAATTCCCCCCCGCGCAAAGGTTTTTGCGATCGCAATCTGTTGCAATTCGCAATAATAATATATTCCTAACTACGGGTTAACGGCCAATCAGATCACGTTTCCCCTTAACGCCAAAAACGTCGGCCCGCGGCGACGTGTGCCACGAACGTCTCCGCGCTCCGCTACCTAGTTCTCTTTTTGTATTCGTTCCTTTCTTTCTTCGTGTCTATACCTCGCCTCGAGACTTTGTCACCAGACGGTCTTTCGATACAGTTCTCTTAATAAAACACTCCCGTGTATTGCACGGATTCATATATTTTGCCATCAAGAAAAGGTCGTGTACCTTGGCACGTTTCATGATGGTGCCTCAAACGAACCAATGAAGTGAGTCCCGATCTGGTCCGCTGGGCGGACATCTTCGGACGGGACGAATGGTAATATATATGTGATTTAATAATTGGCCGATACCCTGTTAGTTAGTTTTTAAGGTAATTTAATTAAGGTTTTTCCGTATAAATATTTTTATCTAAAATGTTTTTTTTTCTCGTATGTTAAATCCTTCCGATATACTTACGGGGATTAACCAGTTAGATTTGTGTGTCCGTCTCATTATACTAATCCCCGCGTTTTACATCCTATGTACGATAGGCCAAACCTCCGCATTTTGTTTTTTATTTTCTATTCCTTCTAAGTGCTAGTTTTCGCAACCACGTGTGTGAGCGTCTTAAAAAGGAATATATATATATATATTGATCGATCTTCCCCACTTCGCGATCCATATTCGGACGCACCCCGCAAGTTCACCCGTAGGGCCACCAAAACTACGAACCGGTCAACATGGAATAAAAAGCATCTCCGCTACCCTTCCCGGTGGTAATTTGTGTGACCTGGCAACCGCACATTCCTTCCGGGGTCTCCCCAATACCTAAGGTGCCCACGAGAGTTCCAGTTGGGTGTCCGTCTCGGTCTATACCCATATCGGTCAGCACACATACGTGGATGTGTATTCGTCATTATCAATAAATATTAATGAGTCCCAGCCTGCAGGCTCCCTGTTATGTCACTACCTGCGTCCGGACAATAATTTTAAGACTGGTTCATGCCCTAGTTAATATATATGTATTTAAAATAAAAGTTGTTTGGAGATATTTGTCTATAATCCTATATATATATATCAATGTCAGAATTTTACCTATTATCCATTTTCTTTCTTTCAGGTGATAGTTTTTATGCCCCTGTACTTTTCTGTTTCATTAACTTAATTTTACTTTTTGATTGACAAATTAATAAAATAATTGTATATTTTCCTCAAAAGAAAACACGTGTTTATTTATTTAGATTCTCCTTTTTCCCTTCCCTCCTTACAAAAATCCTAGGACTCCGGTCTTCGGACCTCGTTCCTAGGTCGGCGACCTTGCTTCTAGGCGTGTAGTCAGCTGGGCGCTCGGGTCGGTTCTCTCAAACAAGGCCGACCGAACAGGGACGTCTCACGGTGTACATATCAGTTATTTGTTTTTGGAAAAATAGCAGTTTTTATATCGGTTCATTGTTACAAGAAAATAAAATATCAGATCGGTTATCGACTTTATATTGTAATGTCGGAAAAGTGTTATCGACAGATAGCTGAACACAGCTCTAAATATTGTATTCGATCAATCATTTAAATTTTTATCACATGTATACATGTTTTATATCTTATTAATCACAGTTTAATATATTATTATAATAATATTATTAACATATCGTATATTACATATCCACACCTTTTCAAATATTGCCGCATTTTAGTAAAAGGTTTAGCTAAATAGTAATTTCACATGGTTATTTAGGATAATACAAATTAAAATCAATGAACCGAAAATAGATTTATTGTAAAAATGTATCTACGTTCGACATTAGAAGATGAAAAACGAAAAAAAAAAAATAAAAATAAAAGAAGCTTATTATTGAGGTCCCGCAAAAATTACTGCACAGAGCCGCGATTTTTTCCAAGCTGGCCCGGTTCGCGCGGATGGACGTGGTGCGAACGAACGATCAAGTTCGGATCGTTTACGTACGGACAACTCGCACCCAATCTGCGCGCTCACATAGCATCAGGTAGGTCGGGATCGTTCGTGCGTATACGTATACGAGTTGGCGTGAATCAAATTCGTACGAAAACGCATCCAGTGGGCGCGCGGCCTACCCGCGATTAGTGAAAACGTCGCCTGTTTACATGGGCAATACGGGGCATCTGCCCCATCACCCCCCTCCTGACCCCATCGGATATCAAAATTTCAACTATATTTTGCCATAATTAGATAATTTGTATAATCGTTTGGTGTTCAATTTTGTATTATGTCCCTCGTCCCTATATGCCGGTCTGGTCGTCAAAGGGCCCAGGCATGTTCTTATTTATGGTTATTTACGCGTAAAAAAAAAAAAAGAAAAGAAAAAGGGTCATTCGAAACTTTACTAAGACACTGCCCCTCCGTCTTCCTGAAAATTCATTTCCCGCGGGCGCTCTGTTTATATAGTTACTTATACAATTATAACAGACTAGTCTCCAGATACGACATATCGTCGAATAGTTGATACTTCATAACGATTTCATAAATAATTGGTCCGAATGGTTAATATTGAATAATCCTAAATCATAACATGTATTATCATCTTATGCATTAAGACTTTAAGAGTGGCCTCAAAAACTAATTGCAAAAGTGGGGCCTGCGGCAAAACGGTCCTACCTCCGATCCACCCCCCCCCCTCGGAACAGCCCTAACAATATTATAAACTCGTGCGGGTGAACACTAAACCAATTTATCGTTATTGAAACTCCACAGTTGTCGTTATCGATGCGTATTATTATACAATGTAGTGCCATCGGTGGATTATAGAAAACACTCTAGGGACCTATACAAATTTTGAAAATTTACCAGTCCCGGGAATATATTGTGTACATAATAATATAATAGAGCTCCTTAATTCACGTTATTTTTCATGTATTTTCCTTGGATAACACTAAAACCCGCTAACCACGGATAACACGGATAACTATGTATACTTAGTATTTACTTGATAACACTCGATTTGAGAGGACTAAGTGTCCCCGAGCTCCCCAATTTGCGCTAGCGTACAGGCGTCCGAAGCGAAAAAAATATTGTTCCGGGTTCCCGAGACGGGTTTGCTCCCGATCAGCCGTGTCCCGACTAGCGTGAACGACGGTCCGGGCATGTTAAGATTCCAATTGGAATTAAAACCAAAAGTTATTCACCGTTTCTGTCTAACACACTATTTAGGTGCATCTGGTGCTCCACACAGTAATCAGTGGAAAAACAAAGGAAAAATTTTAACATTTTAAATATATATTAGTTAATTATGAAAATTATAAAAAGTATACTTCTTTTGAAAAATGTTGGTTTTTGTTTTAATTGTAAACAATGTATGCGCAAAAAAATGTATTTTCAAAAAAGTTCAAAATGAGTGGTTTCAATATATTGAAACACTGCATTTAGTGTGTCCCACTGTATGTGACGGATTTTTCTAGCGCTGTTAATATTAAATTTTTTTCGATTTTTTTTGCAATCGGTTCATCTTTGAGGGGGACAAAAGACAAACAAAAAAAAAATAACAATAACTATTTATTCACTGTAGAAAATTTTAAAAATAGCCATATTGTAAAAAATGTTAATGTATCGCACATTCATGACTGATAAATACGAGTAGTTCTCTAAACCGATGTCTCCCCCTCAAAGACAAACAGATTGAAAAAAAAAAAATGTTAATTTTAACAGCGCTAGTAAAATCCGTCGAACACGGTGGGACACAGTGTTCCTTTCATTCTTCGTCTGTGCGTGATAGGTATATTTTTATACACGAGTATTACGTAAACACAATATACCAACTATGGTGGCATAAAATCCATTTTTATTACTGGAAATTGCTTATTTAGACCTTTTCATATACTTTCATGCTATTATTTAGGTGAACCAAATTTAGTGTGTCAAAAGTCACTAAAGTGTCTAGGCGTTCTAGTTTTATAATATGATATGACGTATATTATTTATTTTTTTCTAATAATTATTATATTTTAAGTTTTAAAATTGTTTTTTTTCCGGGATTCACTCCGCACGGATCTTAAGTGCGAATTATCCCAACCCGGCCCGGAGCAATGTTGAAATCGACCTTTCAAGTTGTCGGAGAATTCGTGTTCAGTCAGTCAGATTATTTGAACGGATAACGGGCAAACGGGAGTGTAGACCAGTGTTTTCCAACTGGTGTGTTCGCGGAACCTGGGGGTTCCATGAATCAGCGTCAAGAGTGCCGCGAAGGATTTGGGGAAAAATAAATTAGTAAACAAAATTTTCGATTTGATTATTTTTTATAAATACAATTGAGGAGTTCTAGACTGCCATGAAAATCGATTACAAAAATTTCGCCGGAAATTTTGGACTGCCCACTCATTTTAGTACCCGAAAAATATGTCTGCGTTACCAGGGTTGTGAAAACCATATGGGGTTTCCGCCAAATATTCAAGTTCCTGAAAAGGTTCCGGGAGTAAAATAAGTTGGGAAACACTGGTGTAGATTATTGAGATTACGTAGACATCGGTATATTATGCACTTTCTTAAGAAACGCAAATGCGTCGGGCGTTAAGTTCGTTACGAGCAAAACCTGCACGTAACGGACCCGCTATAAGGGGAGGAAATCTCCGTAAAACGGAAAACAACAACATTTCTCAGTAACCTATGTATTTCCTCGTATATTTTAGTCTCCATATAACGGAACAATCAGTTGGTGTACCGAGCGTTTCCGTTACAAAGATGTTTTACTTGTGTGTATTATGTACCTACAATATGAAATAGGTCGTATAATACAGTATGTGCAGGTCTGTACTTATTTTAATGTATAGTTACTTTTCGGCCTATTCTGTAATTGTGTTCGTCAACGATGGCCATGGCTCTCTGTTCGCTCAACACCGCCTCGTCGTTGACGTTGGCCGGCATGTCGATGACGTCGCCGCCGTATTCGCCGTCGCCGGCCGCGGCCGCCAACCTCTTCACCGCCGCCGACCGGGGCGGCCGGTTTTCGCTCTTCACAAACTGTCTGGCGAACTTGGCGCCCCACCGCACGTTGTCGTCACACCCGCTCCACTTGAACGTACCGTCCGTGTCGTCCGGGTGCGTGCCGCACCCGCAGCTCGGCAACATTCCGGACGCACAGTCCCTAGTCATGGTGTACGTGAGCGCCGCCGAGCTCAGCGCGTACACGAACGACTGTTCCTTTGTGCCTGCGAATACCCGAAACGACATTTATTTTAGTATTATAATAGTGCATAATGATATTTAGCGTGTCATATAATCGAGCGTTTCTCCCGTCATATCGTACCAATCATGCGGTACTCGCATGCGCATTTTGTCACGGGGTAGTGGGATATGAAGCTGATTTCTCAACAACTATTATTATTATTATTTTTATGTATGTACAATTACATATCATACGTGACATATTCTTCTCATTCGCCTTTACCCCGAATTTGGGGTTGGCCAGGCCAGATATACATAGATACGGTCATACACGTACGAATACCGAAGGGGAACCGCAGAACACGGCGGGGGGGGGGAGTGTATGCCTTCCCCGCCGACTCACCCCACCCCCCTCGTTTTACCGGAAAAACACATAGGTACAGGCGCGGCGGAACGCGTTCCACGTACCTTTAGCTTGGACGAACGCCGTTACCGCGCTTATTATTATATCGTTCATGTAGTACTGCGTGTACCGCGGTCGCGATACATTCGGTCTATTATTATTAGCAAAGTGCACGCAGAATAACGGGAAATCGTATGGACACGTGAGTGGGTTGGGTGTCCATAGGCGAAATTTCAGGACGCGGCGAAATAAATGTCTAACGCTATTTCAACATACAAATATAATAACTAATATTTGTTTTAAACGGGGGAGGGGGCAAATGTTCCCATTTATGGGCGCCCACGAATGATGAATGATGGGGGAAATCCCTCACAAGTCGGTTTTCGCAAAGTGCGTAATAACTATACATTTAGATGTTTGAATATGTATGAATCGCTAAGTGCAGAAAAGACACATAATATGTTCAAGTATCAACATTTTTCTAGTGAGATAAAAATTCCTACTTAAGTCTCTGAAAATAAACTCGAAATATACATTCCATATTTTAATAAAATGGACGTTATAGTATTTGATACGGTAACCGGAAAGAAACAACAAGGCAAAAACGATATGTATTTTATTAAAAAATTACAAATATTAGTGGATATCAAATAATAATGGTAGGCTGCTGATCTCCGATCAAATAACTTTCATCGTATGGCTATTCCAAAGGCACACTCTTTTTTCCCGGGGGGAGGGGGGTTAAATATATTATTTTTAAATATTCACCGAAATTCGAAAGCATCACGCTTGTGCACGATCTTTAAAAAAAAAAAACAAAATAAAAATCTATGCCGAATTGCAGAATACATTCCAAACATTATGTGGAGAATATTTAAGTGGTCGAAGAAATACACCAAATTTTTATTGGCTGTGGCATAATATACTATACGATATTTATGGTTTATTATTTTTATTTTATTGGCTTTAATTGACTTGAAATTAATGTTTGTAATTTTTAAGTAAAATGCATTTGACGTGTTTTACCTTGTGGTATTTTACCCTTGTCGTTTTTTACTAGATCCTATAAATACGTTGTCTATAGGTTTCTATACAATAATTGTATTAAATATTATAAAATTCTGCTAAGGTGCAGCTTGAGGCGTTTTTTAAAATGTTTAAAATTTGATCATGTGCAGACCTTTATGTCTTTAGCGGTTTCTATACATAGTATAGGTAGGCACTATCTACGATTTTGTCAGTTTAACGTGTATTTTTCCGCAGAAATTAGACCGTTTGATTACAGGGTCCGGCGCCACTGGGTGTACACATTGTGTATAGGTATGGGAAGTCGTTCCATTAAGAACCGTGTATATTTCGCTACCGACGTTTCATATTAATGATTTTACGAGTCGCTTGCGCGTGTATAACCTAATATTCGTGAAAACAATATAATATTTACATTAATACAAAAAGTAAAAAGTAAATATTTCGATTTTTATTGGTAAGTATAAAGGTACGTCCATTATATGAGACATGGAGTGCGTTAAACATGCGCTCTGTAATTTCGTGATCGTTTTTATCAGAAAAAAAAATAAACGAAAACACCGGCAGTGGCGGTTTTAAGGGGGGGGGGGGCTATAGCCAATATTTGAATCGCTCCCCACTCTTAGTTCGTGTTTTTTTACAATTTTATTTTTTACCAGAGTAAAATAAAGAATAGTTAAGTACGTTGATAAATACGTGAATATGTTTTTGTTTGAAGTTTGTAAACACATATTGACGGCGCGTGGCGTAGTTATAAGTATAACTTTTTTAAAGTCGGTTCAAGTTTCAAGTATAACAATTATAGCAAATTTCAATTTTTTCGTAGTTAAAACTTATTAAAATATTCATTTTAAATTTAGGAAAAATATCTAACCGAAAATTCTTCAGTTTTTCTTTTTATTAGGAAAAGTAGGTACGAGAAATTTAAAAAACGACCACACTAAAATTTAAAAGACCGAAATACTATTAAAACAATATGAAATTTCCTTGGGGTATTTATGATTTCTATGAAGTTATTGATCGGAGCCAGTCCCCCCGATGACCGTTCTCTGTTCGTTGTACGACAATTAATTGCTTCTGCGGTCCCGGTGCAGTTACAAATTTACAATACTTCAGTTTTCGACCCTAAAACCGTCAAAACCGATCAATTTATTTTTATTTTTTATTCGGTATGATGCGTATACAATTATTCGACCGAACAGAAAATTGCTTGAAAATTTGGCTTAAATAGCCGGAAAAAAAAACGCAGCCAATGTGGTGTGGGGCCACATCCCCCCTACCTGGCTACGCCCTTGGACATGAATACATTATAATAAACGTTTAAATCGCGAGACATTCGAATGTACGGTCACTCTTCGGTATGTATTTAAAATCGAATTCGACATTCGCTCGGCTGTCACCACCGTGACGTTAATTAAAACGGACGTCGGTCAAAACTGGTCTTCGGGGTATTCGCGCAAGTAAAAACGTACAATTATGCGGTTTTCACGGTTTTTCGGCGGCCACGACTCGTTTTCGTCTTTACGCCACGTTTTGTCTGATCGAATCCGCGGATAAAACGCGTAAAAGATTTTTGGATTTTGTTTTATTTTAAATTCTCGTTTTTCCGGTGAATTGCGGATAGTTCGCGCGGACGGCGTTCTTATATTATATATATGTGTACACCATCGCGCATATAATATTACGTAGGTGTGTATGAAAAAAGAAAAAAAAAACGCACGCGAGCCGCATAATACAGGCGGATAGGTATTTTTTTTTCCTCTCGCGTATGCACGGAGTTCGAACGGGTATTACGGGTATTATAGGTGTATCAAGTGACGGCGACGGCGGAGGATGTAATATGACAACTGCAGGAACGCGGTTGCGTTCGACTTGTCACGCGTGTTTCCAGAGTGGAAGAGATGTATTACCCGCACAAACGCAGTAACATTATGCGCGTTTGCAGAGCGGAGGGAAAAAAATAGAATTAAAAATAAAAAAAAAGCAAATGATGCTCTCAGACACCTGCGTTTTAAATTTTAAATTTTTATCGCGGTTGTAACATACGCGCGCGCGAAATCACGTGATAAATATAACACGGGAAACGTATGCAATACGTATTTCATTATTGACGCGTCCGGTCTCGAAGTTCGCTCGCCCATGCATTATGTGCGCTAATCGTTCGAATTTTAATATTTTACGAAAAACAACGACAGTAGATACTCGTGTTACAGCGTTAGATTCAGAAGATATCATCTGTGTATACGTTTTGTAGAGTAATTTTACGGAACAATAATAATTAACTCTGAAGTCCGGGTGTCTAATAAGTTCAAAAATGTTAACATGCGTACGTTGAGTGGTTTTGGAGATACAGCGATCAGTGTATCAGTGGTATTTGGATTTATATGAAAAATATTATAATAAAATATTTATGAAAAATAGGTCGTGAAACGAATTTCGACGAAAAAAGTGTAAACTGGATATTTTGTTGACCACCGAACAATAATATACGAGAGTTTTTGAATACACCTGCCTTATTTATAAATATCGGACGATTATTTCGTTGAAAATGTTTGTAAAAATGTACCAGCGTACTCCTTAAGTATACAGATCCGCTCTGATAATCCAAAATATGCTAAATACAATTTTGATTACTGCACAGTGCAAATCTCGCAGCATTTTGAACCGCAGCGTGACGGTTGAATAGCGCAGCTCCACTACTCCCCCCTACGCAAACTTAAAAGTGGAATATTTCGTCAACGGGTTGACGAAAATTTGAAATTTCGACATTGGAATGTGTTTACCAATATTAAAACCTAATATATTTATGGTGGCCACGGCGTTGATGGCCAGCAAAATATTTATTTATTTTTTTTTGTTTTTTTGTGGAGGGAGTATGTATAAAGTATGAAACTACACAATTATTATTTAAACTACGAACGTGATATTTTTTTTCAAAAATGTCGGTAACTATACTTTATCTTACATTTCTACTTTAATTAAAATGTATAATTAAATTACAATAGAGCTATACCCAACATACGTTGGGTTTTACGAAAGTAAATTAGATATCGCTTATACAACTCAATATATTAAATCTAAAATATACGTTTTCGTTTACTCGTGTCTTGTTATCGCAGCGGCACGAGAACGTTGTACAAGTTTCAGAACATGTAATGTAGGTATTTAAAATCGTTCAATTTTATTTTAGGAAAAAATTTCGGAGGGGGAGGGTGGCTAAACCCTAAACGCATAGTATAACACGGATCGCGCGGCTAATAAATTTCGCCCGTCAAAACGACTGATTTTATACATTAATACGGCGCAGCTCACACCTTGGCTGGTTTTTTTTCTCGTCTCTCCGCGACGGTGTTGCAGGTGTGATGATGCGTCGCGTGGTAAGTCCCGAGTTTACAGATCCCGCGCGATTGTACCGGACCGAAGTAGGAAGAAGAAATCGTTCGCGTCTTCGCCGACCATAACGCCGCGACAACCCGACGGCAATGAAAACGGCCGTGTATACTACGAGCGTGTCAACGGGTTCTCGGGAATTTCACGAATTCAAGCGCACGTCAGCGTATTACTGAACGTAAAACTATTGAAACATTATAATAATTCGACGTCGTTAATGAATCACCCGGTATAGCGTTTATAATATATTGTATTATCGCGTACACGAGGTACAAGATCACACGATAGACGGGTGAGAGTAGAAACAAAAAAAAAAATCGTATACGTATAACACTCGTAATATCGAAACGGAACGCGCGACTGGAAAAAATAAAAAAATAAAACCATAAACGAGTTTTTCAACCTTTGGCTAGCTCCGGCGTGAGTCTCGGCGCGTCCCTGACCGACGAACAGTTCCACCGTCTGTTCTGCAAGACCGTCTGGCAGGCGACCACGGCTAGCGCTGCGGCCCGGGAAACGTGCTGCATGACCGGGCGCCAAGACTTGCAAATACGCGCTTGACGCGAGTCCAGCCCGTAGGTTTTGCGCAACGTCCGGCAAACGCCCACGTCTTCCCAGTTCACTTTGCCGGCCGCCTTCTGCATGCCTCTGGAAAAACAAATTATTAGGTACATATTACTTACATACATGTAAGTATGTATTGTATACTATAGTATACAATAATGTTCGACTAGTATTTTGTTTATCGTTTATTTGCTGGGGGCTGCCTTTCATAAACGCCGCCGACAATAAATTACAACACATTATTACTGATAGCGAAGGAATTTGGAAATTGTATCTGCTAGAAAAAAAAAATGAAAAGAAAACCGGATATATTATGATACTTGGCGGTAACTATATACTTGGTACGGCGTAGGGTAAATCAGTTATAAACTGATGTTATAAACATATACCTACGTCCTACACCTGAAGCTGATGCAACTAATACTGAAAACGACGATTAATTATATCAAAGAAAAAAATGTTGTAGGTGAGAAGTTGGAAAGATAGAGGGGAAATTGAATGTGTAATATCTGTACGCAACGATTAACTTTTGTTAACGATAAACCTATTCGGAGCGGAGTTAATAGTGTTTCTTTGTCAACAATATATATGTCAAATAATAATTATATAATATGAATTATGTATTTTCTTTAATGATATTCGTTTAATATTGTACCTATTTTCCCGGTTTTTCCCATTTATTATTAGAACAGCTAGGGAAATCAATAAATGACCTTCTTAAAGTACAACCTTTGTTAGATTTCCTTTGAGAAAAAGTTCTATACTGGAAAATCGGAATAAAATATTACTGGTAAAAAAATTGTCCACATAAAAAAAAAAAAAAATAAACATCATTATAAAACCTATAAAACCAATCTAAAATCATTCTAAATGGAATTCGGCCGTTAATTTCAGGTTATAAGATCCTATACGCCCCCCCCTCGAACCTAGAAAGCAAAAAAAATCTAAAAATCGAGCGTGGTATTTATAGTAGTAATCAGTAGCGTGCGCAGAACGGGGATGTTAGGAGTCATATCCTCCCCCATTGGCTTGAAAATATATTAACTATTTGAGTGATTTTTATGTATATATTTTAACCAAATTACTAGTACAGAAGTTTGATTTATAGAATAAAAATTTACTTTATTTGATCCGGCTTTGAAATTCTCGCTATCGGATTAGGTTATTTCAACAGAACAAGGTTGAGCGATTTATTCATCTATGATTATATTTACTACAATCCTCCACATTGAAAGTTCCTGGGTGTGCCACACATTGAGCGTATTAAGTACTACATAAACATATACCTATTTATTTTATTCAGTTAATAATAATTTGATATTGTATTACGTCTTCTATATAGATTAGAAAAATATGAAACACGAGTACGCAAATCGTAAATCAATACAAGACGTTCATATTTTCAAAAAATAAATAATTTTAATTATCTGTATTTGAAAATATTATATCAAAATGAGAATTCATTTTTAAAAATAATAAAAAATGAGACGCTATATTTTTCATCTTGATGACTGTGCTACTGTTGTTCTACACAGATAGTCGGGATGGGTAATTTAATTTATAGTTGTACACTTGTTGTTGTACGCAACGACATTGCTAACGAAAATCGATACTGAGCGAGGAGTTCAGTTTAGCATATTAACATATTGAGCTTAAGATAAATTTAAATTAAAAATTGTGTTCATTTGTAACTATAACAAAATATAAATTACATTTTTTCTTGTCTTCAATGTTCTACCATTTTTGTGGAGCCAAAAATATTGTGTTCAGATAAATCAGAAAATAATACGTGAAATGCCGTTATAAAAATTTGAACTTTAAACGCTTAAAAAACGACCTAGTGCTTCAATTATAGACAAAATTCGCTACTAGAAAAGATAGAAATGACCACCAAAGTTTTTATTGGAAATAAGAATTCTGGTAAACAAATTTTTCATAGGTAGACAAAAAAAAAAAGCGTGCGTCATAGTAAAACCAGTACGTCATTCACGCTTGAAAGTTAAAATGCTAATAAAGGGCATATATTTTGTGTCAGTCTTCCGTTCCGATTTATATCGGACTGCCAAATAGATTGCTATCGAATGGGTACCAAACGAGTTATTTCCGCGCAATCTTCGCTAGAACATATTATAAAATATTTAATTTAATTAAAATATTTTATTACATATTTTTATTCAATGACAAATGAATAACAATAATTAAATATCGATTGCCACCTAATAATTGTAAAGTATAAGTTATTATTATTTAAGAAAGTTATAGTCGCATACAGTAGTTGTAATTAATAGTTTAATACGTTTTTACAACCTGAAGTATCGTTAAAAATTATAATTTTTACAGTTAATTATTTAACTTATTATAATTAGGTACACGTAGTTTTTACTATAAACTCGAGAATTTACAGTTAATTTGCATCAACGTCATAATCCACTTAAGTTCTTAACCGGTTGAAGACGAATAATTCTGTCCCCCCGCCCCTCCCCGAAATTCCTATATTCATTCAATATTTTATAAACACAAACTTTATTATTTGTAAGTAAATATTGAATATTCTTATAGTATATATTAAAAATAATTTTATTACACTTTACGCCACGTCGAAAAACCTCTGTGAAATCGTTAAAATTTCACGGTCGAATCGCGTGTTCCGGTGTTTTCTTATTTTGGTTTTTACGTAAATGTATTATGACGTAAACGTTTCTCGACCACCATATTATTTAATACATATAGGTAGGCAGGTAGATAGGTAGGTTAGGTATACCTACGTTTATAATATGTATATTATGCATTTTATTTTTATAAATTTACATTTTATCCACAAGCGGGTTATCTTTTATTTAAATCATCTAGTTTAAAGGAATTATACGGTACATACTTAATACGGCCGTGATATCGCTATGTGCACCAATCATATAATATTTAAAAATAACCGTTACTCGATCGATTTGTAATTTATCTTGTTGTATCGAAAACATGCATTTGTGTGTTTACAAATATGTACCTGCGCGTACCTACCTATACAATATTAATATAATATTTGGTCCCAGGGAAGAATAAGAGCTTAAGCTAATTTTCTACAGTTTTCATTACAATTAAATTTCTATAATTGTTAAACGGCTAAATCGCTGTATAATGTATAATTATGAGTTATGACTAGGGACCGGGATATATATTCTCCTAAAATCCGCAAAAACACTCGAAAACGTCAAAAAAGCACTTGGGAATTTATTTTGAGTGAATCATTTTTGTAGTGCTAAGAAATTTAATTTAATGAGTTAGAGCCATTAGTGGAAGGACTTTTAAATACCTCTATCATTTTTGCTTTTTTAAATTTTTGTAAGTTTTTATTTCTGGGATTTTCAATGTTTTTAAGCGCCTTTTTGTAGATTACAAGTGAATACAAATCCGGACTCTAGTTATGACTTATGTCTTACATGTCAAACAAAAAATATATTATAATGACTCAAGGTATTTTAACTTTTAGAATACCATAAAGGGTTAGAATATATTATATATAAATTACACTTTTGCCACTTAGTCCAATGAATAAAGTGAAGAAATGTTATCAACACAAAATTTTAATGCCAAAAATTACCTTAAGCCATTTATCCTTGATTTACGTAATATGCTTGTAAAATAATAAAAGCATTGTAAGCCGTGTGACAACCCGCAGGGGTGGGGAGTTTGGAGATTTATCCTCTGCCTCGAAATTCGAGCTTATTTACGAATTCTATACGTAATACATGGTTGTAAATAAATTGTATTACAATTTACAATTTCAGACATTTCGTTGTACGATACGTCGATACGCACAACTATTTCGAAACTTCCGATTTCCGAATTTTAATACAATATAATATGCTATTATTATTATTGCACACGCATATTATTCACTCGGTCGCCGACGCGTTTTCGTACCTATAATCATTAATCATATAATATTTATTGCAATATTTACCTATACCTACAAGGACCATTCCGGGACCAATACATTAAATGCAATACGATCTTTATAATCGCACACACAATATATTATAGATACCTACTTAATGTACATTATAATCGAGGATTACGGGAAATGTCCTCGCTCCAAGTACCTACTTCCGAACGGAATGAAACTAAGATAGATCGCCTCGATCCATCGGTGGTGTGCCCAGAAAATTTCAATGCGAGGGAAAGTAGCCTGTTAGAAGAAGCTGTCATTTATAATCTCCCTAGATTTTCGTTATTATTAAAAACAAATTTTAAAGTGATTGTACAAAAAATATTTATGGGGAATTATTAAGAATTTAAAAAAATATTTCAAATAAACAACTACTGATCTTCCAAAATACTACATATGCATGTGAAAAATTGATTTTAAATTTAATATAGAAAACCGACAAGAGAGTTTTGTAACAAATTTTAAGTTATTTGAGCTATTTATTTGGAATTTTCTTAATTATCGGGATTTAGGAAGATCGGAGAAATCAATACGGAAATATTTACGCTATAATGGATAGTGTTATTATTGATTTTGTTTTTGTAGTAATTTACGGGAAATCAACGTTTCAATTATCTAAATACTTGTTTTGAAGTATCTTTCCTATCCCTGAATGTAATCCGTCGTTAGTCACGTACATAAGAATACATTTTGGACGTGTTTCGGAGGAGGTTCATAAGTAAAATAAAGTTAATAAGTTGAGCTATAGAACTAGTATATTATGCGTTTGAAGAAAGAGTAACACCTCTAAATTCTTCCCCCTTTGTATAGAATATCATCCGTGGTAGATTGCCATCATCGAAATATAATATTGAATTGTTGTTCACCTACGTAGGTTAAAATTATTAAAAAATGGATGAGATTCCGTTATCCTTATAAACAAAGTGAATATTATTACATAATGTAGTAGTAATACAAATTAAAATACAGTGACGTACCTAACGGCCTCTCTAACGGGGGGGGGGAAATATATTTCACCCATTCCTAAAATAGAAAATGTCTTAAAAATATAACAATACATACATATTATCACATATAATTATACGAACCACGAGGAAAGCTAATACTGGGGACGTGTGCGGCTAGATTGTAGATGAGTAGTTGGAAGATTTTGGGATTTATACGATGATTTAGTTTATACCTGTAAGCAACGATAAACCGTTACTAACGAAAAACGATTTGGAGCGAAGTTCAATTATATATGTTTTAAATAGCCATAATATTTACGATTTTCGTCTAAATATGAATTTAAAACTTTTAAAAAAAATAATACTGTGTTATACTCAATTTTTTGTTTTTTCATTATTATGTATAACTTGTAATGAATCTCATGTTAAATTTTCAAACATTTCTGTATAATCTCATAATTTTATCCACAGAGTACCTATTAAAAAAATTACGTAAATAACTCGAAAAATTTAAAAGTCTATAAATAACTCAAAAATTACTCAGATGTTTTGAAAATTTTACCAGATCTAAAAAAAGCGAATATAAATTTTATGTCAAAATTTCAAATCTTTACGTATATTTTTAAGTAGACAAAATTTCCTTTCAGAAAAGGAATACTGTACGTCTATACTCTATACATTAGAGCAAGATTTCTTTTCGAAAAGTTGTTTACAGACAAAAAAAAAATACACAATCATAATAAAAACAATAGATCTCTCATTTCACTCAGAATCTAAAATTTCAATAAATTTAATAAATAATTCATTCTATAGGTATAACTTTACTATAGCAAGTACAGTTGTGGGTACCATTGACGCATTTATCATTTATGCGGATCTATCTAGATCTGCATAAAACAAGTCTCCGACAAAGGAATAAAGCTATTTTTGCGATTCGTGTGTAATAAATAACAGAAATATAGAAAAACATTTTCTATAAATAACTGTCGGGAATCTAGAAAATTCGTTCAAATGAAATACTATGAGGTGAAAACTGATATCTTTTTAGATTCGAATAAATGAAAAAATCGGAGCGTTTGAAATGTACACAAAAAGTGTTATTTGATGAAAAAAAAAACACATCTTAATTAGTTACACTCAAAATTTAAATAGGTATTCGAATAAAATTTATGTTGTTTTTTGTTGTCGAGTAAAGTCTTCGATTTAATAGATTAAACTACATTTTCTTTTTGCACCTTTGAAGTCTTGTGTCCTTTCCGCCTCTTCTTTCACTACGGATCTGTTATCTACTATCGACCATAAAAAATGTCAACTCAACCATTCAATTATCAGAACTATTATGTAGTAAGTAAAACAGATACGGTGGATGTCGGTGGTCCGTCATAATACAAATACGATTGTTATTATCTGTACACATCATCAGTGCGCATTGCGATTCCAAAAACGAAAACATCTCTTGAAGTGTATTATTATGAGATATATCTAATTAAAGGGGGGGGGAAACAAAAAAATCTTTTGTGTTCGATTATTATTGTCGCCATCGGAGTTCTGCAGCGGCACGATTACACAATATTTATATATAAGTATTTTTTTAGCCTTTATAGTTAGCGATCTTTCCAATTAAACCCTACCCGAACGATTCCTCTATATTTGATTGGAAATACGATTGCAATTATGCGCCTAGTCTGTTTTATTATAATAATATATAGGGGTGGTACAACAAGCCCTCGTAAAACCGAGTATTATACTTATCTACCTATTTATATCGCATATTTTACCTCCCACGGTGCAGTTAAATTACATCATATGTAATAAGAAGAAGAGGTCGTCATGGACATATTTTTTTTACACGATTATAGAATTGAAAATTCTCTTTCAGTCGCAGAACCGCGATGCCTGCTACCAAATAAGCTTTTCCGTTTTTAATACCTACCTACTATTACTGCAGTACAATGATCTAACAGATTATCTTAAAAATAACCCGATACAAATCTGCAATATTCTCTCTGTTCTTTTTTCAACAACATTATCTAAAAAATGTATAGATACAAACACCTTTCATCATTGGTAATAATTTGAACAATAAGCGCATAATTAACTTGCTTTAAAATAAAAATATCGAAGAAAAAGACTTTTCAAAATAGGTCAGTTTACTGCAGTAGGTATTTATAGTCTCATCTATATTATGTATAAGTAAATCATAAACTTATAAAACTCAGTAAATATTTTCATCCCTAAGCGAAACGTTACTTCTACACGAAGTATTTACTATTTGGTAATATTGTACTATATTATATGATATAGGTTTTGAAAGAATATTAAGTAGACCACAGCTTCATTGGAAAGATTTGATTTAGCAAGACTTTTTAGGAGAGGAACGATGAAATTTGGAATGAAAGGTGGTAACAGTAAATAGAAAAAACTGGAAGAGACCGACGATCTCAATAACAGTGAAAGAAAACAATTTTATTTTTACTATATAAAATGGTTTGATTAATTTATTTTTGTATCCCATATATCCCACCATTAGTGTGTATATAAGGTGTATTATCACGTTAATACAGCGGGTTTCAAGATGTGTGATTTTCGTAACTCGTAAACAACAATATATAATGTTACACAGATACCTACAATATAATTGTGTATTATTGTAGTGATTTAAACTGATTTATCTCATTGACTTATTATACCACTTTTAAATTATTTAAAAACGGTAATAATGAGTTAATGTTCTGAGTTCTCATAAAGTATTATGCTTATACGGTTATAAGCGAGAATATATAGTACGTGTAATAATTTGTAGGTGCACATTCCTGTTAAAATAATAAACACTATACAGTATTATACAGATTGATTATTTTATCTCGATTTATCAAATTTTCCGGAGGATTTCAAGTAAATTCTATATTTTTTCAATCATTTATCATTATAAAATTGTTTAATGTTTATTTTAATATTTGTACACCAACAATCTACTCCTTAGTCCTTACACCAATAAAGTAATATGGGTATTAACTTTTGATTTTAAAATTTTGACATACATAACACTAATATCAGCTACTTACCGTTGATAAATTAATGTAAATGTAATGTTAGTGACCAGTAGCATTAATAGCACGATAATAATAATAATACGGTTACTCAACGTGCTCAAACATTGACAGTATACCTTTATTGTACATATTTTTAGTTAGCATTAACCGATAGTCAACGAATTTACTTACAGTTATATACATAAATCCGAAAATAAATTACCTGTACTAACTGAGTTATTAAAACCAAAAAATATATGTGAGGATGAGATTAGACAATAGAAATAAAATACAAAACAAACAAATGTTACAGCCTTACAGGCTAATTATTATAATAGATTCTCAAGTAAATATCAAATATTTAATGTGTATTAGTTGATACTATTTCTAAAAAATAATGAATATCTGGTAAAAAAATTAAAAGACTGAAAATTCCCAAATCTTATCTGCCCAAGGATAATTAAGGTAAGATATTCAACAATTCAAGGCACATGAGAAATAGACATGTAGGTGGTAAGGAAAATAACGTTGAGGGTAGTGAGTGAACTTAAAGCAACTGGAGATGTCAGTGGCGTGCCTGAGAATAGTGTTAAGAATAGACAATAGTTTGTCAACTGAAAATTACAAGCTCCAACGCGTAGTTAAATTAAAAAGAAGTAATGACTTTCTATATCATTAATAAACCTACATTTTAATGAATAATTTAGTCACTTAAGTTCTGAGTTGTGAAGCAATTTATGAGTTATTCATAATACTGATTACTATTGTTTTTTTCTTATAATTAAATATTGTTAAATCTATATTTGTGAACCCATACTGGTTTATAAAATTAATTAATTAATTTTTTTTTAAAGTATACATTATACACAATTCACCTATAAACATATATATTTTTTAATACTTAAATGGGAAGGTGTCGGGTTATTAGCATCGCCGATATCAACTGTATTATCTGTGGTGTACTGTATAGTTAACCTTTCTACTACCCACAGTGATAGTGTTGTATACGCTTACTCACGTCCTATTACATATTATACAGTAGAAACTCGATTTATCGTCACTATCTGTTATCCGTTATTGGTAACTGTCTTACTTCTTCGTAAAATACAAAACATTGCCGCTCAATAAACTCATGCTTCAAAAAAAAAAAAACAGAAGAAGATGATAGATTATTTTGTTTAAAATTTTTTAGTAGGTATGGTATTATTTTTATCTGCAAATACACCATTGTAAAAATATACCTATACGTTTTTTGCAACATTTCTGTTAACCGTCATAGTTCCGGTCCCGTAACTGACGGTTAATCAAGTTTCTACTGTATTTGCAACTTTTACTTAATAAATTATACTCAACGCGTTTTGACTAGTGTTTTCATTATTATAATACTAATTGAAAACTAGTATAAAAGATAACAGTATGAACTAAAGCAGCTACTCTATAATAATATCCAACAATTCAATTTCCGTAGTGAACATTCATGTCATGCGGTGTGCAATAAAATATATCGTTTAAACTTTAACCCCAAAAAAGCCCCATAATATTATGATTACATATATAACATTTTTGGTAAAACTAGACCACTACAATATCATTATTATGGTAACATTGTTAAAAAAAAATCTTTTCAAATTCTTTCAATCGTATTTCCGTAATTCGTATTCGTAATGCCGTTCTTAATCGAATTTTACCGCATTATTGATAATACTTTTATGTTTCATTACATATAAATACATACATTATCCGTTATAATAATTTAAAAATCGAAAATACTTTAAGTACCTAGGTACCCACTACCTGGTAATACCTATAAATGTTATAACGCAATTTAAGTACCTAAAGTACTTAAAGTTGTCGATATATATTTCATAAAATAAAGACTCATGATATAATACAACGAATATAATGTTAAACAATGCATATGCACTGTAAAAAGGTTTATTATTGTTTTTATTGAAAAGTATTAAAAAAAATAATAATAATAATGATTTAATTAACTAAGTGATAACTTTATATTTAATTTTAAATTTTCATATACTGGTGTTTATCGAAGGATTAAAAAACCGGTCAGGATTATGGCAATATAAAAAGGTAACACGATACATTTCTATATTGTTTTACATTTTATTTCGTCCATTCAAATATTTTGATCCGATAAAAATGTCAATTACACGGGTACTCATATGCATGTAAATGGTACTGATCTAAAAACAATAAAATTTAAAAATCCTAACGATTCATAAAAACTGATTATTGGGTGAAAAAACAATCTAAATAATTGTCTTTAAATATATACAATCTATATAGGTATGTGCTATATACATGAAGAGAAAGGAAATTGAATCATTGTCTCTATAATAAACCTTGGTGCATATATAATTATATATAAAGGTATTAAGAATTTAAACAGGACACATAAACACCTAACCAACTTTTTATGATCTTCGAAAAATTAAATAGGAAATTTATAATCAGTTTCTGTAACACTCTCTACTCATTTGAAAACGTATTTAACAACCTTTAAAACTCGGGAGGTCTAATATGAAAAAATATTAGAATATAATAATAATACTTTAGGTATAATTAACACTTGTTTATAATATAAAAATCGTAATAGGTATACAGAGAGAATAATTGTGGAACCGTATTTTGTAGGACTGTTAGAAATGATGAAATTATTTTAAATTATTTAAATTTAGATATAAAATGTTTATCTGTAGAATATTGTTGTATTATACTATTATAGGTTGGTCAAACGCTCAAAACCCCTTTTATTATTATTATACTATACAAATTTAAAAACCTCTTCCTATTATTTCTGAAACTGTAATGCTTCAAAACCGAGGTCTTTCCAAGTGATTTTTAATAATTTATCATTGTAATTTGTACGGTTGATTGAAACCTAAATGTAAGCCATGCACCCTGTGGTGCAACTATTGTGTGTGGTGGGAAGGGGTGGTTGATTATTACCGTGCTGTATTACATTGAAAATAAAAAATATATTTCGAGAACAATATTATATATATATATATATATATATTTACGAATGTATTCCAAATCGCAAACGGCACACGGTTAAATGGTTTTATAATGCAGTAAAGGGTTTTAATACTATATATTTTAATAGTATATAATATATTACCTATAGCAATAAATATTTTACGTAGGCACTGCAAGTATTCAACTGTATCTCGTTAGTTGTTCGTGTAATGATTTATTCAAGAAAACTTATGTAAAATGTATAGTATTTATATACCTACCTACTTCGGACTTCTATAATACATGATTTATAGTTAAGATAACTGTTCTATATACATATCTACAGTCAATTTATATTCGCGTGTATCAATGTATAATAGGTGGGTATTTCTATTTTCGAACGCCTCAAATTTGTCTGATTTTACGATTTCAGTAAAACGGCCAATTATATTAAATTGCTCTCAAGTATTTTAAACGTTATATATTTTTACTATAAATTTTCGATTTTGGACAGGATAAGTATAAGCGGAGAATGTATTGATTCTATTATAGTGTGTGCGATTTTTTTTGTTCTGTCTGTAAACAACTTTTCTACAATTTTCTAAACTACTTTTCTAATCTTATTCCAATAAAAAATTGACTAGGTTTATAGCATTTTGAATTTATTTGTTGTATTGAGAAACAGCGGCGGAGTGGCCTGTAGGACCATCGGGCATTTGGCTTATGAGTGGCCGAAATGTTCAAAATTAAATATTATTTAAAAAAAAAAAAAATGTTCGATAATTAAATATTTTTATTAAATAGAAAACTCAAATATATCTTTGTATTAATTGATAACGGAATCATAATAAATGTATAATATATTGAACGATGTACCTATTTATATTTTTATATAAATATCATGTATCATCAGGTATCAGGTATCATGATTTTGTAAATGTTTGTATTAAAATATGATACCAATAATGTATTGACGTTTGTAATATTTTCTATTTTGAAAAGCCTTTCTTCATCAATCATGTAATATTAAAATAATAGGTATTTATATTTCGTAATATTATTATTTTAGTTTAATATTTTGGTTTGTTTTAACTTAACAAGAGTGACGAAAAATGAAAGAACACACAAGTTGTCGTGCAGTATATATAGATATTGTTAGATTCTAATTAGCGTACAGCATTATTTTTAATGTAGATAAATGTTGTTTTTCTGTCTATAAATCACTTTTCTACCAGAAATCATGTTCCGATCGTCGACTTTAGAAGTAACTGTAGGTTAAAACTGTGGAAAATAGTTATACTATTAGGAGTGGTGTACCTAGGGGAGGAATATCAAGGATTGACTCATCTTATAGTCCATTGACCGTGTTTTATTCAAAACAAATTATATAAACTATTCAGCATTGAAAAATCATAAAATCAAGTTCGATAAAATTGGCTTTTCATACAAACCTACAACTTTATTCCAATCTGGATGAAATTGTTCACAATTGAGATTCAAAACAAAGGAAAGGTGACTGTCTACTTTCTATTATAAAATTAAACCCCTAAAGAGTATCTGGTAAAAAGTTATTGGTACTTTCAAAATGAAAATATTGCACTTTTTTGTTGATTAATAAGTTACTTTGGCCACAAGCATGACAAAACTAGTTGCTATTGTTTAATTTATCAATACATATTTAACCGAACTACGCTGAGAAACGTATTTCATTAGTAATAATTTATATATTTGATATAGTTTATGAACTATGCAACAATAACACGCAGTGGGATTTTAGTGCATGTTAGAACCCGGAATAATATCTCGTTCCTACAATTTAATTATAGTAATCTACAGGTGTCGGTTTATAGCACTACTTAAATATAATGGGCACCTACGACCTACCTATGTCCTATATTTATGTATTATACACTGACAGACTGACAGGTTTGTTAATAAATTATAATTTATGTAGTCACGAAATTATACTTTACTGTATAAAGTATGTATTATTTCGTATGTATGTATATTTGAATGTATAATTCACATACACGTGAATTAAGATTTCGAGTATTGGCAAGTCGAGAAAAAATCAATTATATGTGTGCTTATTTTTCATACATACCTATACTGTATTTATTCATTTGTATAAATGACTTTATATATATAATAACATCATAGAACTTGATAATCTGCATATTAAAAGAAAATAGTTTTTTACTTATTGACAGTTTAATACCAATTATTTTTGAAAAACAAATAACGGTTTATTTGTTATACTTTCAACATATTTAATTTTAGTATACCTACATTAAACTTCTCAAAGGCACTTGGTTGAAAATTCAGTCTACATACGTCATAATAATTCCCGAAGACTGTCCTTTATAATTAAAATTGAGATAAATAGATGATATATATTATTTATTAATTATGTTAATTAATAAATGTGACATTTTTAATTTCTCAGTTGAGCGGTACCTATACGTCTTAAAAATCACGAAAAACGTCACTAAAAGCCGTATAGTATAGTATAGTATAGTATGTTATTTAATATTTAATCACTATTTTAAATTTTAAATAATAAGTATTAATAATATAAACCGACCAACGCCGTTGCACATTACGGTCCACTCAAAACAGAAGTCAACCCAAAGTATACTATAAATACGTCAGATTTTTATTTATTATAGGTGCCTATATACATAAATATATTATTGAACATGTAAGTATACAAATAATAAATATATAGGTATAAGTACCTACTTATGTAACAAACATATGGAATTTAGTTTTATTTTTTTCTTGGTTGTTTACGTCGTTATATATTAGGTATGGCCGTATTTTTCTTCCAGATTAATATATAGCAACTACTTAAAACATTTAAAAATTATTACTACATAAGAACTTATAGGTATACCTAAATATATATTAAGTACATTAAAACGTGAATATATAGATATATTACAAGTACATTGCAAAGTGGCATTTTCGTTATAATGCCATCAGTTCCATTATTAAACACAATAATATTATACATAAAATATACAAATACTAAACATTTTACTAAAATAAAATCAACACTATATTATAATCTACTTGTTATTCCGGTATAATATACGAAATCCGCTGGATGCACGATGATTATATTTTATACGATATTTATTCATAATTGATTTTTTTGATATTGCACAATTATTATACATATAAACTATTATATATATTATTATACTAATAATAATATTGTGACATTAACTATTATACCTATAGTATACCTCAATACTTTACGAATACCCAGCGGTTAAAGAGGAAAATCTTCGATGAGAGACTATATATACCGAAAATTGAGGGACGTTCCCGAGAACTGACTGAACCTAACCAAACTTTCAGAAAATCTATTGTGGAAATAAGACCTTCGAAATCGTTTTCTACGAATAAACCGCATCTCTCTCCCCTCAGATATTATCCTATGAATATACCTTCTCAGTGAAAATAAAGTCGCAATGTGAATAAACTAATTGGTATACATTTTGTAGAATGTATTAAATAACACTAAAAATTTAATAAAACATTCGAATTTTTAAAATGTCATTGACTATAGTGTTCCATCGAACTTCGAAGATTTAAACTGAAAGATACTGGTAATTTTTACTGAAATAAGAAGGGGTATTCCGTTCCTTTCCACTTTAACCAATACGAATAAGTATCTAATTTGAATACAAATTTTAGAAGGATAAAAACAAATGTAATCGATTTAAAATTAAAAAAGTTGATAAGTTAAAAGATTTGAATTGATGATATTAATTTATAACAAATACAAATAATGGGTCAAATTTAAAAAAATTCGATTTATATATTATTTCGCAGTCACTTTGAACAAATAATAGTTTTTAAACATCGAACATTTTTAATTTGGCATGAGTGTCCTATTGACCTATTGATAAACAGAATGAAAAATAGTATGTCTGTAACAGTAGGTGAACATCACATTTAATAATTTACATGATTAAAAAGGAATTTAAAAACTAACTTTCAAAATGCGTCACATTTCATTCGTAAATATATAATATAGTAGTTTAATTTAAACAATTAGTTTGGCTCTAATCCAATTTTTAATGAAAACTGGCATTAAACGCATGTTTGATAATTTTTTTTCGTTAAAAATTATTATACAAACACGATTGCAATCATGCAAACACGTCACTAAAACTCATATAAATTAACTAAATTATAGATACCAATCATTTTTCAAATTAATTTACAATAGCCCATTATTGCATTTATAATAATTTTATTACAATAATAAGTATTGACGTAAAGTAAATATTTAATAAGTTCAAGATAACAATTTTATATTACCCACTGAATAATATTTGCATTTTAATCGTATATTTACACGCATGACATATGAATAATAAAAGCAAATCTGGGGGGTTTTCATTGAAATCGATAAATGACTGAGGCGAGGAACGATTAAACAAAGTACCAGAATATTGTCCTTGTTTAGACCTTTTGTTATATCTGTGGCCAAAATGGCAAAAACGGAACCTTTATACAATTTCATCATGTCCGTTTGTCCCAGACTTGATCAGATATCAGGATATAACTCAGCCATTTTTCCATCAATTTTGATGAAATTCCACAGAGAGGTGTCTTAAGTGAACCACCAAACAATTGCGCAGTCAACAAAAAATGTACGCACGTTTTCTATAGGTATATTTTAATAAATAAAATTAATGGACACAATTTTAATTTTTCGCACACCCCATCATGTGGGATATCGTTAAAAAGGTCTTTAAAAATTAAATTAAGGTTCTAAAGCGACAGTCTTTTATATAGATGCATATTTCTCAACAAATAAGATCTATAAAGAATAAATTTGTCTCCATATAACTTTCCAATCATGCGATTAAAAATTCTGCATACATTTAAGAAAGTAGCTCTTTATAAACACTTTCAATGAAAATTATTGAACGAAATGTGTAAAACTATATTATTATATAATTATATATACCTAAATGGAACCCTAAGTTGATACGTTATCCGACTGTTCTTACTGTTCGTTGCACTGCGATTTAGTTTATAAAAATTAAAAAATATACATTATTTATTACATTGAATATCAGTATTGTAAAAAGTATTAACTTTTAAGTTTAATAAAAAGTAAAGCAACGCCATTTTGCACTTTTAACTTAACTGATTAAATTTATTTTTGTTAACTTTGTTCACTTGAAGGCTTTTTTTGTTTATTACTTTAATTTAATTAATTATTTTCATTACCTTGCCCACTTTTGGGCGAATCTGATAAGACTGTATAATGTTACGCGCTGTTTTTTTTTAATACTTTTAGACAGTCGAAAATGTATATATCATGGTGATTGGTAGGTGTTTTAATAGTCTCCGATGTTCGTATTCATTGTATATTTTTTATCGTATACGTATATGATATACGAGTATATATAATAGTATTGTAATCTATGAATGTTATATTATGTTTGTGGATACCGAACAATTGACTATAGATACGTCAAGAAGATATACAGAAATATCGTCGTTATAATATATCATTATTATTGCATTGTTCTCGCGCGGGTTTCATATTTTATAGAATAAAATATACCGTAATAATTCTAATATTATTAAATCTGCATTATATTTGCGTAATTTGCATTTTTTTTTTTATTGACGAAACGAACAAACAATAAAATATGTCTACTCGTGTTTCGGAAGATAATTTTCTAGATCTCGTAAAGAATAATGCATTCTGGTCCACAATAATGATTAAGACTAAATTTAAATGTATAATTTTTAAAAAATTAATTTCTTTCCGTTTTCTATATAGACCTTTTTAAGTTTATTAGTTAGTTTTTAAATTTCATTTTAAAATTATTATTTTATTTTTATGAAATTTTAATCATATACATTAGCTTTATAATGTAACGACAATAAGTCAGTAATGATAGTATATTTAACGTTTGTTATTAATTTCTCTCGAGTCGAGATGGCGATCAAATTTTTAATTTCCCTTCTCGCCCTCATCAAAATGTGTCATGTTTACTATTTATTTTCAACAATAAAATAATTACTGTAAATATGAATGTATATCATATAGGTATTTACATTTTTTTTTTTATACCAACAGGGTGTGCCCAGTCATATAGTTGGCTTACCCGTAGCTCCGCCTATGATACAGGTAATATAATAATACAATGCACATATACTAATTATATAATATATTTAATATTTTACATGAAAATTGGTATGGATAATTTCATATTTTATACGAATACGAATAATAATAATAATTTAAATAAATACGTGAATCGAATTAAAAATCATATAGGTAACCTAAGCGAACCTAAAACCATAATATATTGAAGAATTATATTTTGAATTTATTTATTATTATTTTTTTTAGCTGCTACATAATCCCTTATAAAATGTGTACCATATTTTATGAAAAGTTATTAATATAATATCTTTGGTCCCGGGGAAGAAGGGCTTAAGTCATTTTTTTATATTTTTAATACAAGCAAATTAAAATATATTGAAAATCGCTAAATGGTTAAATTTCTGCACAATAAACATATTCTTTTTTTCCAAACAAAAAATACATATCATAATGACTTAAGATCTTCAGTGTAGCATATGTCCTTCTTTCCTGAGATTAAAGATATAATATAGACACCTAGGTACTTGATCGGATTTTAACGCACGGTAAATAATCAACATTTAAAAAAATAATAATAATAATTAACCTATGCATTTAAATACGAAACGCGAGATAACAATAAGAATCCCACGCATCTAAAAAATCTAAGCTATAACATAACCTAACCGTGGGTGAAATTGTTGATAAAATTGTTTTTGTAATTGATTTTCGCAATCAATGCAATATCATAACAGAAAAAAAAATAAAATAAAAAATCATAATAAATCTGAAATTTGATTTATCGTCACTAGTGACAATCATAATTTTATATCAACAGATTTTTATAATTTAATATTTCACGTGCAATAAATCTTCGGAACCGTATAGATATCGAAAAAACGTTCATTATTAAATGCCGAGATCTCAAAAATATAATTATAGGTAAAAGTCGTATAAATTATTCAAAATTAACGACATAATAACATAATATTTAAATATAATAATATATAGGCATTGGTATTGTATCGAAGAAGACGTAGAGTACCGTCGGAGATAATATATACCTATATAGCGAAATATATAATTTCAAATATCTACAAGAAAAAATTAATAGGCGGTATTCAATACCTACGCACGAGCTGCACTTAACATATAATAATAATATAAGTCTAAACCGTACCTAGTTCTTCTATATAAAAAAAAAAAAAAAAAAAACGCGATATTAAAACGAAAAATTAATTATCATTTCCTTTTTATACATTTTACGTTGGTCGATAAATTTCGATTATATTTCATAGGTTTTTTTTTTTATATATATATATATATACCTGGGTAGTGACATTTTATACCTACATATTAAGTAGGTAGGCAGGTATCTATTTAAATTTTAAATAATATAGCCGAACTTTCATCGGGTTCCATTTCGCGGAACAGTTTTTAGTGTTTAGTCAATTTCAAATTTCTAAAATGTATTTTAATAAAGTTCAAATCAAACGAAATCATCGTAACCACATTATATTACTCACTTTTTTATAATATATGTCATAATAATACCATAACTATAGGATATACGCACATTTCAACCTTTTTTTTGTTTTTCACTGTTTATTTGACAATTATAATATTAATATAATATTATAATATTTTATATTATATAATATACTAACTGCGGGCTTGATTTTCACAGAGAAGAAAATTTAACGAACGTCTAAAAAGTATAATTTATTCACGCCCATATTCAATAAGGACAGTCCAATCACAACCCGGCATTTTCGTAATATCATATTACGTTTTTATTTGCGAGGTTAAATAAGATGCACATAATATGTGTGCGGCAGTTTTTGAAATTAAGCCTCTGTATCTTGATATTATAAGTAGTTGATAAACATATTATGCACACTGACATAATATATTGTATTTATATTTTATATCGTAATACCTACATTTAACTCGCGACTCGAATTATATTAATATATTACAGATTCAGACACACGCGTAAATATTGCGCAGTTATGAATATAGGTTTTAAGGAGTGATTAATGAAATCGTATAAAAAAAATATTTAAAAAAAAATCCGATCGACATGACAAATTAATCGATCCGTTTATACGGAAAACCCTAGTGCGAAAACGAACGTACGCATATCCAATTACAAAATGCAAAACAATCATCATCCCACCATCGTCCACATTATAATATGTTGGTAATGCATTTCTATCAATACCTTCGCCGAGATTGTACGCACGGCTAAACGTCTTAAATATATTAACAGTAGAAACGATTGAGATTTGTTTTTTTATATGGTTGTCTTTTTTTTTTTAAATTCAAATTATAACTATGCATTTTGAAATTCCGAAATGACGTTCTAACTGTAAAGACTGCAACGAAGACTCGCGTAATTTATGAAAGTCACCAACCCTAAGTGGATTAGGTACCCGTATTATTATATTATACGTTGTCGAATATAACACTATTTGTTTAATATTAAAGTATTTATTCGTATATGGTACAACGATGTGTGTATATGAAACTAATTCAACGACAAATTATGTAAGCTAACCGATATAATATATGTTTATGTAAATTCGATTAGTAAACACATACTATAGATATAGTGACAAACGCGTATATGCAGCTATCCAAATAAATAGGATATTACAATTTTTTTTTTATTCGTTTTCATAATAATTATTCAAGAATATTATATTAGGTAATACTTACAGCCATTGAATACTGTTCGTCTGTATGATACAAATGGACAGCACGACGAATACGGATTTCCGATTCCACATTACGAATTCGATTTTTTCACGCGCACTATTACGTTCAAAGCGGGTGTACACTACGATGATTATTTTTTTTCGAGGCCATAAACCCGTATTTTGAGAATCACATTTTTCAACATCACTCGCGGTTACTATCGACGATACGTTTATTTTTTAAAATACATCCGGTTGATTAATTATTAGATACATGACGATGCCGATGATGATACCCGTGTACGATGTTCGTCATCGGGTAAAGATAATAATATTCACCACGATGGCCATCGTGATTGATATAATAATTGAAATAAAATTGTTACACGACAACGGATACGAAAACAATAATAAACAATAATCTACATAATATATATTTTATATTAAAAAAATAATTTATTAAAAAGAAAAAAATATATTAATATTATTATAATAGGTGTATAGAAAACAATTTGAACACTTTTTTGAAAATTTACAATTCCGTAACAAATATTAGGGGTATACTTTGTATATATATATATATATATATATATAAGACAATAAGTGTGTGCGCGTGTAAAAATTATTTTTCTTGAATATAACAATCTATATAGATATTAATATACATGTTATAATAATATTATTGTCTTATACAAAAAACGATATTCGATAGACCTTCCACGAGGATACCGGCCAACAGGTATCTTGTTACATGCACAACTGACTTGACACTAGATGGTAAATTACTCTCTTATAGACTAGTTTTTCTTACTTTTGTTTAACGGCCCAAATTATTACATTTGGGGGGAAATGTGTGCGTTTTGTGTGTGTGCATGTGCGCGTGCATGTGTGTGTGTGTGTGCGCGCGCGCTCGCGCCCGTGTATGCGTGTATGAGAATGTGTACATTTAATAAAGATTTATGCAAAAATAAAAATAATCTGCAGGTAAGAGGTACCTATAATAACGATAAAGAATAGAATCTGTAATTTACTTAAGTACTCGTATATAAAACTTTAAACATACACCTATACACACGCACAATACTGATGATCATCCGCAGACATCCGAAAATGTTACATCTAATCAGCGGCGACGATGTGGTATTTAAAATTTAGAAAAATTTAAAGATGTCGATTAATCAAGGAACATTTAAAAAAAAAAAGTTAACGCATAAACATTACCTAATATTAAACTACAGTAAAAAAAAAAAATAAATAATAATAATAATAATATTAATAAAGAAACGTTAAAAATAAATTTCGATAAATTTTTATGACGTATATAAGTAGAAAAAGAATATTCTTTAGTAAATAGGTACCTAGCTATATCACATTTACATTTTACGATTTCTAACGTAGGTATACGTTTACATTTGAATTAAATAAAAACTACAAGGTGATTTTTTTTTCTAAAAATATAATAAAACCTATTATTTTTAAGAATAATTATTAAATGTATATTATGGTATATTTATTAGGTTTAAATACTAATTAAAAGCATGTGTAGAACGGTGTGGTAGTGCGGTAACATAGAAAATATATTATCACCTAAATCTAATTAATAACAACTTATAGCTAAAATTTAAACAGTTAAAAAATAAACACTTTAAAAAGACGCGTTACAATTTTCGTTAATTTATTTTTAAAAATATGATACTTAAGTGTTGAAAAATTAGATTGTTTCAAATGCATTTTTTGGAAGCTCTAAAATTTAGAAACATGCTGAGAATTATGTTTTTATTAATCACTGCGATTTATACCTAATTATGGAAATTAAGTTAAAAGTAAAACTTGTTTATTTTTATGACGTAATCTACACAAAAATGATTAACGTAAATGATGGCCTACAGAATATTTTAGCGAAGAAGCATTTTGGGTAGAAAAAATACTTCTTGTGAATTAATGTGACCAGTGACGTGCTTAGAAATTTTCAATGAGAAGGCATATAGACATGTAGTAAATAATTACCATGATTTATGAATACATCATAGAATCTTTTTTTGTTATACCTAACTAGACGGTGAAAATTTAAAAGCCTTATCCACAAAAACACAATTTAATAAATCAAGCTTTTTTCCTAATGTTGCTAATAATGATGAAATATTTAATTTTAAGGTGAAATTACTAAATAAATACCTATTGTTGTATTTTTAAGCGTTGGCTGAACCTAAATAGTTGGGATGAAGGCAAAGGAAAAGAAGTATTTTTAAGCATGTGTGGGGACATAAATGGTAACGCCCTTCATATGTGCCACTAGATGCGACAATAAAAGTGCTCAAAGACCAAATTCAATAATTTCGGAAAAATTAATCACATACAAAGTAATTGACTTAACAAATTATGTCAAGAGAATAAGCTTAGTGGTACAGAGTAATCGCTTTACAAATGACAGAGTTGGGCAATACTTACGATGAAAGTATCAAGTATCTACCTATCTTATATAGTGGTATCTACTGAAATCAATGTATCTAATATCGAGTATCTAGAAAATCTATTTCAGAAGTTCTCAAAATTCTTTTACATGCCAATTATATATATTATAGATCTGTCATGTTCCACAGAAGACTAAAAGTTGAACTATTCATAATGTCTACATTTATTTCAGAATGATAATAGTATTAATCAGTAAAATACTACAATATAATTGATATGAAAAGTACAAAATCTAAAATAGTATTAGCATGATTAAAAACATTTGTACAAATATTTATTAATTCATTTTCTGTACTTTTACTATGACGCCTTTTGGGCACCACAATGATCTAGTTGCCTACTGTGTACTTAGGGTTGCCACCTTTGAATGATGGTAGACCCGGAGGCACAGGCCAATAAGCACACAAATAAAAAGATGATTTGCAAAAGATACTGTGCCTATTCGCTTATGTACAAATTTAATGTATAATAACAAGTCAATAAATTGTTATTTTATTTTTGACGTATGAAAATCATTGTTCTCGATGTTTATCAACAAATAATATAATTATATAAATAGTATTAATTTTACAAAGACCAAGAGATTAATTCATGAACCCGTAGCCCGTAAATTTATATGTAAAACCAGAGTATCTGGGTGAAAACCGGAGAGGTGGCCTCCCTATGCATACCACAATTTTAAAACCGCTGTTCTATATGAAGTAATTTGCACAAAGGTTGTAAGCTGAGTGATTTCCTCCCACAGATTTATGAAAAATATATTAAAAATTGAAAGTGATTGTTTGAAAATAGGGGAAGGAAATTTTTGAGAATCTTAAAGAATATTTCAAATAAATAACCATGTCATTTTTAAGATACTGCATGAGTGAAAAATCTACTTCATATTTTAATTTTATTGTATTAAACATCTAGTATTTAAATACATAAAATGTCTGTAGGTATCTAAATACACATTTGAAAGTATCTTACCCATCCCTAACATGAGACTATAGGTACCTGGTACTTACATAACTACCTACTTGTGTTAGATTCAATTAATATTTAAAGTCTGCATTAAGTCATCAAATATTAATTTATATTCATTTTGTGTTTCGTGTTAATTATTAGTTTAAAATGTGAAGGATGTTTAATGGTTAAATAATTTGTTCACAGATAAAAATCACTTTAACAAAATTTGGAATTTGTCAACTGATGATGATAAAGTAAAAGAAGTATGTTGGTGTAGGTAACCTATTCTCATTCGATTATCGGTTAGGAACATGAATGATGATAATTCGAAAATTTTATTAAGTATCTCTAAATACAGACAATTGTCCTAATTGCTATTTCTCAATGATTTTCACACTTCAAATGTTTGGCTTGAAAACCAAAGATTTTTTTTTCTTTTATAGATCAACCAATAAGAAAAAAAATAAATTTGAATTAAATTACTATACATTAAATGAATGTTAAGTATTTCAGTTTTTAATATTATGTTCTTATATTAATTAATTAACCTCATATTTTAGCTTCATTTAAATTTATACATTTTACAGTTGAAAAATGAAAACTTTTAATTTTACTATTCCAGTTATAAAAACTTAATTTGTCGTAGTTAAAAAGGGCAATAAATAATGTAAAGCAAAGCAAAGCAAAGCAAAAATAACTAGTACTATATCATATAAACTTTATATGGAAATTAATAAAATTATTATTGTATTTTAAAAATTATTCTTTTAATAGTAGTTCTTTTTATTATTATTCTAACAAATCTGAAAATTATAAAGCTTATACAAAATGATTTTTAAAAATGTTAAAATAGTTAATGCAAAAAAAAATGTATAAAACCAATAATAACACATTTAAAAGCGGGGTATTTTTATTAAACCAAAAAGATTTTTCTTCTTTTTTTTTTTTTGTAGGAAAAATATTTTTCTCTTAAAATGGATCATAATTACAATTTCTCCATCCACATTTTTACTTATGGATACCCTTGAACATATCTTACACATTATATTATAATTGAAAAGACCAATAAAAAGTTAAATGTATATATTTATGATAAAATAAAGTATGTACATCTAACAATATGTTTGTCCATTTTTTTATAATTAAGCACAACTATGCATAGTTAAATTTCAAGTCTTTATAATTGTAATTGATTAGAATAATACAGTAATTACTGAATACATGTTTAATATATATTATGTTAAATAAATTATTTATTGCTTCTTATCAGATTATAAAAGTTCTACAACTTTTTGTATGCAAACAAAATTTACAATATATTTCAAATCTATTTAAATGTTACTCTAGCTGACCCCATATGACATTCCTCATAACAAATTAAATACCCAGTTTTAAACCATTTAAAAAGAAAATTTTTATTATTCCACCAACCTTAAAAAGTTTACTGGAGGAGGTATTTCTAGAAAAAATATAACATTCATACCTGGCAATTTATTTTCCACCAAAGTAAATGATAATTAAGTTACTTTCTATCTATGTAACCAAGGAAACCCATGCAATTTTAATAATTTTTATATTTTAAGGTCAAAATTCATGTGTCAACATCCCTATTGTAATTAAATTTTGAAAAATTCCTTCTGTCTGTGCATAATAATATGAAACTACTAAATAAATTGTATAAACACAGTTTCAGTAATTTCGGCTCGGGAATGATAAATCAGTCAAAACATGTTATTTTATATAGTATATAGATGAATAGTTTAAAGCATAATGAAAATTAAAATATTTTTAAATTAAATACATTAACAGTTGTATGGAAATTTACTAGAATTAATATTTTATTCAAAGAAAAGTAATATAAATTTAAAGTTAAACAACAATAGAGTATTAATTTGTAATTAATAATTGCAATTATTACCAACTTTTTTTTATACCCCAGATTGTTTTCTGAAAATAAATAAAAAATACTTAATAAAAAAACAAATTATTTCTTTACACTTAATTAAAATTTAAAAGATTTAAAAATATCTATAAGTTGTTAAAAATAAATATATTTTTATGTAACTAATACAAATTTCTATATAATAATAAAAACAAGAATAATTATATATTTTTATAACTACTTTGGGATGATGTTATATTATTTAATTTAACTTTAAATCCAAAAATAAATATATATATATATATTTTTTTTATTTGTAGAAAAAATATAAAATATAACAACTTGAAATAACATAATTTCTTCAAATGTTTATACCACAATGTAAAAATACAACAATTAGAATCATGGAAAAACATAGAATCATGTTAAGATAACATGGAAAATCCATGTTCTTTGTTTTTTGAGATCAATTTAGATTTATGTATAAAACTTAAAAACTGCTTTTATACTAAACTCAATCTGAGAGCTCATTCATAATTTAGCCATTAACCCATAGCAGTTTAAGTTATAGCAATTATTATAGTTAGGTTAATTATCCAATTCAAATGCTTTCAAGCAAACATATTACATATGACTTCACTGTAAACTAAAATAAGTTAGTGATTTAGTTTAACGACAAAGCTATTACATGTTAAAATTAAAACTATAAACTGATAACAATGTTAATTACAGTGATGTATAAAAACAACAATAGATAACATACAGATAGGTACCAAGATTTTCTTCCACCGAACTGAACAAGAAGCGCTCAAGTGAAATATTCCCGAGTAATAATTATGACCTGTCATGATTTACGTCCTTTTTTAGTAGATGTCTTTCGTTTAGTCCTGAGTCTTGTCGCAGTTGACGTAGTATTAGTTTTTGAATTTGTTTTATTAGTTTTAGATTTAACTTGTGTTTGATTCGTAGAATTAGATTGTACAGATAATGCTAATTGTGCACTTGTATTCTTTTTTTGCGTGCTGCCTAAATGCTGTTGCACTAAATCAGCTAATATACCTTTTTGAGCTAACATAGTTAAAAATGTACATATGAATTGATCATAATTGTGTGTACGTCGACAATCATCAATTTTATATTTATTACGCTTTTCATTTTCTTCTCGTAATATACCTAAAAATAATAAATAAACAAATAAATTGCTGAATATTTATAAATAATAAAATATATTTTATTACCTTCACTCATATTAATTTCAAGCTCCAAATTTTTTACAAGAGCCAATAAATCTTTAGGAGAAAAAGTGTGATTGGATTTTACATTATTTTCCATTTTTTGATCACTATTATCTTCTTTATCTGAAGAATGACTAGATGGTGTCTCCCATCCTTTGGGCATAGCTCCTGCTTCTAGACACACACTTTTTATGTCTTTTGGATTTCCACCACCTTTTGATCCACAACTTGAAGATTGTACATGTATAACTACAATATTATTTGATTCTGGACATGTCTGCAAAATTATACAATTTTTATATAAAACAAAAAATTAAAAATATTAATAAATCTATTTTAAAATGTTTAGTGGATTTTTATTTTATTTTTAGTGGCATTTTCTCAAGATACTCCAATAATCTCACTGCACAGCTCTACACCAAATTCCTCCCAGGCAACCCTTGCAGACAACTGAACTGCTTATGGCCTAGACTTCCTCAATGCCATTGTTTAAATTTATCTTTCATATTCAAATGACCCTACTGTGGGTCTCCTTTTCATATCTTTATTTAATCAAATTTACTTATACATGCTGTATAGATTGTAAATTAAATATTTAAACTAATTAATTTAATAAATTAAAATTATTAAATAATAATAAAACATTAAATTACTATTTCATTCATTAAAAATAAAATTATGCACATTACATAAATGTTCAAATTAATATTAATTTTTAACACAAATTTATTTTGAACTGAGTCGATTACAAAATATTATTGAATTAATTTTAATAAAATAATTTTATTCAAATTTGTAAATACATTAAAAAAGGTTTAAGATTTTAATACTTATTTCATTACCTTTTCTTCATTAAAGTCTTTTGATGTGCTTGGAATTGGAGACAGATCTTTTTTAACACTTTTATTTGATGATTGATTATTATCAATATTTTTCTTTTTTTTTCCTAAGTCATCAACTAATACAAGTTGTTGTAAGGCTTCAAAAACAATCTGTCTATTTGTTTTGAGCATATTTAGCTTATGGGTAATAGCTAATCGTTTATCAGGAACAACGGCCATTAAATTGAATCGTATATCACTATATTCAGCTGCTGCTCCAAGTCTGTCACTAATTACTCTTCTGAACTTTTCAGTCCAATCTTCATCTTCAGCCCATGGCCCATGGTCCATAGGATATGGTTTTAATCCATCTAATTCGTATAAATGACCATTAATGGGTACATAACTGACAAAGTGATATGCCTCACCAGTAAATCGTCCAGTTGTCAGGCCAGGTGTTTTATCCATACGTGGTCTACTCTTTGGCATGGCATGAGAATTGTGTGCTCGTGCTAATTCGGGAGTGTTACCAATGGCCCATCCTTTATTTTCTGGATTCATACCTCTAGTAAGTTCTTTAAGACGCCCCAATGTCTCGCCTAGGTGTATGTCTGAACAATTGAGCAATACGGACAGTAGGGCATGTGTAGCACAGCTATTAGGTATCATTTGTTGAGCGAAAAATATACTGTTGATGGCATCATCATCTTTAACAAATATGTCTGTCTGGTCTACAATTTTTCTGCGGCTACGACGTTCTTCAATCCATCGGAATAAAAAAATAAAACCATACACAGGACTGTCCAGTGGTTTCTGAAGGTCATATATTTCTTCTAGTTGAATTCCTTTTACTCCAAAATCTTCCAAAAGTAATGTAAATAATCCGGGATCGCTTTCTAATTCCAACCATCCTTGTATAAGCCTATGTAAATCCACAGGCATTTTAACAAAGTTGACATAACAATAATAACAATTTGAATTTTGAATTTCACAGAAATTATTATCATTGAGTACACAAATCTTGATAACGCATATTTTACTCCATGGAATTAGAATTTAGGTTATGGTTTTAAATGTTAAAGTTCGTTATTTAAAAAAGTAAAAATTTTATCACATTTAAGATTTAACGGTTACACCTAATAGAGTTTGTCAATTTTTATTAGAATATTTTATAATTATTACATCAAGTTCTTCTGAAAAACCAATTTAATGTTAATTTAAATTTTATTGAGTGGTACTACTTTGGACTAATGACCTCCAAGTTAAATATTATCTGTTTGATAATCATACAGATAATATGTCTTTCAATGGTAACATTAACAAGTGCACATGTACAACCATATAGTAAGTTTCTATCTATATACATTTATATAGTTTACAGATTGTCTATTACTTAACTAGTATTATAATTCAAAATGAGAATATAAATTAATGCTAATGGTTTTACTACGCAGATTAATAATTGATCAACAATGTTTTTTATCTTCAATCTTTTTCTATCATTTGGTTTCTCACCATAACATTAAAATATATATTTTTATAGCAATTTAAACAAATTCTGACAATAAAAGCTTACTAATAAAAACTTATATGTTTACAGCTCAATTTCAGTGTTTTAAATGTTTACAGTTTTGATTTAGCAATGATCTTAATAATTGAAGTAAATATTATAAAAAAAATATATGATCTAGTTAAATATTTTATTTTTTATTTTTTTTTATTTTCATCTCTTCAAAAATTGTTGGCATTTATTCAATATTTACTGCCAGAAATATTATTATTATACAATTTGAATAGGTACAAAAACAAATACGAATTGTTATATCCTAACTGCATAGTCTGTGCCAACTAAAGTTGATAAAGGGGTGTGATTAAACATTCACAAATACTAAATTTTTTTTAAAAAATATTTTACCCATTATTTTATCCTTTGATAAATAATAATAAATAAATACTTGAATAATAATAATAATATAATGAAGAAGTGGTACATAACATAATACAAAAAAAAAAAAACAGAAAAATTATAAATTTTGTCATTTTTAAAATATAACTGTTCTTAAATTAACAATTTATTTGTCTGCATTACCAAGATTAGTGGAGATGTCACACAACCTCCCGTGTACCTCCTATTATTGGCTCTCTGAGTGTGCTATATAGTTTTATCCAGGAGTTTATTTTCTGTAAATGTATAACTAAAATTACTTTGATCTCATAATTTTCAGTAGCATAAGTACTTTATTTCCCCAGTATTATTATAAAGATTAATTATAATTATCAAAGTTGTAACATACAATACAATGTAATGTAGAATATATATTATATATATAATACTGTAAATTGTATAAATTATTACAACTTATACACCTATATCTACCTAATATAAATTATAATTCATTAGATATCCCAAAATGGTTAATTTCACCTGGTACATACTATGCATTATTTAATATTGTATAATGATAAAAAAAAAATTAGCTCGAGACAAATATTGATCATTAAATTGTATTTAAATAGAATACGAAATAGCAAATAGTGTATGTTTTATGTGTGTATATTATAATCTCAGAATTAATTATTGTATATGTTTGTATTGAAGCAGGTAAAGTTTATCAAGTAAATGCAGATGATGCAAAAATATGCTGTTCTACAGAGGAAAAAAATCAAGCACTTCCCCCAATATATTGTTTTCCTGGCAGTGAGAAAAGTTTGATTTATGTTTTTCAAACAGTTACAGTATGTTTAGTAATTTTTTTGAAAATGAAAAATTTAATATCAATCATTTTATTTTATTTATTATACAGGTAGATATAATAATTGGAAAGACAGATGACTTTACAGTGTATCAATCCCCTGATCAACATGAACTTGAAAACCAAATACTATCTGACGTAGCTACGTTGTCATTCAACAAAATAATATCATATTTTTGGAAACGAAAATATTTTAAATTGGATCCTTTTCAACCATCTTGTTTTAGTATTGTAACAAATAATGATTTTGAAATTAGAATTAATTCCAATAGTAAGTACTACCATTTTATATATTGTTTTGTGTATACATGTTCAAGTACTTAAAATCTATATATTATATTGGATCATATTTGTAAGCAAATATTTTCCTTGAATCTTAGTAGTATATTTTCTGTATTATTATTTTTTTTTTTTCTAGCATTGGATATTAAATTATTGGCTATGTTTTTGGTTGGTGTTTTATTGTTTGGATATTCAGCCCGATTGAGTCATAACTCGGCATTTTACTATTTATGTGGAATCACTATTGGTGTTTCAGCGTCTTTTATAATAGTTTTATTTTTAATTGGTCGTTTGATTCCTAAAGTATGGACGTATAATAATTTATTGTAATGTTTAATGGTATTAATGATAGTATTATAATTAAAATTTATGTTTAGAAAAAATTAATGCTGGGATTTGTTGGAGGAAGTCTTTGGTTGAGTCTTTATGTTATGCAAATGTTAATTGAAAATCTCAATATTATCTTGATATTATATTACAAGTATATATTGGGATATTTTGGGTTCTCCGTATTGGTCAGTTTTGTTGTTTGCTATAGATATGGACCAGTGACAAATCCAAGATCCAAAGACCTTATAAGATGGACATTGCAGGTATTATTATACTATATCTTAGGCAAATTGCAAATTATTTATAACATAATGTATTGTATTACAGTTAATTGGTTTGAGTCTCATTACATTAAGTAGTTTTCATTTAGAAGCTATGGTTTTTGTAGATATGTTGAGTGTTTTATTTTACTACAGTAAATTGTCTTTACCTTTTAGGCAAGTAAGCAATTTAAATAAAGAAATACTTATAGGAATATAAATAATAATTGTTGTATTACAGGTTGTTACCTAAAAGAAAACCAAAATTACAACTTTTGTCTGAAGATGAGTATATACAGCAAGCAATAATTGAAACACCTAAGGCTCTAGAAGAACTGAAAAATTATTGTAATAGCCCTGATTGTGATACATGGAAGATAATAAGCAGACTTCGTGACCCAAAAAAGTAATTTAACAAATTAGATCATATAATATTTATAAACATTTAAAATTAATTTTCAAAAATGTTTTAGATTTGCCAAATTCATGAATACATCTGAGCATATTAGCCCAGATGCAGTTACAGAACATGAAAACGAAACGGATGACAATAATATAGCAGAAAATGAAAGTGATGATAGTAATGAAGATGATATTAAACAAATAGAATATACAAGTGATAGCGAATAAAAACTTTAAATAGAAATATAAAATTTAATTTTTGTGTAAATATTTTATAAATATATTAACTTGTTAAAATGTAAATAATGTTTTATAAATAATAATTTTTGTTTTATAAGTTATATTATGTTGTTATGTATATAATATGCAAAATAAAATATGTGTCTCCTGATTGTCTTTAGAAACTACTTGATTTGAATCAAATAATGCTGATATGTTAAGGTTAGATGGCCCAATTGATACTTTGGGGCTAATCAAAAATGTATTTATTAATGTTCTACTGACATTTTTGGTTGGGCCATTTCCTTAAACACCATAAATATGTTGAATGATGTAATTCATAAAACAGAAAAAGAATGTTTTATATTTTTGGTTCTAGAGAAAAAAGGTTTGAGTCGGTTTTTAAAATATTTTTATACATATACAGTGTTCAGAATTGTATGTTACAGCAATTATCTCCTAAAAATATACAAAATAGAAAATAATGTATAATGAAATATTTTTATTAAATAGTATTATCTATAATTATGTGGGCCTGATATTTTTAGATACCCTTCTAAGGATAAACATTTGAAATTTGAGTGGCAACCTATATTCAAAACTCGGTAGATAGGAGTTTTGTTCAAATAAATGTTGGTGTTGACATTTTTGATTTCTGTCAACCTGTTGACTAAATATTCTACTTTTTAACTTAGGTAAGGGGAGAGTAGTGGAACACTGAGCTTGTGTTAATTCATAATAACAGGCTTGACAAACATCAGCATAATTACGAGTTATTCAGATTCATTAAATTGCAAGTTACATAAAATTAGTTAGCAACATAAAATATATATTTAGGTTTGAAGAGGAAAAAAGTGTTAAAAACAAAAGAAGGAAGGGTTGTAATTGGCAGTACACATAAGGCAGATATTGATTTATTGAGTTCGTAATTAGTAGAGCAGAAGGAAGTGAAACAATTTTAAATTAATGGGTAATACGAGAAGGAATATTAAAGTTAAGATGTGATATAAAAATGCCTTTGTCACAAATTAATCCTGGCATTTAAGAAAATACGGCAATTATAGACAAATCAAATACTGTATAATATATTGCAAACATTCAGTTATTTGTAAACTCCCACAACTATTTCCTGTTACACATATTAGGTTATTTAATATATTAGGTATTAGGCCTATGCTTTTACAAATTATGTATAAGAGCTTCTATTACTATAAAATTGTCAAATTTGTATTCCCAGCAAATTATTTATAAATTTGGTATTGTCATTTCAACATAACAATGATATTTGCTAAAACTTAAAGAAAAAAATTAATTTATGAAAAGTAATTAATAATATTACTACCATCAGTCTATTTAGGCCTCTAAATAAAGCTTAGTATTTGTCGTGAGACCTTGTTTTTTTTTTTTTTTAAAACCTGTCATTCACTTATTTATTGTTTTATGCGTACTCCTTATTTTCCGATTAAGTATTTTACAAAAATCTATTATACAAAACCATAACTGGGAGGAAGTTACCACTCTCTTTGAAAATTTTAGAAAGGAAAAACAAAATCTACTCGGTGTGTTTAACAAATAAAAAAAAATTAAGTGAATATACTAATGAAGTTCCCATTTATGTATGTTGAAAAACAACCGAGTTATGACACTCTTATTTAGGGCGTGTAATAAGATAGGTAATTATTTGGGTGTATAACGCATTTTAAACTGCAAGTCCACCCAAATTATACAAAATTATCCTACCATTACAGAATTCGTGTGCCTCTCTCTAACAACACCTCAACGTAAACAATAAAAAACAATTTCCGGGGGAAGTTAACCTAACCGGACATGGTTTTATTTATACATTTTTAATTTAGAAAACAATGGAAGAAATAAAAAACAGAGCTGATACTGAGAATGGGTGGGCCACTTTTCTAAGTGGTAGTTGTGAAGGTAGGGTAAAACGAAAAACGAAGCGAAATTTGGTTGTACTTGTTTTGAAATGATGTAATATTTACGATTTTCGTCAAAATTTGATAGGTATTAAAATTCTTTTAAAATAAAAATAATATAAATTATTTCTATTATGCTCGGTGGTACCTGCTGGAAATTTCGTAATATACAAGCATCTTTCGTGCCGAGGAAGAATTTTACAAGTTATCATATACCAGCAAATTCCGAAAATGGTATAACGGCCTTACTATCTGGGATATTTTAATGTCATTTAGACAAAATTATAAAAGAAAAAATGCCACTCTTTCCCCGGGGGCTGGGGTCAATATTACAATAATTATATAACATTCATTAACTAATAATATTATTATTGTAATAATTTTGAAGTGAGTGGGTGGGCACGCACAATATTTTTTTGTATTTTCGTACCGAGTCCGCGGTTCGAGATTATTCTTCTAGACGCCATCAAAACGTCCGAACCCGTGGTCGTTTCCTCGAAAACGAGACCTGTTGGCCACTCTGTCGGCAGTGGGAAGGGATTACGGTGTTTGCGATTTCTGGGATTCGAACGCGGTGAATTATATCTGCAATGCTTATCGTTAATTTGTATTATATTTAGTGTCGATTGTGACTACCGAATCACAACTTATTATTGCCTAGCATACTATTATAGGTGGGCATATCGGGTTAGATTGTTATCAACTGAAGATTGAAGAAACAAATGATTTTAAATCATAAATAATCATTTTGATACGAGACTTCGGACACGACGCGGACGGTAATAAAATGATCAAGTTTTATGGTATGGTGTGTGTGACGAGTCTGTGGCTTACGTTTGTGATTCCGGTTGATCCGAAACCCAACAGTAAGTATGTACCGTACAGGTATAGATTTATTTCATTTAATTAACGGGTTATATTATACACTTTGATAGAAAAGAAAAAAAAAAAAAACATTTGACAATAATTTAGCATTTTGAGCATTTTGCAACAAAAAAAAATGGTCAATGTTTTGTCTTTACTAAAATTCAAAAAGAAAACAGGTAACCCGATCGGTAGCACTTTCCAGTTAGGTGGTGTGCCCGGTATCCAAAATATTCCAGCGCTATTTGAAATTCCCCAGTATTTTTTTTTTTCTGTGACTAATGTTGGACAGGTAGGTACTTTATAATTACACGAGACTGCGGCTATTATCGCGGGTATCATTTCTATCCGCGCAAATCGCCATTCTCCATCATTATCCATATTGTCAGACAAAATAAAGTAAATTCACCGAAATTTTAAAAACCATAAATATCAAATTTCCTCCAATAAATAATTATTAATAAAAAAATTGTTAATAAACATCAAATGTCCGTATAAAATGCCCTGTATAGACCATAGACGTGGTAAAATTGTCAAAACATTCGAGCCACTTTTAATCTAAGTAATGGACATTTTAATTTTGGCGAGTTTTTCGCGGAATGTTTATTCGGTAGGTATTCTGTAGATAAAATTGTCGGACCAAACAGTAATGCTTGACAATTTAAATGGAGGTACATTATAAGTTGTACGTAGCGGTCAACAAGAAGAAGTTGAGTTTAATTTAATATATATATATTTTTATAAGAATTTTAATATCAAATTTTGACGAAAATCGTAAATATTACGGTCTTATTTTAAACGTGTATAACCGAACTCTGCTCAAAATCGCTCTTCGTTATCGAAGATTAACCGTCGCGTACGGATATACATTCAATTTTTCTCCTCTGTATCACACGTTCCTAACTTCTCATCCACAACAGTGCCCCACCCGTCGTACGAAGTATATGTCCGTCTTATTTTATTTGCATTAGCATATGTTTGTATTCATTATATTGTCGCTTACGTAAAAAAATATACTAATTAACTTGTACCTAATGACGTCCATATGGCTGATAAAAAATGTTTAATGTTAACACGTTATTGTCTATGATCAACGCTATGCACGCACTGTTTGTTAAGTATTGGATAATATAAAATATAAATAAAAAATTATTTAATGATGTATTTTTCATTTAACTTAACATCTCAGCATCCGTTTAATTTTTTTTGTTTTTTTTTTACATTTATCCATGCTATTGACGATCGCTGCGACTTCGATGTTTTCCGAACTTTCTATAATGCCTTACGTCTTTGTGGCGAGTTTTAGCATTGATATGTCGCACAAATTGACAAATCGCAACAAACCAAAATAACATAAACTATACATTTATAAAATGCCGAATTAATGGTTTTAATATAATATTTGTTAAATTATCACATTTTACATAATTGCATGCTGTAAGTAGGTAAATTTTGTGTACGAACATAAATCGCTAAATAAAGACCATTTATAATATGAACGTTTTCACGAACCCTTTTTCAGTATTATAATTTAAAATTCATTAAATTATGTCACATAATAGAATGGAGGAACAGGACACGACCGTATGAGTTTTAATTACCTAGGATATTTTGTAAAAAAAAAACGATGGCTTTCATGAGGATGTGAAACAAGTAATAAAGTAGATAAAGTGATAAAGTAGAGAAAATGCGTTTTATGTGATAAGAGGATTATCCTGTCAAATTTTCAAGCAATTCTCTCGAGTCTAACAATTTTATCCACAGAGTACCACCGAATAAAAATTACTTAAAAAAAAACGACAAAATAATGTCTATAAATAGTTCAAAAATAACTCAAATGTTTTAAAAATTGTACGACGTCTAGAAAAAGAAATATAAATGTTCTGTCAAAATTTCTACGAATATATTTGACTTAAAACGAAAAAACAAAATTGAAAATAATTTCCCATTATTTCTACGTTTCTTGTTTTTCGGCTATGCTCAATTATTAATATAACTACAGTGCAGATCAAAAAAGGTCTCTTGTCGTTTATCTACTGGAGCGATATCTATGGTAGAAAACATAAGCCATACAAATTTGAAACACCTAATGAAATCGTTGTGCTTGTAATTTAAAAAAAAATTATATATTTCGTCTTACTTGGTTTTTTCCAATTATTATGAAAAATACTTTGGTTATCAAAAAACGACTTTCTCTATCAGAGGACCATATGTGATAAGGAACAAAATCGATCTTTTGTCATTTTTCAATTGGAGTAATATTTCTGGTAGAAAACATCGTGTTAACATAATAAAATCGATGAAAACGGTAATGCTGTGACACGCCGTAATTATTTGCAATTTTACCTACAATTTTTTTTTAGGTTTTCCCCATTATTTCGAAAACCCCTTGGAAAATCAAAAAAATGATCTCATCAATGCACCAACTAGAGAAAATAACCCTTTTAGAAAAGGGACTATGATCTTTACTTTGGGCCAAGTTTTCTAGAAAAGTCCGTTACGTTCTGAATCTAAAAAATAAAAAAAAATTACATACACACGTCATAGTAAAACCAATAAATCCCTCGCTATTCTTCTAAAATCATATTGTTATTTTCGATAAGAAAATTGAAATCATGTGTATTATAGTTTATATAGTATAATATGTAACCTTATGTCTTTATCAGTGGCGTAGTGAAGGGGAGTGTTTTGGTGTTCAAACACCTCCCTTTGACTATATTTATGCCAAAAATTATAATTTTTTCTATATGCAATTATGCATCAGATTTCTACATGATGTGGCGTGTTACATGCAATGGAAATTCAAACAAAAATTCTTCACTTTGCCACTGATCCCCCTAACAAAAGTTATGTGTACACTGTACACTACTGCCTTAATTTATAATTAGCAATCTGATTGATAGATTGTCCATAATATGGATAAATAGGTATTAATCTATACTAATATTATAAATCTAAAGAATTAGTTTGTTTTTCGAACCAACAGTTTCTGGGATTAGCGCATTCAACCAAACAAACTCTTCAGCTTTATAATATTAGTATAGATAATACAATTTTTCGCTACCAAGTTAATATATTATACTAATTTAGTAGCGTTTCACCAGGTGTTTGATTTTTCCAAAATCGTCAATCCAATTTTCCAACTGCATCCATCATTGATGATATCATATAAATAATTATGGAACAGATAGACTTTCTTAATTATATTTAAGTTAATTAGTTGTTGTACCTACATAGGTATTATTACATTCATTATTGGAAAATATTATTTTCAGTTCTTAAAAAAAAAGTTCACTTTATTAATTTGTTATTTAAAAGTTAATAATGCCTATTGTTTATGATACCTTTATGTTGGTTTAGCAATTCAAGTAAATGTAGATGAAATTATAGAATGCTGCTCTTCAAAGGAAAAAAAGTACTCACTTCCCCCAATATATTGTTATCACAGCAAAACACAAAGTATATTTAGTATTTTTCAAACGATTATGGTATAAATTAAATTTTCACGTTGCCTATTGGAAAATAAATGATTTTTTAAGAATATTGTTTGTTGTACAGGTGGATCTGATAATTGAAAATACAGATGAATTTGAAGTTTATAAAGTTTTTGACCAGAATTTGGTAAAAAAAACAGTGGCAGAATTAGAGGAGGAGACTACAATTTTTAATCAAAGAATATCAAATTTTTGGAAACGGCAGGGTTTTGAACTGGATCCATTTCAGTATTTTTGTTTTAGTGTTAATACAAACGCTAATTATAAAATAAGAATTCACTCTATTGGTAGGTTATTTAATACTTTTAACATACCTTCATTATTTAGTGGCCTTTTACTGGGTTTCATCCCTGGAGGCATACTATACAATATTAGAAGGGCTATTTTAGTTTTAGGTGGAATTGGCCATTTAAACTATATTGATGCTTCATCTCTTGTCTTAATAAAAAAAAAATTATAAATACTACATTGTTATTATTAATTATAAGTCTTATATTTTAAACTAATACTATGAAATATGTATTAACTATTTTTAAAGCACTAGACAGTAGCAGAGTAGCAATATTTTTAGTTGGAATTTTTCTATTTGGCCACTCAGCACAATTAAGTCGTTATTCTTTAACTTACTATTTGAGTAGTATTGTAAATAGTATAATTATATTTATCATAATGATATTATTTTTCATCAGTCAACTTATACCTAAAGTATGGACCTTTTGTGATTTAATGTGTTGTTTAATGAAGTTTTCATTTTGTTTAATTATTATTATTATTATTCAGGAAAAATGTATAGTTGGGTTTTTGGAAAAGGATTGTATTTTAAGTCTTCATGATATACAAATATTGGTTAAAAATCTCAACATAATCTCAAATTATATATATGTATATATTTTGTTCTTATTGTTAATCGGTTTTGATGTTTATTATAAATATACACTATACACGCAGAAACTAAAACCCACAAACTTTATGAAATGGACATTACAGGTGATTAACATAATTATTATTTACAAAATGAAAATGTTTGATGTTTATTTAATATTTACAATGTTTGTATATTATATTACAGTTAATTGGTTTGACTCTTATCACATTTAGTAGTTTCTATTTTGAAGCTATGATATTTATCGATATTTTGAGCATTATATTTCACTACCGTAAACTTTCTCTGTCTTTTAAGTAAGTGAACATAAATTTAATTAAAAATATAGAAATATTTGTTGTATTATAGATTATTACCTAAAAGAAAACCAAAACTACGATTTTTGTCTCAAAATGAATACATATACCAAGGAATGATTGAGACACCAAAGGCTCTTATTGAACTGCACAAATACTGTAATAGACCAGACTATGATGTATGGTATGCAATAAGCAGACTACGCGAGTATAAAAAGTAATAAAATAAATTGGGTAATAATAAAACGTGGGAAAAATAGGAAAATCAAAATTTAGAAAAAGTAATATTATCATAACCATATATTATTATTTTTTTCAAATTTTGACTTTTCATGTTTTACTAGTTGTCCAATAATAATATATATATTTTATATCCATTCTCAACAATATTATAGATTTATTAAATTTATGATGACATCAGACCATATTACAGACACTATTAAAATATCAGAAATGGAAACTGACGATGAACTCGGAGGTATAACAGATTTAGAGATAGATGGAATTCACAGTGATTTTATCGGTGACCATAAATATATAGAATATTTATTAACAAGTGATGATGAATAATAATTTTTATAACAAATTTTTAAGCTATTTACACATTTAAAATGGAAAATTTATTTTTATGCTTTTTGTTTGACTTAAAAAATAACTTAATGTGTTTAGGTTTACACAATAATTATTCTCTTTTTATAATATGTACTTGGTGAATGTAGTAATATAAATATTTAAATAATATAAAAGTTAACGGTTTGAGAAGAAAACTGTAATTATTCAGATCACATATTCTATTTAGTTTTTTAATTTAAACTTTAATGTTTTATAAACCAACTTATTTTTTATTGCTTTTAACATCACATAGATGTGTAAGCTATTAATTGTATAGTTATAAAATGTTATTTAGTTGAATTTCTTTGTATAATATACAAATAAATTTAAATAAAAAAAATATTTGAAACTATTAATTTCTGTAAAATGTATGTTTTTTTTTACATAATTATGTTCAAGAAAGTATTTTTCATAACCTAGTAATAAAGACTGTAGACATGTATAGAACATTTAAATATTTTACATTGTTGTTTTAATCTAATAAAATAAATACATATCAATGACAAAATATATTATTTTTCTATAACCTAAAATTTAGTTTTCATAAAATTAAATTGTTTATAAATGTCACAATATTAGCACGCACACGATCTTTTAGACCGTATTTTAATAGGTAATGAACTTCTTAATGGCAATGAACTCTTCTATACGTATACAGCTGGGAGTTGTATCTATTTTTAGTTTATCACCTAATTAGAAGGTACCTAGGTTGGGTTAAGTTAATATTCTGTATTTTTGAACCAATGAACAAATTTCCAAAAACCCGGTCTTTAAGACTGTGAAGCGTGTGCTCTAGGGCTAAGTAATTAGATATGTAAAATTGTGATTTAGTATTGATATAACATTAGATACATTTTTGATTAATCATTATAAATTCAAATTTATAAAACAATAATAAGTAAAATTAGTATAACAATAACAATGTTTTAAAAATAATATAACTTTGTTGGGAAGTAGTTTAATTGTGCTTTGAGCGATAAACTTTTGCTAACAATCTAAATGTTGATATTTCCTCGTACAACCAAATGGACAAAGTAATAACAAACAATGTACATCCTATTAGAACATGTGTAATTTTTTTGTGCTCATAATATTTTGCCTGAAAAAAAAAATACAAATATATTAATTTTAATAAAAAATGATTATTCTTATCTATAGACACTAGGTAAGATATTTATACAATTTTTGTATTTTGTATTATTTAATATCAAGTAGTTAAGGATTTTTCTTGTACATTTTATTATATTATATAGTATTAGTCCAACACAATAATGATATTGTATCTTTGTTTTTTCTTTATGTATTTTGTTTTGTCTTAGATCATAATCTATAAAATATAATATTAATGTATTATAGTTTTCCTATCAATTTTGCAGACTTAGAACTGTCATAATGCATATAAATAATGAAGTTAATATAATAAAGGTTAGGGGGTACCTATGTATGTTTTTGTATTTTATATAGAATGTGAATATGTATATTATGGTAATTAATGAAATTTATATTTTATAAAATTATAATTATTGAATATGTATTAATAATAAATTTGTGTGAGCCAATTTCATAAAAATATCACAAATGCAATGTATTTCTTTTTTTTTATTTAATGGACGTAATTCAAATAGTGTATATTTCCACTGTGAGTAAGATAATAATATTAATATTATTGTAACAACATAATTTGGTATTTCTAAAAACGATCTTATTATTGAAATCAAACTTACTTCAGAATAAATTGTAACAATAACTGATAACAATAAACAACCAATAAAAGATTTTTTCGGCACCAGTCCATTTAATGGGTTATAATTGGTGTCTTTAAATTCTAATAAAATGTATCGACCGCTAGAAAGCACACATCACAAAAAAAGTAGAATTGTATATACATTTAAAATTTAAATTAATTAAATGATTGGATTATGCTTAATTAGTTACCATTGGATGATTCTAACTGTAAAGTTACAACAATTTGCTAAAATAAAGCCAATTCCACCCAAAAGTGTAGAAAATAACAAAGATATAAATAAAAATATCACAGATAATATAACCATTTCCATATTATATCTAAAAAAGACAAATAAATAATTAGATATCAAAAAATATATTGAATATTAATATAAATAAATAATTACAAACAAACCTATTCAATTCAGCAACATTCATGGTAGCTGCAGCATAACATTCAGTAATTCCATTAACAGCTAAAAATAGAATGGCCATACAATGTAATTGTAATAGAACTGGTCCGATTCCAGTGGCAAGCGCGGATCCTCCATACAGAAATAATGCTAATTTAGCATATGCTTGACCAAAACATAATGCGATTAGACCAATAGAACTATTGACACGTAACAAACATTCCAGAACACTAACTGCTTCTTTTATACGATCAGAGTCCTATGACATTTTTTGTATAATGACGTTTGCATACTGACTATACAAACTATGCTGAGTACCTGTTTGATTTGCTTTTTAATGGGTACTTCTCTTTGAACAAGTTGACTAAAATAGAAGTATGCTGCTGATTCTACAGGTTTAAACAAAAATCGTGCAGCTAATGAACCCAAATTGTTGACTACATCGTACACACCTTGTTGGTCAAATTTTAATGTGTTGAAAAAAGTCATAACATAACGTTCACCATCGGTCAATAATTGTTTCATGAACCCTTGTTTCAAAAAACTCCATAACAACAGAACAAGTGGAAAATCTACACACTCTGAAAATTTCTAAAAATAATTTTTGCTTTTGTTATACATTTATTAACTTAGGTACTTATTATTAACTTCTTACTTTTCCACGAAAATTAGGGAAATAATCCCACATAGTTTTAAATGGAAAATCTTTTACATTTTGTTTTGTGTAATACCAAAAGAATACATAAAATGACAGAGTATAAGCTATGACTGACGCAAGTTGTGCAAATGAAAATGCCAAAACAGCATTTTGACCGTTCCAGTACAATATCATTGTAGTGTAAACTATTGTACGAACGACAACGTTTATTATTTCTAACATAACCTAAAATCTGTTCAGTTTTATTAACAGCAAAAATAAAAAAACAAAAAAGAACCCTTTGTTATTAACATATCAGTAAAAGGAACTTTTTTGTTAATGAAAATTTAATGTATAATAAAAAGTTATAAAATTGGTATTTTTAATACCTGTAATTTTACAAATAAAAACGCCTGCGCTACAATATATAATTGTTCACAACATAGTTCAATGATGCAACTAATAAGAATTGACCATACACCAAACGTATAATAAACAGTAACAGAAATATCAGGTTGACTAAGCCATTGTAACCAGATATAACCACATACACCGCAAATACCAACACATAATGGTACCCTAAAAAACAAAACAATATACATAAATTAGTCAAACCTTCAATTTATGACCAGATTACACCGTACGAGAGCCAAATTAGATTTATAACCCTGGTCCAGTTGTGATGTACAGTGTCTGTTAAACATGCTCGTCTAAATGCTTCTCTGCTCAAAAATAAAATAGTGGATTCAAGCAACAAGAGACGGACATTTGTAACTCCGATTTCATTTTGAGAAACTTGCCGTAGCACAAAGGCATTTATGATGAACGTTAAACATCTGAATGCAATCTTAAATCATTAATAATTGTCCATTTTAATAGGATTTAAAATATTTTGAATTATTATTATACAAAAAATTAATAAATACTAACTTGCAAAAGTATGTTAAGTGAAGCATTTTCAACACTACTTTTTAAGAAGTTCTTCTTCATGATAACTTCAAATTTGTGGACGTTCACATTTTCTAAAGAAAAATGTATTGATACTAATATTATGAAAAATAATAACATATAGGTAATATATGTAGGAAAAAAAATTATAATATTAGAATGTAAAAATAAACCAATTTGTACTACTAACCTTACTCAACGACAAATTATAAGAAATTCATTTTGAAATCAAAAGAGTTATAATTCAACGATTTCAACGGCATGCAATTTTTTTGTTATGATTCTGTTATTCAAAGCGATAGCATGATAAGATATATAAATGATTCGTAGAATCAACTTGAACAAAAAAAAAAATAGAAACTAGACTACAGAATTATATAATAATTGATTATATTGTTATAATTTATGGTAGAGGACAGTTGTTCGGTTATGATAAGGACAAATAATGATATGGATTATGGATAAATAATAATAACGGACCGAAAGCATAATTTCTAGACATACATTTTAAATTTGTAATAGGTGCTTGAATAATAAATAGTATCTATGTTTAATATTAATTAATAATAATAACTATATTTTAATGTAATATTGCGACTGGAGTACCGAGAAATTAATCCAAAACCACAAAACCACATCAGATAGTATTTTAATTCGTATGCACTGTGCAATATATTAATATGCGACTGTGCCGGGTTTCCGAAAACTGTTATCATTTTCGAAGTTCAAACAAGTGCCATTTACCAGACATATTTAATATTTTAGGAATTCAGTTTTATAATGTTATTTTTTTCCGGGAACAACTCTTCTACCAGAAATTTTGCTCCAATTTTCAAGTGTAGCATGTAGCAGCTTTTCTGAAAAGGAATTTAACTGAACTGGTACTTTAAATAGGTAATTTTTTTAATTTCAAAATTTTTCATAATAAATGGTAAAAATGTAAGAACAATGAAAAACCGTACAACAAAACATGTATAAATATAATGTACCCAATAATTTTAGTTCAATTTGTTTTTATTTATTTTTAAATACAAAATATTTATTAACTTACAACATAGCTTTTTTGGCCCGAGACTATTTTTCCTTTTACTATTAATTGTTATTGATTTTTGTTAGACGATAATGAAATAATATAAAATTATGTTTTAACTATAAACTTACGTACTCATTACTACCTATATTATAACCCAGTCAGGAATATATTTTGTTTTTATTGGTTTAAAATCCAAAATTAAGTAATTTAACTAGGTCAAATTTTTATCTTTTTTATATATTAAGAAAATTAAGGAAAAAAAAACGGATATGCATTTTATTATAGGTAGGCTGCATGAAATATTTAAAGTAATTTAACATTAATCAACAATTAAAATGTACATACCATAACAACATTAACTTTAAACATTGGTATTTTGCTTTTACTATTTACATTCAATAGGTGAATAGTAAATATTTTTGTCACAAAGAAAAACCAAATAAAATTATAAATATATTAAGCAATAAAATACAATTTTTTTTCTGAAAACAATGTTTTAATATTAATCAAGTACAAATTTAATACATAAATGTTAAGTATCTAGAATCTAGTTTCATGTTAAATAATACAATAAAATGAGTATGGAATATAATCAATCATGATATAAAAGAAATATACAGTAAAAAAATAATCAAATATTTTATAATTTGCTTTCAAATCTGTGCAACTGAAATCTGCCTACCTGCATAAAAGGTTAATCAAATAAAACTACCCAATACAAATTGTCCAACACCTAATAATTTCACTCATCAAATTTTACATAGTTTGTTTATGTATTAAATAGATTTCACAATAAACATAAAATTGAAATGACATTATTCAGACAAAACGCAATATTAAACCACTAAGTTTGAAAATAGTAACCTAAAAAAAAAAAATATGTATAAACTATAAGCGCTAAGGAAAATGTCCTATAAAATAATATATTGCTTATTTCTAAGATGAGTACATTTTTTTTTTATAGGGCATTTAAATTATATTTTAAATTTTCATAACTTATTATAGAATTACCAAATAAGGTTTTTTAAAATTTAAAATTTACTTAACCAAGAGTTTGAATATAATAATCAAGCACAACTTGTAAAAATCAAAGATATTATAAAATCATATGTATAAAGCCGTGTTATTAAAAAAAGCAACAAATGATTTAAATATTTATATATATAATGATTATTATTTTTAATTTATACAAGATCTATGCTTGAAAATTATATACATTAGCCTGGTTAACTTTAAAAAACATAATAGATACAAAAATTTAAAAATAAACTAGTAGAAAAAGAATAAGGATATATTTACAAGGAGATAATGACTGAACTGGTTTTCCTATGCCCAGACTTATACTTAAGAATGCATACAAAACGGCATATTCAAGAAACACTTATAAAACCTACACAATAGTGATGTTTAACTTTATATATTGCCAAAATACAGAAAAAAAAAAAAATATAAAATTGAATAATCAGATCATAAATTATTAAACGCAATTCAATTCAATAGTCCTTTGGCTTTGTAAACGTCCCGCAACAATGATTTTAAATACTTAATTTCTCTAGCTAATTCTTTGGCTTCATCCTTAAGTGTGCCATTCTTCTGTAAAAGTACTTTTTCTTCCATTACAGATTCTTTAATTTCGGCCTTTTTCTTCATTCTATACCTTGTTGCTGCATTTTTGTTTTGTTCTTTTTTACGCAATCGCTTTTCTTCATTGGGTGCCTTTGGTGAGTATGGTTTTGGCCGGTTAGTGGTTATGTCACTGTAAGAATCCGTATGGCTACTAGCATCTGATGACATAAAGTCTGATAATGTGTCTTCATCAACTACCAATTGGCTTAATTCTTCAGGTTGCATATCATCCAGCATAGACATTAAGACATCAGTATCTTTTGGACTTTCTGGTGGTGTTAATGATGCTGATGCAACATAGTTGAATTTTGGTTGAATAGACGTTTGTTGGCAATACATTGGTACATATTGTTGGGTTGGGTATTGTGGGTATTGAATTGCTTTGTTGGATGGAACTAATTTCTGATATTCAATTGGTTTCATTTCAACGTGGTTTGGTGAAGTGTTTGTCATAAAGTCATCAAATATTGGTAGATCAATAAATTTTTCTCCATTTAACCAGTCTGTGATAGTTTCTGTTTCTGAAAAAATTCAATATATTGTTTAATTAGTTACAACAATAGGAGTATTACATTATTGTTAACAAATGTTTTAACTTTTATTTCCTTAATATTCAGACATAATAAATTACAAATTTAATTGCACAAACTTAATTTTAAATAAATCATAATTGATTTTAAGTTTTATAGAAAATATTTTATTAAACTGATACAATTATTGAAGCTTCAATATTAAATGGATACATATAAATGCTAATAATGATAATATTTTGTATTAAAAAAAAAAGGAATTTCTTTTCATAAAGCTATGATTAATATTAATTATATTGCATTATAATTCTGGGTAAAACAAAAAACTATATACAATTTTGATCGATCAACCATCGCCATAATATACTTAATTATCCCGTGATAAGTATTGACCTTATATGAAATACACAAGTGACCCAAATATCACTGGACTCGTTGGATATTAAGTCAACTTCTTATCAAGGAAACTAGACTATAATAGTTGTCATTATTAAAATAAAATAAAATTGTCTTTGGGTGTTAATCTAAAATTAACTGAAAAGGGCCAACATTATATGATAAACTGTAATTATTTTAATTACAACAAATCCTTAGAGTAGCATAATGTTAATATAATATGCATTATATACATATTTGCACACAATAAAAAAAACATATTATTTTAAAAATAATAAAGAAGAATACACTTATTATCATATTATTAAATAATCATGATTTTCCTTATTCATAGCCCTGGACAGTCTAATTTATTTTTCATGGAAATTCGCAAAATAATAAACCAAAATATTAATCATTTTTTATATTTTTATATGATAAATAGAAACATTTTAATTTATCTAGATATTAAGAGTAATTCCAAAGTCAAAGATACATTTTCTTAATTAGAATATTGTATTTATTTAAAATATAATACTACCAAATTTTTAATGTTAAATAATATTGGTTAATCAATGTTTACATACAATTTTTATCAATATTGGACCTTGGGCTTAATAGCCTGTAAATGGTAATAGAAAAATAATAATTCATTATAAATAGGTATGTAAATTATCTATTTATGAATTGTCATTACTTTTTGTGTTCAAATTGTATAATATTCATACAATTATTAATAATGATCACAATTTGAAAACTATTAGTTTTCTAACATTAAATTATAAATATTAAAAGATTACAATTTTCAAAATGTTAACAGCAAATATAAAATTGAATATTAATATATATTATTTTCTAAGCACATAGGACATTTAGTGCTATCATTTTTTAAAGGTGATTCTTTTTACAGTAAAATAAAAACAATGAAATAAACTATAAATTATTGTACCCCAAATCCATAAAAATTGGTTTGACATTAATGAATAATTTTTAAAACTTTTAATAAATTATTTATATATATACAGTGAAACATACTTTCACGAACACCTCTAAATAGCGGATGATTTTCAGGGAATGGGGACATTTTCACCACTATATTGGAAAATCTCTAAAAACAGATAACGGGCACTTTTATGGCAATTTAATTTTTGATTTTGACAATTTTTATAGTAGATGTAAAATAATCAAAGTCCTAAACAAGCTGAAGAAGTAACTGATTTTTTAAATAAATGCAAATTAAAATTTACATTTTCATTAATTTTACATAAAAATAACATAATTTTAAATAATAATATGTTCAATTAATATTTGTTTTGAAATAATACAAATATATTTAATTATTTTTTTCCCCTCTGAATAATGGACAAAATTACAGCGACCAAGAGTGTTCAGTATTTAGAGGTTTCACTGCATACGTATTATATTATTATCAGATTTAATTGTATTTTTTTAATATTGTATCAATACAATGCTTTACTATATTTTTAAAGGGTTTTATCCATTTACAGTTTATAAAATAAAATAAATATAGTACACATATAATAATGTATAATTTCATTTTTCACTTAACATAAAATTAAGACATTTTTTTATTGAAACACATTTCATGTTAATTTGAATAACGCTTGCTCTTAATTTATCAATACTTTGAATATCTACATCATTTTTACAATGACACTATTTTTCTAGATTAACATTAATGTTTCTTAAATTGGGTCAACACATTATATTTAATTGTGCGTAAATGTGTCCATCAAATCTGAGTCATGTAATAAATATTATAATATTATATTAGGTATAATGTTTAATTAAAATTATATTTTAACAGTAAATCGTAATACTTATTATAATTATAATATACTATCCACAATTAAATTGAAATTAAAAGAAATAAAGGTTTAACCGTATAATATAAAATATTAATATTAAAAATTATATTAAATTGTAATAAAAAGTAATTTCATTAAAAATAATAAATGTCCAAGTATTGTGATGGTAGATTTTTTTTTATATAGGAATAGTAGTTGAATTCAACGACCGGGGGGGAAGGAAGTCAGGGGATACACACCCTCATCAGACAATGATATATTTTCAAGATTCCTACCAGAAAAATATTAAAAATCCGCCACTGGTTGAATCATCATTTCCAATAATTACGAGAAAAATCCAAAACAAAAATATGGTAAATGTCACGAAATTAAAAAAAATAAAAGACGGAAATTCAGCCAATAATAACATATTCGAATTATAATTTGAACTGGTTATAATACATGCGCATTAAGGTAGGCAATATACTTTAGGAACGTGCTTAAGAGAGTACTCATTCATGGCTATTAAAAGTAAAAATACAATACATTATTAATATACAACGTACGAATTATGTACGAGAAACGTGAGAAATTAAATGGTTTATTCAATTATCATGACAAAATCGATTTGCCGGTAGATTTTCTTTTTCTTATAAGACAAAAATTAAAAACAAATACGACGCATCAACGTACCAGTGGTGCACCATTGAGATGAAATCATTCCGGTAGCCATGTGCTGTGTTATCATCAGCCTTGGCGTGTTATGACACGAAACCAAATATCTATGACGAAATTAATAATATATGAAAATACCCGTCGGCGTAATTATATTATACTAGGTTATCTACGTCTACTACTCTACAACGATATATTACTCATATACAGCGTTATAACGAAAATTTTTTTTTTTTTTTTTTTATATTATTTAGAACTAACAAAACATAAAACAACCGAAATAAAAATTGAACAATATAACAATAATAATTATATAATATAAATACGAATTTGGGTAATAACAGAGAGAGAAAAAAAAAAACAGTAAATGGAAGATTTTCGATATTTGGTTTCGCCTGTAGGGCGTGCAAAAATTTTTGCTCTTTACCGTTCACCTTCTTTTCACCAACTTTTGCGAGTTGAATATAATTTGCCTGCTCCAGGTGTAATGATAGTTGAACTTCATAATCACACAACTATGTGATATGTCGCGACCTACCATGTGAACGAAAATACATCTATTATCCAAACGTGTACGAACTTTCCGACGGATAACTGGTTGTGCTATACACGAGAGAAGTTGGCTGAACACTGTCGGGAACACGCTCTGTTTCCCCGTATCTTGCGCACAAAGACTCCCAACAAAACACGAATCTCCCTCCTTCACCGTATTTCCAATTTATTTCGTTCCTAGATCGATCCTAACAACGTGTTTACGTGCGCGCGCGTCTTGTCAGTCGTTAGTTTTTTTTTTTTTTTTTAATATATATATAATATACATTTTGTGCATCGATAACACATGTAATAGAGTTATTATTTAGAATTAAACGTATTATACGTTATAATAATATTTGTTTTCAAACGCGTATGCACAAGGGGCAAGGTGAACCGCTTGTAATTCCGCCGTTGATCGCACGGCGGACGACCGTCGACCCTTCCTAAATATTAACAACCGAATATTTAGAAACGTTACGGCAGTAATAGGACGTAGTTTGCAAACAAGGGAACTTACGAGTTATTGTTTACTAATGTTATTAAGAAATATGGCGCGTTGTACTAATAGTGTTGTAGTTATACACCCAAAACACTAACAATATTATTGGCCCGGTTTGTTGTGTAGTAGGTATCGGATTTTATATTTTTATAATACGGTCTTATATCGATCCACACAGTTTAATTTACGTGCTTTTGTATACATGTTTCACTATACTAATGTTAAACCACCAACATGCCATTCGGTCCCATCGCCTTGTTAACCACTCGTATTAATTACAATAATATTATCAAAGACGAAATATTCCATTCGGACTGTAGATTAATTTCTCAGACGAGTGATTTCACAATGGACCAAAAACCTAGTAGGTATGATATTTTTATAAGAGCGGGGGGTTTTTTTTTTTTTTTTTTTATCGTGCCGTAAGTATTATAATAGGAAGATAATAATAAAACGAGTTTCTCGATATAATAACGGAAACAATCACATGTTGTTAAATGTCTACAAAAAAAAAAAAAAATGAACCTTTTTTTGAAAAAGTACAATATTGTATTAGTCAACAACTACCTATCTGATGTAAGTATTAATATTTTTTATAGTTATAAAGGAGTTCAATTATAATTTGCTAATAATATAAAATTACCAAATATTTAAGACCATTTACTCTTAAAAACAATTATAATATTTTATTGTTATTGTTTACTATTTAAATGTTTTGTTGGATTAATTAATCGGTAATATTAGATTCGGAATGGTGTTACAAAGATTTAACAGAACTTTGCTTAGAATCGTTTTTTCGTAGGAAATGATCATCATTCAAATTACTCTATGAAAATAATACACACCGGGCCATTTGATCGGAAATCTGCAATACATTTCACAGTGGCCGCGACAATTTATTTACAACGATTAGATCAATTGAAACCAAGACGGAACGCGGCAAGATTCTGTTTTTTGATTATCTAATACGTGACGATACGTGTTCGACAAAACACGACTTTCAAATTTCAAAAATAGTGTTGAACCTTTGAAATTAGATATGGGCAGTGAGTACCATGGGGTAGAGCTGGCGGTACGTAGAATTTACTCACCAATATTCAATAAAACCGATGTGTTTACATGCCGGTTTTTTTTTTCGGTAATCTCTCTCTATATATATAATATAAATGGATCCCTGTTTCCCTTGGTCATCGCATCACGCGTGAAAAACTGCACCGATTTCGCTAATTAATTTTTTTTTGTTGTCTTCGTAATTGTCAGAAGAAGGTTCTTATGTAATACAATTTTAGGAAAATCCACCGGAAAAGTACGGAATACGGATGTTAAAACGTCACTGTCCATCCAGCAAGAAAATAAACTTTATTTTTGTTTATTGTAAGGTCGCTATTGGTTACGATTGAATATAATAGTTGTAGACCTGTTGTTATATTTTATCAAAACCATAACAAAAACAAGTATTATCGAAATCCAAAAAAAAAAAAAAATTAATAATTATAGAACAGACGGAATATTGGGGGATTTTTCCTTTTTGTTTTACTACCACGGATACTTTAACAATAGGTACTTACATAATATATTAGGTGAGTGAAACTACGGCAAGTTATCGGTTTATCGGTATTTATCTTAATGACGGTACTTATCGGTCTGTCGGTATTTACTGAACTACGGTATACCAAAAGTGCCGGCTCAGGGTTCCTTAGGTATTGGGTCTAAATACTGTATTCATATATATAGATAAAGTATTAGATTATCTAATTATAAATTATCTTCTTCCGGATTATCTTCTGGGTGTTCCAATTAAGTGGGTATACACATTATCTCGGAGAGTATTAACTTTATTCGGAATTTGTTTTCTAGAACATTTAAAAAAAAAAGCAGCTCTACAATTTTATACTTATGTTATTTTTTATCACCTTTATTTTTGTGGGTAAAACCACTACCTACTTTTTTATTTTCAAATGACAACCTATATTTAAAAAGTCCATAAAGGGATTAGAGTATTAGTTAAAATAATTTTTAGTGTTGAAATTTTTTATTTTTTTTCAAGCTGTTGAGGAGATATTTAATTTTTAAGTTTGGGTTGGAGGAGAGTAGTGGTGCATTATTAACACGCCGTGCACCGTACCGTCACACAAACCGTCGCCACTACTCTCCTCCAATCCAAACTTAAAAGTGGAATATCTTGACAACGACTCAATCAACATTAAAAATTATTTTAATTAATAGGTACTCCATCTATTTATGGACTTTTTAATATAGGTTGCTATTTTAAAATCAAAAGTAGGTAGTTTTACCTACTAGTTTGGAGGGTAGTTTTATCCCTCAAAAATAAAGGTAGAAAAATAACGTAGAAATAAAATTTTAGAGCGACTTACTTCTTAAATGTTCTAGAAAACAGATTCCGGAAAAACTTAATACCTTCCAAGATAATGAGTATATTGTACCCACTTAAACGGATCACTTGGTATATATTATATTTTTATAATGAAATCAAAACGGTTCGACAAAAGTTTTTTTTTTATTAATACATTTTTAATTTTTTATACAGTTATTAAATGTAGCCATTTCATAAATATATTTTTAAACAAAATTTTCAAAATTCAAATATTTATTAACAACGTATCCTTAACTTTCTAAAAAATGTTAAAATTTATGATAATTTTTGTAAACTTCAATGAATTATAGAAATTTAAAAACTTATTAGTAAATATTTGTAACAAAAACATTTTTTTTCAAAATACTATATTTATTAAATGGCTATCTTGGATATTGTAAAAAATATTTTTAAAAATTTGTAATTTTTAGTATTTAAAAAGCTGGGAATGGAAGTTATTTAAATTATATCTGTATCAAACAATATCTAATTGATAACAAAACAAAATTCTGAGTGATGTTTGTTTCAACATGTTTTGAATGCTATAATTTGTATACCAGAAAAGGCTAATATAATATTAGTAATCTGTGATAATTGTACCTCTACAATTTTTTTTAACCGATTTACAACAAAAAACAAAATTAAAAATATTGAAATCACTAATATCATAAAATTCCAGTTTTTACTAATTATTAAGAAAGACATAAAAAAAATAAAATGTCACTACACCAATTATACATGATGAAAACTAAGAGAATTAAATTTTGTAAAATGCGTGATGTTAAATATTAATAATATTCCTTTTGGGGATTTCAATTATTAACTGCCGTTTATACTATTTTAATATTTAAGTGATCCATCCTGTATAATATGTTACTACACAATCTTTTTTCAATTACATAAAATATATTTTAGACTCAATCAAAGATTACAGATTAACTGAAACTATTAAATAATACTTTTTCATAAATACATTACTGTAAACATTTATTTAATGAAATAATAAATTAAAATTATATTGTATACTTTAATTTTATCAGTATACTAACGATAAAAAAAAAAAAAAAAAGATAAGCAATAAATGGTGAGATACTATTGTCTTACATGTTCGTAAAAATATGAATTTAACTCAATAAACATATTTTTCTTTCAGCGTTCACTAAGTTATAATAAAAGTAATTAAGATTAAGTCATTCTTATTTTGTATTTGATAATTTTAAATTAATATATTAAGTAATGTTTGTATACTATAAAAAACATATACTAAATTATTATATTAAAATTATTAGGGAACTCTGCCCTTGCTCGCTTTGCTTTGCCAAACACCATAATGTATGGGATAATTATTAAATTTTTGTTATAAAATAGAGAAAAATAGAAGAATTAATACATTATTCACACAATTAAAAATAACTTGATAACACAGATTATAAAATAATATACAATATTACATACTTATTAAAATATATAAACTTCAAAAATTATACTACAACACTAAAAATACTTATAAATGGTTTATTTAATTTAAAATTAATTAAAAATAGATTAAAAAAATCAGTTAAATATGTAAAAATACACCTTAGAAAATATAATTCCGGTGTTATTATACAAATATATTTAGATCACCTGAGTATATTTAATTTAAAGACAAGTCATTAATTTTTGATAATTACTGTGTGCTATTATTTTATATTACTCTTCATGAAATACAAAATATTTAACTAAATTATACCATATTAAAACTTATATATTCAATTACTGTAATATCATAATTAAAAATAAAGAAAATTATCAACAAAATTATTAACTTTGATACTTTTTGTTAAATTATTAATCATTTCATGTAATTTTTAATTAGTGTATTAATACTAGTTATAATATTAAATCACGATTAATGTTAAATATATTTTAATATCCATTTAGTAGGTGTTTATAAAATATAATACAAATTATATAAATTTATTTGGTTGTACAACTGGGGTATATAATTAAAGTAAATATTAATTCACTTTATTGTGGATTCCTAGCATAAAATGAAAAAAATTGTAATATCACAAAATAGAATGATTATTAATTTACCTGAAACCATCTCAGATATGGTGACATTAGGACACAGTGTATCATACATTATAAACATGTGCTGGTGAATATTATAAAATTACTAATGAGATGCTGCCGTTGGTATATTCATAAGTAAACTTAAGTTAAACAAACTAAATGTTGTTTCTTTGACTATAAAAAACTGACTAAACACTCCACAATAATTGCATCAGCGTTTGGCCAGCTATATAGAATAGGTGATAGATTAGAGCTTAGGATACTTCAAAGCTGCTGTAGAGTGAAGCCCGATGAATATTTTTGATCAGAACCCATAAAATCACGCCCGTTATCTATAATTTTTGAGACACATTGTATACCTTTCTAAGGATTAATAATAACTAATCTATATGTAATTGATAATGATGTGCTTCAGAATTAAACACAATAATTATTAGGCAGTTAATGGATTTTTAATTTAAACACCTTAAAACAGGTAAACTTAAGACATTTGTATTTTGAAAACTAATTGTCAGAAATGATCTACGATTTTGTATTTAGACTAAGAAAATAATAAAGATTTTTAATATTAAACAACAATTCAAGTATTTTTACATTCGAAACACACTTAAGGAGTGATTTTGATCTTAAGTATGTGCTTCGTAGGCATGGTTGCCATATCATGCAAACAGTCAATCAGTTTTTGACATTTCTACATATAATTAAATTAATTCTTATGTAATAAAACCATATTACCTACCATCATTTATATCGCACACTCCGTCTAGGCATTCCAGTAAATTTCCAGCCATATCACTCCTTGTTATTTTATCCCATTCTGTGTCATTTAAATTACATATTTCAGTCAACAGACCAATCATTGGCTCGTTGCTTAAATGCAACGAGCCACTCGGTTGTATTATCTGCGACACTGCTGACATTTTGTAATGTATTTGCAATATTATTATTTGCAATGAAAATTCCGCTATTGTTGATTTGTGTTGATATTTGCTTGATGGTGACTCCATCTTTGTATAGGGAGGCCATATTGGCACTGAAAAAACAAAAAAATGAATTAAACCTCTGCTTTCTTTAAAATAATATTCTAAAAACCATTTAGTACATTGTTGTTGATATGAAAAAAAATTATCATGTTTCAAATTAACTATTATGATATTTTAGTATCCCTGAATTGAGAAAAAAAATATGTTAGAATATGATACTACATAGAACTAATGAGAAATAAAAAATTAAATTTTGCGTGTATTACCTACTATAAATTGTTTATGAAATACTTTCTATATGATTAAAAATTCAGTCAAAATTACATTGGAAGTTTTTATATAAAATGTAGATATAGTGTTATATATGACATTTGCACATGTGAGATATTTCAAGTAATTAAGTAATTTTATTATTTGTTCATAAAATCATTCACAGTATCTTTATCCTATGTAACAAAACATATAAAACAAAACTTCCTATTATTAAATGTGGGGGAGATCATTCCTCAGACATTTTCAGCAAGGACAAAAACAGTGTCGCCAAAGACGCCCTTTGCGCTGGTGATTTACTTCCAGATATAAAAGATGTCCAAAATATAAGCACTTCTCAAACGTCGCTCAACAAACCATTCAATTCGTCAAAATCCGAACACAGTACTCACGTCTTCCATTCTAAAAATCATCTTCTCACCCTCCTTCCAAGGCTTCTTACGCCTCCACCACAGATTCTAATAATAAGCAATTATCAAATAATGCTATTAACGATAGTCCTTTTTCCAAATTTATTTCAGAACTTTCCGCATTAATAGATCCCCCTCATTTCCCTCCTTACAACCGCACTGCATAAACAACAAATTCCATAGCCCAATTAACTCTACTTCACTAATTTAATCACCATTATGTTTTTATTTATTGATTACAATACATGTTATTCATTATGCTTATTTTGTATTAAAACTTAAAATATTTAATACATAAGCATATTTAATTGCATGTTAATGACTTGTACATGTCTATTTTTACATTGTTTTATCTTTCTGTTATTTTAAGTACTGTAAATGTTGAGATATAATAGTTATTTGCTAGAAGCTATAAAAAAAAAAAAAAACATTTCTATTTGGTAAAACAATAAATACTACAATATTTTTCCATAATTATTAAGTTTTTTATTTCAAAATAAGTTTATATAAAATTAAAATTTTTTTAATGTTAACCACTGACATTTTTTTTTTTAAACGTTTTTTTAATATTTCCAATACTTTAAAACATCTCATCGGAGCTCAGTCCTTACATTACATTTTAGTATTTAGGCTATATAATATACAACAATTTTACCAGTGTTATGTATTTCATAAATGTATAGTTCATGGATTTTATCTTTACATGTGAGCTTTAGTCAGCTTTACCAAATGTGATAATGTCTACTACGTGCTATATAATTTAAAGATAAGAAATTTATCTCAGTTTTCTAGTTGGTTTTATTTAAAAATATTTTTATTTTAACGCAAGTATTACATAATTGAAATACTCTTATCTCTTTCCAAAATAAAAACAATAAAAAAAATAAACGAGAGAACAAAGATAATGTTTGTGTCTTTGAATTTTATAATAGGTCAATTTACTGTAGAATTAAAAATGAAAAATTCTATAAGTTCTGATGCATGATAATGTAACTATAAAAGTTGGACGGGTAAAACAAATCGGTGTATCCTTGGACTTTTATTTTTAAGTTATTTTATATAGGAAATTTTAAAAAATACAATTTTTTTAGTTTTGTTTATAACTGTTTTAATAGTTTTTAGGAAATCATTTTTTTTACATTATGTATTAAATCATTTCTTAAATTACCTAATAATTTATTGAATTTTCCAATATAAGAAATATATTTAGAACCACTTAAAATTGTTTTCAATCTTTCCTCTCAATGTTATACAAATTACACCAAATAAGTTTTAAATATTCGTACCTATTAATCAATTTATTACTTATACAGGTATAAATTTTCCAAATTTATTTATAGATTCTGAGCGGAGCAAGTAATGTATTGGTCTTTTATTTTACATGTAAATATAATTAAATTGCAATTATAATTTGTAAATGATTTACTTTTAAAATTGATTATAACATCTTGTGTTCTTAATTTACTGTATTACCCAAGATGATATTAAATTGGATTGAATAACATTTTAAATGAAAATAACACAAATATAGGGTATGAATATATTTTTATGGCACAGCTTTATTAATGTATATAATAAAATAGAATTTTGTAATAACAAAACTTGGCCTAAATTTAAAAATTTAAAAATACATAATATTTGAAACAGTTTATAAATTGTTCTAAAAATCTAGAGTTTATAAAATATCAAACGTATAATTTTAACTATAGGTTACTGATACAAATATAGATTATATTTATATTTTACTATAGATGCTTTAAATATAAAACGACAAGATAAATAATATTGAAATTTACATTTTTAAGTACCTAGATATTATTATTATAAATAGTTCAAAATTAAAATAGCATCAGAAAAATTCAGAACAGTCGGTAATTATACAAGGAACAAAATTAATATAATAAAAATCTTATTTAGTAACATTGTTGAACACCTAAGTAGGTAAATACTGTTTCCAATACAATATGGCGGTAGAAATTAGTTACCAATAGGTTATACCTATAGGCTATTTAGTTAAATAGGTAGGTACCTAAGTTTGCGGAGAGAATGAAATTGGAAAACATACTAAAACAGGTTTTAGGACCTACACTAACAATAATTAATAGGTACATGAATTCTAAATTATGTAGGTTAAGTCGATAATAATGGAGCGAGCAGTGTAGTGAAGGGAAAGAGTCAATGGCGACAATTGTTAATTTTCGATAATAGTTTGGACACAAGAGGATAGGAAAAAAATGTTAAGCACGGGTCGTCGTTGATATCTCAATATTATTCGGGGCGTTAAATGTGTTATATTATCACATGACGATTATCGTCCAAATAACTGTAATAATTGCGATTTGTAATTATAATATATTACGACGACTACCGTTCTCAATCATCATAATAAACCACTTCACACACACGCACACGCACATACACACACACACACACTAGTGCGCGCGCCAAATAAATGCGTCAACTGCAGTAATTATAGTATGCTCGAGCGAGTACACAGAAGACGACGGGACAAGCGAAATTATAGCGCAGCGGCCACGAATACAGTACAGATAACCTACGGCACAGTCGGTGCAATGACAACGTACAGAAAGGACTCGTTCGGAAACCGCAACGTGTCACCACTCCGTAAGCGTCTCGTCGACCGTCGTCACGCGACCAAAGGAAGCGGTATTGACGTTGACGACGGCTATGCCAATAATAATCGGTCGACAGTTGTTGTACTCACTTAATAGCGGCAGCCATGGTTATTATGTCGGTTGGGGCACACGCCGTGTGCGGGCTAAACGGTATCGGAACGACGTCAGTTCATGTTGGATGTGGCGTTGTGTACGGACGATCGTAGACTGAAACGCGCTATCTACAAAATGTGAAATCCAAAAAAAAAAAAAAAAATCAACAAAATGTAACGTTGAGAAATGGGGTCAAATGTGAAAGCTCATACCTACACGCGCGTTTGGGTAAGGAGTTACGGGCGGTCGTAGGCTGTTGAGTTGTAGACGGCGGCGTATACGGAGGTCGGAGAGTAGCAATCGAAGCAATAGTAAACATATGCGGCAATATTGTTGTAGTCGTGGCGGAGTAGTAAGTAGTGGAAAGGTGCACGACAACACTGTGATAACAGCGATGGTGGTGGTGGTGGCGGCGGTCGCACAGTAGGGGGTTTTTACGGAGGGTAACCGCGTGCCGCCAAACGACCACGGAACAATCGATTGTTCCACACCGATTCGGTTATCGGGAGATTCGGACGCGGAAACGATTTCTCGCCGTTTTCTGATTATTTTCCGGACCGGTAGACGAGTTTTCGGATTACACGGCGTTTGCGAGAGGAAATCGTATAATCCATTACCAATATTATGTTATTGCAACAAAGCCGAAAATATTATATCGATATCGATTTTGCGAGAACACGTGTACCCACCGGAAATCGTTAGTAGAGTTGAGCGTCCGATAGTGGACGCACTGTACAGCTTCGGGTTATCGGCTTATCGCGCGATTTATAGATATTGTTGATAAAAAAAAAAACAACAATTTTTCATGTCTGGTTTACGCACGTTCCGTAGCACGAGAACGGATGCGATATTATTAATGGAAAATTGTATTTAAAAAAAAAATCCAATATTATGTTTGTATTGTAGGTATTTAATAAATAATAATAATGTGCTATTCCTAATCCGCAATCATATTTGTGATACGCGTTAATTAACTGTTATCGTACGGCAGATAGCAGTTCTTAGAATATTGGATTAATTCGAAGGCGCAATACGTTGGACAATAATAATTTAAAAAAAAAAAAAAAACGATTCACCCAATTTATCCTTTTTACCGTTTTTTGTTTTGTTTTGTTTTAATTTCGGTTTAATCACAAAACGATTTTAACGATAATAATAGCGTGTCGCTTACGTAGGCTATTATTGTTGTGCGATGGTTTATAACGTCATAGTAATTTTTGAGCAAAGTTTATTGAACTGTACTTAAACGATCTAAACTATAATAATAACACAACAATTATTGTACGAGTTGCTCTCGAGTCTCGGTGGTCTGCGCCGAATTCTAACAATTGTATAATTGAAACTCGGGGGTCGCCTTTAAGGAGTGGGTGGTCTGACTGGTCTGAGAATCTATATATTAGAAGTAAATAGAGGCTGTGTATTGATGCTATTTTTTTTCTCGACACAGAAAAAATAATAATTTAACACCATTGAATCAACTTAGGTATACCTCATGAAATCTTAATTCGTGGTATACTTACCTAATCAAAGATTCACCCTTTAAATAGTTAGGTATAGTTTTTGGTGACGGGGTTTCGTAACATATTAACAGCAATCAAAATACCTAAGTTTTATGGTACAAAACACGGAATCTCCTCACTTATATTACGTTATATACTATAAACAAATGTTTCTGTAGGTAGCCTTATATTATAATAGGACGGTATATTATTATCGCGCTGTACTAATCGCGTGATGTGATTAGCTGATATAAAGTAACATTTTGATCCTTTAGAGTTCGCGGGAGCAAAACTAATTATCATATATTATCATCTAAAAAAAAAATTAAAAAATCTGTTAAAAATATTTCACCAAACAGATCAAATTGTTCTTCCAAAAATAAATAAATTATGACGTCAATTAAGGAACACGCGCGCGTTTGAATCGGCTAATGTGTAACTAATAATTTAATGCAATTGTATTTTATTTTTGATTAAACATGTGGTTATTTTTAAATATTAATACTAATTTTTCAATCCACTTTGAAATTCAAAATAATTCTCGGTAAACCAATTTTGTTTAGTATAAAAAGTTTTGATTTTTTTTTTATAACCGTAGATAGATTAAATCAAATATGAATAGAAAACATTTCTTAAAATGGCCATAGGTAGTTGGTGAATCCAACATAATTCAATTAAAGTTAGGTCACTTTTTTTTTTAAATTACTCTTTATGAAACACTCATAAACAGTATTTTGTACTCTATTATTACTTATTAGACTAATTAGACTTACTATTTAAGACAAAATTTTATTATACTGCATAATATTCTTGATATTCATGTGAAAATACACAAATTTTAGTTGAAAAAAAAATACAAAAAATATAGATTGATACTATTGGTTTTATTACAAACAATATCTAAATAACATCAATTTCAACAAAATAACTATAAGTTATTTTCCAAAATTTTATTTTTTATTATTAGTTAACAGTTATGAAAAAAGGACTTAACTTACAATTTAACTAATAACTTTTTAAATAATTACTATAGATTTGACGTGTTCCTCTGGATGAATCAGGATCAAATAATATTTTGTAATAATCATAATAGTTATAGTATCAATATTATTATGGTAATTTTTCTTAGTAATATCTGGGAGTAACTGAAGTTAAAAGCTTGCAAAACCTATACCTAATTATATTTTATGATAAAAGACCATTTTTGGCTGGGAAACGAGACTAAATTAAATTTAAAAAAAAACTGATAGTCTGATACTAAGCCACGATTTGTGGCTTAGTATCAGCTATGGCTTAAACCACAGTTGGGTAGTTGGGAAGGTGGGTTATATAAAGTTATTTAATTTATAGCTATAAACAACGATAAACCTAATGAATAACGATTCTGAAAGAAGTTCGGTTATACATGTTTAGAAAGGCCGTAATATTTACGATTTTCGTCTTAATTTTATTTTAAAATTTTTTTATATAAAAGAAAAAAAACTATATTAAACTAATTTTTTTTTTTACCATTGAGTACGAGTTTTAATAAACCTCCCATCACATTTTCAAGCATTTCTTTTAAGTCCACCAACTATCTACATGATATCTACCAAATAAAAATTACGTAAAAACTTACAAAATTAAAATGTCTATAAATAGCTCAAAAATTGCTTACATTTTCTGATAGTTCTACCAAATCTAGAAAAAGTAAATTTACATTTTCTGTCAACATTTTAAGTCTTTTTACGAATATTTTAAACTGAATTACATTAAAAAACCGAAATTTAAAATAATAAAAGAATTATTTTAGTACATTTTTCTGTTTTTCTGCATATTTTTCAGTTTTGTTCAACTATTAATAAAACTACAGAGCAACTCAAAAAACGACTAGCTTGATCAATGACTAGCTTGGTCAACGACTAGACTAATAATTAAACAAAAAAGATCACTTGATGTTTTTCTATTGGAGTAATATTTATGGTAGAAAACGAAAGCTGTAACAATTTGAAATAATGAAATCGTTTTGCCATAATTTGAAAAAAAAATCGTATACGGTAAAACTTCTGTTAATGGTCACTTCTGTGTGACGGTCATTTTTATGGTCCTGTCAAGTGTTATGTCTCCATAGGAAACCTCTAAAGGATGGTCATCTCTAAATAGCGGTCATTGTTTCCGGTCCCTTCGGTGACCGTTACATGGGAATTTTACTGTATTTCGTCTTCTTTGGGTTTTCCCAATTATTTGGAAAACTACTTTGGATATTGAAAAACAATATAACTTTGTCAGTAGCAAAATATTGATAGGAACAAAATCGATCTTTTGTTATTTTTGGATTAAAGCAATATTTCTGGTAGAAAATATCGTGTTAACATAATAAAAACAATGAAAACGGTAACGCCACAACGGCGTGCCGTAAATATTTGCTGTTTTATACTTTTCATTCGGGTTTTTCCCGTATATTTTGAAAACCCCTTGGAAATTAAAAAAATTACCTACTAAACCAACTAGTGAGTTACTATTAAAAAATGTTCTGTAGTCTAAACTTCGGAGCAAGTTTTTTAGTAGAAAAGTTGTTCATAGACGGGAAAAAAAATTGTTCTAGGATGATGGGGATCTACTGTTGTAGATGAGAAGTTGGGAAGGTAAGATATAGACGGGAATTTAATGTAGTATTATCTGTACTCGTGTCTTCCCACATCACCGACTCCCATTTTGTCAACAAATAAACCAGTTTTAAAAGATATCAAAAATCTTCCTATTTCGCCGACACATAAATCGGTAATATTACAATTATTATTACTTATTAAAGAAATTCTAGCACCGCAATCGCGGCATGAACATAAGTAAATATATAAATTTAGTATTATCGAAAACATAAAAACTATTGACAATAACAATAGATAATCAACGATTAGATAGATGTTCAAAAGAATTTTGGATTCTGATTGTAGCGAAGAATGTATTAGTTTTACTAAGATGTTTATTTTTTTTCCCTTTTTTTTTGTCCTATGTACAAAAATTCAACTATAAATCTTACCCAGATATATACGTGCGGCACCATTTCTGAAAGGGAATGATGTTCAGATGGTACTTTTGGGAAGTCATTTTTTGATTTTCCAAGGGGTTTTCATAATAACTGGGAAAAACCGGAATAAAATGTCGGAAAAACGGAAAATGTACAAAATCTAGGTATTAGTAAAAAAATATTATGGCCTTTTTTTTTCTATGTACAACTTTTCTACCAGAAATTTCACTATGATTTACAATGATAGCACTTTTTCTGAAAATAAATCTGACTAGGAAGGTAATTTAAGGAGGTTACCTTTCGATTTTCCGAAGAGGCAAAATGTGTACGGTATTGAACGACGCCCATCCTAGGACGTCTTTTTGATTTTATAATGTACATAAGTACTTTTGTTATTTATTATTAAAAAGTTACATAACAGTCAATACAATTAAATTTTATTTTAATTGTATTCTATTAAAATTAAAATAATAGAACACAATTATAATTTTAAAAACATGTATGTATTCAAATTGATTATAAATCAATTATACCTACATATAAATAATTGTTATAATATATGATTGTAATATAATTATTAAAATGTATGTATAGGTACACTTATTAGAACACAATTAGAAAAATGTATGATCACTTTAAAATTTAATTTAGATAGGTTGTATTAAACTTTTTTGAATTTACAAAAACTTATGTATACCTAATATACTATGCAGTACATATAATAAGAGTGCCTAGTAATTTTAAACATTATATTTTGGTAATAAATGTATACAAATTAATTATAATGCATTCTCCAGAATAGTAATCCAACGT